GCAATGAGAAATGCACCGCTCTTTTCAAATCTTGTGGTATAATATCTGTGAAATTTCCAATGCTTTCGATCCAACCTGACCTCCACATAAATAGCTGTAAAGCTCAACTGGAGCCACATTAGTCTTCACTGAGACGGTGAGTGAAGTCGTAAACCTTTGCCGTCCTCATGGCCTTTGTCTCTAACAAGCTGGTGTCAATCACCTCCTGAAAAGAGAGAGATTTGTGGAGTGAAGCGAGCAGCAACAACGACCAAATGTTCGAGCTATCCAGCTGGGCTGCAAGTGTCAAACTTGACAGCTTTCGGATCATTATAGGTGCATATCAAGATGTCGATGTGATTGGCAGTGTCATGCTTGGTTGTTGATAACTTGGTATTCCCCCTGAGGATTGTTTGTCATCAGAGCTGTCAGGCTGTACTCAGGTCAAGACGTGTGATTTCATGACTTTTCAGAGAAGCTCGATTCTGACTCAGAGTTTGTCATACTGGCAGCAAAGCCTTGAGGAACCAGCTGTCTCAGCATTGGGAGGGGGGTACTCCATGCATGTGGTCTGTGACAGCTTAGCACGCACATCAAACAACTGTCGGACCCCTGCCAATCTCACACGCACCTACACAACAAGAACACACACACTTTGGGCTCTTAAATCACTGCAAGTACCACCAAAACAGGCTCATAAAGGCACAAGGTCGGGACAAAAGATGAAAGAGAGGCAGCCGTACAGAGGGACTGTCAGTTTTGTGTGTGTTCATGAGTGTGTCTCTGCCTTTGTGTGTGTTATAAGAAGCAGCTTCTCATCTCCCTCTTTATCCTCCGGATATGTCGTCTGATACTGACTCATTGCTGACACATGACAGTCGATGAAGTCTGAATGACAAGCTTTGAGCAGCGAAATAAGAGCAGCAAACGGGAGGAATGCTGTGGCGTCTTCATGGTGTGTGGTTTACAGCACAAGGCCACACAGGAGGGGACAACAGCAGCAGCAGCAACAACAATCAATTGAAGACACAGGTGTGCAATTCAGAGGAAAGACACAAGCTAACACGGTGGAAACAGGGTCTCTGGTATGCTGAACGAAGAGATGGATGCTCTGCAACCTGTCACTCTAAGGTTAAGTGGGAGGATCTGTGGTACGGTGGCCGAGAACCGCCACTGCTGCAAATAAAAAAGAATGCAAAAAAAAAAAAACAAGAAGCCACATCGGAAGTTACCAATGCAAAAAAAAAAGGAAACCGAAGCCCGCTGCAAATAAAAAATTTATTTGCATCCTTTTATTTTTGCAGTAAGTACCTTTTTTTTTCCCATCGCCACTTTTTTTTTGTGTCGTTAACTTCCATTGTGGCTTTTTTTAAAAATATCTGCACTGTTTCTTTTTTTATTTGCAGCGGGCTTCGGTTTCTTTTTTTTTCCCATCGCCACTTTTTTTGTGTCGTTAACTTCCATTGTGGCTTTTTTATCTGCACTGTTTCTTTTTTTATTTGCAGCGGGCTTCGGTTTCTTTCTTTTTTTTTTGCATCGGTAACTTCCGTTGTGACCCTTTTTTTTTTTTTTGCATTCTTTTTTTTCATTTGCAGCAGTGGCAGTTCTAGGCCACCGTAGATTTGTGGTATTTATCCAGAGATGTGCAAACATCTCGCTAGAATCATGAGTGTGACTGTTAAGGACTTACTGTTTTGTTGTTCGTGTTTCTTATCCTGTCCTGTACTTCTTAAAGGCTGATTAGGGGATTTTGGGGACAGCGAGTGGGTGGGTCGATGTGCTCATCACAGCCTGTTGTTTAATTTAGCTGTTTATTCACATCCTCACAAAAAAAAAACTAAAAAAAGACCTGCCAGAGTGCAGATAGGAAGTTTGCTTTGATTCACTTCAATTTGCTTTTTTCCTGTTCTGCCGGATGAACAAAGAGCTGATGAGCGTAGGATAAGGCAGGGTTAGAGAGGACACATTCAGGTGGAGACACACACACACACACACAAAATCACATCAGTTTGATTATCAGATACCACAAGCTCGCATCACAATAAATTTGGCAACAACAAACAGCTTGTTGGAGTAAATGACGTGGGCAGATGCAGGGAGGACGGGAATCAATTTTACATCTTCATAATGAGAGGAAGGCGAAGATGAGTGGGGAGGGGAGAGAGGGCAGCGATGGAGGGGCAGAGGAAGGGATCAGGGGAGGAAAAGATTGTTGAGTGAAACAGTAGTTGTGTCTAAAAGGTCGCTGCCGTGGCGCCACTGCTGCTGCTCTGCTGAGAGATGGAGCAGGCTGAGGACTGAGCTGTCCCACCTGGACTGACAAATACACTCATGAGACAAGAGAGAGGGGAAGAGTGTTTAAACTTTTAACATAACTCAGATTGTTTCATGTTAGGAAAGGTTAAATATACAGAACAGTATCTGTAAGACTGACACAAACTTATATGGTGATGTTTTTCTTTGTGTAACATTGAAAAATGACAAGACACTTACTAAATGAAGTAGTTCTGCCAGAAAAGAGTAAAAAAAAAATGTTGGCTTTAAGTTTTACATCTCACTACTATTCTTTCTGATTATATATTACTTGTGTTTGCAACATTTCCTCGTCCTGCAACCACATATCTGGCTTCAGTTCATCTAATATAAATGTTTCTCCCCCCTGTTGACATGTTGTTACTGTCAGACTGGTTTGTGCTCAAGTCCTTTTTTTCAGTGCAGCTTCATTTTTAAAAGTTATTCAGGGGGTTCATGTTTTCTATCATTGACACTTGATACAGCCTATGGGCGAACGAAGATTGCGTAGATCACCCAGGGGATACGCTGTATGAGCCAAGCACCATCACAGCGACTCTCGGATACTCTCCCATCGAATGCGTACAACGCTACTGTGCAATGTTGGTTTCAAGAAATGAAGAAAAATCGTGGAAATACCGAGAGCTTTTCGGCTTCAAATCCGTATAGTATACTGGCAGAAGGCAGAACCAAGTTGTCCATAGTATATACAGTCTATGGTCAAGACTTTTTTAATAGGGTGGCCAAACTAGGACAAATGACAAAGGCTGGGGTGTGTGGGGCATCAGTCAGCATGCTGACATGAAAAGTTGAGTTGAGCTATAGTTAAAGCTCAATTGGGCAACTTAACTGGACTTCTCTCTTCCTCCCTTTTCGCAAAAAAACAGACAAGAATTGCAATATTGATAGAAGGATTTTGGCCTCTACTACAGCAGGCAGGGACACGACCCCTTGAGTCTTGTTACTACTGTGCCATCTCTTGGGTGACCACAGACCAAAACTTCAACACACATGTTCGCAAGTTACTGACTGGATGTGTGTAGAACAATGAAAACAAAGTTACTTTTAGAGCTCTGTACATTTTCTACGTACCATATTTATTTATTTATTGTTTTAGCAATCATGGAAGTGAACATTTTCTAGGTATGTTCATCTTGCTATAAGAAGTTCAATTAAGTTATTTTCAGTCTGACATACAGTTGACATGTATAAAAAAAAGTCCTGAAGGAGATTATGGCCTAATGCAATAAACTATTTTTTTTTAAACAAGTAAACAAAATGTTTGTCTGTGGGCCCATTAACACAAAAATATACTAGAATCAACCCTCTCTGTCTAAGACATAAAACTTTTTTCCCTATTCTTTGGAGGCTCAAGGAGATGTTGGCGCAAAATTAAAATTAAAGCCACATTTTAAACATTTGCCACACTTTGGTTTCAAAACAGCTCATGTAATTTATTTCAACATAAGCGCAAATGGCCAATCATAGAATTTAAGCAATACCAGGGAATATGATTTATAGAGGGCCAGTGCCACCTCTGGCCACCCTCTAGACACACCCCTGTGACAACCACATCGAATATTTTTGTGTGTTGCAATAATTTGACTATTGCAATTGGTTTATTGTTAATTCTTACGATACAGTGACGATGAAACTGATGTTATCTGTGCTGCCCTACCCTTTAACACAGCTATGCATGTTAATATTCACATCTGAAGCTCTTGTAAATCTTTATGTTGAAACATCAAAATTATACAAAATTTTCTGTGTATCTTTTAATACACAGTTTCCCAAATATTGTCTGATAAATGTGTTGAAACTGGAGCTGTACATAAACCTTTATAACGTTAAAAACAAGTTTTAGCAGCACAGCCAAGTTTCAGTCGTATCATAATCAGGGTTTATTTCCATTTTTTTTTTTTGTTTTTCATTCATAGCACCAAACATTAAACTTTTTGTTCCTCTGTGAAAATGCATCTTGTATGTCTCTCCTATTAGGTTCAAATGGGCTCAGTTAAAGGATATCTGCACTGCTTTTATCACTGTTTATATTCAATTAAAGTAAGAAAGGTTGTGTTTTGTTTATTTAACCTTAAGTTCAATTAAGCAAACCACATCTTTGTTTGCCTTCACTTTGTGGTTAAAAAGGTTTGAGCATGTTCAGACATGTAACAAACAGAGAAACTCATGTAAATGGAGCTGCTGATTTCCATGTCAGAGTGTCACTTTCCTTGAAGGCTCTCAATTGATATTGAAATTGAGTACTTAATGAGCCCTGTCATGTCCAGACTTGACCTGTGGGATACTGTCAAAACATGCCTGATAAACTTTAACACCCTGAGACCCAAAATAAAAAAAGTGTTGTAATTATTCTGACATGTGAGACGAGTAAAATCAAGAATGTTTGGCAAGAGAGATTGTTTAATTTGTGCCTTATTGTCTTTTTCTTTCATGCATATTACATGAATTTAAAAAAAGTATAAAGGGGGGTCTCCTGAAATATAGAGGAGTGAAATGTAATTTAAAATAACATGTTTAAAGTGACCCCAGTGTGCAGTACATGGTGAGGGACACAAACTAAATGAATGGACTGAATAGTGGGCGTGTACACAGTGAATGAGCATGTTTTCCAGAGCACAGAGGAGGACGACAGTGGGAGGGGTGAAGGGGACGTTCTGGGAGGGTGCAAGTCTGTTGAGGTATAAAAGGGTGGGCAGACTTCACATGTAGAAACAGACTGAAGGGTGCTGACAACTTCTGTGGGACTATCTTCACCAAACATTTCCTTTTTTTTTCATCAAAAGAAGAAAAAAGAGAAGAGACAACATGGAGATCGAACCAACTGAAAGTCCTTATGAGTACTACGACTACGAGGAGACAGAAAACTCCACTATGTGTGACTATTCTGAGTGGTCACCATCGTACTCTGTCATCCCGGTGCTGTACATGCTCATTTTCATCCTCGGCCTCTCTGGAAACGGGGTGGTCATCTTCACTGTTTGGAGAGCCCAGGGAAAGCGGCGAGCAGCAGACGTCTACATCGGTAACCTGGCCCTGGCTGACCTCACCTTTGTGGTCACTCTGCCGTTGTGGGCTGTCTACACTGCCATGGGCTACCACTGGCCCTTTGGAGTGGCCCTGTGCAAGATCAGCAGCTACGTGGTTCTGCTCAACATGTACGCCAGCGTCTTCTGTCTCACTTGCATGAGCTTTGACCGCTACCTGGCGATCGTTCACTCATTATCCAGCACCCAGCTACGCACCCGTGGCCACACAAGAGCCTGTCTGACAGCAATCTGGCTGCTGTCTTGTCTCCTGGCGGCTCCAACTCTGATCTTCCGCACAACAAAGTATGATCTGACCAGCAACCGCACATCCTGCGCTATGGACTTCAGCCTGGTGCTGACCAACAAAGACCAAGAGAGCCTATGGATCGCCGGTCTCAGCATCTCCTCCTCAGCCCTGGGTTTTCTTCTACCTTTCTTGGCGATGATGGTGTGCTACGGATTCATCGGCTGCACTGTCACACGCCACTTCAACACCCTGCGCAAAGAGGACCAGCGGAAAAGAAGGCTGCTGAAGATCATCACCACGCTGGTGGTGGTGTTTGCCGCCTGCTGGATGCCCTTCCACATTGTGAAGAGTGCTGATGCCCTGTCCTACCTGGACCTGTTTCCAGCCACCTGTTCCTTCCTGCGCTTTCTTCTCCTGGCTCATCCATACGCCACTTGCCTTGCTTATGTCAACAGCTGCCTCAACCCATTTCTTTACGCCTTTTTCGACCTGCGCTTCAGATCCCAGTGTCTGTGCCTACTCCACCTCAAGAAGTCCTTGCATGCGAGCCCCGCCAGCTCTCTGTCTTCTCAGAAGACAGAGGCTCAGTCTCTGGCCACAAAGGTGTGACGACAACTGTGGGCCAAATCTGGGAGAAAACACTGAACATTGCAGAACATTGCAGGTAATTCAAAACTTGACAGCGCTTGCTTGGTGCTTGCCTTAAGAACATCTGCAGTTTGACCACAGGTGACACTTTGTTCCTCTCAGACTCTGCGGACTGTTGTGGGCAACAGTTGGGCATGAAGTTTCGGGGTCTAGCCATACACAGACTCCCGCCAAACTTTCAGAAATACGGCAGCAAAACTTGACCTCCTAACACAAGGGACCAAGCAGTGCCAGGCTTGGCAATATTTGGAATAAATGGAATGTATCGTCGAAGGACCACATGCTCTTGTGTCTCTCCTGTGGATTCATAGCAACAGACTGAGCTTTGAACTCTGCCCTTGAGTCCTAATGAATTGTCTTACTCATGCATTTACCCCTGCTGTTTTGTTGTCATTTGTAAGCACTTGAAGTGTGATCTTTACCAATGTACCCCACCCTCCAGCTCAGCCGGTAGAATCAAAGGCAGCAGTGATATGTGTGTGTATGTATAAGAAGGGTATGCCAGTCAGTAAGAGGTGTTGGAGTCTGATAAGAGTGTCGTAAGGAGAGACGGAGATAGTGGGTGGGGGTAGAGTAAAAGAGGGGGGTCCAGACAGACAGACAGATGGCAGCTGACAAATGTTTTCAGGCTGGTAGAGTGCCCAATTAAAAGGTGACTGTTTTGACAGTCTGCCTGTGCGTGTGTGTGCGTGTGTGTGTGTGTGTAAAGACATGAATGTGCTTGTGTTTGTCGATTGTCTGAATGATTGGATGATGAATTTGTTTCTGACAGATACATGAAAGCATTTTGTGAATACACACTATTTTGAATCCGTGTTTATGATTTGTAATAAAATGGTGCTCTGACTAAAAAAAGAAAACACACAAACACCCTCTGTCTGGTCTCACTTTGTTTCTTGTGATAGCTTGTTAAATTTGGCTGGAATGTATTTTCTCCCATCCAGTGAATGTTCTCCTTCCTGCTGGTGCATTGCTGAGGGAAGGCAGCCTCCCTCTCATTGTGTTTCTCGGGGGCTGAAATCAAAGCATGTGTCTGCAGGAAATGCATGTTGGACTTCTGTTTCCCTTCTCCAGCATGTTTGTTTCTTCACCCAAACAATCAGGGAGTACAAAAGTATCTACATTAGATCAACGGGAGAAGGTATGGCTTTGTCACAGAGATGTTTAAGTCTCTCATGGAGGTTAATAACAACAATTAGATTCTTACAAAAATATCCCAAAAAGGTCTTTAAAGGTCTCATTTTTATCTATGAAATCCCACAACCTGTTGTTGACGTTCGAATTGGAATTTAATGACAAACCATTTTGACTGTAATGAGCTTTTTCCAGGATGAAATCAGCAACAGCAGGCACACAGAGGGATTGGACTAATCCGTAGTTGCTCTTTTGTGTAGTGGGAGTCGAGTATTTGTCCTTCTGTAATACCTGTAGTGGGTAATGGCTTAATCCAAATCACTTCCAGTTAAAGTCCAACAAAGTTTGTGTCTTTAAAGTGTTGAAACAACAAGTCAAACTCTGTGTTGAGGAAAAAAGACACGTTGAGTAACAGACAGGTGAAATCTGTTAACTTCTTTTGGCCGTGATTGCAGAAAAAAACACCAACAGCTGCAGTCACATTTACTCTGTCCTCCTTGATCGCCATCTCAGCACTTCTTAATCTCATCCGAGCCTGAATACAAACACAGACATGCAAACTAAATCCTGTTTAAATGGATCACTGAGTTTGGTAACAAAAACTCTGCACATAGACATTATAGAGTTCCTGAAAAGCAGATGTAATAGACAACTTGAAACTGTGACAAAGGTCCAGCAGTAAATGAAACAAGCACTGCGACAAAGTCAACGCACGTGTTTTTATGCTATAGCAGCATACAGTATATTTTAAGATTCCTCCAGCAGCAATTTGATACAGAACAACTTGTCACGTTATCTCACACCTGTCCGCATCAAAGTCAGCGTCTGCAGTGAAATATAATCTGGATAGATTTTTTTTTTCATGGGTTTGTAGTTTTATGAAGCTGATGTGATCATGTTACCAAAATTTCATGGCGTGAGCTCTGCCAGAGCTGGAAAGGGAGAAAAGGAGGGGTATATGCCCTCAGCTTTTCTTTAGGCTGAGTGTTTGTCTGAGTTGACGGTTCAAAAATGATTCAACAAATGCTTTCATTCCTCTGTAATGACAGAGCGTGAACGTAGAGTGTCTACAATGAAACCAGAGTGGCCACAGGGAATCCCTGAGGGTGTACCCCATCTGGTTTCTCTCCCTCTCTGAGGAATCCTAAACAAGTAAAGCTGCTTTCTAGAAAACAGCATGGATTTGACCTCTTCTTTAAGAAGAAAAAAAACACTTGTCCTCTGTACTGATATTGGGACTGTCATTGACATATCATTTCAGGGAGTCCCTCTGCCTTTGCAAGTACCAATGCGTCTAGAAAACAAAGCCCCAGAAATGATCCCTAACCCTTTAATGCCTTTTGTATCATATTTAATACACACTTTTATAAACTTCTATCAAATCAATATGATCAACAAATTGCTGAAAAAAAATACATACGGTCTGAATACAGTCTGCTAAATGATAAAAATGTCCTCTTGTAGTTTATCAGTTTTTCCAAAAACATCTAATGTATCAAATGAGATAAATAAATTTATTTGTTAAATTTCAAGGACATTTTGATTTTTTTGTTTTTCAGTACTAAGTGAAATAAACATTTCAGCTCCAAAAAAATTTGAATTTTCTGGCCATAATTTGTGGTGTCAGGCATTAAAGAGCTAATAATACTAATAATAACTATGATCAGCAAAAATTAATTAGGCTATAATTTTGATTCCTTTTACCAGCACAAATAAATGTTCATTTTATATGTTAAGTATCCAAAAACCATGAAAAGATCCAGACTTTTTGGATTAGCGGTACTGGATCCCTTAATTATTCAGGGGTGGCCTGATATGTGTACACTAACAAATAAACAGCATTTATTTCCCCTTACTGTCTCTGTTAATCATATCTACTTAAACTCTTTACTTTAAAAAATCTTAAAGTTGTCACATTCATGTGTATTTCCTTTTTTTATAATATAATTATTACACATAAAGATGTTTGCCCAAAGTCACTATTTGAAGTACATGTGATGGGAATCTGCCACACTGGAATGGATATAAGACACATAGTTGTCCAAGTTATTGATTATAACATGAGTTCTGCCTTTGACAAGACAAACTGGCCACCCCTGCCCACCCCTCTGATCATCCCCTGTCAGAAAAAAGGCCTAATGAATGAACTGCTTATAACAGCTTGCCTGATGATCTTAAACAAAGTAAAACTAGCACAGTTTAAAGTAAATTAAAGCAGAGTATGATTGAAAAATACATACAAGAGTGATATTCGTTTTGCCACACTTATTTAATTGTAAATGGGTATTGTATACATGAGAGATTTTAAGTGTTCTAGGTATATATATATAAAGTGTATATTTGTGTGTATAGATGTCTATACAGGTATGGATGTATATATGTATATATAAGGTCTTTGTATTAGTATTAATGATTAGTAATATATTCATACTAGACTTTGGAGCTTTGGTTACTTTTTGGCAATATCAGAAATTTTAAAGACATGTAAAGGGTAAATGAATAGGGAGGAATGAGGGAAGGTACATATAAGCTAAACAGCTTCAACCTACTCGTTTTCAATCTCAAAAAAAAAAAAAGGAATTCCTGAAGTCTAAAATTAGTCTAAAATTGTACCGTATGTATAATTGATCAAATAAACAATACAATAATCCCATAAAAACCATTTAATTCTAATCAAATCAAACAAACAAAAACATCTAACCATGTTAAAATATCAACCTGCTGCATTATCAGAATAAAGTTTACCAATCAATCACAACAATAATGCAAAACAAAGCAATAACTGGAGCTTTTTTGACATTCTCATAGCACAGTATATAAGTATTTATTAGTCAAAAGTAAGAAAGGGGGGACTACCTTCACTCTTCATTATCATATCAAAAGCTGTCTTTGTCTTGTTTCAAATCAGGCTTGCAGCCAGACTCCTGCGCGTTTAACGCACATGTCCAGCTGTCATAAATCAGAATCAAATAAACCAGGTCATGCAGAAAATAGATGGAGGAAGTGTGCACACATTTCTCCTCTGTCTTAACAATGGGGGCTGAGCAGTGCAGCCAGCAGACCGGACCTTGGCCCTGCCATGACCATAATGTGGTAGGATGAGATGCTGACCTGAGGAGCGTCTTGGAGGACCCCAAGCTTCCTGCCGCCTGATGCTGCAGAGCTTCTCCTCACAGTGTCCCAGGAGGATACCAGATCTCACAGACAGGATAGGAGTCAGCAGGCCAGGCAGGAAAGACAAAAGAGGTGAGCAAGGTAGGGGTTCCTGAGTGGGGATATCCTGTCTTTCAGAGGCATCTTTATGTTTGTAGGGCCTTCTGTCACATAGATCAAGATACATGCTCCACCTTAAAGGAAAGTGTGCATGCTTAAGACTTTCTTTTACGCATGGTAAGTGAAGAGATGTCAATGTTTGTGACAGATTTTCTCCTGAGAGTGACAAAAAAAAAGAGTCACTGAAAAGACAACACCAAAGCTTCAAACTTGTGTCTCCAACACCTGAGGTGACAAATCAGACGTCTCTTTCTCCCTCACTCTTTTCGTCTCTCCTGACATTTCAAAGGCAGCCATCGTTAGTGAGGACACGTCGTTTCCGACAGCAGAAAAGAGCGGAAGTAACCAAGCTTTGGGGTGACTCCGGATCTTGGGTTATGTGGGGGTCTCACTCAGAGAAGATTGTCCTCTTCGCTGTGCACAAAGTGTCCCTTCATGCCCTCTTCTATCCTCTTCATTGTGCATCCTTCTCTTCCTCGGTCAGACCTAAATGGACGCCCTGTCATCAGCAGCAGCACTGAGCCAGCTCAGAGGCTCAGCTGCACTGACTGAAGCGTCACAGGTACAGAAAGCTGCACACACACATGCAGGCAGAAAGTTATGCAACAAAGAGGATGTGTCCTGAAGCTGTAATTCATTCAGTGGGTGAACTGAAGTGCAGATGATTATGTCAGGTTATTACTTCAATCATTCAACACATTACAAGGACATGATAAAAACGTGTTTCTTGATGTCATCTTGTAGCACAGCTTCATCTAAAGGGTCTTTGTCAAAACATCTGCAGTTGCACAAACAAGCACACACTTATGTGCCATATTTGCGGCTTTTATTTAAGTTGTTGTCTTTCATGACGTGTTCTATAAATTTATTTTTTTCCTGGTTTTGTTATTTGAGTGCATTTTCTGTGTTTTTCCTAGTGTTTCTGTTCTCTATTGTTCCCTGTGATCCTGTCTTTGGAGGTTTCAGTTTGTGTCTGACCCTGTTTCCCTCATGTTCTCAGTGTTTTATTCTTTAGATCTGTTTTCAGTGTTTCCTGTTTTATTTTGTAGTAGTCCATCCTTGTGTGTATAGTCTTGTTTTACCTCCTCAGTAATTGTCTGCATCTGTTTTCTCAGTGTCTCACCTGCCTCTCGTTGCTCGATTCCCTGTGTAAATATCGTCCCTGTCTTCCCTTGTCTCCTTGTTGGTTCATTGTTCGTCTGTGTGTCAGTTGTAGTTGATGTGTGTCTACCTAGTCTGTCTCCTTGTGGTTTTTCCTCAATGCCTTTTGTTGGAGTTTGCCTTTGGATTTTTCAGCTGGACATTTTGAAGTAAGTTTTAGTAATTTTTTCATTTAGTTCTTTCTTTGATAAAGCATTTTTGGTCTTTCTTCCTTTGTTTAACCCTGGCTTATGACAGTTGTCTTTGCACAAAGATTCATTGGTCATTCTTGGAACACTAATACTAAAACAATCTCTGACAGATTTCAGGGGATTGAGAGAAAGTAGATCCACCTCAACTCATCCTACCTCTGCCGGCTACCTAGTTAAGGATTGTTTCTAAAATCTTCTGCCAACTTTAAAGGCACTAAATGAATTTGCTCCGAGTACACTGTCGTTCTCCTCTCGCCCAACAAGCTTGGCTGTACCCTGAGGTCCTAAGCCAAAGGTCTGCAAATCATTCCACAATCCAAGCGGAGGACCGAAGGGGCCCTTTTAGCAAGGCCCCTAAAAACAATAACATTGCATGTATGTTCAAGGACCACTTATGAACACTGGCCAACAAGCCAGAGTCCCCCTTAATGTGTAAAAACATCTTTTTTGTCCCAAACTCTTTAAGTTTTACAGTTGCTGGATCGCATTAGATAAAGTGAGGGACTTTTCCCCTTTTTCATACAGTAAGATAGAACATTTAAAGCCATTCATGTGCGGTGTTAATTCTCTAAAGTTGGCATGTAACATTGCATTACTCTAACTTTTAGTAAATGGTCGCATATGATTAGTGAGTTAGTACTGACACCTAGTGGTACAGTCCAAGTTTAACTCCGGAACCTTTGCGTTGGAGCTGCCGCTACCTTCGGAGTAAATTAGGAGAGACACTGGGTTTTCCTATGCTAAAAGCTAAAAGCTAAAAGGCCTAGTCGGGCTAACCCAGAACGCTCTATTAAAACAACACAGTTTTGCTTGGTTAGTAACAAAGCCAAGTTCTTTTACTTGGTATGGTGTCTCACAGACAGAAGCGGCTGTGGAAATACGTGGAGGAGGGCAGTTTACTGAAGCTGAAGTCGTACCTGCGGAAGCACCGGGACCTGAGTGTGAACTTCGCCCAGGGTAAGAGGGAGCGGGGCCCGCTGCACTTGGCTTGTTGCCTCGGCGACGACGCGGTGCTGCGGCTGCTGCTCAAAAACGGAGCCGATGTCCTCCAGAAGGACCGAAAAGGAGACACAGCGTTACACACCGCAGTTAACAGGGCTCTGAAACACGGGAAAACAGGTGAGAAATGACAGGGAGTAAAAGTACCTGTTTTACTATGAACTCCAATTTTTATGTGGCCCTCTCGTTTTTGATTTTCAGCGTATGAAGATTTGGTCGTACCCCTAAAGAAGAGCTGCCCAGAAGCTTTAGATACTCCTAACAATGCTGGGGTCACACCAAAGGACCTGCTTATGTGGATGAAACACACAAAGGTAATGTTGGATCCCATGACTTTTCCCATTGTTGTAGTTACACACTCTGGTTTAACACACAATTTGTATATTCAAATATGTTGGTGCAGTTCACATGCACATTATGTGTCATATTCATTGTTTTGTTGCATTTCATTCTGTTAGCGAGGTCCTGTGTCAGTCTGTGAAATCCCCATTGTCAGAAAATTGTGAAAAATTCTTGCAACAGTTATATTTGCCTTTCAAAACCCCTCAAATTGCAAAACTATATACATTATAAGAACTATGTGGTTGACAGATGATTCTATTTAAACCATAGTTCTAAATAATGTCATGTAAAATGTTATCTATTTCTTTTTGTGATGATGTCGATTGTTTTGATGTTTTGAAACCCTTTACCTGAACAAATTTGGATTTCAAACTAATGGTAGACAAAGAGACATGACAATTCGAAGCACTGAAAGTAAATGGAAATTATGATTCAAGAGCAGGTAGACTCATGTGTGTGTCTTAGAACATTTATTATGACTATAATTTTCCTTGTGTCATTAGAGAAAAGAAAAGGGAAAAATGCTTTAAAACTCAAATATGGGTAATTGAGACATTAGAACGTACAATTTAAAACAGTTGATTGCAGTTGATTAAGTGCCAGAAGGCTTGATCAGTCATTATGATGACCTTGTGTATTCTGTCACTTAATATCTGTCATACCACGGACTGAGGGGCATTTGTTTTTCTTATCTGGGATGTTTGTGTCTCTGCAGTCAGACAATCACAGTTGTCTATTACAGTTTGCATGTCTTGAGATTTAGTGATTCATAGAAAGATCAATGTCATATTTCATCTGCTTTAATCCTTTATTTTCTGAGTGTTAGCCTTTTCTTAAGTTTCTGGTTTTGGTGCAAATGTATGGCAAACGAAAATGATCTTGTATTATTTGGAGTTGGATCATATAGTAATACTGAATTTGATTCCTTCTGTTTTTCACAGCCTGCAGAAAACATGAGCCATCCTCCTGAAACAGACCCTGAGAAGGAGTGGCTGGAAAAGCTGTTTGGTGAATGCGAGGATGAATTTTGTGAAACATTTGGAGTATATGACGGTAATTTAAACCCATGTGTAATTTAGAATTTTATTTAACCTTCTTCTCTTTATAACAGCAATGTTGTATTTGTTTCACAGCGGATGATTTTCTTCCCGTTGATGATGATGACGAAGACTTTGGTGACTGGGCTGACCGAATCAGAAAAGAGTATTTTGATAAAAAGCACGCTGAAGCCCAGAGACTGGCTGCCTCATCTTCTGCTGGATGGAAAAGGAGGCAGAGTAAACAGGAGAGAGAGCAGGAACAGAAAAGTAACAAAGAGCAGCTGGAGAGGCTGCAGAGGGAACACGAGGAGTATCTGGCACGAGCAGCTCGTAAAGAGGAAGAGACTCGGCGGGGTAAGAAGCGCAGGTACGAGGAGGGCTGTGCAGCTACTTTTAAGGCAGGCTCCTCTGCTGGAGACAAAAAGCTGAGCTACAGTGACATCCCCTGGCCGGCTCCAAGAGGCACTGTGCAAGAGATGGTGGATGTGATGCTGCACGGTGTGGACCGCAAAGACCTGACTGAGTTCCGTAAAATGGTCCGGAAGCAGCAGTCGCTATGGCATCCTGATAAATTTTCTCAGAGATGTGAAGCTCGACTAGAGGAGAAGGACAAGCAGCGGATCCTGGAAACTGTCACAGCTTTGTCACAGGAGCTCAACAGCCTGGCACAGAGTCTGAGGACTTAAAGTTTAGTAGTTGTATCATCTACGTATTTGATGTGATGAGCGTGCAGTGTGTAAAACTCCCCAAAAAAACAGCAGAAAAGTGCTTTGAATAACACAAGACTGTGTGTTGGACCAAACAGTCCAACACACAGTCCTCTGTATGGGAGTCTTGGATGTTCACCACACCTTAATCATCAAAAAGTGTCTGAACTCCAAATATATATATATATATATATATTTTTTTTTTTTGTAGAGTTAATGGTTCGATGCTTGCAGGAATTTTCATTCTTTGTTATTATTCTTGTTTGATTTGGCTTTACTCGCATGATAGTTTCAGTGTTGGGAATTGTCTTAACACAAACAAATCTGGGCAACAACCTAACACATTCACACTGAAAGGTGAGCATCAAAGGTTCATGCTGGCATATTTGCCTCCTGCATTTAGGCGAAAGATTTCATACCTCATTTAAATTAAATTACTGTCAAAAGGCATCCCACTGAGCAATAGACGGCTATGAGACGTCTAGTTTTTTTTTTGTTTTGTTTTTTACCTAATTTCAACCATCTAGATTCTGCATATTTTTAAACAGAATTTAGATGTTTCACTTTAACACATTAGTCAATAACTTTTTATTTTTAAAAAAGCAATTGTGAGTTGCATAACTGATTTCCAAGTACTAAACCAAAATAATTATGATAGCAGTTGAGCAATATACAGTGCTGTATAGATATAACCCAGATTTAGACTTGGTCTAAACTTGGTCTAAATTTAGATGTCTAAAAAAACTTTCATTTTTAGACCTGTGGTAGCCTGATTTTAGACCAGTCATCTTAGACCAAAAAATGCTCTGTGGGGTATCTAACCCAGAGAGTCCCTTTTGTCAAGTCATCTTTGCTTTGTGATGGTATTTTTAAACTTTGACTCAAAAGATTTCTTATAAATATGGAGTTTCTCAGACCAATGTGACTTTTTTTTAGCCATTTAATTAAACTATTTCGTGAAAATGTGTCTTGTAACGTGAATAATTGCGTTAAAATAAATACAAGCCAAGGGGGAAAAAAAATCCACACAAAGAGAAGCAGATGGCCGGTCCGCTTTCAGTGATGGAACTGAATAAGAAGATGCAGCGGTTGCCAGGTTGGTAAGCAAACCCCTTTTTCAAGAGCATGATAGAAAACGACATCGTGGGCAAAGCTGAGATAGTTTAATACTTAATCTGAAATTCGACCTATTTATTTAATGTTTTTCAACACATTTTTAAGATTTGAGAAAGCTAAAAGGTCATTATTGGAGACTGATAGAATACGTTATATAATAGATGGAGACTATTTATGATGTATATTTTATTGATATGTATAGTGTTGAAATGATTCTAAAATATGACTTTATTCATGGAGTCCATTGTTTTAAAGAATTGAATGCGTCCTTAGATGACCTTTGTTTGTACTGCCACAAAAAAAGTGTTTAGCATTACATGGACAATATATTATTGAAAGAATACTACTGATAATGCAATATCAGAAATGTCCTCAGGGTAAGTATTGACACACTCGCGGCCAGTAAGTCATTTGGTTGTTGTTTTTTTTATGCTGCTTTAGAGTTAAAACCATTCATTGGCACAGTATTTGCTGTGAAACGAGGGGAAAAACTTGAAATTTTCAAGGATGCGACCATACCTGGCAACCCGGAGACGCAATCTGTGTCAATTGCCGGGCGACGTAGAGCGAATAAAGGCCGTAGTCTATTTCTGACTGAGGCTTATTTTTAACGCCTGCCTTCAGCCCTCTTTGTCTCCACGGCTGCTTGATGGTGGTTGTCTTTTTTATTTTGCCTGTTGCTCGTGTATTTCCGGCTAACGTCGCGTCGTCGCCGTGTTTTTTTTTTTTTTGCGCCGTAATGACAGGTGATCTCAGGATGACGCCTTTCTCTGTGATCGCTCGATGCAAGAGGTACATAGAGGAGGTTTCAGCCTTTGTTTTCATGTTGTTTATTTAACAGACATCACCCGGATTACCCCCGGACTGAGGATGAGAACCGGTCTCCCTTCTGAAAGTCGTCATTATTAATGGACAGCAATTAATCCTCAGGGGGGGATGCTAATTGGTTAAAGGGTTTAAAGCCACGCACTGACTCGCTGCTGAATTTTGTGATGCCCTATTTTCGCTTGTAGCACGCGGCTCGTTGTGCAGGTTCAGTAGTTTACCGGCAGATTGCGAAGAGGTGGAGGTGGAGGTGGTGGAGGAGGAGGTCTGTGTGGCTGCAGATAAAAATGGTGTTTCGGAGTGAGGAGATGTGCTTGGCGCAATTGTTTCTGCAGTCCGGCTCAGAATATGACTGCATCAGTGAGCTGGGGGAGTTGGGGCTGGTCGAGTTTAGAGATGTGAGTATGCAAAGGTGCACAAACACACACATATGTACAGATTTTTTTAGATTAGTATACAAATAAGTTTAAAGACTGTGCTTATTTTTATGTTTTACTGAATGCATGTATCTACCTATTCAACATTGTTTTTTTTTTTTTTTTTCAATGCATTTGCTCTCAAAATGATGCAGTGACCTGCAGCCACCTGACCTGTGATGCTCCTCTAATTTCAGCTCAACCCAAGTGTCAGCTCATTCCAGCGGCGCTTTGTCAGCGAAATCAAGAGATGTGAGGAGATGGAGAGGATTCTGGGTAAGAGAAAGCACCTGGGATGGGCCATTGGGAGGGTGCAGCATGAGTAGAGCATACACCTGGAGTCTTTAAGGCACTGCTAGTAATACCTTAGCTGAAAGTGTGCTGTAAAGTAGACCCTTGGAGAGTAGAGATTTCATAGTTTGAGCAGTAATTACCATAGAACTAACATCAGCAGTTTTCTGTGTGCAGGCTATCTTCTCAGGGAGATTCAAAAAGCTAAAATAGCTGTTCCTGAAGAAGATGAGAGTCCACTTGCACCTCCTCCGAGACAAGTCCTCGAGATCATGGTGAGTGTCATTTTGATTGGATATCAATACCATAAAGGTTGCATTATAAGGTTGTACATTTAGGCTTGCATGCTTGTTAATTAACTGATTTTATTCTATTGTGTTGACCACATGAAGCAAAGCAAAAGCTGTCTTTTCATATCCCTCTGTGCTGTTGTAAATACCTAAACAAATGAAGACCACATATCTTTAAAACAACCAAATAGTAATATCCTAGACTGGGGATGTGCATGAGTAAAATCAAATCCCTGCACATGCTGTTGTTGCCTGGTGACATCTCAATTCGAATATTTTTTCACCTGACTGTGTAAATGTGGAAGTAGTTGTTAATTTTCAAATTCGGCAAATTGAAACATTTTTATGCAGTAATATATATATATGTTAATTGTGGTACAATACAGTACAACACATCACAATTCCATTAAAAATAACAGAGTATGATATGGTACAATATGATTGGATATGATACATACAAACAAAAACGAAACAATATGGTACAGTGCAGTACAATATAATATGTAGTCCGATACGATACAGCAAAAAATAACATGTAACCCAATTTTACAAAAAACAAAATTATATGATATAATACTATAAAACATGATAAAATAGGACATGATACAAAAAAAGGATGGATAGGAAACGATCTAATACAGTTCAGTACGAAATAATCCAACAGGACATAGTAAAATAAGATAGGGGAGAGTGGGTTAAGTTGAGCCGCCCCCTGTTGCTTCAATTGTGGTATCTATGAGCTACAACATGAGGTCAAAAACCATACACGGGGTAAGTTGACCATAGGAGACCACTTATTTTTGGCATGCTATAATATCAAGACAGTTGTGTTTACACTCATTCTGTTGGTTTGCAGGGATGTACAACATCTTGAAATATATGCAGATTCACTAGTTAGAGACAAAACTATGATTGCTTTGATGTAGTGATCCAAAATATGAATAATGGCTCCTCTTACCCCACTCTCCCCTACAATTCAATATGAAAAGGTATGATATGAGTAACTGTGCCTTTAACAAAATTTGTGTGGAGTTCACATGTAGTTGCTAAATGCATTATACTACGCCGAAAAAAAGACAGATAATAAGTAATCATCAGATCTTCATCATATATTTAGTTATGTGTACCCCAAACCATTCTCTTAAGAGTGTTAACATTTGATTTTTCAATCATTTTCAGTGCTGGCTAAAGAATAACTGACCGAGTTGCCTCACTACATTCATTTTCTGTGTGTTGATGTCCAGGAGCAGCTCCAGAGGCTGGAGATGGAGCTCAGCGAAGTGGCTCGTAACAAAGAGAAGCTGCAGAGGAACCTCTTAGAGCTGATAGAGTACACACACATGCTGAAGATCACACGAACTTTCATACACAGCCGCTCCAGAGTGAGTGTGTGATTTTATTAGGTCTTCATTTATCACACACTGACACAAACACGCCACATGACATGTATTGGTTTTTCTTCCCAGTCCCACTCTGCTTTGCATCTCAGGCAAAACACTTCTCTCTCCGCCTTGCCTGCAGCGTCTTGTTTTCCTGTCACCGTCATGTTTTGTTTCCCAGGGTGATGGATGTGGAACTAGTGCTGATGTTAATTAGTGGCATGGCTATAGTGCAGCTGTTACAAGCAGCACCTGACTCATCCACACTGCCATATTGAAAACGAATACAGCGAAGAGTAACAGAGAATATGTGAGACAGATGTTTGTGAGAATGAACATCACTTTCTAGTGTGTGAACGTCACATTAGCTATATGTTGAGCCATGCAGCTAGCAGTTAATTCAAGCTGTCATTAAGTGAAACTTGCTCCTTCTTATAATTAGCATGAGGCTCTTGGTCCCCAGTATGAAGAATTCCCCACCATGGAGACGGACTCAGTGACAGGATGCACCGGCATGCAAAGGCTTGGAGCAAAGCTGGGGTGAGCTCTAATATGTGTTGCTTACATCGTAACTGCAGGGTTGTAATTATATAATGAAGATTTGTACGCTAAAGGTTACCTGATCTCCTCTGGATGCAGGTTTGTTTCAGGTCTGATCCAGCGGGTGAAGGTGGAGGCGTTCGAGCGCATGTTGTGGAGAGTTTGTAAAGGTTACACCATCCTCAGCTATGCAGAGCTGGATGAGAACCTCGCTGATCTAGAAACTGTGAGTCAAACTGGATCAAATTACCTCACAAAAGACCTGAATAAATACAAGTTACTATGTTTTTTATGTTCTCCCCCTAAAGCTCATATTTGCAGTGCAGCCATTTTCATTTTACACCACATACAAGATGGGAAGTTCCAAATGTTTTTGTCACATTTGAAAGCCATGCTTCAGGTTGGCTGGAGGCACTTTCATTTCATCACTTCTTGATTGATCAGCTCCTGAAAAGACATAGATTGTGAAATACTCAGAGAAATCAGGTCATAGTTTAAATTAAAATGACTTATTTGATAATCTGTGCTTTAATATTGAGACAGTTCTTTGCTAACATAAACTTGTCTGGTTATTTAACCTTCCTGTTGTATTGACCTGAATGTTGTATAATCTTAGTAACTAAGCAAACTAGACCATTAACACCAAGACTGACAGTTTTTTTGGTGCCTCAAATTGGTGTGAGGGGGAAGGGTTCAGCCAAGCCTCTGAAGAAACACCCCTGTTTTTTACATTTCCACATAAAATATTCACTTTTTTTTAAACCATCAAAAGTCAGAAAGAAGAGATTAATTGTCTGAAAACACTACTTAAGCATGAGCAGGACAAGATAAGAAAAGATTGTCCACGGGACGCGATATTTTTTTTTGTAAAAAAAAAAAAACTGTTTTGTTTTTGTCTGCAGCTGGTGTTTCTGTTTGGCTGTGAATATTCCTAAGCCACTGCCAAAGACACATCTCTGTGCAACCATTTAAACGTAATGATTTTAAGAATGGCCAAAAATAGTTAAAGTTTTTGCTTTCTCAGCCAATGAGAAATGATTCAGTATCCTCAGACTAGCCTTAAACTAGTTGACAAAGTTTAAAGAGAACCTTAGATCTATTTCAAACAATATTTTTACTTTTAAATTTGAGTAAGAAGGGTCTATTTTCCTTTGAAACAGAATTAGAATAAGTACATCAATTATTTGTAATCAAAGGCTTTAACCAAAGCTGTAATTTTTCATTTTTTTCATTTTTGAAAAGGAAAATAATTGCAATATGTGTAAAACTGTTCAGTAATAACAGTTCCTGCGTGTTGTTGCTGTTTCAGGGGGAGTTAAGCAAAAGTGTCGTGTTTCTCATCTCTTTCTGGGGTGACCAGATCGGACAGAAGGTCCAGAAAATATGTGACTGGTAAGAAACAGCACCATCGCATGACTTTACCTTTGAGTGCACCTTTGTATGGTTGTTATTCATTGGTGGCCCAACCTGTCTTTGTTGCCCTCAGTTACCACTGCCATCTTTATCCACACCCTGAGAATGATGAGGAGCGTGCAGATGTGTTGGACAGCCTGAGGACACGCATCCAAGACCTAAACAATGTAGGGATCATAAACCCTCTTGACATAAAAGATCAACATTTACACAGATACTTATTGAGTATGTGGTTTCTGTTGTGCTCCATCAGGTGCTGCACCGCACTGAGGACTACCTGAGGCAGGTCCTGCAGAAAGCCTCCGAGTCAGCCTACACCTGGGTTGTCCAGGTGAAGAAGATGAAAGCGATCTATCACATCCTGAACCTCTGCAGCTTTGACGTCACCAACAAGTGTCTGATCGCTGAGGTGTGGTGTCCTGTTAGTGACCTGGCTAACCTGCGGGGGGCGCTAGAAGAGGGCTCGGTAAGTGTGCAGGACTATAAAGGGGTTTTTATTTTGTGATCATGAGGATTTAACTCCATCACACTACTTTTGTGAGAATTTACTGAAAATTTCTGCACATCCGCTGTCAAACTTTGCAAATAAAAACTAAATCTAAAATAATCAAATTAAAGAAAACAATGCAGATAGATCTAAAATATGCAGTCTGCTCAGTCTTGAGTATTTTCTGACACCAGCAGCTGTGTTTGGAAATCAAGTGATTAAGCAGCGCATGAACAGCATCTGTCATTTTTCACAAATATAAACAGAAATTTCGCTTAATTACTAGTATTCAACTTGAATAGTCAAAGCAGCCTCTTTAAATGCTGGCTGTTACATTTATCAGTCAATCAAATAGGATTTTTATGTGGAAGGCAGGAAATTACTGTTTTTTGTGTCATTGCAAGTATTACTGCTTCATCATTTCTGGGCTGTTTGCTCTTATTAGCCTTCATTAATGCTCGACCTTCATTTGTTTGGCGCTGATGAGTGTTTTAATGATGTGGCCTAAACCGCTCCACTTTTCATCTTTTTCTTTTTTACAGCTGGCCACATCGTGAGCTGTTTGCTCTCACTGAACAATACATACCAGCAAGTCTCTCTGCTTTAGGCTGTTTATTTGATATTTTCCTGATAACGTTTCTCACACTGAGACACCAGGAAAAACACCTGTTAGTCAGAGTATCACTCATATGTGTGAGAAGGCAGAGTAAAAGCCTTCCTTTACTGTTGACATTTTACCACATATTATTATTTATTAATGACATGTTCAAAAGTATTTTTTTCCTTTCTTGTAAACAGAGAAAAGGTGATGCCACTGTGCCGTCCTTTGTGAACCGCATCCCAAGCACTGACACTCCTCCAACCCTCTTAAGAACCAACAAGTTCACGTCAGGCTTTCAGAGCATCGTGGAGGCGTACGGAGTGGGGGACTATCGCGAGGTAAGCCCAGGTAAGAACTCATACGGTGTCCAGCAAAGACATTTTCAAGTTTCTCTTTGTTAATTGCAGCTTTGGGAAGTTCAAAGCGAGTGCATTGAATGTATTTCTTCTATCTGCAGCTCCCTACACCATCATCACATTCCCTTTTCTGTTTGCTGTGATGTTCGGTGACCTCGGTCACGGGATGGTAATGAGTCTCTTTGCCTTGTGGATGGTGCTGACGGAAAAAAAGCAGAAGAAAAAACGCTCCAGTAATGAGGTGGGAATGAGTTGCCGGGCTCATCCATAAAGTGGTTGGTGTTAATTTAAATTAGTTTCGGCTAATAAATCTGTCTCTGTTGGACTCAGATATGGGCGACGTTCTTCAGCGGACGTTACATCATCCTGATGATGGGGCTTTTCTCTATATACACTGGGCTGATTTACAATGACTGTTTTTCCAAGTCTTTTAATATATTCGGGTCTGGTTGGAGTGTCAAGGCTATGTTTGCAAATCAACAATGGACGTGAGTTATTTTATGAAAAATATACATATTCTTTTATTCCTTGTTAGTGTAACTGGCGGTTTTTTAATGGGTTTTCATTTTCTAACATGGCAGAAACAAGACGCTCCAAACTAATGCACTACTCACATTAGACCCGAATGTCAGCGGCGTTTTCAGTGGACCCTATCCATTTGGCATTGATCCAGTAAGTAAAAAGACTCCAACATAAATATCTGAAATCTAATTTGACTGACTCTGGTTTCATTTTGACTGAGATGCTTTTTGACTTTTTAATTAGATCTGGAATCTGGCAGTGAACCGGCTCTCTTTCCTCAACTCATATAAGATGAAGATGTCGGTTATCATCGGGGTCATCCACATGAGCTTTGGAGTGGTGCTGAGTGTCTTTAACCACTTGTGAGTGACTCGAGATACAAGTTCGTGACAGTGACCTGATACCCATTTTGTTTCATGGACATCAGTCCGTAACATCAACACATGCAGATAAATCTGTTTTGTAGGGTACATTATAAATAGATAAATAGCAGTATTGGGTGCATGGCAATGGGTGTGTGTGTAATTTTAATAGAGCACTACTATTTTCTGATAACTCAATCCTTTAATGTCTGTTGTGTATATATTTCAATCATAACAATCATATAAAGAACTGGGTAACCATCCTCAAGGGTTTACGTTGGGGGAAATAACATCTAATGAATTAGGCTGACTTTATTTCCAATTCCATGCCAGGATCAAGTGCTAGTTTGGCCAAAAACCCAACAGTGTGTTATTTTCATCACTGTAAATGTTGTCTGGCACCTTCTGTAGCTTATTTTGAACAGTACACACTCTGCACTCTGGCTATAAATACTTACCAGAGGACCGGTCTTGGCTGAAAATAGTCCCAGACAAAACACATTTACTCCTTTCAACACATTGTTGATTCTTTCTTTTATTTGAATTAGCTGAAAAACATAAAAATGTGAAAGATTTTGACAGCATTATTCTCTAAGCAGCTTGAATATGAGATTTTATTTAACGTTTCAACAAAAGTTCTTTAGACACTACATGTAGTCAGTCTAAACTAGTTTGTGATGCTCTTTGCTAAATCGTATTTAGTGCCAAGAAGAGCCCGTTGATTTACGGCTCTCTGAAATAATGGGCTTATTTGACCTTTTCCAAAGCAAATATTCAACAGTTTCGGATATTTACTTCCACAGGTGCTTGAACTAAACTGCAGGTGGCGCCAAATCAGACACGAGCTGAAAGTTCCTAACAGGATCTTTAAATCAGTGGTTCTCAAGTCCAGTCCTCGAGGCCCTCTGTCCTGCATGTTCTGGATGTTTCCCTGCTCCAACACACCTGATTCAAATGATCAGCTCGTTATCAAGCTCTGTAATGGTTTAATAACGAGCTGATCATTTGAATCAGGTGTGTTGGAGCAGGGAAACATCCAGAACATGCAGGACAGTGGGCCTCGAGGACTGGACTTGAGAACCACTGCTTTAAATAGGTGCCAGATTACATTGATGATAGTATTTTGTGTGTGAAAACAATCAGGGGTGTCACTAATAAAACTACACACATAATGTATCTTTGTTTATCGCTGAAAACTGTATCACATCAAAGATTTCCTTTTGACTGCTGAGGCTTGTTCACAAAAATTATTTAGTGGTCCCTAACTTCAGTTTTTCTTTCCCACTCTTTTTACTCTTCCACAGGCACTTTCGGCAGAAATTTAACGTGTATCTTCTATTCCTCCCTGAACTGCTCTTCCTGCTCTGTCTCTTTGGTTACCTGGTTCTCATGATTTTGTACAAGTGGTTGGCATTCGGTACACGAGACTCCAGCCAGGCTCCCAGCATCCTTATACACTTCATCAACATGTTTGTCATGCAGGGGAAGGATATCACTCCTCTGTACCCAGGGCAGGTACGTCTTCATGATTTCATCAGCAACAGTATCAGCTCGTGATGTATGCTGATCCTTGCTCATTTGTGTTTTTGTCTTGATCTTACAGACCGGGCTGCAGATTTTCCTGGTGTTGATAGCTATGCTGTCAGTTCCTGTTATGCTGTTAGGAAAACCTCTTTATTTGTACTGGCTGTACCGTGGAGGCAAAGGCCTGCGCAGACGTAGAGTATGTGCTCTCGGATAAAGTGCTGCAACTAAAATACATTCATTAATATGTCAATACTTGTGGAAATCAATTCTGCTGTCTCACCTCAGGGTTATGAGCGGGTGAGGCGTGTAAGTGAGGATGACAATTCAACACCAGCTTCCTACGAAGAGGATGAAGAGGAAGGTCTAGATGAAGTGCCAAGCAGAGAAGCTCTTCCCAAACAGGTCAGGATTCTTTTGTTATGTGTTAAATGTTGAAAATAATATGCAGTTAACAGCTTTGATTTTGGATCTGTGTGTGTGTCTGTGCGATCCTGCGTAAACATCAATGTCTGCCATTGAAAAGGTATCTCGTTTGCATTGTTACATTGCCTTTTTGGCGCTATCCTATCACATAACATGATTTGTGTTTTGTTAATGCAGACAGGGTTGCTTTTTTGTGTTCGTATTTCTCAACCCGTCAGAAAATCCTGCCAAAAGATCGCTGTTAAAAATAAATCAGCTGAGTAACGCTGGCATATTTCCAGAAATACTCCGTGATCTGTGCTGCCCTGATAAATATAGAAGGGGAAATCTGTAAAAGAGAGTGTCACATCACAGGAAGGAACCGGCTGTGTTGCGAATTCATTATCATTTAATTACAAACATTGTCTTATCATTTAAGAACACAGAAGTACTATATTCGTTAATGCGTTAATTAAACATCTTATTCAACGTGTTGTGCAGTTCGACTTTGCGGATGTGCTTCTGCACCAGGCCATACACACCATCGAGTACTGCCTGGGCTGCATCTCCAACACTGCATCGTACCTGCGTCTCTGGGCGCTCAGCTTGGCTCATGCTCGTAAGTACAGATGAAAAAAAAACAAAGAGGAACCGAGCATCCTGTGCTGTGTGAGGTTAAACTGACTTTCATTTTGCGTTTCCTTTACACATGAATTAACGTCTGTTTGTCTCATGATGCTGTAAATCTTTCCAGAGCTGTCAGAGGTGTTGTGGTCCATGGTGATGCGTTTGGGTCTGAGGATCACCACAAGGGTGGGGGTTGTGTTTCTGGTCCCTGTGTTCGGCCTCTTTGCCATGCTCACTGTGTCCATCCTACTAGTCATGGAGGGGCTGTCAGCGTTTCTTCATGCTCTCCGACTTCACTGGTCAGTCTTATCATACCAGCTAATGTATTTTTGTAAAACTATCACTCAGCGTAGAAATACGACTTAAATATTAGATATTACACTGTGCTTCTTTTGGCTGTTACTCCTGTTTTCATTTCTAAAGTATTGAACAAAAGCTTTTGTAATCAATCTTCACTGTAACATTATGAGATTTGAGAAATTGCGCTTTCTTTTGTTCTCATTCATCCACGCTCATCCTGGTTTTATTTGCTCTGATGTTTGATTTCAGGGTGGAGTTTCAGAACAAATTCTACCACGGGACCGGCGTTAAGTTTGTGCCCTTTGACTTCTCCCTGCTGCCCTCCATTTTCGAACAGGACGGCTTGCTTTAGAAACAAGGACTCTGAGGTTGTGCGCATGATTGCAAGCAGACTTTTTAAGGAGGAAGGGATGCTGTAAGTTGGGAGAATTCACACTGTGATAATGACGACAAACCTTCAAGACAACATATTGAAACTCACTCTTGTAGCAACATTTTTTCACCGTGACAATTTTTAAAATGTGATCGGCTGTGCTGACTGCCTTACTACTGTACCCAGCAAACCTCTGAATATAGAGAGGCTCAAAATTCTTCTTCTGTTCACTTCTTGATTTTGTAGGTGAGATATCACTCGGCACTATTTCAATCACCAGTTGGGTGAATAAAAACATTTTATTTGCATTGTGCTGTGTAAACTGGTTTTATATTCTTTACAACATGATATCAAAAATGAGAAATTACAAAGTGCAATGCAAAGTTGAAATAAATCACACAATATCATTTGGAGACCATGTCAAGCACCCTGATATAGTGCCATAGAGATTTCTTTCTGTCGGTGATTATTTGGGGTTACCTTTGGGCTTTTTAAACAGCGCCTCCATAGGACAAAAGCAAACCTGCTGGCTCCAACTCATGAAAAAAAGAAAACAATGTTACCGCCCCTTTTGTGAGAAGTATTGTCACAAAGCACTTTGCAGAAATGATTGTATAATAAAAAGTTTCACTCCTGACTGGGACGATGCCAAATGAAAATAATCTTCAAGTGTTAGCCGTTTGCTTATTTACTTAGTGCATTTATTTAAATGTAACCTCCCCTGTAATAAATGGTAAAATATCAAAAACTCAAGAAAAAGTCAAGAAGCCTTAGGACTTTCTTTGGTGATACTGCTTGTCGCGTTTGTTAATGATAATTAATCATGTTATTTATTTAAATATTTGTCTGTACAAGAGTCTAATATTTTACCATTTTGATGTGTTGAATAAAGATTTCAAGAAATGCAAGCACAAGGACATTTGTGTTTGTTCCCATAATCATTTATTCGAAGAAAATTTCAATTACTGCTGTCTTTTTAACCCGTGTCCATTTTGACATAGTATCATCACACTGAGTCTGCTTTTGGAGTAATTTAGTTTGCAGAGACTGGTGTAAAAAAGATCTGTTTTTTTTATGATGATTTCTAGGACAACCATAACATTTGTGACTCTAAAAGTTCTAAAATCCAAAAATGGCTTTTTGTTCAAATAGATCATCCTGAAACCTCATTTTTGTGTGAAATGGGAGTCGTCCGGACGGAGAAGTGGAGCAAGAGTAGGAGGGGGTAATGACACACACTCATTTGGAGAAGAAGTTTCTATTTTTATGGCTGGATTGTATTCAACTCGGGTCGAGCCTCTTTTATAACAGCGTTAAGTGGCAATGTGGTTTACAGAATCAAGGAGAAGCAAAAAGAATGAAACCTTACCATCATTTAAAACTGTAAGCAAATAGGAGCTGACAGGTACTGTAAACATTTTTGCAAATTATGCAACCTATGAACCTTAAATTATGCAACCTGTGAGGGTGCAGTCCTTCAGCAGGAGGCCAGTTCTCAGTCCCAACCTGACCACTCTCCTGGTGCCCTGCTGTATCCGCTGTCCTTTCCTCTCCTTTATTTTCCTACAGTTGAAAGATGAAACTGAGGAGGTTATTTTTGGAGGCAAGGAGGAGAGATTAAAAATCAATGTGAAGCTTTAGCCGTACAGTTGAAAACTGCTGACCAACCAAGAAGATGATTACAAAGTCGGCCTGCTATGACCCAAAAAATAAATCAAGGACTTGTGTCTTAGACTGGTCCATTTAGCAGCAATGTCTTTGTAAGTCAATGTTAAAGTAAGAACAAAAATCAGCACAGTTGGAAGTGGATCTTATCACTCAAGTACTAAAGTACAAAGGTAAGATGCATTCATTCTTCTTTATTTATTTATTCACTCATTCATTCATTTTTTGCTATAAATGTCTAGAAAAAAAAACTTGCAGAAAACGTCAGGCACTGAGACTCTCAGTTTTTCCAAATCAAGGTTTAATACTCTTGTTTATAGCTGCTTTTTACAAGAATATTTTTACATCTTTTTCCTGTAGTCGTTGTAATTATGCAACACTGCACTGCAACTTCTATTTTGAATCATCTTATTTTATGAATACCTAATGTTTATGCTTTTTTTTCTCCTGCTCTAAATATTAGTATCTTGTTTTAAAGACTTTTAAATGTATAACTTCAATGTAGTTTCAAATGTTTTCTGTCAATTTATTTATTTTACAATGCCTTTTCAGTCCTTGCCAACTTTATTCTACAGTCGTACCTTTATTTCTTTGTTTTTGTTTATTTCATTTCATTCATTATGTTTCTCTTTATGTTTTGGAACAATCTGAGGTGGCCGAAAACCGCCACTGCTGCAAATTTAAAAAACTCTTTCTTTTTATCTGCACCGTTTCTTTTTTTATTTGCAGCGGGCTTTGGCTCCTTTTTTTTGGCATCAGTTACTTCCCCTGTGACTTTTTTTTTTTTTTTTGCATCCTTTTATTTTGCAGTAAGTAACTTTTTTTCACCATTGTCACTGTTTTTGCATTGTTAACTTCTGTTGTGTTTTTTTTTCTTTTAATCTGCACCTTTCCTTTTTTTATTGCAGCAGGCTTCGGTTTCTTTTTCTTTTTTTTGTTGTTGCATTGGTAACTTCTGTTGCTTCTTTTTTCCCATCAACACTTTTTTTTTGCGTTGTTAATCTCCACCTTGGCTTTTCTTTTGTCTGCACCATTTCTTTTTTTATTTGCCGCGGGCTCCAGTTTCTTTTTTTTTGCATTGGTAACTTCAGTTGTGACCTTCTTTTTTTGCATCTCTTTATTTTTGCAGTACGTAACTTTTTTTGCATTGCCACTTTTTATGCATCATTAACCTTTGTTGTGGCTTTTTTTTCTGCACCGTTTCTTTTTTTATTTGCGATGGGCTTCGGTTTCTTTTTGACTTTTTTTTTTTGCATCCCCTTATTTTCGCAGTTCGGTTTGTGCTTCGTTTTTTTTCTCTTCTTTTTTTTTAGACAGGGGTAACTTCCATTGTGACATTTTTTTTGCATTTTTTTTTTTATTTTCAGCAGTGGTGATTCTTTATTTTTATCCACACCGTTTCTTTCTTTTTCTTTTTTTATTTGCAGTGGGCTTCAGATTCTTTTTGACTTTTTTTGCATCCTTTTATTTTTGCATTAAGTTATTTTTTTCCATTGCCACTTTTTTTGCATCGTTAACTTCTGTTGTCTTTTTTTTTTTTTTCATCTGCACCGGTTTCATAATTTTTTATCTGCAGCGGGCTTTGGTTTCTTTTCTTTTTCTTGCATCGTTAACTTCCCTTGTGACTTCTTCTTCTTCTTAATATTATTATTATTTTTTTTTGCATTCTGTTTTTTAAATTTGCAGCAGTGGTGGTTCTCGGCCACTGTATGGAAACACATACCAGCCCTTACCTATAATCATTATTCCTCTTTTGCATACTCTTGCAGTGGTGTAGAAAATCTCAGTAAACGCCATCTGACACACACACACACACACACACACACACACACACACACACACACACACACACACACACACACACACACATAGATCTGCACTCATATGCTACAATCCTGTGCAAAGGACGTCATCATGATCCCCCCTCTCTCTCTCTCTCACATCCACAGGCTCTATAATAACACGTAGTTCGGGTCCAGGCTCAGTCATTAAATACTTTCATGAAATAAAGTCTTGTTTTGTAGCATACTCTGACTGTAAACTAACTATCCCGGTGTTTTTTTTCCAACTATCACAGGATAAATGTGGACATTGGTAAAGCTTTACCAAACCGCTGCAAGCTAACAGTAGCTTTAGCGGAGAGGATCCAGAGCACTGCAGCTGGCTCCCTCACTCACTCTCTCTCTCCCTCACTCACGCACTCGCTCACTCACTCACGCAGCTAGCTAACCTAACCTCGCACTTATACGCTTACAGCTGTTGAAAGCTAACTCCACAGAAACTGCACTGACTCACCGTCCATCCCACTGGAAGTAACGTTTCCGCCCGCCCGGGAGGAGAAAATGAACGAGCTTGTGAAGAGTTTGCCCTCCCCGACTCTCCCGGGAATCCTCCTGCCCGGTGCGGATACCTACAAAGGCTGGCTCTTTAAATGGACCAACTACCTGAAAGGGTACCAGCGGCGGTGGTTCGTCCTCAGTAACGGCCTGCTGTCCTATTACAGGTAACGGTAACTATGGGCGAGTACTGCGACTGTTGCTTAGTATAACAACTCAGAGCATTTACATACACTTACTATGTTAAATTAACACTTAATAATGATTGATTTTGTCAGTGGTGCCAGTAAGAGTGATTGGTGTTGATTTTTCATTGGTTTATAACGTTTAAATGAAACTTTAGTGAAATTGAGAGGGAGTACCCTGAATGATGCCAGTGTAGCACACACACAGAAAACTACCTGAGTCATAGCCATGAAGATGAACAAGACTATATGAGTTATAATATGTAACTAAGAATAATTTCACATTTATTCAACAGCCTTATGTTCATTATCCTTTCCTACTTTTGAGCCTTTTCATAAATCCTAAGCATCATATTATATTAACGAACTTGTTGGCTCTTTTAAGTAACATTTGTGTTTTGCTTGCTAACCTGAGTTATAAGCAGAGACACATTCTGAATGGTAACCTACTAGTTATGTAAAACAATCATAAATAATGGAGGGAGATGCTGAAAGAGCAGAAAAAAAGACCCCAGCAGAGCTAATCTTGTAGTCATTCCCACTAAAGGACTATGACACTGAACATTTGTTGGATGATAAAAACATAAGTAGTTTAATACATATAAAAGGCATTTCGAAGATAGTAGACAGGGGTGAAGTCCATATGTTTGAGTCAAAACTTGAGTCAGGCGAATGCATGACTATCAGTTAAAAAATCAGTCTGAAAAGTAGGATGTAAAATCTACATGATATACACCACCAATGTGATGAATGTTTTATGTAATGTTGATTCCTCATGAGAAATGTAGACTGAAAGTTCTGGTCCCGAATATTTCAACATAAAGTCTTCACTGTTTTACACACTCACTGAGATCTTAACACTACCCTCTATCTTCTAAGTTTGGCACATGATCATTAGATTTTAGATTAGATTTTCCTTTATTCATCCCTCAGTGGGGAATTTAAGTTGTTAACAGCAGTGGTACACATGACACACATTCATACTGGGTACAAAAAACAATATAAATAAGATAAAGAACTACGGTAAAAAAAAGAAAGAGCAGTGCAAGGGAAGAACAGTAATAAAGACAAGTATATGAAAAATATAAACTAGAGAAAAAGATCACTGCCAACAGAAAGAAAAACAGGTGTGGATGCTGATTATCATCATTGAGAGCTTGCAGTGCAATTAACCTCATCTTATCTCCATCTGTTTGTTCATGTCCAGCAGGACTCAGGCAGAGATGGCACACACCTGCCGAGGCACAATTCCTGTAGCAACCGCACACATCGAGGTGGGTGACACTTGCCACTTTGTGTTAACAAGCGGAGGAAGAAACTACCACTTGAAGGCCACCTCTGAGGGAGAGTGTCAGCGATGGGTGTCAGCCCTGCAGCAAGCAAAAGCCAATGCCAACCTACTGATGCATCACTCAGGTAGTAGAGATATTTGATTTATTCTGAGTTACCAGTATGACTCTGTCTCGAACTGTAAATTTGAGTTTTAACATTGATAATATATGTGATTTTTACGAACTTTCAGCCCCTCTAAGTTCCCCAAATGTCAGCCAAAATGAATCAGTATGGTTCACCTCAGTGTCTGACGTAGATGAACTAAATTTAGCTGTAACCCGAATGCAGCCTTGTGCAACCAAGACCCACTTGGCAAGATGAATACTTTGTCTGCTCCCTTTATCATCATGTAAACTCTTAGCCACAAGAGGGCAGTATTGTCTAACATAAAAAGGCTCAGTGATAGCAAAAGAGTGGTTTTTTTATGTTTTTCTTTTTTTCTGTCAAATGTCTTTTCATCAATAATCCTCACCATGTTTATTTTATACCTTTGCACCCCAAGAAATAACAGTACAACAGTCTGTAGCATAATTCAAAAAGCCCTGCTGTGGTGATGTTTAATAGAATTAAAACAGGAGCACTGCATTTTCCCTCCATCTCTCTCCAGCTCGGTGTCTCTCTTTCTCTTTTCCTCCCTCTCTGCTGCACAAATATGCACAGACGTACATGCAGCTCCCACCTCCCTCCCACTCTGTCTCCTTTCTCCCTCCCTGTCTCCTTCAGTATGACGACAGTGAGAGCTGAATGAAATGACCTTCCTCTAGACTCCTCCTCCTGTTCTGGTAGCAGGAGGAGTAAGAGAAAGAGACAGGGTGTGAGGGTCTTTCATTGAAAATATTTCTCAGCATACACTCTGTGGACAATAGGGAGACACGGGTGCAGCCGTTTCAATAAGTGTCACCTTGTAAGTAGCCTGTTAATTATCTTACCAAGAGGATAATAAGGACGAGGATAGAGGGTGTGTTCTTTCATGACTGCCTGCATGCTTATGTGTTCAGTTAATTTTTGTGTAGTGTGTGTTTGTTTATCTAGTTCAGAAACTTTGGCTCGTCATAAGTACAAATGTGTGGCTGAGAATACTGACGGGATAGATTTTGCGATTTTGAGTTAACATATTACCACTTTCAACAGAACAATATTTGAACACCAGCAACAGCCATAAATGCTACATGTATTTCCCTTTATTTGTGTGTGATTGTTTTGTTGCATACTTTTCTGCAGATCGTTACTGTGATTACAGCTCCTGAAGCAGTCACTCTGAGGTGTGACCCTTTAAACACCCTTCACTGCTGACTAAAGACTTTGCACCTGCAAAATGCAAATCACTGTTTTCTGTGATGTGACTATATTAGCATGTAGGAACTATAACGGATCTGTGGGGTGCCTATGCACAACAATGCAGGTGATTACTGGTGGTGTTTACAGCTAAGACACTAATCAGGATTTAATGATCTTAGCCCTGTAAGAAGATTTTAGACGGCATCACTTTCCTTTTGAGGTTACTCAAAGCTCAGACGGTGCTTTGAATGTATATTCTCCCTATTGTTTTCAGTTTGAGATATGTCATAGCCACTATAGAATCTTCATTGATTAATTTATTATCATATTCTTGAACAAACTGTGTTTAGACACAGTTCATGCAGTCTAAACAGATTAACTTTTGTGCATGTGGGAGCCCAGACAGAAACCCTTGTGTGTTGTGGTCAAGTGTGTATGAGCTCTTTTAGTTAAGGACTCAGAAGCAGTAATAGAAGGGTAAATTAACTGACCTTAAGTAGATTAGATCAGAGGTAATTAGGTGAATGTTGCAGCAGTTATCAGATCTCTTTCACAACAGCGTTATTTTAAATTCAGATAAAAGGTTTGCTGTGGAAAAATGTAAAGTCTTTAGAAACCACTGAAGTCCATGGTGCAAATCTGATACCCGTGAGTGCTCGTAAGGAAGGAACAGTCAAGCTCGGGGTGTACTTCAGCAAGCTCTGACCATGTTACAGCCAGGCGTTGTTTGTGTCATCTGTGATGCAAAAGCTTTCAGTGAATCTGCTGGGTTTGAATCCAATTCTCTCTCCCCACACAGTGTCCATATTAGTTCTTCCTCTATCACCTGTGGGTGTGTTCTCATGATTCAACAATGAGTCACCAATTTGTCTGCGACTCTCCGCTATCCTGCATGAAAAAAATAACTGTTTAGTACACAGACCGTGCATGCAAGCCTCCCTGCTACATGTCTGTTGTTACTGCATGGATGTGTATCATAAAAGAATTTCTTAAAAGCCGGTTTAAAAGCAGCTGAATCCCTATAAAGTATACATCCACTGGAGTCAAATGATGTTATTTTTTCCTGCTGTATTTGGGTCATGAAATCATTACACATGCCCGAAGCATTTTTTTTCACCTTCTCATTTTTAATCTTCTCCTCCTGGGTCTGTTTTAATCCAGTTTGCTCTGATTGTTTTGATTTTTTTCCCCTCTTTGAACCAGTGTAGTACATTGTCTGCCTGCTTTGGCACTCACAGGCAATGCAGACTCTGGCCTAGATTCAGCAAACATGCTCGAGAGTTTTCAGATTAAACACGCAATTTGTTTCTCCTGGGGACAGAAAAAATGTTTTGACCTAGAAATTTCCTCATATATATGATGCAACGCTGGCATTTCCTCTTTTAAAGGCCGGATTATTTGTGTTGACATATATAACTGTGTTGTGTGAAACCAGCTGTTATCTAAAATTGTCCTGATGAACATATGGCGTTATGTGTTTTTTTTTTTTTTTTTTCTAATGTAATAGGGCACTATATGCTGTTTTATAGGTCAAATGAATCCTATAGAAAAGAAACAGATAAAAAAATAATAATAATAAAATAAAATAGTTTTTTTTACCAGAACTCATTGAGTATAATTACAGGGAAATAGACACAAGACAGCTATGAATTCCTATAGAAACACAGTGGAGTATTACAAGACAGGATTTTATTTTGAAAGTTTCATAATGCATCGATTTGGCTTTGATAAACAATTAGACAAAGAAGATAGAAAATCTGCCCTTAATGTTGATTCCTTTTTTCTCAGTTTAAAGCTAAAAGGCTGATTGTATATGCTCTGTAAAGACAAAGGTTAAGTAGCAGAGTGATGGGAAAATTAATGTAATTTTTCAAAATACTCAGTCCTGTCTCCGTACATTATTACTAATATCCTTGAGACCGACAGTTCAGCTACCAGCAAGGGGAAGAGAGGGGGAAAGAGAGGAGGAAAAGGGTAATGCGTCATCTTTTTTTTCCCTCCCTTTCCTCCTTTCTAAAAATAGCTGAGCCTTCTGATTGCACAGGCCTACGTTTCCAAGGCAACGGTTTTCATTCACAGCTTTCCAATGGTGTAGAAGAAGGGGGGTGTGGGGAATCAGGGGTGTGAAGAGTTATTATCTCCCTCCATCCGGTCTGCACAAACAGTCTTTAAATATGTGAAAGCCTAAATTAAGAATATAATGACACATTAAATCCCCATGATGTGTTAAGTAAGGTACATGATTCAACACTAGAAATAAAGGCATAGTAACCTCTAATGACACTTAAGCATCTGAAGTAGGTCATGTAATCCCTCAACTGTTTTTTCTTTGGTTTATGTGTGAAGATGACTCAGGGGATGAAGGTCCCGGACCTCAAGAAGATCGAGCCCTCACCCAAGGGGTGCTCAAGAGTCTGGCCAGCAAGCTAGATGACCTGAGCACCTGTAATGAGCTGATCGGGAAGCACGGCGCCGCCCTTCAGCGCTCCCTCAGCGAACTTGAGGAACTGCGTGGATCCACTGACAGCACAGACAGAGTGAAAGCTGTTAACGAGCGAGCAACCCTTTTCCGCATCACCTCCAATGCTATGATCAATGTGAGTTTGCACTGTGCATGTACGGTATAACCTCAGCACTGTAAACACTGATCAGCTGCAAATGTCTCTCCTAATGAGGGACTGCAAGCTTGAGGGCTCTGCTGTCAACTTTTTAAATGTTTATTTGCATTCACACCTCAGGCTTGTCGTGACTTCCTGGACGTAGCAGAATCTCACAGCCGGAGGTGGCAAAAGGCCCTGCAGCATGAGCGAGAGCAGCGTCACCATCTGGAGGAGACCATTGAACAGTTAGCCAAGCAGCACAACAGCTTAGAGAGAGCCTGGAGGGAGAACCCCACCTCATATACAGGTGAGACATGACACTCTGTCTGACCCTTTTTACACCCGGTATTATCTGCTCACTAGTTTCATCACAACAGCTCGAAGATTAAACTTTGCATTAGATTGAGTCCTTGCATGTGTCATTAGTCACCTTTTATGATCAGATCTTACATCGCAATATGTTCATAAATTCAATTATCCAAACGGGGAAAAAAATCAATTGAAAATAAATGAGTGCAGACTTGCAGCAGAGAGAGTGGGATACAGAGAACCAGCTCATTTTGTCAAGCAAGAGAGAGCAGAGGTCAAAGTGTCAATTCAGCATACAGTAAAAACGTGCTCTAATGAAGGATTCAGAGACGAGTCGGTTGTTTATAACCACTCGATAAAAGGAGTTTGATCGCTTAGGTTCACTTAGGCTTCTCAAGCAGAAGGCAGGCAAGTTCTTATTTATTTTAAATCCGGTCTACTTCCTCAGTGTAGTCTCAAAGAATTGTAATGTGCCCTCTTCTGGCCGGCAAAAGTGATGCATGTCTATGACAGAAACACCAAACAAAACAGCCCTCCTAAACTGAGTCTGTTTTTTCATGTAAAGATTCTTGTCAATGCAGATTTCTTTGAAAGTATTCCTCAAGTGGGTTTTCATTATTTTTCTTTTATACTTAAGATACTCAGTTTGTCTCCCTCTTTGTCCCTGATTTGTTGTCGTAGGTGTGGAGCGGTCTCAGGAGGGGGATGCCAGTGACGAGAATGACGAGGCTGAGTTCTTTGATGCCATGGAGGACTCCCCTGCATTCATAACTGTTACGACTAGTGGCGAAATAAAGCACAAGTGAGGCTTAATTTTTGTACTTATCTAACAGCGTTTTTTTCACACCAGTCAGAAGCACGGTAACTTTGATCTTAAATTGAACTCTGTCGCTTTCCCTCAGGCGCTCAGGCAGTAATCAGAGTATGACGAGTGGAGGAGTGTCCAATGACTGGACTCACAATGAGAATGTACGTCCCAACAGGCCGATACAACCAACAAAGTAGAACTGATTTTGTCATCGCTTTACAGTTTCGTCTGGCTTTTCATGTGTGTCTTAATTTTTAAAAACAACAGCACAGTTTGTATTTTTTTCTGTTTTTTTTTTTTTTCTCTCAGGATACCTCAGGCACAAACCACATGCAGCTACGAAGAACAAGACGCAGTCGTATTCCTGACAAACCAAACTACTCCCTCAACCTGTGGAGCATCATGAAGAACTGCATCGGAAAAGATCTATCCAGGATACCAATGCCGGTATATTAAAAATACACAGTAGAGATTGGCTGCAATATAATTTTGGTTAACTGGCCTGTTTGCGTATAAAAGCCCTCATGTCTACGTTTGATTGCAGGTAAACTTCAATGAGCCGTTGTCCATGCTGCAGCGTCTGACTGAGGATCTAGAGTACAGTGAGCTTTTGGACCGGGCAGCTCGCTGTGACTCCTCTCTTGAGCAGATGTGCCTGGTAGCTGCTTTTTCCGTCTCTTCCTACTCCACTACGGTCCATCGCACAGCCAAGCCCTTCAACCCTCTGCTGGGGGAGACGTATGAGCTGGACCGACTGGAGGAATACGGTTATCGCTCCATCTGCGAGCAGGTGAGACTAATGTGCTTTAAAATGTCACACACACACAGAAATGTGTATTACCCACAGTGAAGAATCAAGTCTTAATACAATTTAATGTGCACATTTATTTCTGCTGACACTGTTTACCTTCAGGTCAGTCACCATCCACCAGCTGCTGCCCACCACGTGATATCACAGCGAGGGTGGACCCTGTGGCAGCACATCACTATTGATAGCAAGTTTCGTGGGAAATATATTTCTGTCATGCCTTTTGGTACGAAACAAATCAACTTTATTACCGTCCCAGTTTGCAGCCTAGAATGAATCTAGGCCTCTCAATGTGAAATATGTGTCTGCATGCTAAGTAGTTCTTGCACCATGACTCATTTAGCATGTTTTTGTGTGCAGTTTTGATGTTTGTGTGCACTTGTGCTTTTACCCTCCTCTGCAGGAAACATTTATCTGCAGTTCCACTCAAGCGGGAACCACTATGTGTGGAGCAAAGTGACCTCAACGGTGCACAACATTATTGTGGGGAAACTTTGGATTGATCAGGTGTGACTTTCTCATTTTTTTCATACTGTATATATAAACTGGCATTTGTTTGAGTTTGTGCTTGTTTAATAATCCTTTAAATGTGCAGCAATAGTAACTTTTATGAAACAGACAAATACATCAGAAAGAAAGAAAATTCATCAGGATCTTAATGAAATTTGCTTTGTAGCGATGATGCTAGTGTGGGTTTTAATGCGTCACTGAAAACAGCATCTGCGGTTGTCACACTCTGCAAGTTACATCTGTTTCCTCTTGTTTGATTCTTGTTTTTTTCTGACTCTGCCGTCAGTCAGGGGACATTGATATTGTAAACAACACTACCAAGGACACCTGCCGTCTCAAATTCTCTCCATACAGCTACTTCTCCAGGGAAATACCCCGAAAAGTGAGTCTGATATTTTGCATAGCTCTTGCCTCCGAACTGTTACTACTAAGTTTCCTGAATCCTCCTAAATTGGTGTAAAACCTTATTTTAGTACAGTGGTTCTCAAGTCAAGTCCTCGAGCCCCCCGTGTCCTGCATGTTTTGGATGTTTCCCTGCTCCAACACACCTGATTCAAATGATCAGCTCGTTAAGCCATTACAGAGCTTGATAACGAGCTGATCATTTGAATCAGGTGTGTTGGAGCAGTGAAACATCCAAAACATGCAGGACAGTGGGCCTCGAGGACTGGACTTGAGAACCACTGCTTTAGTAACACCTTAGAGAGATGTTTCTGTCCTGGCTCAGCAGTAAATATTCCACTGCCCTGCTCTCAGTCTCTGTGTGTAACTAATCTCTTCCTGTGTGTCATCTCCTTGGGTGTCCCCAGGTGACAGGAGTTGTCGAGGACAGAGAGGGCACAGCACATTACATCCTGTCAGGGACCTGGGACGACAAGATGGAGAGTGCCAAGATAGTGGACAGCAGCCAGGGATGTGGAGGATCCGAGGGAAAACAGAAAACAGTTTATCAAACTCTTCAGCCTAAGCTGTTGTGGAAGAAGTATCCTCTACCGTATGTTTATAACATCAAACCCATTTCTACCACATCTTTGAAAGCTGTTTTCTCATATTTCTCTCAACCTCTAAGAGTCATCATGTTTGGTCTGTTGTGACTTCAACTTTCCAGAGACAATGCAGAGAACATGCACTATTTCTCCTCTTTGGCTCTGACCCTCAATGAGCCAGAGGAGGGCGTGGCCCCCACTGACAGTCGTCTGCGGCCAGACCAGCGTCTGATGGAAGCAGGTCTGTGGGACGAAGCAAACTCTGAGAAGCAGCGGCTTGAGGAGTGTCAGAGGCTGGAGAGAAAGAGAAGAGAGGCGCAAGCTACACAGGCGCTGGAGGAAGGTGAGGGTGAGGACACCGACAAAGAGTTTTCCTCTGCTCAGAAATGTTTTTACTTGACCTTAGTGTTTGAAGTCCATTGTGCTAAAAGACGTTCACAAACTATTCCCTCAGTCATCCTTAAAGGGTTTTTGTTTTTTTAAACAAGTGCACAGTATTAATGTCAAAGCATTAGTTAAACTAGTCCAATATGGTGCTTAAATATGTATAATGTTAGAATTCCACAAATAGTAAGAATACTAGGAAGGATCCTTTTTTGTGTTGAAGGTGAAGTTGTTTTGAAGGACGTTTTGACTGCAGCTTATATTTCAAAGCGGAGTAAAATTTGTATTTCATTGAATGTCATTTTAAATTTAATATTCACATTTAAAGAAAAATGCTAAATGACATAAAATGCTAAAGAACTAGGGCCGATTGGAGGATGAAAAAAATAGATTTACAACAAGAAAATCTTGAATATTTTGGAATAAATTTGTAATTTTTATGGTAATGAAACAGAAGTTTTATGAGAAAGAAGATGTTTTTATAGGCTTTAGTTAGTGTTCATGTAAAATAACATATGAGAGGATTTTAAAAAGACAGACAGGTACCTGCACTGAAACAAGGAACATGGATCATCTGATGAAGTTACTCTCATAACAGCTGGCACAGACACAGGCTGCCTACTAGCCTGCCCTTCTTTAGAGTATACCCAGCATCTTGAACAATCAATTCAGATTTCTGATGCTCATGACAGTGTGGTGCTGATGCTCTAAAAGACTGGGTTGTCAGTTAGTGTTGAAACCTATGCTGAAGTATAACCTTGCAAGATGCTCCAAGTTCCTCAGTTTTTCTTTTGGGCTTATATCTCTTTTATTTAGAAGGAGGACAGGACCACTCACAGAGTAGCAGACTGAGAGATATAGTAGGAAATAACATGTGCTAAGGGTTGGATTCGATTGAAGCCAGTCCACTTCTTCACAGGGTGCTCAAATTTAACCATCAGGCTAAACTGGCACCTCTAAGTTTCACGTTTTAGTTTGAATTACCCATTTTATGTTCTTTCAAGCTTATCATGGACTGACATTTTGACTTTTTTCTTATAAATGTATGACTTCATTCTCAATAATTCACAGTGTCATTCAACTTATTTTTTTCCCTCTTTGGCATGGCCTTAATACTCTGTTATAACATGTTAATCACTTAATCTTATTTTATATATATTTTTTAGGTGGAACTCATTAAGCCAAAAGAATTCTTTTAAATGAAACTGGAGACAGCTATTCAGATTGAACTTTTCTATGATAGAGGTGCTATTTTTTTTTCCAATCGATGTACAACTGTTATATGATGGCTGTGTGATTGTGTCATTAGGGCAAGACATCGAAGGTTACCAGCCGCTGTGGTTTGAGAAGAGGACAGAGGACACTACAAGAGAAAGCATCTATGTGTACAGGGGCGGTTATTGGGAAGCCAAAGACAGACAGGACTGGAGTCAATGTCCTGATATCTTCTAGGACAGGAAATCACAGCGTGTCATCAGACAGGCTGAGATGTTCCTCCTCCAGTAAGAATACTCTGACTTAAGGATCACAGTTTGGGTGTGGATGTGAGTGGGTGTGTGTGTGTGTGAAAGTGAACCAGCTATTCAACGTAGCTCCTGGGATTTGAAGCACAACACTGGCTCCTGCTTCTGCCTGTTAATCTCATCTGCTCGGTTAAAAACTTGTGTTTGCAGAATGCATGGCCTCAGTTTATGTGTGCTGTGTAAATGCTCATTCAGCACTGCAGGACACTTACATTCTGGAGCACACAAAGTTCTCACGTGTGTCGATGGGACATAAATACTCTCCATATACTTTTCAAAGTCATGATTCCTGCACCAAAACACATTTAGTTCAATGGGTGTGTTAAACTTGGAGGCAAGGAGTGCTGCGTTTGTTTTGGTACAAGTACTGAATGTCTTGTTCTCCTCAAAGCTGGAACAACATGTCCCTCATGTTGGTCTCCGGCACAGACACCGGCTTTTAAACGACCATAGCAGAACAAATTACTCTTGTATCGTAAAAGGTTTCTAGTATATGATTCAAGCTGACTATCTGGGATTTTTACTCTTCTACTTCATAAGATTAAAATAGTTCCTCTAAAGATAGACTTTACATGTGTATTCAGTTTTGAACATGTTCTACTCATAGCAGACGGTCTGTGTTACAAACTGGGAGCGCAAAGTTCTTGGAGTTTGCCAAGCTGGGCGGGTTTAAAAGAAGTTGCATTGTGGGAAATGTAGGATCCAGCTTTGGGATATACAAAGGACTGAGAGACAGGATGCCAAAACATACACTGCACTGCTCTCCTCATTCCCTCATAAAGGTACATTTATTTTAGTAAAACAGTAACAAATTGAAAAATTATTCAAAAAGCCAAGACTGAAGACCTTCTGAAGTGTAAATCTGCAAAAAATTGAGGGATTTATTTTGGTGCTAGGTGGTAATTTTAGCCATAACTATACAAAGATGTACCAAGACTCTTGTAAACACTGCATCCAAACAGAGAAATGCAGGGCAGTTAAAATAATGGAACTGATTTTTTTTTTCTTGAGGGTACTTGTATGGATAGTTTCAAGTTAAATTTTATTTTACGAGTAATAAAACTTAAAATACCAAGTAAAAAAAAGTAGTTAATCAGCAACAAACCTGTTATCCCTTACTCTGAAACAGGAAGAATGACTGGCTCTGTGAGTGATTTAGCAATAACACAAATGCATGGCCACATGAGAAGACAAAATAGTCCCAGGCCAGGAACGGTGTTTTATGCAGCAAAAACAGTTTTATTCACAATATTCATTTAGAGAAATGATTGTTATGTACTTAGACCTGAGTCATACACATCACGTAAAAAAAAAAAAAACATAAAGAAAGACTTAGCAATATTATGCTAAGGCTTTCGTTCTGCAAGCTATCACTATTGCAGATGAGTTGTGAATGTACATTCTATATCTAACCAACCACCTATTTATAGATTTCAGCTCTCTGTGTATTGTAACATGCATTCAATAGTTGATTTTTTGCCTGTATATAGCAAGAAATTAATGGAGGTAGTATAACTATTAGTCACTGTAAGAAATTATTGTTTCACACTACTTGAACATCCACACTTTGGTCACTACTTAAACTATTTGTGTAGAGATATTTATAGATAGAATCAAGATTGTTTACAAGCGAATGAAATGTTGGTGAAATACAGGTTATGGTTATCAGTTACCTAATGAGGTGAAGACACAGTATGTAAAATATTGATGATGCAGATAAGGTTTGATCCAAGCACAATATGACGTTTTTCCTGCAGGTAATGAACAACTTGTGCAACATAGCCTCAGATTTTTCCATGGTAACACAGCTATGCATGGTTTTAGAGTGCTAAAGCACTAATGTAGTGAACAGCCTCTTCGCCTAGCTTTTTGTTTGTTAACTCTTGATGACACATGATGTGAATTCACCTTTTGTGCCCTATGACCTCAGAAATTTGACATTTTTGAGCTCAAATAAAAACATAAAGCTGTCACTGTGGCGTTTATAATGTTAGATAAATGTTGGTCAAGCGTGTTAACGGACAGATGAAACAAATGACATCCATAGAAACAGATTCTGTGATGATGATGATTGAAGACCAACATTTTCTTTTCTCTGGTCTGAGCTGAATGCTGCAGATGTTGGTAGAATAAGAAGCCATATGATACATATCGTCTAACAATACATAATGCTTTCTTAGCTACTTGTCACAAGATCAGCAAAGTTTGCATTCTTATTAGCTGGGTTTCTTCAACCACTCGTCAACCTCTCCAGCCCAGATTTTACCATGTTTTTACCACACACAGTAAATTACTGTTCTGATGCTGCCAAGACAATGTTGATATTTTTTCTGGAGTGGTGATTTTGAGCATGGCACAGGTAAATTTACTGCATTTATACACCTGCCAGCTGTAACATTATGGACATCTGGGCAATCTAATGCAACCTAATACTACGGCTATACTATAAATTCTAATTTTACAAAGTTTGCTTTTTCTTTTGTTTTTTCGTACATAGACAGGTGATAATTTAGAGTTGTAGTGAGTGATGATGCACTGGAGTGCATTACATTGTCCCTAATGTTTTGCTCCCATCATTTTTGTTAATACTGTGGGCAAAATACAAGTAACACCGCTCAATGTATGGCACTCCAGTACATCACCCTACATATTTAACATTAAATCTGAAATCAAAAATCATCTGTCCGGTTGTGTGTACAAAAACTGAACATTTTGACATTTCCTGAGAGTATGAGAGTGTTGGGTTGAATCACATTGCAGTTGTTTATAGTAATATCATCATGGATAAGCGGATGATGGGGGAGAGTGGGGTAAGATGAGCCATTTTTCATATTTGGGATCATTACATAAAGGCAATCATAGTTTTGTCTCTAACTAGTGTATCTGCATATATTTCAAGATGTTGTGCATCCCTGCAAACCAACAGAATGAGTGTAAACATAAATGTCTTGATAATATAGCATGCCAAAAAAAAGTGGTCTCCTATGGTCAACTTACCCCGTGTATGAGGTAAGTTGAGCCATATCCCTACTACCCACCAACTCTCCCCCCCAGCCCTCCCTCACCTTCTCTCTCCCTAAATAACAGTCACTTCTTCACATTCATGTGTATTTTTATCTATTATACACTATTCAACTGGTACATTTTTTTATTATTATTGCATATAACTGCTAAAAGGCTGTTTTGTAAAAAGCCATTTTAACACGAGAATTCCTTTAACTGATTCAGAACATTCACAGCTGTATTTTTGAGAAGAAAAAGTAAAACATTTCAACAATCTGAACTGAAACTCTGATCCTCTCATCAGACTCCTTTACTTTCTCAGTCGAGCCAATGGCTCAACTTACCCCAGAACTACTATGATGACTTTATTAGTCCTCTAAGCTAAAATGGTGGACTTTTATGTTAGGTTTTTGACCTCATGTTGTAGCTCATAGATACAACAATTGATGGATAAAACAAATTTAAAATGACCTTTTTTGGTCTGAACACAATTCTAATAAAACTGATGACAGACTAAATTCACTTTCAAGAGTGAAAAATGTCTAACCCCTTCACCCATGTGCTTCTAACCTTCACAGACTCCATGAATTGATGACCATCTCCTAAATATTTGGTCACATGATCAATTTCTTTTACCATTTCTAAGCAACAGGGGGTGGTTCAACTTACCCTTTGGCATAACTTACCCCACTCTCCCCTATTTGACTTTGGTTTGGACCCAATTCAACTGCTGACCATGTTTGAGCATGATCACACTTTCCATTGTTTAAATATCATTAAACTGTTTGTTTCAAACTAATAGACTGTCTAATTTTATATGCTCATAATTGCAATTACCCAGAGAAGCACCTTATATGATGGAAGAAAGGCAACAAACCGTTTTCATTGGACGGCTCATGGACACGTGAGGCTCCATGCTCCAACACTTCAAAACCTGCACAGGAGGTTGCATTCAGCTCGCATCATAAATTAGTGGCATTGCCCTTTAAAACAACCACCCAATTGGACTGAAGCGCGTCCTCTGTGTCGGTTTGGCTGACAGGACGGTGACCGACTGAAGGAGGTTTGGGGATGCTGCCGGTGCTGTCTCAGTACACGTCGAATAAAAAGGTAAAATATCGTTACGGGGAAATGTCACCGGTGGGTTTTGTTGTTGTTGTTGTGAGCTAATGCTCTGCCTGAGGATGGGAGGGGGTGAGAACAGGTCAGGACGGAAGTCACGTTAACGGTTGTTTTGTAGCGAACGAGCCTGAGCGCAGCTAGCTGTGTGTGGAGCCCAGTGTGCTAACGTTAGCATGACAGCACAAACAGCGAGACGCTGTGCCGTCCACCCGTGTCTAGTGACAAGTCAGTCCACAGCAGAGGTTACAGAGACTTAACACACTTTCACCTTGTCTTTTACTAAACACCGACGTAGGTTTACTCTTAAAACACACTGCGACATTCATTCAGACTATGAATGAAACAGTTAACCGGGGTCCAACTGTGTTTTTAATGACAACGCTGAGGTTAGCGTCTAATTCGCAGTTGATTCAGGGAAGGAGAAGGAAACGAGGTCCTAGTCATTTAAAGTCATACATCTAGACATGTAGATCTTGACTAGATTATCAGAGTCTCTAAACACGCAGTTCCAGGTTTGTGAGATAACATGGAGGGGCGATTTCACTGCTTGTTGTTTATAAAGACCACACAAAATCAGGTACTAATCCAGAATCGCAATACTTAGGCTTCTCACATTTGTGTCTGAAAAGTGTGGGGACCCTTAATCCAGTCCAGATTTGAGAAATCTTGGTTTCCCTAATCTTCCTTTCACATCAGCGGAATCGGAAGCTACAAACACGATGCTAACTTCAGCGCCGTTTGAGTTGTCAGGGTTTTCCTTCGCTCCGGTGTTATGCCGTAGAATGCATCCCCTTCATCCCATCCTCTCATTAGCTTCTTAAAGTGGAAGAAAATGAGACAACAGCAGGAGCAGCAAACTTTCGTTCTGTTTTTATGTGCCTCAAAAATGCACATATCAAGGTGTGCATGGGTTTGTAAACTGTACAGTTAGCTGTCAAGGTAGAAAATTTTATATTTTTGGGACAGCAAATATTCCGAATCAGAGGGCTTTTGTTTTCTGCTTATATGAATAGCCTAAATGAAATCATTCAAGGCACATGGTTTTGGTAAGGAATTATTAGTTGAAAACGCTTCTCTGGTCTGAGTTAGATCAGTCGGTCTATCTGTCAGTGTGAAGAGCAGTAGCCTACAGTACAGTATATATTTATTATTTATAATTTTTTTATCAAATCGTCTGATTAATCGGTAATCGGCTTATTTTCCCCCTAATAATCGGTATCGGCATCGGCCCCAAAAAATCCATATCGGTCGGGCCCTACGTGTTATGTACTTTCAACTGCGCTCCCGTCAGGGGTGCATTCTACAGCAGGGGTGCATTCTACGACACAACACCTGTGCCTGGAAAAGGGAATCATGAGATCTCCCCCTGGCATGAAGTAAGATTCTATTTAAAGACACTGTGAGAGAAAAAAAAAACTTAACTCAGCTGAGCTGCTGCGGCGATATATGGGAGCAAAAACGATCGAGTTACATCTAGGCCAAAGCTACCCGGTGTTTACAACACTAATGGGGTTATGGTGCATCGTCACCGTCGGGATAATAACCAATCCCCTCGGTCCCCGTCGTGGAGGAGAAGGCGCGTACTGTTTTCCAACCCGCCCTGCACAGCCCTCTGTCTGCCTGCCTGCTCAAGCATATGTCATTTAGCCTGCGCAGGGTGAGTTACACAACCAGTTCGTCATGCAAAATAGAAACACGTGTCTGTAGGCGGTGCTGAAAAATACAGGTTTAGGGAATAACAGAGACCGGGCTGGCACCAGAAGAGGGACAGACATTATTGTAGCGGGGTGTTTTGGTGATCTTTAGCCTCAAAAGTTGGTGATTTAATCATGCTATGCGATCGGACATGAGAGGTACCGACTCAACATGTGTCTCCCTTTCAGAGAGGACAATGAGAAGAACATGATCAACGCCGATGGCTTCTCCAAATGCGAGGCGACCCTGCAAGACAGAGGTAGGAGGAGGAGACCACCTGCTGAGATGCTCCATCTGCTTTCAGCTGTTATTGTTTGGCTGGTGACCGGGACCACCATCTCCAGCCTCAACAAATGGATATTTGCCGTTTACAACTTCAGGTACCCTCTGCTGCTGTCAGCGCTGCACATGCTGACAGCCATAGTGGTGGACTATGGGCTGATCAAACTACAGTTGATCCGCCACAAAGGCGCTGGAGAGCAGGACTTAACCCCCAGCGCTAAATGTAAAGTGTTCCTGTTGAGTCTGACATTTTGTGCCAGTATCGCCTTCGGGAACATGGGTTTGAACTATGTCCAGCTGTCTTTTGCACAAATGATCTACACCACCACTCCACTTTTTACCTTGGCCATCTCCACACTGATCCTGGGCAAGCAGCATCATATTATCAAATACACGGCTATGATGCCCATCTGCCTGGGAGCCTCCTTTAGCATCATGGGAGAGGTCCAGTTTGATCAGACCGGCTGCTTCTTTGTGTTTGCAGCGACTATGTTGCGAGGCGTCAAGTCCATCCAGCAGAGTAAGTAGCTTGTTACTTCTTCTCTGTCATCTGAGTGTGTATTTACCTTGCTTTGTCCCTTTTATACTGAGACATTTTTGATTATTTAACTCACAACTTCAAAGACTCAAACGGTTATTTCTGTGCCATCCTGGGACACCGCAGCAGTCTGGGAACAATTTAGTGATTCAGTGACACACCCACACTTTTAGGTGGCACATTTTCCTGTTTCCCAGGGAACATAACACAAACAAAAACTGAGTCCATGAGTAACAAGGGGCAGGATTTCCACTCGTCCTGTGACATGCTTTTGACCGTTTGCATATGATTAGTCTCAGCTCAGAAAGAACAAATGTTTAGCTCCAGTAAAACACCTTTTTTTTCCAGAAAAGGAGATGATTTCTTCTCTCAAACTGATGTCATGGGATTTCACCTTCATTACTCCTTTTATCTAATGTTCTGTGCTCTCAGGGACGAAGTTAAGTAGTTGGTTGGTTTCTGTGTGTAGTGGATTAAGCTCCGTAACATCATTAGTCTCAACAGCAGTTCTCAAAAAAGCTGGAAACAGTAATGAGTTTCCAAAGATATAGAGAGGGGAGGCCTTGTAAGTTATGTAACACTAAAGCAGATCTTCAGTTTTACTCGGAAAAATGTACTGCTGCATTCTTTGTACCTGGAGGAGCAGAGAGGCACGTCCCACATACAGAGGCAGTCCTGTGACTGCGGGGTCATCAGTTTAAATCCACCAACTCTCAGTGTAGCGGCTCAGTTACCTTCCTACCTACACTGGCTGCATGTTTTTGAAAGTTGGAAGTTTCTTCAGTAGATAATGTGAGAGTTATATACACATAATGTCAATTGAGGTCTAGTTAGTCTATTTTGAAGCAGATCTAAACATGAGGTTGACATCGACCTCCATGATGTCGTCTCAGGTGTCAGCAGGCCGTTTTCATTCCCTCTCGCTCTTGTTATGATAGTTCGTTATGTAGGTTTACTTTTAGTTGACACACTAAAGTCTCGTGTTTTTATTTGACAGAGGTCATGCCCTGTGTCTATAAATATTTTTTTAAAAAGTGTTTACAGAGAGTGAGGTTCAAAGGTTTCATATCTATCATTTTGATCAGGTATTCAGATATACAGACATATTACAGGTAGCTATTCAAACCTAAGTTTTACATAGTTATCTTCCTTATACGTGTAAATGGGCAGCTTGTCTTGAACTCTTGTGTTTGTAACATGTTTTCTCCTTTTTCTCTTTGAACTCAGGTATCTTGCTTCAAGAGGAGAAAATCAACTCTGTGTTCCTGCTCTACCTGATGTCCATTCCCAGTTTCTGCATCTTAGCTGTGGCGGCTCTGGCTTTAGAGAACTGGGCCATGCTGGAGTCACCGCTGCATTACGACCGCCACCTGTGGGTCTTTATCCTTCTCAGCTGCCTGGGCTCAGTCATGTACAACCTGGCGAGCTGCTGCGTCATCACGCTCACTTCGGCCGTCACTCTGCATATCCTTGGCAACTTGAGCGTGGTGGGAAACCTGCTGTTGTCTCAGCTGCTGTTTGGCAGCGAGTTGTCCACCCTCAGCTGCGCCGGCGCTGTGCTGACCCTGTCTGGCATGCTTATCTATCAGAACTCAGAGTTTATCGTGAGCTTTCTAGACGCACGGAGAGCCAAAGCGAAAGAATCTGAACATGTGGGTTTTCACGCCGTAAGCGGAGAGGACTTGGATAAAGGTTGTTCATCTGAAACGTATCATCAGCAGAGAACGGACAAGAAACAGGAAGACAAGATTGATTGAAGTGAAACGATGAAGGAGAGAATAAAATGTTGAAAGTTAATGTGATAAGTGTCTTGTCAGGAAGAGAAGAGGACAAGTGTGGCCATCGCCAGTGATGATCATGTTTTTTTTTAGTTTACCTCCTTACCGTGCCATTTTATTTCCCCGTGGTCACACAGACGTGGAGTCAGCAGAGACGGAAGGTTGCCTTTAACTGTTATAGTGGCGTTGAAATTCTCTCCTTCATCTGTAAATCCCTTACAACATAGCCTATAGCGGTATATGCATGCATGAGCACACTTAACTGTTTGGTACCTCATGAGGTATTCACACTGACACTCATACTACTCCACTGTGAAAATGTTCTCATTTACAGAGGGCTCGAATCACTGTTTGGGTGGCTTTTGTGGATATTCTAGGCTGAAGAGAGCCTCAAATCTGAACGCACACTTTGTATTTTAGAAATACAGTAAGTTAATGGTACTGTTACCTGAACTGACCTGGCCCTGTCATGGTAAACAGACTGGGTTTTTGGCAGCTTATTCTTGCTAAATGAAGTGGGAAGCTTGTTGAATAAAAAAAAAAAAATGGACTGCTGAAGTTACAATGACAAACAAAGCCAACATTTCTGTGCAATGAGACGCCTCTTTTCCTCTACTGAAGCACATTTTTAATAAGAGGTCTGAACTCTGTGTTTTGTCCTCCCTTAAGAACCTCAGCGTGGCTTCCCACTTAAGGGGCCTAGATTTTTGTTCTCATACAGCTTGAAAAAAAAGAAAAGCTCTCTGTAGAATTAGTCCAGTTATTTCCATCCTTCACAACATGGCGCTCGCTGCAGCGTTCCTTCATAATTAGGTTCACGAGTTCTCTAAGGAGGGACACTCAACTTTAGCCGTCTTTCCCCTGTGGAAAAGAAGAAGAGAAGATTGAAAAGCCCTTAAAGGTTGCTTCTTATATCCATACCAATGTCAGCAGTTACACTGATGTCATCTGTTACATTGACTTTCTCTTCTTTCGTGGGTAACATTTGAAAAAGTGAGCTATCTTGAGCAGCTTAATCCTGCTGGGCAGTGTTATAGTATGTGCTCGTACAGTATTTGGAAGCATTTAATTGACATGATTTTATTTTTGTAAAAAAATATATTTTACCCCATTTTTATTATTTATGTAGGAGAACATATTTATTTTTTGAACGGCCACAGCAATCACTGGCTTTGTAAAGATGTAGACGTGGTCCTCATGTGTCTTGTACATGCACACAGGTTACATAAGTGAGAACTAGTTTCTCCTGTCCTCTGTTTTCAGTCTTTGGAGAAGAGTCAGAAAAACTGCATGCACATGTCACTGAGAGCATTTAGGATGAGCCTGGATGTCTGTTACCGACCGTGCACTCCCCTTTCTGCATGGTATGCCAAATGTTTACTTTGTGAGCTTTTTTTTTTTTGTCACGTTTGGTTCCGTTCATGTAGAAACATGTCTTTCACTTCCACTTGGAGCTCTCATAACACAACAAACAACAAAGCCATACATCAGGCGCCTGCCACATTAAAAACATTTTGCCATAAAAATAATTGCCTTTTAGATCATATACAGAAAGACTTAATGTATCACAGATCTGATATTTCAAGGGTGCCACTGATCATTATTAGTTGTAATTTTAGTTATCAGGGCTCGGTTACGACTAGTGCAAGAACAACTCAAACATATTTATTAGCGATTCTATAAATGGATTTGTTGGTTCAATATTTTCAGAATGACTAAAGTTTCAGTTCTCTTTACTCACAAGTTTTGATATCATGTACAGCAGCTCATTTCTCTGTTCTTACATTTTTTTGATACCTCAGCTGACAGTTCAGACTCGGTATATTCCCTCATGTTTATGGACTCTTTACGTACGGTCTGAGTTTGAGCATTTTCTTTTTAGCATCCGCATAACACTGCAGCACATGAATGATTTTAATTTTACTGTGTTCAGTTGAGAACATGAAATATTCTCGGTTTTAAAATATCTGTACAAACTTGTTGAAGTTGGTGGGCCTAACTCTTGAACTGATGCAGTACAGAAGCCCGTCCTCAAAGCCTATGGTTCCTGTGTACATACTTGTTTTGATTGTTTGCAAAGCTAGTTTGGTGTAAATAGTTATTTTATTATATTTATGTATTTTATAGTCATATATGGTTTAAACTGTGCTGGTGTAAGAATGAAGCATTTGCCTCATGCCTTATTTGGACAAACTGTAGAAAGGAGTGATTTGATTCATGATTCATTTTGTCAAATGTTTTGGTTTTTACTCTCAGTGCGAACAGTCAGCAGCCTCAAGTGCGTCTGTTACAGGAGGAGGATATGGATGAATCATTTACACATGACCTGCAGCTGCTTGAATTTAAAGAAAAAGAAAATCACAGACTGGTCAAATAAACAATAAGCAAACAACAAACTTTTTGTGGAGTCATTGCCTTAATGATCAAATTTTCTCTATCTCAGTACTTTCTGTTATTTTTATTCCTAAAACCCTATCCTTCATTTTTTCATGTTATTTCTGTGATCTTATAAAAAGTATAGACACATATAACTTACAGGTAATTTTATTTTTTGACAGTGTAAATACCTCTTTGGCATTACAGTTCATGTCAAACCACTTAGGAACCCAAAGTAGAATACATTCATTAAAAATCTGGTGTTGGTGTTTAGGGTGAGGGTTCGGATGGTTGGTGTCACACTGACTAATCCTGGCACTTGCATGAACAGATTGGATGAACAGACCCTCTGTTGATGTAAATGGTCACAGCTACACAATTACAGGTCGACAGTTCTGCTGAAAATAAAGGACTATTTATATAACTTGATTGTGCTGCCACACATACTGAAGTGTCACTTTTGATTGTTCACCACTTGGTGGAGCCGTTTGTCTCCTTTAGGTGTAGTATACCTCTTTTTAGCTGCAGTAACTCTTAAACGCTGAATAATTACTATTGAAGTTAACTAATGTTTTCTTCTGTGATTGTGTTTTTGTGTTTCTTTGCATGGTCTGTCTTCTTTATAGTCCTTCTATCAACAGGGAGTCACTGGTCAACTCTTTGCCTGAAAAGGCAGTGAGTGCAGACACTTTTTTTGCCCTTGTTAACCCTTCATTCTCCGCGCAGTTTTGTCTGCAGCTCTCTCCAATAGAAGAGAAAATAAAGTCTGGCTGAGGGAACGCTCCGCACACGTTTCATGACATCATCCGAGATGCAGTGACAAGAGGAGGAGAGATTCTGGCCTAGGGTGACAGAGACCTCTCCCTCCTCGACCTCCTCTTTCCTATCTTGGGAGATTCATGTAAGCAACCACCACTTGCTCTCCAAACGTGCATCCCTCTGGAGCATTGTAGGGTGAGGTGTGAGCTCTCACAGCACTCCAGACAAGTCTAAAAAGGATTCAGGAGAAAGGAAGACAAGCTTGACTTCTGAGAGGCCTTTAATTATCAAACACAGGCGACAAGTTTGCATCCTCAACGCAGGTGAGTTAAACCTTTGTAAGCCAAATACAAAGTCAATTTTTCTATCTCTCTATTCTTTTCATTTCTTACCCTCGGGCTCTATGCGACTCTTTTTCTCTCTGAGTATGAGCACATAGTTTTACACTGTTATCAGATTCCTTCAGTAATGGTCTTGTTCCACTACATTACTATATTTGTACGTGTTTTGGGCCCTCCTGTGCTGAGCGGTACTTCAGTAAGACAAACAGATCAGTGTGTTGTAGCTTAGTTTCAGTCATAATTGTTTATACTTGAGTTACTGCAGTGAAATGTTTTGGCCTTTTAGTGAAATTTTTACATCGTTGAGCCTAAAGAATGATAAATACATGCTCTGCTTGGTCTTTGTGAATAATTCATCTGTTTATATGAATCTAAATGATGACGTTGCGTTTATTCAAGCAAAGAAGTTACTCTTATGCCTAAGGAGGGTAAAGAGTTGAGATGATTCAATTGTCTCAGTAATACAAAGTATTTTTTAGGATGTTTTTGGGAGTTTTTCCTAAGAAATGCCCTATGTGCATGTCTACATGCAATAAGAATGTAATCGGTTCTTTACCAGCAGAGTAACTCCTTAAACATGGAGTCAAAAACTGATGGTGGGTCCACATCATTGACCAGTGAAGAACTTGCAGCTATTGATGACGAAGAGGTTCTCAACAAAATGGTAAACCAGTATTATATTTATTTATATTTTGTTATGTTTTCTGACCTCTCACTTTTTTTTTAAATTTTGAAACTTATCATTCTTTATAAAACAGCTATTATTTTACTTTTTAGCTGGACAGTGCAGCAGATTTTGAGGAGAGGAGGATGATTCGTGCTGTATTGAGGGATCTGCTTAAGAAAAAGAGAGGTAAAATCTGATAGTCCCTACCCCCCCTCTCTTGAGTTTACCATGACATGTCATGATCTTCTTTGGGGTCTTGTCTTGTTTTGAGGAAATTTTACCACCTCTCTTCAGAAAAACGGGAGCAGGAGCGAGGGTCGAGGAAGGAGGACTTGAGGCAGCAGGGTCTGAGCAAAGGAACAACATCAAGAGGAGCTGTTAGCGTCGGCAGAGCGTCCATGAACCAGCAGCAGACAACAGCTAGTAGGTTAAGATAGAAAAATAGGGAAAAACATTGTTGTTTTTATTAATTCCTTTCATTTTTACACCATTTCATTTCATTTCTCTGCATTTTTCAGAGGTGTCAAGTCAGACCTCTCCTTCAACCTTCACTCCTACAACCAGGACAGCAGGCGGGTGAGTCAACCCTTTGGTGATTTTGCATTTGCTTGTTCAACACTGATACAAAGCAGTATGAGCAGGTTGAGCTTTATTCAGTCCAAAAAAAACAACATGCATAATTCTCTTCTCCCTGCAATAGTCACAACATTTACAAAATATCAATCAAACACAACAGGACATGTCCCATTTGTACGCACTTCCCTGTTTGTGGGTTTGTTGTCCACTCCGGGGAGAAGTTAAACATTTTAGGCCATAGACTGTATAAAGAATGGATGCCATATGCCTCCTAGCTTGGTTAATGCTGGAACTTGAAAGTCGGGATTTCTGAGCTCCGAGTCAAAAATTCATCTGGAACGCCTCCCTGAAGTCGGCTCGGAAAGTCAGGCTATTCTTACCAACCCTGACTCGACGACAACGTCATAATCCAAGATGGCAGCGCAGTGCATCAACAGTGAAGAGTAACAGTGAAATCTCTCGTAATGTATTATTTATTAGCACTTCTGTTTTGTTTTTGTAAAATTAAATAAGTGGTATCTGTTGTACTGCCCAACATCTAACTGTGAATATGAAACTATGATGTTTTGTAAGAGTAAAATACTGTGTTATGCGTTTTTTACAATTGTTATAGCTAACAACAACTAACAACAGCTATGTGAACAACTGTAAACAACAGCTAACAACTTGTTTACTGGAACGCCGTGAACTCAGGTGTAGCGCAATTCCCAGCTCCGACATCCGACTTTCAAGGTAACTGGAACGCAGCAGAAGCCCTGAGAACATCACCCTCTGGCGACGGCTTGCAGTATAGGTCATAAACCCCTCCGAATAAAATTACACCGAATAATTTTTTTTTCTTCCCCCGCTTTCATTGTCGGCATGTAGTTATCGCAAGACTGGTTTGTGCTTAAGTCCTCTTTTTTCTGTACAGCACCATTTTTTCTCCCGCCAAATGTGTACAACGCTACTGCACAAGTGATGAAATGCGTACAACGCTACTGCGCCGGTGGTGGTTCCAGGAAGTGGGGAAAATCCCAGAAGTTCTGAGAGCAATTCTGCTTCAAATTCTTCAGCAGCGGAAGGCTGATCCAAGTTGTCCATAGTATATACAGTCTATGGTTTAGGCCCTTAAGTAGGGTTTAAAGTCAGGAGAGTAATTACATAAGACTATTTTTTTTAATATAAGCTTGATGAAGTCAGACCTTTTTGTCAGATATTTAAATACTTGATGCTGACCTTTCTAATTGAGGACACCGCGCGAGCCTGTCTGCATTAGTAACTTCATATCTAATGGGAGCTTGACTGCTGTGAAGAAAAATTATCTCTATGCTCGAGAAGGACGTGAATTCTTGTGCGGACAGTAATCATATGCTTTGTCAAAAGATGACGCAAACTCAGCTGTTATCTTTTTACTTCTTTAAGTTTTCCCCCTTTTTTTTGTGTCTGTGCCCCTTTTTTTTTGTCAATAGTTCGACCAGTCCTTCTGCAGCCTCAGCCCAGCAATGTCCTTCTACTGCAGCACCCAACGCGAAGAATGTCAAACAGATGCTTCTTGACTGGTGCAGGGCCAAAACAGAGCCTTATGAGGTAAATATGCCCTGACTCTGTTTGCCTGTGAATTATTACCCTGTGGTGCTATACATAGCTCTGCCTCTTATGTCTCATTATCAGCAGCCATTTCTCTTAAACTCATTCCCCTGTGCTGTGGAACAGGGGGTGGACATCCAAAACTTTTCTTCAAGTTGGAAAGATGGAATAGCCTTCTGCGCCCTGGTGCATCGTTTCTTCCCCGATGCGTTTGAGTACTCCATCCTCAACCCCAACAAGCCTAGGGAAAACTTTGTACTGGCTTTCAGCACTGCAGAGTGAGCTCCTATTCATTATAAAGAGAAGTAGATACGTCTTCTTGAAGCAAGCTTTCGGGAGTGCATTGCAGATAAGGACAAAGTGACTCTACAATTCTGTGTCATTGTTTATCTCAAGTCATTTGTCAGTGACGCTTGCTTTCCGTCTGCAGGAGGCTGGCCGGCTGCCCCCCTCTGCTGGACGCTGATGACTTAGTTCGGATGAAGGAGCCGGATTGGAAGTGTGTGTACACGTACATCCAGGAGTTTTACCGCTCCCTGGTGGAGAAAGGCCTGGTCAAAACTAAAAAGAGACCATAGACCCTCTGAGAAGTCAGACTGCTCTTCCTGTTGGCTGTGATTTGATTAACTATGTTATAACTTTTTTTTGTATCTAACAGACACAATAAGCAGAAACATAACACACCATTGTAAGCTGATTATTTACAGTGTGTGATGTGCCATGCTGCTGGATTGTATAAATGTAAATGCACACCCCCTGATGTGCCGTATCTGTGTGTTAGCAGAGATTTACGGGTGTCCATGTGCTCAATGTGGACAGCTGGCGCTTAGGATCAGTACATTCCTCTGAGATTACACATCTGCATTAATCCCAGCCAAGGCCATAGAGATACTGGGAACACTTTTTATGAGTCTGAGTATTAAAGACACGGTAAATAAACATACCTTTCTATTCTGCATGCTGGTGTTCTCTAACTTTGACAAGAAGTCAAATTAATATGTCTTGTGGAAATAAAGGATTATTTTTATCCTGTTTCCATATTAGGGGCTTCATCTTGAAGTATTTCAATGAGGACTTGGTTACAAGTGGATTAGGTTTCTGTTTTATGCATGTTTAAAGGAAACAGTTAAAAGTCCACTGAATTGCCCCCATGCTTATCATACTACTACTAATAATAATACATTTTATTTGTAGTGCCCTTTACATCAAGAGACCTCAAAGGGCTACATCTTAGAAGCAAAGAAGTATCACAGTAAAGGAACAAAAACAGGTTATTGGTTAAAAAAACAAGAGAATTATGATTGTGTGAATCATAATTTACACATTGCTCAGCTTGTATAACATTAAAAACACAACACTGTCAATGTTTATGTTACCACTGGCTATGGGATCATTGAGATTGAACGCCACGTGTCCTCTGACAGGAGGGGGAAATCATCATCAAGATGATATCCAACGAGAGGTAATCCTCACTGATGTTTCATGGGGATGGTCCTAATTCAGGAGCTTGAAAAGACAGGGAAGAAAGAAACAAATATAAACACTATAAGTGAGGTGATAACAGTGGGGGTCTGCCACAGCTTCAACAAGTCCTTAGATTGAGAATTAAGATGTAGGAAGGATAGGGGAGAGTGGGGTAAGATGAGCCATTTTTCATATTTTGGATCACTACATCAAGGCAATCATAGTTTTGTCTCTAACTAGAGTATCTGCATAGATTTCAAGATGTTGTGCATCATCATGCTGTCATAGCTGTCCTGATAATCTAGCATGCCAAAAAAGGGGTCTCCTATGGTCAACTTACCCCGTGTATGGGGTAAGTTGACCATAGGAGCAGGGTAAGTTGAGCCGTATCCCTACTACCCCCCACTCTCCACCCCAGCCCTCCCTCACCTTCTCTCTCCCTAAATAACAGTCACTTCTTCACCTTCATGTGTATTTTTATATATTATACACTGTTCAACTGGTACATTTTTTTTTATTATTGTCACATATAACTGCTAAAAAGCTGTTTTGTATAAAAGTCATTTTAACATGAGAATAACTTTAAGTGATTCAGAACATTCACAGCTGTATGTTTGAGAGGAAAAAGTCAAACATTTCAACAATCTGAACTGAAACTCTGATCCTCTCATCAGACTCCTTTACTTTCTCTGGCTCAACTTACCCCAGAACGACTATCATGACATTATTAGTCCTCTAAGCTAAAATTGTGGACTTTTATGCTAGGTTTCTGACCTCATGTTGTAGCTCATAGATACCACAATTGATGTAGAAAACAAATTTAAAATGATCTTTTTTGGACTGAACACAATTCTGATAAAACTGATGACAGACTAAATTCACTTTCAAGAGTGAAAAATGTCTAACCTCTTCACCCATGTGCTTCTAACCTTTACAGACTCCATGGATTGATGCCCATCTCCCAAAGATTTGGTCAAATTATCAATTTCTTTTACCATTTCCAAGCAACAGGGGGTGGCTCAACTTACCCCACTCTCCCCTATTTGACTTGAATCGAAGAAAGACATGTCTGGTTAGCAGTGCATATGGATGTTATGACATCTTCATAGACCTGGATTTCGATGTTAAGACCGTTTCAACACCTGCTTGACAAATTCCAACAAAAATGTGAACTCAAAAAACTGCTGTAAAGTCAATTCAGTGGCAGCATTTCATGTTGAGATGATCTCGTGCCAGCTCTGAGTGGTTGGAGCTCGCACTAATTGTTGCCTCGTTAAAATTTTATGAACAGCACGCGGATCGATGCCTTCGTCATGACGCACAAATGCTCGGATAATGCGTCAGTGACAAGTGGGCTCAGTCATTTTTTTCTGCATGTTTTTGTTTTGGCTCCCCTGCTAAAACCCGCCTCTCAGGTGACCATGTGCTTACCCAGAGTGCACAGAGGGAGAGAGAGAGAGAAAGCGAGAGAGAGAGAGAGAGAGAGAGAGAGAGAGAGAGAGAGAGAGAGTGTGTTCGTGATGGGTGTGTGTACGGCCGGTGTGCAGGAGGAGGTGCAGACGGGATGCTGACAGTGAAGCGCACAGCTGCTCCGGTAAACTGCGCTGCTCTTTAAACAGTCATAAGGTGGAGAAGGTTAATTCATCTGTTGTGTTAGTATCACCATGCACCAGTCCGGACACATCACGCGTGACCACCCTCTGTCCTGACAGCCCTGCAGACAGCGCGGTCTGCACCGTGACGGAGACGTCCGCTGTCCCCGGTACCGACGGCTGTCATCATCTGACCTGCAGGCTGGCTCTGAACCCGGACCAGCAAATCTTTCATCGATTATTTGTGACCAACCAATCGCGTTGATTGACGTGTGACACAGAAGGAGACTGATGCTCTTCCTCTTTAGGAATTTATGAGATCACCTTTACAGTTCACCTTGGAGACGCATTAAAGGTAAGACAGATTTCCACGAGGTTTGAAAGACAATGTGCCCGAAACAAAAGCATATCTGTTTCAATTTCTGCAGGTGAATTTGCCTTTTTGGTCAGACAGACGTGCTCAGGCTGGTACCTTTGTGAATGATGATGCTGTCAATCAGACTTGTGGGTTCATTGACTATGAAATCTTACTAAAAAAGAGGGCCCACTTTTACTGATATTTATGCTCTGAAAGTTGCCTTTTCACTTTCTTTTTAGAATTCAAGACTGACTTGTGTTGACACCAACACCCAAGAGCTTTGTTTTGCAGGTTACTACTGTGGACACATGAAAGAGATCCTAATTTGCATGTCATGAATGATTGAATGAGGTGTATAATTTCTGTGTGGGAGGGCATATAAACAAAATGGAGGGAGGCCCTCTTATTCCGTGTGACCTACAGTATCTGTTGACATTGTCTGATGTGCTCAGTGATCAGCAGCTCTGTGTCCCCTGTCATACACCCGTCCACCATCAGGTTCGAGTTTCTTTAGAGGGAGAAAGAGCTAGTCAACTGGTGAGCAGTAAGGTGTTTTACACTGTGAAACTGTCCGATAATGAAAGCCAACTTTGTTCTCATTTGCTTTGTAAGAGGGTCAGGGGCTAATTAACGTTGCTAGGCAACAAGGATATGATCCAGGATGGGAGGTCCAAAGTTAGTCCCTCAGAAAACCAGACCATTACTGACAAAGATGAAACAACCTCAAGAGCAGTACTAAAGTAAAAATGTAAAGGGCCTGTGCACAAAATGTTCAATTTAATACCAGTTAAAATTTAGTGGGCAGACATTCTGATATTTGACATTGCAGATTCATGTTAATGATATTAAATTCAACCATCAAATAGCTAAATGGCCTTTCATAGACAAAATGTTAAGGTAGTGTTTGTAAGTTGAACTGAGCTCCACCAGCTGCTACCAAGTCAACACTAGTTTGCATCAGATCATCAGTGATACTGTGCAGTCCTTGTCCTCATGCAAAGTGAGTGCATGTTATATCATCATAACATCAGTATGCAAGGTTACTTGCAAAAAAATAATAATTTTAAGATTTTTTCTATCTTGCAATTGTTTTGTGATCAAATTTTATTGATTTTTTAGTTTAGACAGAAATACACAAGAAGGGAAAAAAACACAAACACTGAGTATCCCTTCTCTTCCCTGTATCCTAGATCTCCTTGAATAGTATTTCAACCTTAAGGATCAGCTTCAACGAGTAATAAAAGTCGTAGGATGGATTTGTTGAAATTGACACCTGAAAAAAATCACTATAAATTGAGCCAAATTTGACCTCAACTCAGTTTTGATGATTATCTGTCGGTTCAAGGCGTGGGTACCAAAGACTTTTTTGTAGGGCTAGATGGTACAAATCATAGACTGTATAAAGAATGGACGTCGTCTGCCTCCTCGCTGGGTGAAGCCACTCCGAGAACAGCACCCTCTGATGGTGGGCTGCAGTACAGGTCATAAATCCCGCCTCCGCCAGCAAAGCTTATGGGACTGTGGACAAACTTTAGAAATTTATTACACAGAACATAATTTTTTCTCCCCCCTGCTTGTGATGTTGACATGTAGTTATTGTAAGACTGGTTTGTGCCCAAGTCCTTTTTTTTCTGTACAGCTCCGTTTTTAAAAGTTATTAGGGGGTTCACATTTTCTATGATTGACACCTGGTACAGCCTATGGGCGTTCAGGGATTGTGTAGCTCACCCGGGGGGATACGCTGTTTGAGCCGAGCGTCATCACAGGGACTCTCGGCGACTGCGCAGCCGAATGCGCGCATCGCTACTGCACAGCTCTGGTTTCAAGGAAGTGGAGAAAAACCTGGAATTAGCGAGAGCTTTTTGGCTTCAAATCCGTATACAGGCGGAAAGCGGAACCACGTTGTTCATAGTATATACAGTGTATGGTACAAATGTGCACAGTGAAACTCATACATGAACTCTATGAGGAGGGTTTTAGGGGGCGCTATTGAGCATAATTTTTCAGAAGTTTTTTGTGAGACCATTAGTTTTCAGAGTTGTCAGGTAATCCATTCAGCTGATTGTCTCAGAACAATGAACAAAGTGGGACAAACCTCATCCTAATTACTTTTCAGTGACCCCACTCTCCTAATATACTCTATGCTTACCTTCAGTTTTCACTGTTGCACTGTTATTGATACCCTTGCTGAGAACCTGTGAGCTTCTGCTGCCAAGAAGCTTCCTCATAATAACATCATTAGCGATAACTTGGGTTGGATTTTGCACCAGAGATTAAAAATGATGTGCCTCAACAAACTGAATAATATCAAGTTCAAGACAAGCCAGAGCACAAAGAAAACAAAGACTGTCAATGTCATTTATTCAGCCAATAAGCTGCGCTGCTGCGACTGGAAAATGTACGTCATAATCATTTTTCCTCTGTCTGTTCCAGGGTGATGGACAGCATGCAGCAGAGACAGATTAGCACTGACCCCTGTGGGCCCAAACTGCAGCCTGGCCCTTGCGCAGTGATCAGATCCAATCCAGGTTTACCTCCACAGCTCACAATCGGCCCACCTGAGCCTCTCAAGAAACCACCTGGACTGAGCCCCACACAGGCCACAGTCTTGCCCATAAAAGTGGCGGATCAAAAGCAGGCGGGGCAATCCAAGTCTGGGTCTTCACCAGTGCTTCTGACAAGCATTAGCCGACCTAGACCGACTGCTCTTGGAACCAAACCTGCTTCAAAGACACCAAGGATCTCAACAGACCCGTCAAAGGAAATAGATTTGATCCCAGTGTGTATCCCAGGACCTCAGAGTGTTAACGTCTTGACGCATCCCCCAACAGAGTCTCCTCAACCTGTTCACAGTCCTCTGAGTCCCCTCAGCCCACAGTCTTACCTGAGCCCCAACACAACCCTGACCCCTAATCTCAACTCCAAACCCAGCGTCATCCCTCAGCCGCAGAAGACCACTTCACCTGAGAGCTCCACACAGAGCCCAGTGCAGTCTGAAAAGCAAGGAGGAGAGAACAATGACTTCAGGTGAGGCGAATAATCACAAATTCATGAAAACATTTGATCCTACTCAGCCTGTGCAACTCACTGCAGGGTGAGTCGTTGTGCTTCCTCTGTTTATTCTCTGTTGGCTGGACACCTGATGTGTGCTTAGATCATGTCGCATGAATCAAAACTGCAATTTTCTCAGTGAGCTGTATAAACCTGACAGAGCCACAAAGACACACTTTCTTGAACTCATTATATTATCAGCTGCTTTAACCCAGATTAAGATTTTTAGAGCATTTATTGAGAAGAAATCACGCCCAAAGGGTTTTGGGTGGCAGCTTCATCTATTAGACACACTCAGAGATATATTCCTCATGTGAGCAGTAATGTGAAGTTAACAGGCGCTGATGTGAAATACAGTCCTCTCGGGGTGGATGTTCACGATTCTGTTTGGCTTAGCTGTATATGATCTTACCTTTTACCTGTCTTTTAACCAAATGTACAAACAAGCTGACACTATGTTTTGATTTAAAGACGACTTTATTGTTTTTACAGTGATTTATTTGTTTAGCTAAAATATAGTTTGGATTTAAAGAATTAAAAACAGCACCTGCAGCTTGTCTATGGCCTTTTCCCCTCACTCAGCCAGTCCAGTAACCCTGCCAAAGTCCAGACCTTGCTGCAGTTAGTGGTTGCTTTATGTCTGTTCTCTTCGGTCAACATCTCTTTGACTCAGTTGCTCGTGTGTGCCAACATCCCACACTTACTTTTGTGCTGTTTTACCACCTCGTCTTCTTTCCTCAGTTGTTGGCTGGACAACCATTAACCACCCATCCAAAGTTTTGTGCTTTCCAAAAAAAAAAATTGAGAGCAGTATTAAAAAATCTCTTCCATGACGCAGTTGGAAAGTAATGTTTTTGTCTGATTTTCAACAAGAGTGGTCATCACAACGGTGCAGTCCACTCCTGCTCAGGTGTTGTGTTGCTATGACTGACTGATGTACGTTTGTTTGAGAATTATTTACAGTGTCAGGGGGTTTCAACCAATCCCGATCAAGTTTTTACACAGCTGGGTAAAACAGAAATAAAACAAAAATAGTAAACTCAGATAGACTATACTAGAGGATTTAAATGTTTTAACCTATTGATAACAAAATCTCAGTTCCCTCATATTCATACATTCGCCCAGTTTTGCTTAGTGAAAAAATCCCCTGTAAATTCAATCATAACCATGCCATGGTTTCTCCTTTTTTCCCCAAAACAATTTCAGGTTATGTTAGTACCACAAGATTATTACTCTGTTAGCTGGTAATGCATAAAAATCAATTATTAATCTCATCTTTTCTGACTGTTAAAGCAGCTTCAGTTTGAAAAAAAAATAAGTTAGATAAAAGACTGAGATGAAAACTGATTTTGTTTTATGAGCTACAAAAGAAAACCAGACCATTACTGACAAAACTGATGGTTTCTACACAGTTGATTTTTATATCTGGAACCACTGCAACAGGGCAGGTATCAGACAGAGTGATTAACTGCAAATTGGTTAAACAGCCTTTTCTTTAATGTCTTATCCCCAATGAGCAATACATTTAATTTTTAAAAAATAGCAGAAAAGATTTGAGGACAAACACACCATTGAAACGTATACAGGGAAAAAAAATTACTGCTTTGTCCACAGGGGGGCGCCAAATCTGAGCCCTTGCATATCTTGTCTCCCACGTGCTTGAGTATCTCTAAAATCGCATCCTGCTGCCTCTTGACAGTTACATGTATCATTCAGTGTGAATATTCTTGTAGGAAACGATCAAACATTGAGCTGTCTCTTCAGCTGCAAGGATTGGATCTACCCCGTCACTCTAGATCCAGACAATATGAGTCTTGTTTGTTTTTGTTTATCATCTAAAGGCACTAACATGAATTTTGGTCCATTTTATTAACATGAAAACTCCTCGTAGGAGCTTTAATACTTCTATCATTATAGCCCAAAATCTCATCTAGAGCAGCCACCTGTTGTTAGCTTGAGCTTTATACACCCTGGACGTCGTCTACAGACGATGGATGGTATGTTGGTATTTTGTAGCGTGGCATGGTTTGACAGGAATTTGAGCTAGAACACAGAGATAATCTGAATGTAAGCTGTGATTGGTTAAACAGGTATATAACCACTTAACTGGAGCATTGTGGATGTTAACCTGCATGCAGTGGTGCTAGCTCTGCTATTGCTTGTTTTGACTGTTTATGTGTTTTCTTACCTTAAAAGTTTAGTTCAAACAAAAAGGAAATGATGAGGAATATCTGTATCATAGATCATACCTTTGGTCCAGACACAAGTCTAGTTTTGATTGCTTTTACATAATAAATCTTTTATTATTTATTTTATTATAAATCGAAAGTCAAACATGGACAAGCCGGAGTATTGATCAGATAACAAACAAAAAATGACCTAAAAATAGATATAAACATTGGTTGGCGCTCTGTTATGAAACTGTTATTCTGGTGGTTTCGTTTCTAAGGACAGTTGGCTTCATCTTTTTCTTCCCTCCGGCAGTCACACACACACCTTCGTCATCATGAAGGTACAAAGAGGTGCTTAATTGTGCTTATCTTTTCTTCTATATACAGCAGCACTGATGAAAGCTGTTTCCCCTGAGGATTACACCACAGATTATGTCCTCTTTCACCCGACAGTATACACAGTCTGTATGGTACTTACATCTCATGCAGCATTTCCACTCTCTCTATCCTCTCTCAGGGTGTACATCGTCACATGGAATGTGGGATCAGCTGTCCCGCCAGATGACATCACTGCTCTCTTCGGACCAAATGTTTCTGATGGGAGCGTTGACATGTTTATCATCGGGTAAGCAACTATTTCTCCCAGGCTCAGCAGTGCCAGAGAGAGACAGCCGCAAATGCCCACTCAGTCATCTGTGATTGTTTTGATCCGTCTGCCTCTGTTATCCATCACTGTCCTTTTTATCAGAGCTTCGTTTTCACTTGTTAATCACATTTCTCTGTTCGCACACAGACTCCAGGAACTTAACTCCATGATAAACAAGCGCCTGAAGGATGTGCTTTTCTCTGACCAGTGGAGTGATCTCTGCATGGACACACTCAGTCCTTTTGGATACGTTCTAGTCAGTAAATTTGAAGGTGTTCCCGTCTCTCTTCTCAAATTGAATCTAGCTTATCTTGTTGATAACTCATGTCTCATCTGTTTAGGTGGCGTCCCAGCGCATGCAGGGAGTGCTTCTTCTGGTTTTCTCTAAATTCTGCCATCTTCCGTTCCTCCGAGGTGTGCAGACACAGAGCACACGCACAGGACTCGGGGGATATTGGGTACGTGCTGCGCATTGAAAAGGCACCGCTCTGAACTCAGCTCTGAGATTTATTGCGCCACAAATTTTGTGGTGGGTTTGTGTCAGTGGAGTGGGGGAGCTGGAAGGTGGTGAGTCTGTACGTGGGTGCATATGTCAGTGTGTGACCTTCCTGTGCGTGTTGATGTCAGCATCACCCCTGGCTGCTGCTGGTGCAGTCTCCTTCTCTTTGAGGTCAGTGCAGCAGCAGGCTGTCTGGCTCTCTGGTTCTGGGACTCAGGGGCAAAAAAAACATCCTGACTTTGTCCCCAAACATAAATAATGTTGATAAATGATGCTGCTTTTTAATTTAATCTAATTATAAGTGGGTTTTTTTTTCTTGTTTTTTTTTTTAATCTCTGCGAAGGGGAACAAAGGTGGCGTGAGTGCAAGGATGACAATGTTTGGCCACCCGGTGTGCTTCCTCAATTGTCACCTCCCAGCCCACATGAGGAACCTGGAGCAGAGGATGGAGGACTTTGAAAGCATCCTGCAGCAGCAGCAGTTTGAAGGAGGGACGGCCACAGGAGTACTGGACCACGAGTGGGTGACATCACTGAAACACATTTATGACCTGAAAGTGACCGTCCGAAAATAAAAAGCTATTTAACAGTGTTGTGAAATGTATATACATCAAATTTAAGTTTCTGACTTTTCTTAATCTTACAAATATCTCAATGAATGGATTTTAAATAAAGCCTTGACAATAATATCAATATGATAGAGCATACTTTTTAGCTGAGTTGTCTTGTCTACACTTCGTCTGTCCCCAGTGTTGTCTTTTGGTTTGGAGATCTCAATTTCCGAATCGAAGACTACGACATCCATGTGGTGAAATGTGCCATCGACAGCAACAAGCTGCCTCTACTGTGGGAGCGAGACCAGGTGAGGAACCTTTCATTTAGACAGGGGAAATTTTCCATGGCTTTACACCACCTGTTTGTCTCTTAATCACCAACCAAAAGCAGCAGAGGGTGCTGTGACACAGCTTCACCTCTTAACAGGGTGATAAAACCCGTCAAGGTATAGGACCACATAAAGCACTGAAGTCATTACCATGTTTTGACCCCAGCCTACCTGGATTTTCAGCCGGTCAATGTTTCACTGAGAAAGTGACATAATTACAGCTTCCTTAAAGTGAAACCCTTACATCTTTACTTCCCAGGCACTGTGACCCAGAGTCTGACCTTACAGAACAAGATACGATACATCTTCACTACAATAATTAGTGTTGGAAGTATCAGGAGAGCTCTTTCTTTGTGTGTGTAAAAATAGATTTAAAGAACCTGTGCACACATTGGTATGAAAAGTATAATAATAATGTGTGTATAAATACCCTTCTTGGCTTCCTCTTTACAGCTCAACATGGCTAAAAACACAGAGTCCATCCTGGAGGGCTTCATGGAGGGACCTCTCAATTTTCCTCCTACCTATAAGTTTGATGTGGGCACTCACACATACGACACCAGGTTTGTTCAGTAGCCTTCATCAAATTTTGCTAAATCTTGCTCTGATGTTGCTGCCTGTTGCGACTCTGTCCGTTTTCTTTCTTTTCCATCAGCGCTAAAAAGAGGAAACCAGCCTGGACTGATCGAATCCTCTGGCGTCTCCGTCGCACTGGCTCCCCAGTCCCTACTCACAATGCAGCACTGCAGCGGGGTTTAACCTCATGGCTTGGAGGGGCAACCAAAGTGACGCAGCATGCTTACAGGAGTCACATGGGCTTCACCATCAGTGACCACAAGCCTGTTTCTGCTTTGTTTTCACTGCATGTGAGACATTATTTCCTCAATTACACTTTTGCACCTGTATTTGAATTGTTGCATTGTTTCAGTTTTTTTATCTACAATCTGTGCTTTGTATTCCAGTTCCCATTCAAAGTGGAGGTCCCTCTGGTAGAGCTGCAGGTCACCAAGGAGTGGAGTAAAGTCTCAGACGCCACGGTCAGATTCACTGTTGCATCAACATATCAGCGCAGCTCATGGGACTGGGTGGCAATATACAAGGTAATCTGATATGAGACAAAGCTATGCAATAAAATACAATGATACAATACTGATATGTACGACATGTCAGGTTATGTTATGTAACATTAAACCATAACATACAACATGACACAATACAATCTGATACAATACGATATGATATGATGCAATATGATACATTATGTTATGTCACGATACAATGCAACAGATACAGCAGATACATGTACGATACATTATACGATATGTAACACGATGACACAATACAACAGAATATTACAGGATATTATATATGTTAGCATACAGTACATTACAGTATATATTAGGAAATGTTATGGTAAAATACTTTTAGATACAAGATGTTACAATACAACAGGATAGAAAAGCATACATCAGATAAGATATGATATAACATGATGGTATACGTTTTAATGCATAATGATATGGTAAGACCCATTAGGTCACATTATGTTACCATAGGTTGCGTTACATTACCTTATGGTAAATATGATACAATACGATACCATAATGATATGATACAACAAGATATGAGATGATACCATGCAATACGAAAAACAGTTACGTTACGGTACAATATGATATATGATATGATACGTTACGATACGATACGATACAATATGATATAATACGTTACAATATGATACGTTACGTTACGTTACGTTACACTATGTTAAGTTACGCATTACGCTACGCTATGTTACACTACATTACGTTACACTATGTTACATTACACTATATTACGTTACGCTATGTTATGTTACGTCACGTTACAACAGGATATGGTTGAACACAAAACGGCATGATATAACATGTTACAATATGTTTTGACACAATACATAAAGTGACAGGAGGATTCAATACAGTTTGATACAATACAACGCTACACAATACGATACAGTGTGATACAGTACATCATGATACAATACACGCAATTGTTCCCTCAGAGAAATTTGTCATGAACTGAAGTGCTGCTTACATTTAGCAATAGTATTAATGAAACCAATAAAACAGACACCAGTTAACCATATACAGAGGAAAACCACAATAACATATATTCATGTTTCATTTATTGCACATTGTCTGTTACAGCTTTCCTCTGATTTGTTTTCCTTAAAGCTCAGATATAATTTGAAGTTCCTATGATTTTCTTTCTTTTTCACAGGTGGGATTCAGACATCACAAAGATTACCAGGCTTATATATGGGCCAAGGGAGAGCATGCCACACAGGTGTGTCAGATACCTAAATAGCACTTTTATACTGTGGCACAGCTCAATTCAGGGTCAATTTAACTTCCTCTCTTCTATAGGTGACGTTCTCAGAAGAAGATTTACCACGAGATGACTGTGAATACATGCTGGGTTACTACAGTAACAACATGAACAGTATTGTTGGTTTGTCAACACCAATACAGGTAGGTAAAGCAATGCACTGCCTCTTATAATATATTTTTGACTGCATGTATCCGTATATTTGGTCAAAAGTACATGGACACCTAAATGTTATCTCCATATGTGGCTGATAATATCTCATTCTGAAATCCATGGTAATGCAACTTCTGCTCAAACAACAGACTCTCTCCTGGGAAGGTTTGGCTTTAGGGAAGTCAGTCATTGATGTTGCGCTGACTCACACTCAATGTTCCAGTTCATCACAAAGTAATTTCATGGGGTTGAGTTCAGAGCTCTCTGCAGGGCAGCAGAGTTATTTTACTTTGCACTCTATCAGTGTTGGAAATGTGGGTCAGCATCTACAAGATTTAAAGATTAAAAAGTTGAAATTACTGGTTAAAATGAAGTAGCGAAGCATCAAATTTCATTTTGTTTGTCAGTCTTTGACTTTATGTGGATAATTTCTGCAGAATATTGTTTTATTGCTTATTGTTACTTGAAATAAAATAAGTCTTGAGAGATGTGTCCACATACTATTTGTCTATCAGCATGTACAGTTTCTGATTCAGCAGCTTCACTCAGACTGTTATCTTCCCTTGAATCCTCCATCCTGTTCAGATCAAGATTCCGGTCCACAGCCCCACAGCTCGCCACTCTGACAGTTCAGATGTCAGCTCAGAGGATGACAGCACTCTAGTCCTGCTGGCTCCATGCTCCCGCAGCCCAAGCCCCAAAACCGGCAAACACCACCATCGCCACCGTCGCAGCCGCAGCCCAGCTGTTCCCGCCCTCACATCCAACCCCCTCCCCTCCCTGCAGGGCCTCAGCCTCCATCCTCGCTCCAAAGAAGGTCAGGCTCACAGCCGCTCACCCTGCTCTGCTGCGAAGAAGGAGCGTCTCGTCTCCCCCGACACTGTGCCATCTCCCACCATCAGCCCTCTCAGTCCACGCAGTCCTGTGTCTCCAGGTGGAGGGGTGACTGCGCCTGAGGCCCTCATCGCAGCCATCATAGGTGAACACAGACCAGCTCAGGTTAGCCCCACTGGGCTCAAACAGATAAGAAAAGCAGGGGAAACAGATACTTCATAGAACATCTGTTGTTAAAGGGAAATCCAGTCTTTAAATGTAGGCCCAATTTTTACAGGTTCTGAGGTCTTAATGATAAGTGGGTAATAAAATATTTGAGCTGCTCTTGAGTATTGCCTCACCCAGCAGTCTTAAAACAGGCTTTTGCGACTATAATTATACTTCAGTCGAAGCGCTATTGTTGTTTTTCACCACTGACAGTCTTAGACTGAAGTTGTATTTATGGGACAGTTTTATCTCTGAGGAGATAAACCTTTTTTTTGTTGAAGAGTAAGATCATTTTAAAACCAGTAACAGCCATTGCTTTGCTGTCAATGAAACAACTAGGATCCACTGAAAAAACAAGTTATTTTACACAAACAAACTACTAGAGTGAAGCAGTGGAGAACCAGTGACATCTGTGTTGTGGAAGATGAATTACTGGTCTTGTCGGTGGGGTCTGGTGGCCCGAAAAGAGTGATTTTTTTCCCTTTAAAAATGATCTTCAGTTCTGACAAAAGTGTCTGTTTCTGGAAAGTTGTCAGACATTTACAATTCTGTGAAAAAGGAACTTAAAGTTTCTGTTGATTTGGACATCCTCTACGTACAGAGCAGTCTTTATGAGGCCTGTTCTGCAAATGCAGTAGAAGTGTTTCTAAAAGTCTCATGGGACATTTTTAAGTGGTTATGAAACAGACTCTCTTTCTTTATATACATAAGCGAGCAAGACCATTGGCATCCAAAGTAAGAGTTTCTCTACGGTTATTTTCTATGCTGGGGGGATATAACATACGGGGTGAGTTACAGCAGACTGCAGGAACAGCTTTTGTTTACACCTCTGCAGAAGCCCACAATGGATGGTGCATTTGACTATTTAAAGACAGCAGGATGAATATTTTATCAGCAACAACAACAAAAAAGCCATTCAAATTTGCAGGACAAGCTCAGAAAAGAGGTAGAAGTTACCTCTTTAACCTCAGGGGGTGCCAAAACAAAGCAATGAAAGAGTTTCTTACAGCGTTTAACAAAAAATCCTGCTTTCTGTCAACGGTCAAATTTATCAATCTTCAAAAATATTTGTTACAAAAATATTTTCTAATACGTGCTGTTTTGGAAGCATGCAGTAAATAAATTTGTCTGACACCTACCCTGTCACAGCAGCTGAAATTACTGTATGAAAATGGACTGGCTTTATACCGATGGCCTTGTTTTCTTGAGTAGCTCAGACAGAGCCATCAATACTATTTTCACTCTGTTTCATAAACAGCTAAAAACTTCTCACAGGAGCTTTGAAATCACAACCCAAGCCTTTCAGTGGCAAAAAAAGACTTGTATTTGACTTAAATTGGATGCATTTCCACTGAACATTAATGTTGCATCCATTACAGCCTGTTTAATTGCTGCTAGCTGATGTCGCCAGAAGCAGCATTTCAAGATTTTGCTAACTGCTTGTCACTAAGACACCAAAATGTGGGAAACGGGGTCCAGGTTTCAAAGTACTAAAATCAACCTTCAAACAGGAGGTGCTGTATAAGGAGAGCAACAGCAATATCCATAGGTTCAGAGTTTGAGCTGATCCCACAGAGTCCCTGTGCTCGTAGAAGCAGCACATCTGAAGACCCCCTAATGTAGTTTGCAAACATTCCGTGTTGTAGCTCTGCAGCTCTGCAGCTCTCTGTCTCTGAATCGACCATCATCTCATACACTGTGTGTATCAGGGAGTCAAAGGTGTGTCCAGACCCCGATGACAAGTGCTTTTATAGACTCATAAGCTAAATCATGCGTAAACAAACATATTGAATGTGAAACCAAAGCCAGAGCAAACCTGTGATGGATATGTGACCAGTTTTTCTTGTCAGCAATAAGGATCCATGTGAACAGTCTCCTATCAAAGTAAGGACCCTGGACCATAAATATTAGTGGTTTCATAGTTCACAGCAGAGAGTGTGTGCTTGTGTGTGTGTGTTTAAGTGTGTGTGTGTGTTTGTTTGTGTAGGCCTATATGTTTAAACATGACGTGCTTTTTGAACCAGATAATGGTTTAAAGTTTTCACTCTATAGTTCTTGGTCTGTATTCATAAAATGAGTCTAAAGCCTCCGAGAATAGAGATACAGAGCATTCATCATGTTAATCAGTCTGGAATGTAGACATGATCATGTGACTTGACTATCAATCTTAGGTTAATGCTCTTATTCTTAGCAGCTTTGTGAATACAGCCCCTGTTCTATAGAGCTCCATGAATGGATGTTTAGGCTAATGTGGTTACTTTGCTTCGAGGAAACAGTGTCGTGTAAATGTGTGTGTTCAAATAAAACAAGAACAAACGGACATTGTACTGTTTATTAGACAAACACCGCTTCAAACCGTCAAGAGAAAGTGTATATTTGTGTTCAAGTGTGCGCAGACTTGTGCTCCGGTTACGTAATGTTTAATGAGTCTGAAAGGTGGGACAGAGCAGCAGTGGATGTCAAAAGGTTGCTAAGTATGAAAGCATGAATAAGAAGACTTAAAGATTTGGATACGTGTGCACAGCTTATGGTTTACCCCATTGTGATAATGAATCTCCGGATTAGCAAACAGGGCCTTAAACTGAAGACACACACTAGTGTGATGAGGCAAAACAAGCTGCACACAAACTCTTCTAACAAGTTGTATTTGATGCCCTGCCTGACTACAGTTTTTACTTGTACCTGGCTGCTTAGGGTTGAAGAGTCAACCCTGATTATTACAAAGACAGCCAAACTGCTGTAGGAGCTACAAAAAAACAAAAAAAGGCAACTCAAGTTTAGGACCAAAAATCATACATTATACAGGTGTTTTTCTGTTCTTTAGTCCTTAAGATTTCCCTCGGTAATTAAAATACTACTCTACCAGTTAATGTTCAAAATATCCTCCAAGTCCGTATAGTTACAGAAATGCTGGTTTCTAATAACACATCATATCTCTTAAAGTCCCTAAATTAAAGCAATGTGGTGAATTTTAAAGCCTTGAAGGATTCCCAAAATCTTGAAAAAAAAACACTTGATACTCTCAAAGTTACCTGTCCTTGTTTCTTTGTATATATAAATTTTTATATTTTGTCATTTTATATCAGTTTAAACAAATCCCATTCATTTTATCTTGGATCATTATTTCCAATTGGTATTAAATAGTTACTGTGCTTTTCTTTGCTTATGTAATGCCTTTGGGATGTTTAACATTTGCTGTATAAATACAGTAAAACTACAGTGCAGTACCTGCAGGCCTAAGACAAGTCCTCAAATAGCCTGAGCAAAGTATAATTGTCTTGTAAAGCCTCTGTAAATCCCTTAAAATCCTGCAAATGAGCTGGAGAATTTAAGATTACCTCTTAAGGGCCTCTGAAAATTCTGCAAAAAAGTGAAATTATCAAAATTTCTACAGCCTCTTGAGATTTTTAAGGAAGCCTTTCACAGACATGCATCCGTACATTTATATTTATTTATATTTTATTTATAGTAAATTTATATTTTGTGCACAAGATAACTTGCTCATTGAATAAATCATTATTTATTCATACACAAAATAAAGAAGTAGACTCATTTGGGTGCACTTAGTAACTATACTGTGCACACAAGATAGTTGACCTGCTTCCACAAGATAAGTTGTGTGCACAGTGGGAACACGGAATTATCTTGTGCATGCAGAAAAATAACTTCTTCCTACATAATTATTATGTTGCATGCTCAAGTCAATACCATGTGCACACATTATACAAAAAAAATGTATGGGAAAATTAGAGTTTACAGTATATCTACTGGTTCCTGTCCGCCTAGGGCTTACATACTTATGCTTCATAGCCTGCAACAATCTCCAAAAATGCTTCTATGAGTGATTCCCCCCAAAAGGTGTAATTGTTGTCCTTTCATTAAGTTTTAATTACCTAAAACTTAGTGACATGCACATTTTTTTCCACTAGTTACGGCATATTACAGCCAAGATTTTTTTATAAGAGAGAATTAAACAAGTCTAAGACACGTGATGAGGTGTGAAAAGTAAACATTGCTTCACCTCCGTTCAGTTATTTACCCTGAGGGACAGTTTGGGCTAATTGGAGCACGCCCACTTTCACCACGTGGTCTTTGCTTAACATCAACATTGGCTGCAGGGAAACATCTTAAAAAGGTCTGAAGAAGATACTCCGGCAGATAAACTACAGCTGTCTGAGCCCCAGAGCTGTCCATCCAGCGAGAGAGAACCAGAGGCGGCGTGACAACTCAGTCTGAGCGAGCGGGAGACCAAGGTAGAGACCACCACCACCAACCTGTGAGGCAGGTGTTAGTACCCGAGCAGCTAGCTTGTTAGCAAACAGTGAATCTAGAGGGAAAATGAACGGCCAACTGAACGGTTTCCACAACAGTCCGCTTTTTGACGAAGACTGCTTCCTCTTCACCTCTGAATCGGTCGGCGAAGGACACCCAGGTGAGTTATGAATGTGTACACTGTATTAATTAGCCGGATAGCATCCTGTTAGCCCCTCAAACAAGGTCATGTGGCGTGTTAGCTCAGCGTGTTGTCGTACTGTCAGCTGGTCTCTGTTTGTGCCCCATTCATCCTCTTTGGACCGCTGTCAACATGCTCAATAAGTGCATACATGCGGTGGCATCGTGATTTAACCACCCCTAATAAACTTATAAAAGATAATGAACTGTTTATAAGCCGTGGAGGGTAAGGTTTTTGTAGTAAAGTTGCGGCTGCATGCTAACAACACTGCGGCTAATCCGTCTAGCTAATACCACATTAGCTCGGGCTGTTTGTGCCTGTCAATCACACTGAGCTCCACATGGGTTCCTGGCACAAATTTGCAGAATAACTTCTAAAAAGCTAACAGTGTATGGCTGAAAATGTGTGGTGTGTGTATCTGTAGTTGACTTTTTCACTTTAGTGTTCAGTGAGTCCGGATCACCGGCGACCATGCGGCATTGCATCATTACAGTATCATCAGCCCACTGCCGCTGATTGTAGGAGACATGTGCTCACGGGCTCAGCCAGACCGATGTGTTTGGAAGATTAAAGATGGTCAAAGTTGATCGGGAGAAACTTATTTACCGTGTATTGATGCCCAAATGTTACCAAAATACAGTAGTCTGGATGATGGCTTTTCTCCTGCTTCGATTCTTCTACGATAGTTTGGATGCCGATTCGATTTAAATTGCGATTCTACGATATTGTCGATTTTCTCCATTTTTAGTCTGCAGTTTTAACACCAGTGAAACAGCAGAGTGACTATGATTGTCCACTGACTATTCCAGGAACCATATTTCCTCAAAAATACACATCATGTGTATGTCAGTTTTTAAGATTTATTCTGAAATTAAAAAATTTGAACATTAAAACCGATTTGTACACCAACTTTGCTTGATATGCAATGATTGCATTGCTTTATACCAACTTTAGTAATGACCGCACAATAGCAATACACAGCGATCTAAGGAGCCACACACAAACCTCAACCAAAAAGCCACTTTATAGCCACAAATAATGCTCAGAACAGGGTCCTAGCCATAGCACTAGCCACCAAACATCTTTTTAACTTTGCCTGATTTCTTTAGCAAAGAGACTAAACACAACTCACCTACTCTCTTCCAGCAGCTGCTTGTTTGTAGCGAGACCTCAGTCCAGTCCATTACGGACTGCTGCGGGGGGACGCAGCTCAAGGAAGAACATTTATGATAACTTCTTTATCACTTCCTTGAAGTAATAATCACCATGTTAATCATTTTGCACTGCAGACGCGGTAGTTCTTTTGCCTTAACGTCTCTGTCTGATTGCATTTCCATGAGAAAATGATTGTAAATGTTCTTCCTTGAGCTGCGTCACCCCGCAGCAGTCCGTAATGGACTGGTCGGAGGTCTCGCTACAAACAAGCAGCTGCTGGAAGAGAGTAGGTGAGTTGTGTTTAGTCTCTTTGCTAAAGAAATCAGGCAAGTTTTTTATGGCTCCCCAGACCACTGTGTATTGCTATCGTGCGGTTGGTATAACTAGAGAAGCAAGCAGTCGGCAACATTCATCTCTCAAGGGGGTGTTTAACTCGGTGTTAGGGTGTGTTTGACCCTAAATAAATTTTAAGCCAGAATACCCCTTTTAAGCATTCATCTGTGACATACCCCGGGAAATATATAAAACATATTGTACAATACTGTTTCAATCTTTCATTGGGGCAGTGGGTGCCCCTCCTTTACAACAGATAATAGGCTTAGCAGTAGACCTAAATATAGGTATTGCAGGGGCCGCAGCTTGGCTGTGGGTGTAATGTAGTCACACTGGAAAGGTGCAGGTAGTGCTGCACAGTAAATCCCACATTTATTGATATTGTAATATGATCCTTTGGAATAAACACATTGCAGATATCTGAATGTATCAAAAAAACTAGCAAATTATTTAACATAAATGATCTGTGTTTTCTCACTGAGTGTGAGCATTTTGCTCAGGAGATGGAGGCTTGTGTATTTTAGGGCCATGTTTTTGTTCTATTTTGTTTAGGACAGCTGTCAGCTAACCTGATTAATTGGTGATTATGTAGTGATTAAAAACTGCTTTTGGATGTATTCTGGATTCAAGAGAAAAATCTTGCAAACACAGCAGAAAGACATCCAAAACAGATTTATCGAAGCTAATACGCACTCATTATCTTTTTGTTTACCACACTTCTTAATAAAAACACAATATTAGTGCTAGGGTATCAATGTTTGGGCTTCACTTTTTTCGTGTCCTGCAGCATTACGGTTGGATTTTCCTGGCAAAGTCAAAAATGACAAAAGAACATTTTTAACTGCTTATTGTATTGTGTAAATACTGTACTTATGTACTCGTATACGAAGCCTTCAGCCTTTGTAGCAGCAGTGGGTTGCTTGACTGCCATTCACAACCCTGTGTTTCATCTTATCCGCCAGTCTACTGCCCACGTTTTCTGTCTCTTAAGACATTTATCCAGCCTCATGAAAGAAGAATGCCTCAAAAATAACTCGAAATAAAGTGACACATTTAACAATGAGTGAAGCGTCTGTATATGAAGTGTTTTCATACCATTGAGAAAAAATTCTGAAAAATATTTGCTTCACTCCTCAGATAAGATCTGTGACCAAATCAGTGATGCTGTGTTGGATGCTCACCTCAGACAAGACCCGGATGCCAAAGTAGCATGTGGTAAGTCTTCAGCCAGCAAAGCAGGCTGACTGTAAAGGATGTTGTTACATACATACAACTGTTTAAACATGCAGCATGTTGGGAAACGGAGTAAAGATCCACCCAATGATGTAACAGACTAACGGATGTCTTCTTTGCTTCTCTATTCAGTGTATTTCCTATGAATCCTGAGGTAAAGCCTCAAGTAGCAGCTGAGGATTAACTCAGGACATTGCCAGGGTCTAAAAGCTCTCACTTATGTTTAACTGATTTATCATTTCATTAAAATACTTTCTTAATTTAGCCCAACAAACAAAGATCATTTAAGCTGTTTTCAACGATGGCAAGCACTTAAAAGTTTTCTTTGTATTGTATCAAGGCTAGAATATTTGCTATTCAAGAACTGTACACAGTTTTTAAATCATTAACTTTTGTCTGTTAGGATGTCTAAGCAGATTTTTTAAGGTTAATTGTGCTCGTTTCTGACATAAAAGACTTAAAAGACAAATCAAATATTCAGCATATTAATCAGAAATGAAAATCAGACTTTATACTGTGTTAATTCTGCTTTAATATACCAACCAGCGTCCTGGATCCTCTCTCAGCCTCTGGTTTTTACTTATCTGTTTCACTTGAACCCTCATTCCTCACTCTCAGTGTTATTGCTTTCTCAGAGACTGTTGCGAAGACCGGAATGATCCTTCTGGCGGGAGAGATTACCTCCAGGGCCAACGTAGACTACCAGAAGGTTGTCAGGGATACAATCAATCACATCGGCTACGACGACTCTTCCAAAGGTTTGTTGATGAAAGCTGACGGCTCTGAATGTAGTTCAGTTTGAGATCCAGGATGAGGGTTGAGATTTGTCATTTTTAGATTGCTTAAAAATGTGTCAAGTGTTGAGTTTGTTTTAATCTCTATATAGTGAGTCGTGTCTAAGCGATGATGTGTAATGCGAACATCTGGGAGCCCTCTCGAGCTAAATGCGATGTCTTTCTTGACCTTCGAGGGCTGCGACTGCAGAAGACCTCCCAGCATTGAAAGCTGTCATCCTGGTTGTTTATGAATTGGTTGAAGCAACGCTCCACTTTCCTTTAACAGAAGCCGCCCCATTGTTAAATAAAGGACTGTGTTTGGTTTGGTATATCCGACACTGAGGGGAGATTGTTTAAAATGACGGCAGTTTGAGACCCACCAGCCAGAATAAAATTAGTATGAGCTGGCTGATGGGTCTGGAAAGCACCAGGCTAGTAACTTAAACCCTAAAGCAGAAGTGTGCTTGATCAAAGATGTTTGTCTTTCTCTTCAGGCTTTGACTATAAGACCTGCAATGTACTGGTGGCTTTGGAGCAGCAGTCCCCTGATATCGCTCAGGGTGTTCACCTGGATCGAAAAGAAGAGGACGTAGGAGCGGGCGACCAGGTCGGAGGGTTCACATGTTTTTGTTTGTGTATGAGCCACAGCCGGGAGCCTGAAATGTGCCGGTAACAAGGTTGTGAGGCTATTTTTAACCTTAATTCATGCTGTGATTTGTGACCACGGCTCTTGCAGGGTTTGATGTTTGGATATGCCACCGACGAGACTGAAGAGTGTATGCCGCTCACGGTTGTCCTGGCTCACAAGCTCAATGCCAAGATGGCTGAATTGCGCCGCGATGGAACACTGCCGTGGCTCCGACCTGATTCCAAAACCCAGGTGAGCCCAGAGCTTCATTTCTCAACGAGATGTTGAAATCAAGAGTAAAACTTCAACCCTTAATCTTGAGGCGTTTAAAACGACGAACAATTTAGGAAGTTTTTCCCAGTGAAACTAATGAAAATCAAAGAGCCCCAAATGAATCTTTTTTTTTTGTTGTTTTTACAGATGTTGGCTAAGAAATGAAGCCCTCATGTCAAAGATGATGTATATCTGTATGCCTGGAGGTTAAACAAATATAAGAGGAGCAGATGGTAATCTTCTGCCCTGGTTCATTAGTCAATATTTATCCTCAATCCCGTGTTTGGTTCCCCTCAGGTGACTGTTCAGTACAGGCAGGATCGAGGCGCCATGGTTCCCCTGCGTGTACACACGGTTGTGGTCTCTGTGCAGCACGACGAGGATGTGACTTTGGATGAGATGCGCCTCTGCCTGAAGGAGCAGGTGGTGAAAGCTGTGATTCCCAGTGGGTACCTCGATGACGAAACTGTGTACCACCTGCAGCCCAGCGGACGCTTTGTCATTGGAGGACCACAGGTGAGACACGACACTGAATCTGTTTCACTGACTCAGGGTTCAATAAGGTCAGGTCTACAAACTTGTGGACTCATTAGCGTGTTATACATCCAAATGCACCAAAATCTCAGTCCAGTGTCCTTCCCTCAGGGTGACGCTGGTCTGACCGGGCGAAAGATCATCGTGGATACTTACGGAGGCTGGGGGGCTCATGGAGGCGGAGCGTTTTCTGGGAAAGACTACACAAAGGTGGATCGTTCTGCTGCCTATGCCGCTCGCTGGGTGGCCAAATCTCTGGTAAAAGCTGGGCTCTGCAGACGAGTGTTGGTCCAGGTGAGCTTACAATGCATCGCCTTTTAAAAGGTTCGATTAAAGACGATTTTAGATTTGTAGTAAGTTGGGCTGTATGTTGCGTTTTGATGCCACAACATTGAACTGAATAAATTGTAGATAGTTTTTTTTTTTTTCCTTCCATCTGGTGTAATATACCCTCAGCTTTTAAATGTCTCTGATCACAGTGAAGTTTTTAATGTGTGTTTAAATGGTCTTAGGTTGCCTACGCGATTGGAGTTGCACATCCACTCTCTGTCTCCATCTTCCACTACGGGACCTCACAGAAGAGTGAGAAGGAGCTGCTGGACATCGTGAGGAGGAACTTTGACCTTCGTCCAGGAGTGATCGTGAGGTATCCTGTCATATCAATTCTCTGTTTTGTTTTGTTTAGTCAAGTATTTGTTTTGTCAAGTTTAGCCCCTCAGTTCACAGAGTCCTCATGTTTCCGTGAATAACTGTTCTCCTCTCTCAGGGATCTTGACCTGAGGAAGCCCATCTACCAGCGCACAGCAGCTTACGGCCACTTTGGTCGCGATGTCTTCTCATGGGAGGTGCCCAAGACGCTGAAATACTGAACCTTTCTGTCAAGTCCAAGCAGGTGTACTACAGAGAAACCTGTGTCTTTTTCTCTCAACCCCCTCTCCCTTGTCCCCTTCCTCTCTCCTCTCCCTCCTCACACACGGCCACATCACCACAGCCTCTCCCACACAACAAGCTGACCTTCCTCCACCTGTTAGCGTTGTACACATGTCAAAGATCGAGCAATCGTGTGTCAGATGCCAAGATATTGAATTAAATATATAAAATATTTATAGCAGACTTTCTCAAGGACCATGAGAGAATTTACCATCAGTGATGGTGCTTTTTAAGAAGATTTCTAGTATTGCTCAGATTTTCAAGTTGAGAATCTCAACGCAGTTTAGGCAACATGTCATTTCCCATTTCAGCTAACTTTGTTGGGTTAATGGCTGTTTTAGTGAAGCACTTGTCAAGTGTAAAACAGATCAGCTTCTTCTTTTCTTCCGTGTGCTGTCCCTTCAGGTCACTTTTGTTCTGACGTTTTACAGAGAAGTCAGAAGCTGCTAATGACCTTGTGGCTCTGTTGGGCTGCACCTTGAAAAACCACTCCATTTTTTTAGTAGCTTATTTTGTCAGTTTAAATGTCATGTGAATGTTCCAGATGATAAATGTTTCAATGCTCTACTTAACCGAGATAAAGACGAGGTACACTCCTGCCCCTTCCAGAGACTGACGCTGGGTGTAGCTACAGAGAAACTCAGGCTCTGTCACCTCTGGGAAGGGAGTGCCTTTATCCTGAATCTACACTTTACTTGAAATAATTTTAAACAAAGGAGTTGAACTACCGTGGGACTGAAATTCCAGTCAGTGTGGCACATGCTTTTTCTACTTTGAGACCACTCTGTCGCACAAGTTTTCAGTTCTGGCACACACGCGCACACAACCTGAGAGCAAGGTTACAGACGGAGAGCTGAATGTGGGACACCGTATTACTGCTCATGTCTTCTCTTCGCTCTTACAAATAAGGACTTCTTGGGATCAGATATGTTACCTGATGCTTGTGGATTTTGGATCTTTTGGATCTTCCTCCGCACACATTGATTCTTGAAAGTTACTGAAACTAGAAAATACTTCTGCTGTTGTTACATGGACAGTAATTTCCAAATGAATACTAAGTTTGCATATGAAGCCTCTCTTGTCATTAATTTATTTATCTAAGAAAGATTTTTTTTTCTTTACAAAATACCCCCACCCATAAAAGTCTGGTTCCCTGAGATCCCTCGATTAGAAAAGCACTGTAGTTTTCCGAGTTATCCCCTCTCTTAGTTCTTTTTAAGACTAATGAGCAGCAGAAACTCACTTGCACAGACATAATGTAAAGATCTGTGCCAGGGACCCATGTCAGATTGAGAACTGATACACAGCATAAGCCTCTGAAGCCTCTTCCCCAGCTGCACATGTATCCTGACAATCCTCACTGTAAGCCTGGGTGACACTGGTACCTGGTCCATGCTGTACAGTTGGTGCATCTTTTAATGTCTCCATTATGTAACTAGGTGGCACTGTTTCCCCATTTATAACACTGACATACGGTTTATTTTTTAACTTTTGGTCAACACTGGTATCTTGTCTTAAGCTCGTCTCCTCTGGCACCATCTTGTGATTCTATTACTGTACTGCAGACATATTTCTAATAAGAGCCTTCATGTAGACTCTGCTAAGAGCATGCCAAGTTCATCTGTGTGTGTTATCGTCCAGTAAGGCAACACATTCTCCCAAAGATTATTTTTTAATCACATGTTTGCATCCTCATCCTCATCCACAGATGAGACAAATGATTGGTTGGTGTTGTACAGAGAAACCAGCCTGTTTACATGGTGTCTCTCTCTGGTCCTGTGAGCATTTTGAGGAGCTTTTTTTTTTCTGTTTAATATTTTTATTTATGATTGGAAGCAAGTCTGTCAGCGTTGTTGCTGGATGTGTCAAAGTGCCTTTTCTAACCCCCCTGACCCCAGATATCTCACTCCTTATCCGTTACCCCTGCCTGACCCCATTCCACCCCGCTCTTATGTCTGTCTGTGATTGCAAATCCTCCATCTTCAGTGATTCAAACCAAGGAGTCTGATTTGTTGAGTGTCTCTTTCAAACCCTTCAAATAAAGTGCACCCTCCTCTAAGGTCATGGCTTTGGCATTCTTTAATTAATCAATCTTAGTCAAGCTTTATTCTTTTAGCACCAATTCCCAAAAGTGTTATCTCAAGATGCTTGAAAAAGCTTGTCTGAAAACCGTACTTTGTTTATGAAGAGCCATTGGGAAGGTGTGATTGAGCCCTGTCTTGTAAGATCTGACCACTGCCATCCCATTTTCAACCACGAGTGTGGCATTTTGCAAAATTTTGAAAGTTTAAGTGGAGAGGGAAAGCTTCTTTTAAAGTCCCACTCCGATGTTTTTTCTTTTTTTTTTTTAACCGCTTAAAGTGTTCTCAGTGGTCTCTAAATTGTGACTATGAAGTTTTTTTACCAAAATCGCATTACCTGTGTCATTTTCAAGGACTTTTCTCCAGTAGATCATTAGCAATTTGCCTCTGAGTCGTGGGCAGAGACAGCGCTGCTCTGCACACTCGTTTCCACGTTAGCTTGCAGAAGTGGCAGGTAACATAGCAGCTATTCAGCTCTTTCTTATGGGCATTGCACTCCACTAATGCACACGCTTATTCCGCGATCATCCTTTGTATTTCTCCTCTGTATGGATAGTGTGGCCTGCATAGCAGGGCTCTGGGGGCGGAGCTTGGATTGTTACATATGAAATCTTGCTGTTTCTGAACCTGCCGTTTGGGTCTGCCAGAGATTCACAGCGATTGGAATGAAGAGATACTCAGAAAAGCCATTTCACATTTAGTTTTCTCATAATATGTCCTGTAGCATCAGAAAAATGCCATATGTACATATAAAAACAAGAAAAACATGATTTTTGTCAGAGTGGGTCTTAAACACACAGAAACCTTGAACAGAACCAGACTAATGTAAGACGCTCAACTGACGCTACTTCAGTGTGTTTAGAGGGCAATGCAGAAAGAGAGAGGTGGACAGTGGTGAGACTGATGCATGTAGCTGAAGCAGCTAGGAAGCAGGCAGGTTCACAGCAGCGATCCAGAGAAACCTACGCCATGATGGAGCTCAGGGACTCTTAGAAAAGACTGTTTTAGTCATGAAGACTCAAAAGTAAATGACAGATAAGAGGATTGAAAAGGAAGGGAAAGGTGCTCAGTGTGTTAGTACTTCCCAGTAGTCTAAACCTTTTAGTAGTGTAGCTAAGAACTGGGCCAGACCTGAACCAGATCTAAGCATCTCTCTGGGACAGGATGGGTCTGTTTTTGCTGTGTTGTGCTGGTACAAAAAAAAAAGCAGTTGTACAGATTTGTGGGATGTGGGAGTTAAAGGATTTATCCTGGTCAAAGAGAACTCCCAGATTCTTAACAGTGGTGCTGGATACTAGACTGATGCAATCAACTGCAGTTACATCATTACAAAAGGTCTCAAAGGTGTTTAGGGCCAAGAACAACAACTTAGCTTCAAGTGAAGTTAATCCATTAGTGTTTCCTGTCTTCATTGATAGGTTTAATTGAGTGTCGTCTGCATAGCAGTGAAATTAAATGGAGTTTTTTTTATAAAAGTATTACCTGGTGGAAGCATATAAAGGGTGAAAAGGATTATATATTCTTGCAACAGCAAAATTAAGTAGCTGGAAATTAGATGAGGACTATGTTTTTGTTCTTTGTATGAACAGGTGGTGCAATGATCACTTCCTCTGGTAAGATATAGACCTATCCACACAAAACCATCACAGAAGTTTCAGTTCTTATTTACTTATATAAAATTCTCAGGGAAACAAAGTATGAAACACTTAAGTCTTACTGAGCTATTACCAGGTTTTAGATTCAAACCCAGAGCATTCAGATGGAGTTAATGAATCTAAAATGTCGTATCTAGAGATATTCAACAACTCAAGACATAAGGACACAGTCTTTAAAATATTTTATTTAGTAAATTCTGACTGAATAAAAAATTAAAAAGCATCTTCATAAAGCAGGTGTAGCCATGAAATTTTAAATGTTTACATAAAGAGAGTGAGTAATTCATACAATAAACCCAAAGGAAAATCTCATCACGTGTAAAAAAAGTTACAAAGCATTTCTTTCTGTCACACTAATCATTAAAGTTCCTGATTCTGCAGTCGAGTTCCAACATTCCTTTCATTTCTGATGTCTGAATAATCTTTTCGTCCACAATAAGCCCAGATTTCTCACAGTGTGCATAAGATCAAATTACAAAAGTAAAAAACTTTTATCAGCATCTGAGAGGAATCATATCTACTGAAAAACATAGCTGTAAAGGGGTTAGATATACGCAGTTTGGCGCCGAAGGATCTGAGTCACCCATGTTGACTCGGATTTATCATTCCACCCTAGAAGAGAGATTTTTATCACACACTTCAAATAACACTGGTTCAAATGATTGAAAAAATTCACATAATGTTCCCTACCGTAGCATTTTAAATCATGTTGGAGTCACGAAGCTTCCAGGCAAATTTTTGGCAGTAAAACACCGTCTGAAATGAGAGTACAGGCACTCAGATACTGTCGCTATTGATCATTTGTATCTTAAACAAGTTGAAAGTTCAGTGTAGCTTTCTTACACCACATTGGAGGGCAGTCTTGAAGTCTTGGCACCTGTGCTCTGTCAAGGTGCATGGATCTAGAGAGGGAAATAAGGACAATTTAAAATCAGACAGATTTATCATCTATCAAGTCAACACTGGCTTTTTACCGTAACTGAAAATTTAAAGTAAATAAACTTCTGTACATGAAGCCTGAATGCCTTTCCGGCTCTTTCATTTGCTCTGTTCCTGTAATAGCTGAATGGGACTGAGCTACCTTTATTGATAAATGGTACGCCTGTGTTTTCCCTTCAGCGATAAAGGGAACTACTACAAGTAATGAACAAGCAATATGCAGACATAGACGGACTGACCCACAAAGGGAGCCTCCTGGCCATCACACAGGCGGATGAGAGCACAGATCGCCTGAGGGGTCGCGTAGCTCAAGATGGCATCCAGCACCGTCTTGGTGAACTTGCTGACAACTGTCACACACTGATCCCGGTAGATGCTCGGCAAAATCTGACAAATCTCCTCCAGCAGTTTGATCACAGCGTCCTGCAGGAGGAGCAGAGGGGCGTGCAACACTTTGTTTCGTGGACTACTGTGCATTGTTTGTATGGGTGTCTGTTACTAAGAGGTATCATTTGTCTGCTTACCTCAGTCCTCTTTTTAGGCAGCATTTCCTCCAAAGTCTTGATGAGAAAAATGCAGAAGGAGCACTGTTTCGAGGGTGTTGCCTGGCAGCACAAATAAATAAAAGTCAGGCTTTTATAGTTACTGTATTTTTTTTCCCCAAAACTTCCTTTAAGTTGAGTTTTACATTTTCCTCAGCAGCCTGAAGGGCCTCCTTGACAATACCATGGAGTATCTTCTGCATGTCACTAGAACCGCAGAGCCCAAGGGTTTTGCAGACATCTGCTGGTTTCTACGTGAAAAATAGGAAATGATTTGAGCAGAGAACAGCTTTGTCGTATCAATAAATACTCTGAAAAACATCAAATAGAGGTGGGGGACTAATTCAGCCCTCGACTTACAACAACAGCAGTAATGAAGTTGAGAGCCACAGGGAGGACCTTCTGCACCTCATCTTTGCAGAGTTTGGCAGTACCAGGCGGCCCAGGCAGGTGATCGCACATGGTGTCAATGAGAGCCATGATCTTTTTCTGAAATAAAGCGCCGTATCAGCTGACAGTAAACACGGTCCTGAGTTGTTGCAGTGATTGACCACTATACAAATCTGAACGCCTGCAAAATCAAGACCTGGGTCTCTGTATTTAAAGCAAAGAGTTTAGAGGCTGTTACTGATAACATGCGCAGTTGTTTAACCCTCACATACTGTTCAAATCCTGTACCCTCACAGTATGTTCCGGGTCAAAATTGCCCCTTCAAAGAGTTCAAAGAGCAGCTTTCTGTCACAGAAAGTTCTCTTGACTAGTTAGGTCATTTTGACCTCTGTCTAGGTGTGTCTGTGTGACTCTATGTCTGTGTGTGTGTGTGTGTGTGTGTGTGTGTGTGTGTGTGTGTGTGTGTGTGTGTGTGTGTGTGTGTGTGTGTGTTTCTGTCAAGGTAATGATAGTTTCATAATGATTTGAATATATCTTTTTGAACAACAAACCTTAAATTTAACACGGTTGTTACTGTTTGTCACTTGTCCCACACTGTTAGATCTAAAATCCATCTAAATATAGATAAGGGTCAAATTTGACCCGCAACAGTCTTAGAGGGGAAAAATTTGTAGCACATAAACAAAAATACATATGAATATTTTAAAATTAATTTCATGTATTTTGGGTTATTTCAGGAAAAGTCGTCAAGTTTCAGGCTTAAAAAATGATGTTTAGGGTATTTTTACTGCTGTTAAAAGTCAAAACGGGTCAAATTTGACCCGAACAGTATGTGAGGGTTAAGCTATTGGACCATACATGAAAACAGTAAAATAATTTGCGCTGGCATTAAATCCAATATAAAACCACAAGTTCCTCTGCGAGTCATTTTCTCCTTTTGTGTTTGTATCCACATGTAGTAGATACATAAATCCTCATTTATCGTTCACAAGCCTGATAGCATCTTTAACATTGTCAAACAGCACTGTTGTACGCTTTAAATTAAAGTATTATGGTATTTGGGAAGCTCTAGATCAGTGGTTCTCAAGTCCAGCCCTCGAGGCCCACTGTCCTGCATGCTTTGGATGTTTCCCTGCTCCAACACACCTGATTCAAATAATCAGCTCGTTATTAAGCCATTACAGAGCTTGATAACGAGCTGATCATTTGAATCAGGTGTGTTGGAGCAGGGAAACATCCGAAACATGCAGGACAGTGGGCCTCGAGGACTAGACCTGAGAACCACGGCTCTAGATAATGCTCTCAGGTGGTGAGAGAGTTTGATGATTGACTGGCATTTGGGATTTCTGAATACATAAACTGAAATAAGAATTTTTGCTTCGGTAGGGCTATGTTGTCCTATCATCCAACCTAAACTCAGTGTTTTCTCTAAAATAAAAGCTGAGGTCAGGTGAGGGACCCAGCAGTGCAGACCAGGTCAACCTCTGATGAAAGAGGATCTTTGAGGTCAGGTTAGATACTAAAACTAACAGAGAAGTTTTGTTTTGACTTTCTTAGACATTCAAAACAGGAAGTGCCTCAGTGGCGAAGAACAGAAAGTAACAGTTCCTTTTATATATGTTTTTTTCATGTGTGCATGAGCAATCAAAAAAACATTTGCATCTCTGAATTTGAGGAATGTGTTTTAACAGATAAAGATACAAGTGGGTAAGTCCAGGAGTATTAAGAGTTTCTTTATTTTTTATCAAAAAGTTTTCCACCATAAGTCCTGGGAAGGATTCAGATACCACAGTGGGTGTTTGAATCTTGACTTAAGATAAGGTCATCCACAGTATCAGAAATAACATCCGTGAGTACATACCAGACTGAAAGAATGTGTTTGCTTCTTGTTCGACTATTGTACTCACCTGGAGATCTGCGTTGGAAAAGAGGTCAGCTAGGAGTTCAAATATTTGGGTACAGTCCTTGCAGATGTCCCCGTTCTATAAAGTTTGACACATATGAAAAAATAAACACAATCTTTTCATAATTTGTGCAAAGTAATGTGTTGCAGAGTCAGTTATGCTTGATTGAAGACTGAAAATAAAATATCTTTGCTTGATTTGAAAATGTAAGGAAAAAGTAAAAAAATATACTTCCTCTTTGATAAAATGCAAATCTGATTTTACTCTGAAAGAAATCAACTCTATTTCTGATCATTTGTCTCGCTACTTCCAATTTGTTGGTGTACAGCTTTGCAGTTACAGGGTGCATGTTAAAAAAAAAAAAAGATGAATGTTTTACTTATTTACATTTACTTAAGGGATTCAAATCAACACCTGAACTCAGTCTACTTTTTACTGACGCAACTGATACGGCAGAATCAACATCCCATAATTTCTTAAAATGAAAATGTATTAACATATTAACAATGATATGTCCGTTTAAGTGGTTACAGAAGTATTTCACAGTATATGATGATGATGATCCACAGATTTCTCAGTAACATGACATTTTCTTGTTTTTTCTTGTTCGAATATTCGTTGTTTGTTAAATTATGTCCAAGCAAGTTTGTAAAAATCAAATTAAATTTTATATCATCACTTACCTGGGCATCGGGAACATTGTGCAAATCATCCAGGTCATTTAAAGCTGAAGTCAGAGCTGCAGAGGAAAATATTCTATGTTAATAAAAACAAATGGTAACACTTTACAATGACCATTAATGTTTGATCATCATTTAAAAACAGCATATAGACCAATTATAAATAGCAAATAGATAGTTTCTTTAAGTTAATAGTTAATTTACCATCAACAAACAATTAAATTATGATTAATATTTTCATGAATTATTAATGAAGTATTTATTAAAGGTTTATATAAGGTTTGAATATTGGTTGTAAATCATCTAGATTCAAATGTTTGTCAGCAGCCCTTTGTAAATGGGTCAGGGTTAGGTTTTTAAAGTTGTAAAATTTACAATTTATTAATGGTCTATATGCTATTTACGTATGATGATTAAACATTAATAAACTATCTGCTTACCATTTTGAAATTGTCTATTTACCATTTCTAAGTTATGGTTATTGTAAAGTGTTACCAAACAAATATAACTGCGTATTTATTTTCTATCATTCACTTTTTTATTGATCATAATAAAACAAAATCTCACCACAGCCCCCGAGACCAACGAAGAGAAGCAAAGCAATCTTAAAGAAGGCCATCTTCTGTTACTTTCACAGTCCTAGATGAACGTCTACCCTCCTGGAGTCTGTGCAGGGAACTAAGAACGCAGCTTATATTTGTCAGAGCCCACCTGCCACCTGTAGCCCCCACCAGTCGGTTTGTGGCAAAGAGAAAGCTACTAGTGGGATTTGTAAAGATGTGTTTCGTGAAATGTTAATCAGGTTTCATATCCTCAAACTGAGGTGCAAAACTTCACCACTAAAATAGAAAATGATATGCAGAAGTTGTACTTTGTTGCATCCTGTGTCATCAGTATGAATTTTAGCTGTGTATATTGACATTTGATTTGTGCAGTAAGAAACAACACAAACATTTACTATAGTGCATCATAACCGTAACTAATCTACGCAAGCTAAAAAAGTGCCAAAATAATTGTCGCACCATCAACTTCAAACAGATCTCATTTTAATTCAGGTGGCCTAATTTTCTCCTTTCAAAAAACACATCATGCTGTGATGTCTGTAAACCTTGAACATTTATTCATTCTTCATTTTACAGCCCCTACAATGTGAAGGTTTCAGCCTTTCTCTCAAAAGCAGGTTGTGTTACTCGTCACTCTGGCGACTCCTAGTGGCAGCTTCATATAAGACACTGATGGCAAATGAACCACCAGTAAACTACTAAAAACTACAACCAAAAAGACATCCGTAATCTGAAAACTGAAACAGAATTCTGAAGTGATCTTGGAAGCATTCACCTTGTGCACAACTTTATTTCCAAAAGTGATAGGAAAAAAAAAACATTTGCTGAAGTTAAAAAAATACTGTGTCCATTTTAATTTTAATGTCAGTAACACATTCGGGAAAAAAATTACAAGGGTCTGTATATGTTTACCGGTGTGCCACTATCCACTGTTAAATACTCAGGATGTGGTTTGGTAGTTTGTATGTTTAAATGCACATTTAAGCAGCTCTATAGTCATAGCTTAGCCAGTGTCTTTTCTGGGTTAGAAGTTCCCCGAGGAGCCCCTTTGTCCACTTAGTAGTATATGTTGCTTCTAACTCTTTCAGCAACTTATTGCACTTTTACAAATGTGCAAATTGACCATGCCATGTGCACCAATCCAAGGTCAAAGGGTCGTTCTTCAGAGGATTCAGTGTCCATGATTTTAGAGGTCTGACTGGTGACAGTACAGGCCAGCTGAGCTTGGATGAAGGTGGTGGCTGTATCTGATTTAAATACAGTTTCCTCTTTGCATGATAGAGTTCTTACTTGTATTTGTTTATTTTGTACTTTTGCATAGTGGAGCACTTTGCAATGAAAACTCTGAAATTTAACCACTTGGTGAAACTTGAGATCATGATGTAACCTTGACTCATAAATACTCAAATATGCTATGACGGTGATGATGGTGATAATGATGAAGGATTAGTTCTCTTCTTAGGAACAGATTTTTTTGGGCTCCTCCTTAGAGACTAATCACCATCATAAAGGTGTCAGTGCGTGACAACACAAATGTTTTCATTTCTTTGAATACGAAGAATGTGCATCAACTGGTGGACGAACAGCCTGAGGGGTTTCGAGTGTTTCATTTATCAACTATTACTATATAAAATACACATGTGCACATCTATGACACTGAATATTATCACTAAGCAAATAATAAACTTTTGTCCGGTTGTGTTTGTTGGAAAAAAATTGTGCTGTCCCAACAGATGCCCCAGTTCTGAACAAAACAAAAAGTCATCTGATGGAACTAAATCAACAACTTAATTTGGTTAATCCTGTCTGATTAAGGAGCCTAACGTTTAGTCGCGGTATGAATACTTTGACACACAATGCCGCTGGAGTGTGTGTGTACCACACCCACTCTCAGTATTTGATGTAGGCTTGGTCTGCTCTATAACAACATGTCCGACGTTGCTAACTCTATAGTCACTTTTCCATCGACAGTAGCCCAGGACTGTGTTATGCATTCATTCATTATGATTCAGAAAATGTTTAAGGGTTAGTGTGATAAAGGTCAACTCGTTCACAGAAGAGAAATACGAAAACTGCTAAAGGAGCTGTATGAACGAATGAGTACAGCCTCGATTCTCTTTTAAACTAAAAGAAAGTATGTGTTTTGCCCCAAAAGTACTGCTGTGGAAATCAGTTAAAAAGTCTTGTTAGACAGTCGGTTTTATACCTTAAAATATTTTGTACAAAAATTAAAAAAAACATTGGTTTGTGTGTGAGAGTGCATGTGTGTGCGCGTGAAATGTAAGTTTAGTTTTACACAGAATAAGGATTTCTCTGATGGGACCATAAGTGTAAAACATAGAAGAGTATCATGTTGCCACATCATGTTGTTTCATAAAGTTTTGTTGCATAACATAATGTTACATCATGGACTTATTGTTTTTTATCAAATCATATCGGGTCATTATCTATGTTGAATTTTTTAACTAGGATGAGATGAGATGAGATGAGATGAGATGAGATGAGGGGGAATCGGCTTTGCCCAGTCGTGCAAATCTGCTGCCGTGTTTTCAGCACACAGAATATCCTTTAGTCAGTGCAGACCAGGTGCAGGGAGTAACCATGGTAACATGAACACTGTCTGTCTGGTCTGTTGACTAAGAACTTTTTCGAGCCAAGAGTTGAATTGTTTTCTCATTTGTTGTGTGATTCGATTGTCACAAAATCAACTCAATTACACCCACATGCCAAAAACCCTCCCATGTACTGGATTTATGGCTGACTTATAAACTTTTATTGATTTGTTATTTTTTCTTGTGAACTTAAATGGCATTTTACTTCCTTTTCCTGTTCATGGTGTCATTCTCTCCCACCTACGGCTTTTGTCTTTTTTCCAAGTTATTTAACTTTGAACCTCACTGTCACAAGCAAAGCCTTGTCTCATAGGGAATTTTTGTTTTGAGCTGGCATAGCCTACGATGGTCTCCACAGAGGTGCTTCTTTGACAGGAGATATTAAAAATGATGAATTATTAATGTTCTGTTGGGTTTTTAGTTAGATTAGTAGGAGGGAAAAGATGATAAGTGTGAATTAGTTTGACTTAATCTTATTATAAGTTGAATTAAAAAAAAAACAAGGTTCTTTTTTTATGCTAACACAACAGCAATGATGGCAACTGTAGATGACAACATCCATAACCACAAGACGATGGCCCTTATTCTAGAAAAATTCAGAAACTAGATAAAGATTCAGTCTAGATATCAGGCTTTGTCTTCCTGTTCCTCTATCCTCTTCCAGATCTTTGTGTTGCTACTAATGTTTTGTGTTTTCAGGTAGGTCGAATTTCAGTTGGTGTTATCTAAGGTGTATTGCATTTAATTCAATGCCACATGTCAATGCTCTTTATCCACAAGGCTTTGAATGATTAATCAAACCAGTGTCCATCACCCAGCCACTTGCACATTATAGGTTTAGTTAGTTAAACAAAGAGATCCTCTCCGGCACAGCAAGATCATTTAAAGCTCTTTTAATATAGTTTTAAGCTTAGATCCTAAAGCAAACTGCGCTGTTTAATCCAACTTGGAGGAGATCTTTGTTAGTGCGATCCAACTTTCCATATGTTTTCTACTTTATGGAGGCTGTCCTCCTGTTATGCCTGATATACTGAACATTACATGCTGGGCTTCAATGACATTTTTCAGACCGAATTCAGTCCTTCTAGCTTAACTTTTATATGAGCACCAGTGACCAGTGTGGATAGCAGTAATGTGTTGTGTGTTGGTACTTTAGTACTCAGTAAAATGTGACAAAAAAGACAAGTTGATCAGATTTAAAAGTATCATGAGGCTTTCATCAAGTATTATGATAAGAAGCCGAAGTGAAAGTGCTGAAAAGTTGTGCTTTCATCAAACAGGAGGTCTTGTCTTTTAGGAGAACAGTGTGTATCTGTGAGCAGGTCAGGTACCTGTCTAAAAAACAATGAAAAACAGGATAAAAACAAAGGTGTTTTACAGTGGTATAAGGGCTGTGAGCAGTGATCTACTAAAAGATGCAGACTCATTCACTCAATACAAATGAAGCACTGCATTTTCCCGTCAGGTAGACAGGATTTACAGCCATTCTTTTTATCGCTTCACATTCGAATGAGATGATGAGAAAGCCCCAGTTGGCATAAAGCCAGTAATGAGTAATCCCACGGTGAGATAGTGTTTTTTAGAAGTTTTTACATCCAACTGTCCTACATGTTTTTATTCATATTTAGCACAGCAGCTTCAGAGAGATGCAGACTGATCATGTGCTTTTTAAATTGTAAATGTAAATGTTCTTTGTTTATACAGCCCTTTACAACAACGCTCTCGGTGAACCAAAGTGCTTTACAGTACATAGAAAATAAAAATGAATAAATAAAAACAATAAAAGCACAAAAAAAAATCTAACAAACAATAAAAGCAACAACAACAAAAAAAGAATAAAATACAGTGCAAAAAAATAAAGTGTCACCACACTACTGGGTATTAAAATCCAGCATAAAGAAGTATATTCTCAACCAGGATTTGTGAACTATCATAAACTCTTTGATTATGAGTATTTGTGTTTGAAGCCGTGTGCATCTTGTCTTTTAAAGAAACGGTCCTGACTGTCTTTTGTCTGCTGTGCCAACAGGACATACTTTCAGATTATTTTTTCTTACATAACACTAAGATAAATTTGATTAATGGAAGAAGACACTGTTTTTTTAATCATCAGAGCTGTTTAAGTGTGCCGAATTCTGTTGAATTTTGCCATTTATTAGGTTTAGTTTTGCTTTCGCAGTAATTGTGCTAAAGATGCAGTTGGCCTACATTGGGTTGTAGTTCATACACCTAATTAATGATTAAGTACGTTTTATCTTGATCTGACAAGTTTCCCAAATGTGCCTGCAGACTAATCTCTATAATCAGTAGTTTATGGTAGCAAAAGAGTGTCACTTCCAGCAATCCAAGTGCAGCACTCCTCAGAGGAGCAGCACCAGTGTCTGGAACTGTAGATAAATACTAAATGGTAATGTTAACCGGAGACTGATCCTTGTGTTCCTGCTTTGATGTAGGTTATGTGAGCACTTTTACAACGTGAGCTTGCACTTCCTGTTGGGCATGTCAGGCTGACGGCCCCTAACACTCTTAAGGAGGAAGTAAAAACAAGCTCAAGGTGCTGAAAAGAACAACAATAGAGAGTTTTGGCATTGTAACTCGATGAGTTATCCAGGTACCTGGCGTCACCATAGTTGTCTGCAAATAATAGTTGTGGGATTCCATGACGGCGTGTTTTGTTCCTGCGCAGGTTTCTTCCTTGTCAATCTTCGGTGATCTTGTGAAATCACCTTGGCATCCTGCTTGTCACTGTTTCCTCCTGGTGCAGAATTTGTGACAGAATCTGCAAGTTTAGCCCTCAAGTTTTCTCCTGTTGAATTTAAGACACTTTTTAACATTTTTGAAGACACTGGGGCGTTTCTGTTCATGTTGTTTGAGACTGAAGAAAACTGTAACTAAAAACTACGAATCAAACTCAAAAAACAAAACAGAGTCTATAAACTGAGAAACTACAAAGAAACTGACCCTGTCACCTGTCTTTGTTTTGCATGCGTTCATTAAAATGTTCATAAAAACTACATATATTTGCAAAATTTGACCAAACTTATGGTCTGTTATATTTGAAAACAGATAAAACTTTGTTGTCTGCACCATCTTTGACAGAAATTCTCCTTTGACAAGACTCAACAATACACGCTACTCATCGAAATACATAGTTAACACAGTCAAGAGTAATTGATGGGATCAAGGTAAATGGATCATTTATTTATTATTATTATTTTTTATGTGTTTGAGATGTGTTTGAGATGTGTTCAGGGTTATTACTGCTGAGAGTGAAGGATTCCTTGAAGATGTTTTCCCAGGTCAGTGGGACTTTGCACCTTCTGCCTGATAGACCAGACTTAGGGTCTATTACTGGAAGGAGTAATCTCTGACACAGCGTTGGTATCAACTCTGATCCTCTCTATCTGCTGAAAGTTCTAACATTTACAGCTTTCCAAAGAAAAAAGGCAACTCCAATATCCAAGTACCTAAAACACAGCACATGAAAAACATCACAGCTTACATTTATATACTTTCTTTTTTGCAAATCACTTGACTATTATTGCTGCAACAATTTAACTTCTCCTCAAAGATCTGTATGCACTAAATGTTCAAATACCTCCATCACATTTATTCCGATTTATCTCGATCAATTGTTCTGCCTCTATAGGATGTAGGACTCAGGGAGAGTACAAATAATGAACGAGTTAGTGTTAACCTGCTGTGTCTTCAACATGAAACCAAAACTTAATAAGCCTTATTGTGTAGCCGTGCCACTCCAAACTAAACTATTACCCAAACTTCATCTTCATCAAAATACAACCCCAGTTCTGAAAAACTTGAAAAGCTGCATAAAATGTTGATAAAAACTACAGATTTCTTTATACTTGGGAGTAATTTAAATCCCATATATAACTAAAAATAGTGTAAATACAATACATCAAATATTGAGACTGAATTATTATTTATTTATTTATTTGGTGAAAAAGATGTGCTTGTTTTAAATTTGATGCGAACCACAAATCCAGTTGGGACTGAAACACGTCAGTCATTGCATTGTATCAACTGTCTTTAATCAACACTAAAACCATGTGATGAGACCAGTTTCTGGAGTTTTGAAAGTGAAAAGTCGTTTCAGCTGTTTAACCCTTCGTAGTCTCCTTTGTCCTTTTTTTTTTTATGATGCACAAAATATTTTCAATCAGGAGTAATAAAAACATGAGCGAAGACAGACTCTGTTACATCTGTTACACTGAGCAGAGTCAATCAAAGCAGGTTCCTGAAACAGTCAGTAAGACCTCCTAATAGAAGCAGACACAGAGTTGTAGTGAAGCCTGGGGAAGTTTAAGTTGATAAACTCTGTTTTTGTGTGTGGTTAAATCCATTTTGGGGGGTAAATAAGACAATAGAGCATTTTAGACTTATTTTTGTGTGTAGGGAAAGTTTTAAGATGTTCCTCTCTGAACTGAATTTTGCCTTTGTGTGAAATAAGGAAACGTACATGGAAAAAAAACAAGATGTGACCTTTTGTTCCTCGAACTTACCTTGAGTGAAGCAAGACTTCATACAGCAAGACCTTAGAAAACTAAGATAAGGGTCTGACCCCAAACTAAGGTCATGTTAAATCACTTAAATTAATTTTTAGAGACATTTGAAGGACTATTGAGTTGAACAAAGATTTAAAATGCAGTTTCATTTTCTTAAATGTCGCCATAAAATTGGACTTCCTCAAGTCCTTTTAGCGTAATCGGTCAGGGAGGGACTTTATTGTCTCCAGTACAGGGTCTGCTGCTTCCTTATGTGTATCATGAAGGTTAGCTCTTTGTTGTATAACTTTGCAAACTGACTTATTGTCATCGTAAATGACTCATATTGTCCAAGACAGCTCTGCTTCCTGGATTGTAGGGGATTTCACTGACAAAAACAAAAGCATGTTGTATTGTTAAATCAAACAAAACCTGGTATTTGTTTCTATTATTACAAATGAACATTTTCTTAGCTGTTGCCTCATCAAAAAAGTGGAGTTTCCCGACAGTGCGCTCCTGTCATATTGTTTTTTAAGTAAATGTCTGCTCTCTAACCAACTGACTCGAGAAACAGGATTTCTTGCTAAACCCTGAGGTTGGCTTGCAAGGTTTAAGCCATTGCAACTAATTTCTGCTTTTTTGACTTCCTTCATAGAGAACTGGTCAGTATTAATGCAACTTTCCAGGGCATGTTGCAAACAGGATGATTTGCTGACAGAAACGTGAACCAGCACTTTTTTAACGTGACACAAGCAAAACTCTGAGTGGAGACAATCAAAGGAATGGATATTTTGTACGGTTTTCTTTAAATATCAAAGTTTTGCTAAAATAATTTGCACATGCGTCCAGCAATCAAAGTTCAGACAGAACCCATTAAGAAATTTCTCAAAACCAGCTCCAGACCCACTTAGCATTTTTTGGTCTAAAAGAGGTCTAATAGATGTCTAAATAAATGGACGACTGGTCTAAAGTCAGGCTACCACTGGTCTAAAATGAAAGTTTTTTAGACGTCTAAATTTAGACCAAGTTTAGACCAAGTCTAAATCTGCGCTTTATCTATATACTACACTGTATATTGCTCAATGGCTATCCTAATTATTTTTGTTAAGTACTTGGAGATCAGTCATGCAACTCACAGTTGCTTTTTGAAATAAATAGTTATCGAATAATGGGTTAAAGTGCAACGTCTAAACTCCGTCTAAAAATATACAGAATCTAGACGGTTGAAATTAGGTCTAAAATAAAACTAGACGTCTAATAGCCGTCTATTGCTCAGTGGGTAGTCAAACTACATTCATTTTCATGAGTTCTAAGAAGTCTGTTAGTTCTTTTTACATTTCCCTTCAACTTCCAGCCAAGAAATCCAGACAGTGTAGTTCAGTCATTCACATTTGTGCAGCTTCTCACTCCATGTCTCTGTTGTTAAATCATTTCAGACTAAAGTACTTTTTTATGCATGTTGAAGCTCCTGTGAAAAGTTTCATTGCTGCTTTAAGACACGATTAAATCAATTCTGATGAGGCTTTACGAGTCAAAAGTGCAAACAAGACCGTTAACAACAACAAGTATGTATTTATTTATTGATTGTTTGTTTATCAAATCTTATTCTTTGGGCTTGTCACGCCTGTATTTTAAGAGAAAGGACTGTGAATAAAGCAGGAGTGACTTTACAGCTTGGAATCAAACCAGGGCCACCCGTGTGAGACATAAACTCCGTATATGAGGCATGCGCTTTGACTACTAGACCACCGGCACCCCAACGACATGTTTGATTTTGACATAGTCAGTGTTTACGGCTTCCACAATGTGTGCAGCTGCATGTTGCAGAAAAAAAGCCTTTTGTGATTTTTCAAAGACAGAAAGCAGAGTAAAATTTTAGGGTTTAAAAAAAACTACTCAGTACACATGAGTTTTGTACTTTGCGTGTCTGACTTGTTTTGAAGCCAAGAAAAGTGATCTGTGCACATCCAGCCTTACAGGACAAAAACCAGCAGGTGATGCTGATTCACGTTTACCTGGACAAAGACTTTCACACCACAATCGGTCAAAATGATAACCATGAAAGATGCAGTACTAATTTCCTGAGTGTGTTAATCAATGAGGAAGGCTTCTCATGGATTGGTTGACCTTTCAGACTCTCTTCCTTGTTCTGATATCAGTGACCATTGTGCGTGTCAGCTATGAAAAAACTATTGTGTGAAACAACAACTGCAGGGTTCCCCCCTCATAACAAACCAAAGTTTGAACTTAAACCTCTCTAACCTTTTCCTTGTTGTACAACCATTTGTCACAGGTGACACCTTTTACTTATTGACCTATGGGAAAGTCAATAAAGCACAGACTGGAACTACGGACTGTAGTCTACCAGAAAGGAAACAAATAATTTTTTTATTGGGCGGGTCTTGTTAAATCAGATGAAATGGTTGTAATTGCTGTAGTATTTCAAGAAATGTGAACTCCTTCCTCTATTGAAAGCCTTCCTCAAGTTTATCAGTGTCTTTATGGCACAGCTATGAGCCACAACATGTCAACATCAGCCAACAAGTATCTGTCCAAATCTAACATCCCTTCAGAGGCTGGAAGAGCTTAAACTGTCTGAAATATTCCTTTAAAAAATCAGCATAAATCGTAATTAGATAAAGGAAAATGTTATTTATTATTATTATTGCTTCCCCTGACTGATGAGGATTTCTAATAACAGATTGTGTACGACTTACTGACCTGTTTTCTAGATTATCAGTCCATCAATCAATAATTGATAAGGATGAGGGATTTCCTCCAGCACAGTGAGGAGGAAGAAGGAACTGCAGCTCTTTACTGACAGTAGCTTCACCTGAACAACCCTGGGGGCGAGGCCTCGTGGCCTCACACTGAATAAAAAGAGGTGTGAGGCTGTGAGAAACATCACTTCAGACTTCAGATCTCTAAGAGCATTTGAAACCTTCTCATCTATCTCCAAACCCTACACACACAGGTAAGGAGAGTCCTAGAGTTCTTTATTTTTCAGGTTATGAGGTGCTTGACAAATATATTTGTGTATGCTTTTTTAAAGGTAGTTTAGTAACTTTATTCTTGACTTTTCAGAGATGCATCTCTCTGTCCTTTTTGTGCTGGGCATCAGCTTGATGTCTGCTCACTCCAAACCAGCCGGTACGTCTGCAGCAGTTTTTGACATTTTTCTCTGAATTTGACTCTCGTAGTGCTGATCAGGTTGAACGAATCCTGTCATGTTAATGCCCATTTTAAAGAGTGTGGTACTTTCTTTGCAGGATTTAGCAGTTCTCTCCTTCAGAGTTGTTTTGAGGACGCCAAGAAAATTGTGGATGATGCATACAAGTACTCCAGAGAAGAGTGAGTACTTGTTGCATGAACATATGGAGCTAATGGGTTGACTGGGTGTGTTTGGGATACACAAAGATGTGGCAAAGTGCTTTTTTTAATATGCATAATTTTCTTTAAATTTAAGTCTCTGTATGTCTGTAAATCGTCAAGCAATGAAATAATTAGATAAGGTGAGATTTAATCAGCTTTTGTAAGCAAATTGAGAATTTAAGACTAGAAGATTGAGTGATTGGATGAATATAGCAAACCTGTTTTTTTGACTGCTTGTGTAAATGAGCTTTCTATCAAAAGTCAAATTTCTTCCAAGAACAAAACACTTTTGATTAAACTTTTTTCACTTTTTATCTCGTAGGAGTCTGAGACGAGTCCGCAGGGAGGTGGTACGTCCACACGACGCTCTCCGTCTCATGAAACAGCCTCGTGCCCTCACCCGTCAAGCTGTGAGATCTGCTGACTACATGTCCCAAACCCTCCGTCTGCTGCACGAGAGGGCACCTCACGTTCACAAACGCTCCCTGAACGCAACAGGTCAGGAAACAAAGACAACACATCCACGCAAACACAGTTGTCACATTGTTACTGTGACATTTTTTTTCCCCATTCTTGGTTGAACCTGTACGGGGTCCTGTTTCATAATGTGGTCACAGAAAACACTTTGAAGTTGTAATTAGGTCTTGACAAAGACAGCAGACAGCAGACATGAACCTAGTCAAGGTATCCTGTGCTGTTTGTTTTTTCAGATCTGCTCACTGAAGAGGACCTGATGAAGCTCGCTGAAATAACCGGATGTTCAGCTCAGGTCACTTTACCTGAATGCCGCACCACACAAAACCTCGACAAGTATCGCACAGCCACCAGCGTCTGCAACAACTTGTAAGAGAAACATATAAGAAGACGTTTCTAGGACTATGTTTTAAATTTGCTATAAAGATGAAATTAGGATTTTTTTTTATTTCAAATCTACAAAAACGTAATTGAAAATTTTTTAACATAGAACACAATCTTAATGATCAGCTTCTGCTGCTTCTTTTGTGGTCTTGCTTTCCTGAATTTGAAGGAAATACTTGTGAAACTTCTTAGGCAATTCACCACAGAAGGTGTCAACACTGAAACGCTGAAATTTCTCAAACAGCATTTCCAAACTTGAACGTCTCTTTCTCACCTTCAGAAAAAACCCGCGTTTCGGAGCCTCCAACACACCCTTCGCCCGCTGGTTACCCGCCGAATATGATGACGGCGTCTCTGAACCGAAAGGGTTTCAATTGAACCGGACGTTTAACAACTTCATGCTCCCACTGGTACAGCCCTCAGAATCCTGCAACTGTTGTATTGATTGATATACATGATGGATTGTTCAAACTGGAAAACTGAAATAAATTCTTCTTTTCTCAGGTGCGACAGGTGTCCAACAACATCCTCAGCACAACAGATGCAGGCGTGGTCAACGACACAGAGTTCACTCACATGGTGACTTTGTTTGGACAGTGGAATGACCACGATCTCACCTTCACACCCTTCTCCCCCAGCATCGTCTCCTTCAGCAATGGGATAGAATGTGAAGAAAGCTGTGAGAGAACTGAGCCGTGCATCCCCATAAGGGTCAGTGTGACAAGTCAAACTCAAATGTTCATTTTCTTGTTTCCACTTAAAGATTAGATCTGTAACCTTTGATTCATGCGTACCCAACAGATCCCTCCCAATGACCCTCGCTTCCCTACCGGCCCAGACAGTTGCATCCCCTCCTTCAGATCAGCCCCGGTTTGCGGAACAGGATTCTCGGCCTACAACTTTGGTGGGGAACCCAACAAGAGAGAGCAGATCAACGCTCTCACAGCCTTCCTGGATCTCGGCCAGGTCTACGGTTCCGAGGAGAGTCTCGCTCTGTCTCTTCGCAACCTGAGCAGCGACGACGGCCTGATGCGCGTGAACACAGAGTTCAAAGACAACGGCCGTGAGCTGCTGCCCTTCCACCCTCTCCAGGTGAACATGTGCGCCACACGCAGAAGGACGACCAATGACAGCAACGCCAGAGAGGTGCCCTGCTTCATTGCAGGTAAGTCAACTTAAAAGTTCAATCACAGCAAAGGTCGTGATCCGAGGGAGTGAGTGCAATGAGTCTCGGATCACCCTTTTCCGATCAACTCTAAAAACCCAAACCCCTCTCTCTCTAAGGTGATGTCCGTGTTGACGAGAACATCGCTCTGACTTCTCTTCATACGTTGTTCCTGCGGGAGCACAACCGCCTGGCTCGTCAGCTGAAGAGGTTGAATCCACAATGGGACAGTGAGACCCTTTACCAGGAAGCCCGCAAGATCATGGGTGCCTACACACAGGTAGGTACACCTGAAGGCCAGTTAGCATTCACAGCTACAGTCATACACTCCACTGTCTTTCCCAGAAAATAAGTTTCTGTCTCTGTCTCTCTAAGGTGTTTGTGTTCAGGGACTATCTGCCACATATTGTGGGTGACAGAGCAATGGCGACACTGCTTGGGCGTTACCCCGGCTACAATCCCAACGTTGACCCCAGCATCGCAAACGTCTTTGCAACAGCAGCTTACCGCTTTGCCCACTTGGCCATTCAGCCAGTGCTAGGTCGTCTTGACGCTAACTACAGGGAGAACTCTCAGTTCCCCAGTGTTCCCCTCTATGAGGCTTTCTTTGCGCCCTGGAGAGTCGTCTTTGAAGGTGAGTAATTCAGAGATAAATACTGTAACATGTCAGTCAACTCTCTCTTAAACTTGCAACCTAATCTTGGTTTTCTCTCTCTCTCTCTAAAGGTGGCATTGACCCTCTGCTCCGTGGTTTGGTCGGCCGTCCTGCTAAGCTGAACACCCAGGACCACATGATGGTGGACGCCATTAGGGAGAGGTTGTTCCAGTTTGTGCAGCATCTGGCTTTGGACCTGGGCTCTCTTAACATGGAGAGAGGACGTGACCACGGCTTGCCTGGTACATCCCTTCCTCTGGTTTCTGCCTTTCAACCCTTTTTTCAATCTATGTCTTTCCTCACAGTCCTAATTTACTCTCTTTTTGTTGTTTTGATTCATCTAGGCTACAACGCCTGGCGCAAGTTCTGCGGCCTGTCTACACCCAGAAACCAGGCAGAACTTGCTCAGGTCCTTAACAACAGTGACTTGGCCGCTAGGCTGCTGCGGCTCTATGGTACACCTGACAACATTGATACCTGGTTGGGAGGTGTGGCCGAGCCGTTTGTGCGTGGCGGTCGTGTTGGGCCTCTGTTCGCCTGCCTCATTGCTCAACAGTTCAAGAAGATTCGCCAAGGAGACAGGTCAGAACATTAGCATCTTTAATACTGTGTGTAAAGCTCTGATCCTGCCGGCGTGGACGCACTTACCTCTTTCCTTGCTCTCCTTGTTTTAAACGGTTAGACTTTGGTACGAGAACCCGGGTGTCTTCAGCTCTCGCCAGAGACGGGCCCTCTCCTCAGCTTCACTGTCAAGGATCATTTGCGACAACACAGGAATCACCTCCATCCCCGCTGATCCCTTCGCCGTACCATCACGCAGGAACCTGTTCGTCAGCTGCTCCAGCCTTCCACGACTGAACCTGTCAGCCTGGAGAGAGAGGCCCTGCTCAGGTGAAACAGCACGGGTCCAGACTCATTAACCTTTAGAAAGGGGGGCACCATTTTCACAATCATTTGTCACCAACTGTAGTTTCACCTGGTGTGTGTTTATTTCTTCTCTAACCCCTTTGTGCGGACATCGTTCTTCATGTGTGGTGTTTAATCTTGCAGGACCAGGTGGTAGCTGTACTGAAGTCAGTGCAACAGAGGTCGGTTTTAAATACTAACACTGAGTTTTCACATTTTATGAGCACCATTTAGCCACACTTTCTGAAAAAACGTGCACATTCAAATCATTCAGCACCTCTTGTACTTAACCTTTGGTGAAAGTAAATAACATGTAACAACAATTTTTCACGAGTTTTAACTATTAAATGTTTCTGATGTACAGAGTGTGAGCGACTCGGACCTCCCGGACCACGGGGGCCTAGAGGACAACGAGGTACTTTTTTCAATCAACCTTTGACAGCTGAATTTCCTCTGAATGGTTTAAAATGTTGTAATATTTTAATGTTACACATGCTGTGTTAAGTCACTGACTTACACTTTTTCAGCATTTTCCATTATAGGCTACGTATTGTATGGGTTAATTCTGATTGCATAATTTAATGTGTGCACTCAGCAATACAAACCACAAAACATAGAAAATGTCTGAGGAATTCATTAACAGTGCATTTGTGTTAAAAACTTTGTCTTTAAAGAGGAAAAAATACACCAAGAACAAAAAGTGTTCATAATAATAGTGATAATAATTGTTTTATTTTTAGCTATGCATCACTCAAAACATTGAAGCAGTTCAGAAATACATGTAAATAATAAAGTAAAGTATATAACTGTGTACTGTGTATTCTATGAGCACTTTGAATAAACCTTTTCCTGTGTATCTTTGCAGGTCTAGCTGGACCCCCTGGACCAAGAGGCCCCAGAGGCCCCCCCGGATATATAGCACTCAACGTTAATGCCTCACAGCCGCTATCTGCCTTCTCCGTCCTCCTGGGCAAGTACAGCTTAAGCTCAGAGAGAATCATTTACTTCCACCAGGTCATCTACAACGAACAGCACCATTACAGCACAAAGACCGGCATGTTCACGTGCGTCATCCCCGGTGTCTACCAGTTCAGCTTTACTTGCATGACCTACAAAAGTACAGGAAGCATGGACCTTAGATGTAACAACCAGGTGGTGCTGCACAGTTACCCTGTTTACCAGGGAGGCCGCCACATGGCTTCAGGAGACACCGTGCTCCGGCTAGAGAAGGGAGACAACGTGTGGGTGGAGGCCAAAGAAGGGACCAAAGGCCTGAGCACTAAAAGCCACTTCTCAGGACATCTGCTCTTCGCTGTGTGACACAAACGCGTCTTCTTCAGGCTGAGCCTCCACCCTCTAATGCACTAGTTCTCTGTCTGCTTTAGGATCTCTTTCATGACTGCACCTTTTTGCACTGAACCTCACCTAAAAGTAATCAGGTTATAGCAAATTTCTAAGATAGTTTGATTTATAATCTTATCTTTGTTCCTCGGAGTAGGATTAAGCTTCAGCTGACAAACGAACATGTTCAAGTCTCTGAAACACCAACAAAAATTTTCATGAGCAGCTAAATAAACATGAATGACTCTGATTACAGCAAATCCAGTAAACTGTTACAGTATGCAGTCTATTTTACTATTTAATATCATCAGTAGCTAGATTGTGATGGTGGAAACACCGGTATTTTAATGATATTTTTATGCACTGGTGAAATATAGACATGTATCTTAAATGCTGCATTGTGCTTTGACTGTGAGGCTATTTCTATTGTAACTTTCAAATGTGTTTGTGTTTTGCATAGATAAATAAACTAAGCTGCAATTAAAACGTGTTTATGCGTTCTTTGTTAGACCAGAGTTACTGCATGGTTACTTATCTGAATCACAAAAGCTAACAACGATACTGACAGCAGGTCCGCTAGCACGAAGGATGAGACACATGTCTACTCACAGAACCTGTTTGTCAAAAAAAAAACACCCTGTCTTATGTAATGTGATATTCAAGTCAGATAAAAACACATCAACCTGGAGTTTTCCGTCTGTTATCTACCATTTAGCACATGAGCCATTTGTGTAGCAGCTAGCAGTTTTAAAACCAAAGCTCTGAGGGTTCAGTGTTTCCACTTTGTGCTTGGTCTGAAAAAAGGAAAACAGGTGGAAATGTTGGGATTCTTGGCATCTCATATGTTTGTCAGATACATGAAGCTTGAGTTCACTCACTTTCTGAATCTACATGTACAACACAACACCGACAAAGGCACAATCTTCAGTAAATATCCATCTTATGCTGTGTATGCTCCCTGTAGATGGAGCCATTGTCCTTTTACAAACAAAATTAATATAACATGTGTATGTATAATCCATGTCAGGACATGACCAGTTAATCTAAAGTCTAGGCTTTCAAAACATCTGAAAAGAAGTGTTTGCTTCATGGCTTTGATTTTCTTTTTTTTTTTTTCCAAACACGAAACCAAAGTAACTTTTAAACACCAGGTTTAACTTTTAGCTAAAGATCCAAATGTCCTCTTTTCTAAATCCCACAGAAAAACTAAAGAGAGAGAGAGAGAGAGAGAGACATGCCCAGTTTTGTAGAGGATGTCATTCTCATCTTTACCATTTTCACCTTGTTATCTAAATTACTCCCCTACACTTGAGCCCAGAATCTGCCCACCAAGACTTAAACACGGCTTAAAGATGAAACACACAAACATTTACATCTGTGGTGAGCTTGGTGTTTATTCCAAAGCCCACCTGAGCTGTACATACTCACATGTGGAGGTGTCCAGAGGAAACGTAAAAGGAGCAACAGACAAACATTTCTCTGTAAGGCTTGTATAGGTTAATATTTAATGACTTGTGGTGTCTCCCTCTCTTGCATCTATAAAACTATAGCTATATAGATAGACAGCAGCAGTGAGAAGAAATGCTAAACTAAACTTTGTCTCCAGTAAAGGGATAAACCACTGGGAGAAGTGAAACATGGAAATAATTGCTGAAGCCTCGAAAAGTCTTCAAAAACTATTCATTCAACAAACAGAATGAGAAACAGAAAGCTCGGCTGTGACATTGTGTGCTATAACTTATTTTATTTTATTGTTACATTGTTGTTGGATTCTTTAGTATTATTTAAATGTCTCAGCCAGTGTTTCATCAAATTATCTGATCAAATATAAAATGGAGAAAAAGAGACAGGACTTAAAAAAAAAATAATAATAATTGACTCCATCCTTCTAGTCGAACTGAAATGTTGTTATGTCAGAGTTTTAACAATGTGTAGTAGCTTTGTTTATATGTTTAATTTGTTATTTCTATTTTTTTCTTTTTTAAGAAAAAAAAATGTGAATACAAACTAAGTTGCCTAATTGTTGACATCTCCATTTGCCAGTTTAGTTGACAAATGTACTTTTAAAATCATGTATGTTTGCACCTGTCTGACAAAGTTAAGCTTGCAGTATGACACAGCTTGCCAACACTGTGTGTTTTTAATGTGTTCAAGGTCAATTTCTTCAATTTACGGCCTGTTTTTGTTTCTTTTCTCATCCTGTCCACAGACTGTATAAACCATGAACACAGTTTTAATGTCTTGAGCCTCTGACCACTGAAGAGACACGCTATTTCTGCCATACTGCAAAAACAGATGACCCTTTTCAGTCCGCTTGCCATGCAAATTTATGCACAACTCATAGCTTTCGAGACATCACTATTTTTGTATCAGGCTGTAACTATAATTGTGAGTAAAAATGGGACCCAGATGGTTTTTATTGGCTTTTGTAGCCAGCCTCGAGTGGACACTCAAAGAACTGCAGTTTTTCTTATTATTTACTTCTACATTGGCTTGATTTTCCAATACCTGAGGTTGCAGCTTGTCAATTGTCTCAGTATAGTTTTCCATTTTTTTAGACCATTTCATAAGCAAGATAACGGATATCCTTACGGTAGTGATAATTTGACAATGTGTTAACAGTGTGTATCTCTTCTGCTGCCAAGCGGCTATAAAACTAGAGACAGAGCTGTTGTCCTAATTTATTTCACTGCCTGTCAGTGTAATTTATGACCTTTGTAATCCCAAACGCTCATTCTAGTGTCGTCTATCTATACAGAAGGCTGAAAAATCACAAGTGAAAGTAAAACAAGTATATCTCTTTTTCACTGGATTAAGTTTCTTCCATCTCAATAGTTGTGGAATGAGGAGAGAGACTGGCAGTGAAACAGATCAGCATGAATCACTGCACAATGTAAAGTTCTCTGGCTTGTGTCTTGATAAAGCACTCCTCCTCCTGGTTGTAGAGAATATAGTGCATGTGCAGAGTGCCACGTAGTCCACCAGACAGTGTGTGTGTGTGTGGTGACAGACTGTGTGTGTGTGTGTGTGCGTGCGTTGTGCAAGCCCTAACTTGGTGCTCCAAGTGTAATGGAAACCCAGTATTTATGAAAGAGGAGAGAGTTTTTGAGATGTCTGTTTCTGTCGTAGGATTTGGGCTGAACTTGACCTTGTTTGAAAAAGTTTTTCAGATTGGAAGGTGGAGAGAAAAGCTACCACCAGAAAGAAGGAGAAGAGTGTAAAGAAGAGATTCACAGCGGGAGAAAGGTTGTAAAGAGAAACTTGTAGGGTTTCTGATGAGGGATAGAAAAATATTAGGAAAAGATAAGAGTCAGCGAGCTCTATCAGGGAGGTTTTAAGAAATGTGTGTGGTTTGATTTGACCCTGATGAGATCATAATGGTGTCTTGAAAATGAAATGCAAATCTGCTCTGAAGAAACAGATACTGAACTACATATAAACAAGGGCTAGAGAAATGTCTGTTTTATTTCAGCATCTTCAACGAAATACCTGAATCCTTCTAAAATGTGGACACTTGCTGTTAAATGCTTAAATGTAGTCTTCACATCTCAAGCAAAACGGTGAATCTCTGTCAGCTGTTGACTCAACAATGGCGCTGAATAAGTGGTGTTGGTTTGTGGTAAGTGTAGCATCATGAAAGGAAAAGGAACTTTTAATTTTCCCTCTTTACAAAATGACATGTCCCGTGCAGGAGGCTTCGTCACTACTTCCCTCCTTTTTTTTTTTTCTGCAGCCTGCACGTCGATTTATTCAAATTCTCCTGGTTCGATCGAGAAAACGTCAGGAATGGGGGTAAATTCCAGCAACGTGGACAAAAGAACTCAGCTAATTCTTTGCAGATGTGTCTCTTAAGCCGTGCGAGGGAACACTGTGCTGCCCTCACTGGAGAGAAAAAGGACTCTGCGTGGAGAGCGTTCAATGAAGTACGAGCAAAAAACATCAGCGACCCAGTACAGCTGGTTCTGACTGCCTGTCTTTGTTGGTTTCTGGGGGGAAAAAAAGGAGTCCGCCTGGGTGCCGATGTGCATAGTTTCCATTCTCTTGAGGAAATCTTGGTATGCAGAATCACAGGAGTGTATGTTGGTCATTTTCAAAGCAACAACACACACAGATATTGGCCATACACAGCTGTTTTAGACAAATCCAACATGGTTGAAAACTTAAACTCTTGAGCCACACTGCTATTTTCCTTTTATAAGGACAAGTGAGCCATTGGTATCCTTATCCTGCGCTTGTATCAAATGTTTCCACTCATCTTTTAGTCAGATAAATCTGCAGGGAGAGGCTCAAATAACTCCACTTGGCTTTGATTTCTCCTCACAGCTCACTCAGGCTCAAAAAGCAACCTCATGTGGACGTGAGATAATGCATGCCCTCTGTTATCCAAGAACAATACGGCTGGTTTAGCCCTAATTCACAGCATGATTTAATCTGTTTGTTCTACTATTAAAAGAGAACCCTGTGTTAGACTTTAAAGTATTTTTAGGCTGCCCTTGGATCACTCTTTCTCAGCAGTCTGGGCTTTTAAGAATTTCACTACACATTGTAATGTCCTTGTCCTTGTTTCTGAGGGTTTTTTTTTTTTTGACAATGTTGTTTGTTTAAGCAAAAAAAAAAAAAGTTGGGGTTACCAAAAACTTTTAGCCTCTCCTCAAAGATCTAAACTGTTTTTGTCCCTCGCTGTTGTCTGTGTCCCCATCAGGGCCTGAAGTCCCAGGAAGATCATGCAAATCGGACCAATGACATCAGGACTGTAATTTGGCAGATGAGGTCACTTGCACAGCTCTTTATTCGAGTCTCTGCTGAACCTCTGTATGAAAAACGTTGTCCCAGATCACGCTGGCATGCAGCAGCTGTATCATTTATAAACAAACAACAGGTTATGGAAATTTGTGCTCTCGTGTGAGCCCCCTTTCGTGCCTCTACTTGTCTCAGCTGGTGTATGTCTGTGAATCGAACACTTGCTTATAATGTAAACAAGATTGTTTTCTGATGAGACCAGCCCCTGAAACTGTTGGAACACCCAAAAGCATCCCCACAAAATGCATTTCAACGAGCCCATCTGATTTTTTTCAGGTGACAAAGCAGCTTTTTGTCCATCTTCATAGCTTACAGTCTGATGTTGGCGAACTTCCGCTCAATTCTGGCCTCTTATGTTGCCAGTTGGACTGAAAACAATGAAAAATTACACGGAAAAGAAAGTTTTTCAGCTCCTATCTGCATAACTGTAGATTAAACCTGCAGTCCGGATATGTTGTCTGTCATTTTCTTCACCCTTCCTTGGACCACAACCATCCTGCAGTCCTACATCCTTACTACACTCTAAAAACTCTTGGGTTATTTCTTCAAACCCAATTCCTGGGTTATACGTGTTGAGTTAAATTTCTGGATTATTTTTCAAATCCATCACCATTTCTTCGGTCATATGGCTTCTACTGTAACCCAATTTGAGGGTTTTTTGAATGGGTTAATAATTATGGGCTATTTTCCTGAGTGTAACCCAATAACTGGGTCAGAACGTTGGGTTCGATTGACTGTACGTGGTTTCTAGGTCTATTGGCAATTAAAGTGACCCGGTAACCCTGTGAACTGAATATATATATATATATATATATATGTATATATATATATATATATATATATATATATACTGTATATATATATATATATATATATATATATATATATATATATATATATATATATATATATATATATATATATATATATATATATATATATATATATATATATATATATGTGTGTGTGTGTGTGTGTGTGTGTGTGTGTGTGTGTGTGTGTGTGTAGATATATGGCTGGGGTAGTTTAGCGGGTAAAGCATCCAGTTCCCAGCCCGAATTTGGGGCCCAATCCCGCATGAGACACATCTGTAAGGAGCAAACTATATCTACCTGTGTGGGTCCTTAGGCAAGACCCTTAGCGCTATGGCGTTCCTCATAAACATGAGTGTGTACCATTGGTCCTCTCCTCTTCATCATCTACTTCCTCCCTCTTGGCCACATCCTCCGTCAACACAATCTCCATTTCCACTGCTATGCTGATGACATTCAATTGTACATCTCTTCCACCTCCATCACCCCCCAGACCCAACACTCCCTCTCAAACTGCCTCACTGATGTCAAACACTGGATGGACAGCAACCTACCTGTTGCAAGAGCATCTTTGAGTTGGTGAAAAGCACTTTACAAATAAAATGTATTATTATTATTATTTATTTTATTATTATTATTATTATTATTATTATTATTATTATTATTATTATTATTATTAAAAGCCAAACCAGCTCAGACGTTGCCCGGGTCAACAAGGTCTGCAAAGCAAAGCTCCCCAAATGCATGTAACAATTTAACCCAAGATCATGAGTCATATTAACTCCAAGATTGGCTGAACTTGACCCTTAAAAAGAGTTATTGAGTCAACCCAAAATTTGGGTTAATTTGAATAACCCAACATTCAGAGTCAAAATAACCCAATAAGTAGTCGGTCCCTTTTCAACCCTGGTGTTTTTAGAGTGCACAGATAGCCATAGTGTGTCAAAAGTGCACCAAATGAAAACATGGAGGATGAAAACTGTTAAAGTGAAAACAGATTTTAATAAAACAGCATCCTAATTTAAGAAATGTAGATTTTGCGTCTGATTCATCATTAAAATTAACCCTTCTTTTTGAACTTTAAGGGTAAACACATGTTAAGAAACACTTTGTTCAGCGAAAATCTCAGCACTCTCAGCACTCTCAGCACTTGTTTCTTTAGTCACTTTCTTTGGTTAGTTATGTAAATCCTTGTAATATAAACTGGTTGTCAAAGACTCAATCCTTGTAAATATAATTAGTGGTATCCATCTCCAGGATGTGGTTTGTCTTCTCCACAGGACAGACAGAAATGGTTCACAGTCTTGTGTGCTCATGAAAAAGGGTAGAAAGGTGTTTTTTAATTTTGTTTTTCATTTTTTCTTCAAATGAAAACCTAAAGTCAGTGGATGGATGTCTGACACGGATGGGGATTCCACCTTTTTATTTTGGCGCTAGTCCAAATGTCGAATACTGGGAACAGCCTGCTCAACACTGGCTTTATAATTTTCTCTTCCTCTCATCATTAACCATTGGAAAAACCAACAACATTAAAGGAACAACTAGAAGGAAGTGGATGAAACAAACAAACATTGCTTTCTTGTAGGATGTCATGAAAGCTGATTGAAATTGCACGTTTCCCTGGCTTTTAAACGGGCGCTCAAGAGGCGCTAAAATAAACCAGTCCGAATGATGTGCCAACAACCACCACAACTGAAGTAAAAGTATTTAAAACTGTTGTGGAAAACCACTCTTAAACGTGAGGCGAAGGCGGTAATTATGGAGAGTGGTTTCGTGTGATAATTGTTCAAACGAGGATAACAGCACAGGACTTTCCTCACGTCGGTTATGGTGTTGTTCTTATTCAGACACATGAAAAACAGTCAGCTGTGTGAAAACAAACTCAGCTGGACAGAGTCGTCAAAGTCTTGCCTTTACTTTCTCACACCTTCACAGCTGGCCAATCGAGATAATTGGGATGCAGGATCAATAGTTTCAAAAAGTTGAAGAAATGTTGGATTCAGGGCTGAAGTATTTTACATTACAGCAAGTTTAGGACATGGTGTTGAATGAATTGAGAGAATTGATACCATCTGCATGAGTGGTATCAATTTCCTCATCTTAACACTGCACCAGAAAGCACTTCTGTAAATCATGAACTATTCCTTTAAGTGTTTGTTTGTTGTGGCTTGATGTCCACCAAATTTAACCAGCAGAAAAACCGAAAAAACAAATGATCCCACCAACTACTATTTGAGCTGTTCAGTACGTGTAGGAAACAACAGCAGAAGACATATTGTTTTCAGGGATGGTCAAAGGTAAGGACATAATCTATGACTTTAAAAACAACTCTCTACGATGCTGATAAAGATTGTTATTGCTGTGGTCTGCCCTCTAGCGTTAAAATGAAGCTCACTGTAATAGAAACGTCATTATTGACCATTTTGATTTCATTAAGTTGCGTTTTTCAAAGCCTCTACTGCCTCCTGTAGCTTAATCTTGACCTGATATTACATCCTTTGAAGCATACATAAGGCATATGTAGCTTTTGGCCTGCTTCCACTTTAGGTCAAGTTCCCATAGAGCTTTGTGATTTCACTAACTGTAAAACCCTTGGGACCATTTGCTGAGGTTTAACGGCAGCTTCTCTGTGGTCGATTGTGTAGATGCTAAAAAGAATCTCAGAGTTTTCTGGACTGAAGGAAAAGAAGCAAACCTTAGATTAAGTCTCAAAAGCTATGCATTATAGCCGTGCTGTTAACAGCAGGGCGGTGATTTGTCCAGACTGCAGAAAATGACTTCTCAAGGTGGGAGCGTGGGGTCACCATACAGTAGCTCAGACAGCAGATCCAGCAACACACATCACTACAGCCTCCTTTTGTTTATCCCTAAATATGACCTTAAAAAGGAAGATGAATGACTTTAAGATGCATGTGATGGCTTTCTCACATTGTCTGCAAAGCTCCAGGCAGCAGAGGTTTGTGGGGGAAGAACAAAAAAAGAATATGTTGCAGAGCCATCAAAGAGTCATGTTAAACTTTGAGAAAGGGGAGTGCAGTGGCGTCTGGTGGAGCGGCTGGCTGGAGTGTGTTGCAATTTAGTTGGGAGTTCATCCAACAGTCAGGAGAAAAGCTATTTATCATGAGACTTGAGATCTGGCAGAAAGCAAAGAATAAAAGAAAATGTACATGGGCTTGGAAATGGGTCATTTTATTCACTGAAATTGATTCATCTAACTCTTTGTGTGCTGTGCTAACTTAGCATATGCATTCTGTTATTGTGTGAGATCAAGATTTTCTCTGCTTGTTACTTTAGCCACCTTCCAGAGGGTCAAACCGAACAGTTATCAAACACACTTGGCTGGGCATGATCAGACATCACGTATCCTTCTACTGGTTATATGAGCAACAGCAGCAGACTTGTGTAACAAATTCAGAAAACTGCAAAGACTGAACTCCTCCTCCTCCTCCTCCATCATCCTCATCTCACTGGGCGCATCTGCAGGCTGCAGGAGAAGAGCGATATGAGGTTACGCGGATACATCCAAACTTAGCTTTTCTTCCCTAAAGTCCCTCAAACTGAGATGAAGGATTTTTGAGTTAAAGATAACTGAAAACCCCCGGCTCATATGAGGTATTCGCTTTGTCACCACCAGTCTGCGTTAATTTAGAATCATAATGGAATTACGCGTATTTGGCACGCGTCTTTACGCATATGCCTGCCTCTATTTTTGCGCTTTCATCCTGCAAACTGTCCATTCTCAGAGGGAACCTGTGTTGCAGCAAAGGGCAGCTCCCCGGCAAACCTTTCAGTGGTCGCACAATGGGCAGATTTTTAGTATTTTAAGCCACGGATCAGAGTATCAACCAGCAAGGCGAAGAGGGGCACCACAGGAGCAAGTGCACGCGCGACCTGTCACCATCATTCGTGACGGGGACGCATCAAGACTTCCGCAAGACACCTCGAGTCAGTCGCAGCAGCAACCGCAGCCTCAGGCGCACAGCTCCCGTGGTCTCCCGTCCGCGCTCCAACGGCTCGTGAGAGGGCACGAGCACCGCCAGCATCACCACGAGCGCCCCGGCGAGACGCAGAGAAATCAGGCAAATGAGACTCAGGAAAAGGTCACTGTCAGCCCACCACTGCCCCGGAGACAAGACGTGATGATGGGGGATGATCCCTACGACCCCTACAAATCCATCGACAGTGATAATCCCTATTACAATTACTATGACGTCTACGAGAGACCGAGACCGAGATCAAGACCCGGATATGGCACAAGGTATCATCAGTACGGTAAGAGAAGGGAAAGTTATCATTTAAAAAAACGACTTCGGTTTATAATGTTTTGTGAATACATTACTTTTGCGTCTTCGAAGTGAAATAACAGCAAACGAACATATCCAAAAGTTAACAGGACCCCCTAGTGCAGTGGTTTTCAACTGGTCTCACTCTGGGACCCACATTTTCCCATGGTCCTTAAATCGCGACCTACTTTTATAGAATTCAAACCAAGCACATTAATCTTTTTAATTAAAAAAAAACCCTTTAAAGACTCTAATCTTTAACATGAATCCACTTGTTTTGCTGAGTAAAGTGCATTTCACAGCACATGAAGGGGACAACATGAGAACGACAACTACTGAAGTTCCGTATACAGAAAATTTTGAACATTTACTTTTTTGATCAGCTGTTCGTGACCCATCCAGAATGTGTCTGCGACCCACTTTTGGGTTGGGACCCACCAGTTGAGAACCACTGCCCTAGTGTGTTTGATGCCATGTTACATGTCCTTTAAAATGCTCTCTAAGTCCAAATCAAACAGTCAGTTTCTGTGTTATTTGACTATTTTAGGTCTGCCTGATCTTGTACCTGACCCATACTACATCCAAGCCTCTGCCTACGCTCAGAGGGTCCCAATGTACAACCTGAGATGTGCAGCTGAGGAAAACTGTCTGTCAAGGTAGACTGTCTGGCTGTCACGACTTATTCACAAAGACAAACAGAGAAAGTTAAAAAAAAAAGAAAGTGTGTGTGTGTGTGTGTGTGTTTGTGGAGGGGGGGTAGCCGCCAAGTCTGTGTGTGTGATTCAGAGAGCTGTGAGCCATAACAACCACCTAAAGTGTCTGTGGGTGAGAGGGCTGAGCAGTGGAAGCATGTGATGAGGTAAAATTAACCAAATCCTTCCACTGATGGGGTGGAGCGGAGGATTTCTGTAGTGTTTAATCATAGCGTGCCCAGAGGAGAGAAAGCCTGAATGGTAAACACATTATTGAACACTAACCCAAACAACCTCATGCCTTTAAATTATTTTTCCACCCCTCATTTACACAGATGGTGAAAGTTTGCCACCGCAGCCAGAAGAGGAGATTTAGCAGGAAAAACTATCTCAGCGGTGTCACTGTGTCCATATCTGACCTGCTTTTTCTCCCCTGCAGATATATACTCTTCCTTTTGTTTGTGTCTGCAGCTCTGCCTATACAGCCAGTATAAGAGACTACGATACCCGCATGCTGCTGAGGTTTCCACAGAGAGTCAAGAACCAGGGGACAGCAGACTTCCTCCCCAGCAGGCCACGTTACTCTTGGGAGTGGCACAGCTGTCACCAGTGAGTATAATGTCACATCAGAGCCGAGCTGTCCACCTCATCATCACAGAGAGAGAGAGAGAGAGAGAGAGAGAGAGAGAGAGAGAGAGAGAGAGAGAGAGGGAGAGTGGTTTGTTTTCCTGTATCATTTATCCTCTCTGGCTTCATTTAGAGCCATTTGCATGAAGCTCATGAAGCTGTCATGCATGGAAACTTGAGCCAGATTTGAAATCGTCTCTGAATACAAATGTAGAAACAAAAATCTGAATCAGATACAAATTAAAAGCATATTTTTAATTAAAATTTTTATTATTCGTCATCATTTTGAGCCGTTTGCATGAAGCTGTCATGCATGGAAACTTGAGCCAGATCTGAAATCGTCTCTGAATACAAATGTAGAAACAGAAACAGACACATATTTTTAAAAGTTTATATTTGAAATAAAATGTTTTCTGCACACACTGTAGCTCAAAAATGAATCTTAGGTTATCTGCTCACCTGTGACGGATCCATTCTTTTCTTTAAATGCTTTCATATCTCAGTCTGTATCACTGCATGTCATCATTTTGAGCCTCATTTGTGCTTCTTTTGGCCTTTTTGTAGTTTTGTTGGCTGTTATTCACATCAAAACCGACATATTTACACGAGTCTTGTTGCGCCTTTAGTTTTTGCCATCCCTACAATCTCTGTAGAAACAAGAAGAAAATGGATGTGACTGAACTAAATATGACCTACATCTTCAGTTTATTTACAGCTATATATCCAGACTTTGTAAAATAAAGCTGGAGGAGTTTACGAGCCACAAAAGAAAACTCCTGGTACTTTTGCTCTTTTTGTTGAGCTTTTGGCTAACTGCCTGTTCTCTACAGAAACGATCTCAGTCCATAGTTATGCTGCTAAATAAACCAGAGCGCCGTGCCGATGTCCAACGTAGAGCACACTTGGCAGAGGTCCAGTGAACTGTTAGTTTAGCTTGTATAGGTTTTGTCAGTGTTTTGAAAGTCCGCTGATGTTAAAGTCCAGACTTTTCCTTTGGCATTAGACAAACGTCTTAAAGATAATGGAGTGAAAGCAGATTTAGACCCTCTGCAGTTTTAACAACATGAGTATGATAAATGACACAGACCTACGGTGTGTGTTCAGCGAGGGTCACCCACAGCTGTTTGACTGAACGCAAACTAGAATCTTTCCACAAAATGTCCTTAATTGGAACTAAAACAACACCTGGTTCCTTTCATAAGTTTCAGATTAATGTCAAGCTCAGCTGGTTTTAATAAAAAGAAAATGTCGCTGAACATTGTTTTTGCTGATCCACAGGCACTTCCACAGCATGGACGAGTTCAGCCACTACGAGCTGCTGGATGCCTCTACACAGCATTCAGTGGCTGAGGGTCACAAGGCCAGCTTCTGTCTGGAGGACACGTCCTGTGACTACGGCTACTACAGGAGATATGCCTGCACTGCACACACACAGGTGTCGAATATGTCTGCTGAAAGCTGTTGCTGATGTTAGGGTTACTTTGAAAACAGCAGGCAGCTCGGTGGTTAAATCTCGCATCATATGTACAGAGGCTGCACGTCATCCCCAACTCTCCTCCTAGCTTCTGACTAAATCCACCGTCTTATTCTGTCATAAAAGTCTCTAAAAGACCAAAAACCATAAAAGACCAGCCCACAAGTTTTACACCTTGACTCTTCAGTTACCCCTTTTCATTCTTTTAGCATCTTTCAGCTCTTTGTTTTGGTTTAACGGTTCACAACTTTACTCTTTTTGTTCGCTCTCTTTGCCTTAACGATTCATGTTTAATACAACACAGAGGACGGACAAAATAAGCAGCCAGGTGATAATTGAAATTGTGCATTTAGCTGCTGTAAAGTCAAATATATCATGTTGATGTGTTGATGTTTCTTGGTGTCAGCATTCGAAAGATAAGCTGCCAAATCAACCTAATAAAGATAAACCTGCCAGCCCTCTGTGCAGACCTTATTCTGCTGCCCCCAGGTGGCCGAGGAACAATTCAGTCAGATTTAATTTAGAAGATTACTGACTACCTCCACATCCATCCGCAAAATTTGATTTTGGGGCCCTCTATTTCTGCCAATAATATTGATTATTGATCATTCACGCACCTTCAAAAATCTCTTTGATTAACATTTCATGACATGCAAACATACCTTTATCTTGGTGTTTTTTTCTCTTCTTCCTCTTTCTTTTCTCTGCTCCTGAAGGATATGTCCTTTTTTTGCGACATTGTTTTGCCCCTGCGCTTTGGATGCACATTGCACAGCAAAGGCACATAACGGTAGCGGAGCTTTGATATATCAGTGGTAGGAAACATAGGCCTACATCAGCAGCAGCACTGAAATGTTTTTACTTTATTTTATTAAATTTTACAATAATGTATATTTGATCATACAGAAACAATCACTCATTTTGAAAAAAATATATTTTTTTTTATTGCTCTTGGGGGCCCCCTATTGGCCGCGGGGCCCTAAGCAGACGCTTAGTTCGCTTATGCCTTGGGCCGGCTCTGTCCATCCACCTGGCTTTTTGAGACAGAGCATCAGCAATGTGAAAGTTATTGAAAACAGATCATCGAAGACTTCCCCCAGAGATAACTTACTTTTAAAGTTACACAATTCTTGCATCGCTTAGAGTTTGTTCTTTCTATTTCTTTAAAATTGACTACAACAATCAAAACACATGAGGTTAATGGATTATACATAAATCGCATGTTTTCGCTCACGTCACCTCTAACAGGTTTTATCATCCGTGACAGTTTTATGAAGCGCAGGCATCCTGTAGGCAGAAGAGTGAGCTTTTATTCACTGCAGATGTTTTTTTACTTGTCACAGTAGAAGAAGCCCTGGTGTTAAGAATAGTATTAGTGCTTGCTCAATTCTATATATAAGCATCTCAGCAAGTCATAACAATGAGTCAGCATGTTAAGTATGAAGACCCTGACACAGCTTAATCAAATTTAGCCATGTCTGTTTTATTATTTACACATGTGCCTTTGTGATTCTGATGTTTCAAAATGTCTTCTTTAAAAAAAAAAAAAGCAGTTGAAGTTCAAAGTGCGGCGTTATAGAGGGATGAACTATAACCTTGAACTACAGTGCACTGATGTGATTTGATTTACTACGTCTGAGTGCACAAAGTGTTCAGGCCAAAACGGGAATGACTTTCCTCATCTGCTTTTTATGGAATGACCTGTTTTGGAATTTTGCTTTTGAAACTTCTGAGAAGGAGAGAGAAGCAAAGAAAACAAGCGTTCTTTTTACTGCAGCAACTGTCCTTTGGAAAAGAGCTTTCATATTTCCTCTTTGCATGAGCAAGTGGTGAGAGTGAACTGATGATTTTTCCTTTTATTTTTGGTTACTCTCTGTTTTCAAAGAAGTCGCATCCCCAAAAAAATCCTATGAGTCAGACCAAAAATACCATTTAAGTTTGTGTTCTTATTAATTAACAATCAGATTTTACACAAGAGCATACTTCCTGAAGTTAGAGCAACTGTTACATGTGAAAAAGCCCTGTAGTGTTATTGAAAAAGGTCTTTTTTTGTATGTTTATATGATGTTTTAAATGGTTGCTGTCCAATATGCAGGGTCTGAGCCCAGGATGTTATGATACCTACAACGCAGACATCGACTGTCAGTGGATTGACATCACAGATGTGAAGCCTGGAAACTACGTCCTCAAGGTTTGTCCAAAAAAATAGATATTTGGCTTCCCTCTGAGAAACTAAACCTCTTCAGAAAATCTTCACACGCATTGAATACCGTGGTCTTTTACGAACACTGGTGAAAAGTCTTTGCTGTTAATCTAGCTCCTGATTCTTGTATTTGTCATATTTCTTCACAGATCAGCGTAAATCCACAATATCACGTCCCAGAAAGTGACTACAGCAACAACGTTGTGCGTTGTGATGTCCGCTACACTGGCAACTACGCCTATGTGTCTGGTTGTCACATGTCATCGTAAGTGTTGCATCTCAAATGGGAAACATCTCTATGATAATCTGTGAATCCTAAATATGTCTTTGTCCTTTTGTGTGTGTTTTTTTCAGGTATTAAGACATGACAAGTCGTTCTCAGCATGATCTGTAAACGACAATGAAGAGGACTGCATATGAAAGCATATAAAACTTCATGAAGTTAGTTTTTTTAATCTTAGAGAAGCAGTTGATAATTTAAATGCTACTACTACAAATTCAACCTAACTGTTTCGGTGCCAGGAAACGTTTTATTCTTCTTTCCATGTGTGTGAAAGCATTTATCTCCTTTTCTCAGCTCACTAACGTATATTTCTTATCTCTGTTTCCATTTCTTTACTGTATGCCTGCATTTTTCTTCAACAAATTTGTCCAATCTAAATGCTTCGCAAAACCCAAACGTAAACCAGCATTCTCTCATGAAGAAAATATCACTATTATATCACTACTTTAAAATATTGAAAATATATTTGTTATATTTATAAGCAACCGAAGAAACTCTTTCCTTAAATGCTTTGGTGAAACTTGGTGGAAATAAAAAGTCTGACTATTGTATAAAGTGTTACAACTGATCAGTTTGAAGTTGTTGTTTTTGTAAAACTTGTAGTCTTTGCTGCACTCACTCAAGAACAGAAACAGACCCAAACACTGTGTGAAAAAGAGGGACACTGAAGTGTGGAAGTAGAGCTGGACTTAAATAATCATTCATTGTGCTTTGGTTGATAATATAACTGCACAGGACGGATTTGTTTGTCTGTTTAACTCTGCGTTTAAATACAAGTCATGACCTTATGCAGACTCTAAACAGTTTAACAGTTTAACTATGAACTTTAATAATGAGACTTTGTATGACACTAACCTCATATAATACATCACATAAAGTTAATTCAACGGCAAATAGTTGCTTATTGATGTGAAAAGCAGATATGCAGCAACACAAGCTTTTAGTCAGGGACTACTTCTTTTGGCCTCTCAACATGGACGTGGGCGTAAACATACTTCGTTTCTTGTCCTCCCAAGCTCCTGTAAAGGACTTTTAGTCTGCGTTGATTTTGCTGCCCCCTTGTGGACTAAGTATAACACCATAGACTTTTGTTGTTTGTACATTCAACTGTTTTACTTGATGTACATTTACCTCAGGAAATGTAGAAAGAAAAATGATTTTTTTCAGCCTGCTATGAAGGGTTTTGTCTGACACCTTCCCAATATCAGTGATTTTAGGCATAAACAATCACAATACATTTTTGTTGAAGATTATTTTGTTTGGTTTTTATAGAGACATTCTTTTCCTTCTAAGTTTGTTTTATAACTATTTTAAAAACGCAGAAAAGAGACATTTTTTTCTCTTTTTTTTCATCCTATCTTGACTAAAATATTTTAGCTCTCTAATTGGCTTGTCTGCAGTCGGTAGCAAAATAAGAAGACTAAACCAAAATAGTGCTAAAATGCCCCTTAGAGCCATCAGGAGTCAGTCATCTGTAAAAGCAACCTCTTTCAGGTCCAATAAATCATCTGAAAGTTGATGAGAAAAAAATGATATCATTTACATTATCTGATAAAAGCACCACTCTGATTTATGGGTAATAAAGAAAAACGGGGATTGTGGTTCCTACTGATTGGTTGAGCTGCCACTATGCACACAGAGGATGTGGTCTCCTAACCTCAACATCCCGCCTGTGAACTCCTATCAAAGTGAGGCAAAAAAATATTTCTGAAATGGAAAAAATATGTATGCTTACCCAAAACTCAGCATAACAATGATTCATATAAAGAAAAGAGAAAATCAAAAAACATTTTTTAAATCATTGTGATATCATGGGGGAAAATGATAGGGGAGAGTGGGGTAAGTTGAGCCAAAGGGTAAGTTGAGCCACCTCCTTGTTGCTTAGAAATGGTAAAAGAAATTGATCATGTGACCAAATATTTAGGAGATGGGCATCAATTCATGGAGTCTGTGAAGGTTAGAAGCACATGGGTGAAGGGGTTAGACATTTATTCACAAAAACGTTTTTCATTCTTGAGTCTGTCATAAGTTTTATTAGAATTGTGTTCAGACCAAAAAAGATCATTTTAAATTTGTTTTATACATCAATTGTGGTATCTATTGTGGTATTTTAGCTTAAAAGGACTAATAAAGTCATCATAGTAGTTCAGGGGTAAGTTGAGCCAGCGGCTCAGTTGAGAAAGTAAAGGAGTCTGATGAGAGGATCAGAGTTTCAGTTGAGATTGTTAAAATGTGTTACTTTTTCTTCTCAAAAACACAGCTGTGAATGTTCTGAATCATTTAAAGACATTCTCATGTTATAATGACTTTTTACAAAACAGCTTTTTAGCAGTTATATGCAATAATAATAAAGAATTATTATTGTATCAGTTGAATAGTTTTAATAGATAAAAATACACATGAATGTGAAAAAGTGACTGTTATTTAGGGAGAGAGAAGGTGAGGGAGGGCTGGGGTGGAGAGTTGGGGGGTACTAAGGATATGGCTCAACTTACCCTGCTCCTAAAAAAGTGGTCTCCTATGGTCAACTTACCACGTGTATGGGGTAAGTTGACCATAGGAGACCACTTTTTTGGCATGCTATATTATCAAGACAGTTATGTTTACACTCATTCTGTTGGTTTGCAGGGATGCACAACATCTTGAAATATATGCAGATACACGAGTTAGAGACAAAACTATGATTGTCTTGATGTAGTGATCTGAAATATTAAAAATGGCTCATCTTACCCCACTCTCCCCTAGAGCAGCATACATCAAAAATAGTGACTCTGGTTATTATCAAACATGTCTGACAAATTTTATTCATTTCATAATCAATCAAAATTCTGAGGCCTTAAAGTCTCTTTATGACTGAAAGATTAAAAATTATGATAAAGATTAGTAAAGACCCACAACAAGCTTGTTTCTATGCAGTATCCTCCGCTCCACCAGAGGGCTCTACTGAGACTCTATTTCTGTTGTTTGAATTCAGTGATTTCTATCGGAGCCAGATAAACTGGAGTACAGCACCAGCAGCAGCAGCAGTAGTGTGTTTGTGTGTGTATATCTGTATGTGTGTGAGTGTCACAGGATCAAATATTTCCTCCTCAAGTCTCACATTTTTGGGTCAAAATGCATCCGGTCAGAGTGTCGATCCCGTCGTTTCGTTCAGAAAACAACTCGATGGAGAAAGGATACACGGTGAGCAGCTTCAGTAATAATAACCTCTGTCTGTCTGCATGTCTCTGTGTGTGTGTGTCTGTCTGTGTGTGTGTGTCTGTCTGCTGCTTCTGTCGACAGTTTTAGCTCAGGTCTTATTTCTGTACTCTTGAAATAACTTCAGACTGCTGAATGTCGAGGCTTGTTTACTGTAAATGTCGCTGAGGTTAGTGTCTTTCTGGTCAGAGCAGTCTCATTCAGCCCTAATAAGCTCCCTTTGACTTTTCAATAACAACTATGTCAGTGTGTGAATGAATAAAACCAGTCACATTGTGAGAACAGAGAAAACTTAAGATCTGTATTTAAAAAAAATGTTTTGTTTTAATCATTACGACATGTATTAAGAACTACAGGGTTTGTTTTTCAACCCACGCACAACAGATGAGACATGAATCCCAGCTGACTGATACAAACAGATGAGACTCAGTCAAGTTTTCTCTATGAATATGTAGAGAAACTCATACTAAATTTGAAGTTATTTTAATGTAAATGTGTATATTACCTATTAAACAGGGCATTGATCATAGAACTGTTTACAGCTCATGCACACAGATATAGTTCACTGTATAGTCTGGGTCAACCTGAAAGGGGAAAACTGGAGCTACAATTTCCTTCTGAATTCAAGATTTCAAGATTTGTGTGTATTTGTCCTGTTAATGTTAGACAAGGTCAACAGTGAAATGAAATGCCCTGGATGGGAGGACCGCTCGACTCAAAGGGGTACAGATAAAACACACAATAGCACTGAAGGAATACGATAAAATAAAATCAATGTCCGAACCCTAATGTGTCTATATCTACCATGTTCGCACAGATTTTCTTGCCCCCTCTGTCTTGAATTAGAAATTTTAAACATACAGATGTAAAAGTTGTCATCACTCAATCTAACTCTTAGCAAGAAAATCTACAGAAATGTTGAACTATTCCTTTTCACTCTTACATTTCCTTTTATAAGCGGAGTCAGCAGTTTGTAGTGCATGGAAGTGACACAAGAAAACTGAACTTGTATAATGAGGCCGACATAGATGCTGTATTTAATGCCTTATTCACTGTAAAAGATTAAAAATATGTTTTTTTTTTTTTAAGAAAGTCTGTATTTTTTCATAATTTCTTCGTCTTCTCATTTTGGACAGAATTTCTTGGTTTTTATTTGTCTCAAACATAAAACATGCATTAAAAACAAACAGGACGTGTAATGGAAAATTAATGAATTTCTTTAAACTGAATACTTTTCTGTCTGTCTTTGGACATGCAGTCTGTGTTTATGTCACCGGAGTTGCATAAAAATGCTGCTGTCATTAAAGAGAACATTTTCAAGTTGTACACAATACTGATAAAGATGACAGCACGTGTTGCTTATTGGTGTCTCTTACAGAAGAATTCAGCTGAGTGAGGGAAGTAAACGTCTTTTGGAAGACATATCAGTTTTGCTGAGTAGTGCCAACAGATGTTTCCCCCTGGAAACTTGCTGACATGGACTAAAACTGTCGGCTTCACAGGAAGGGGACATATGTGGTGACAGGACTCTAACGCTGGAGCATAAATTCTCAGTTTTTCCTCTTTTGTTTTTCCTCTGTTGCAGGTCTTTAAGATTGATGTGCTGATGAACGGCAGACAACACAGTGTTGAGAAACGCTACAGTGAATTCCACGCTTTGCATAAAATGGTGAGACTGAGTGCTTCCTCAAAATTTATGTAAATACAAAGTTCTCTTTTTTTATGCCATGATAGATAAGGTCATGTTTACAATTAAAGGGGTTAAAGGAGACTGTATGTTAGGGCTGGGTGATATGGGAAAAGTTTATCACGATATATCTTTTTCATATCAGTCAATATCGATACATATCACTATATAAAAAATGAAATTTAAGAGTGCTTATAGGGATCATGTCTTTTGCGATACAATAAGCTTCTGCATCTGTGAGGTCTTTGTATCTCTTAGATGTTTCGTCATAAGGCGTTGCGCTAGAGAAAGCGGACCGATTGGTTGGCTGTTTCGGCTGCACGGGCGCCATGAGCTCCTTGCTCCGCTCGGGGTTTGTAACCTTTTGCATTGCACAGGCTCCGCCGCGTGGCGCTGCTTCAGTGATTTGAGGTATTCCCCGACTTTGCGAGAACATGTACTTGACATAATTTGCAGTGCACACTACTCTGCTTCATGTCCAACCTCAAAATAAAACAAAATACCTCCACACCACCGATATTTTCATGCCAGTGTTGTCAACGATGTCATCACCTGTTGAGCCTTCATCTGCATTTCTGCCGGGGGTAACGCTCATTTTCTTTTTTTCTCACTGACAGTGCTGTCGGCTTCACGTGTTAAAGCGCTATAGTTGCGTGTAGCTGCAGCCTGTGACGACGCAGCTGTTTGCTACTTGGTTCTAATTCAGTGCATGATTGGTTCAGCGACCCGGAGCAACTCCCCTTTTCATTGGCTGTTCGTAACATGGCAGTATGCTGACAATTGATAAAGATATAGACCATGTTTTATATTAATATTTAGAAAAATTAATTTTTCGATATGTAGCGTTACCGTTTTATCGCCCAGCCCTACTGTATGTATTTTCCAATGAAGCAAATCCATGATCTTTTTTCCTCTGGACTTCGACTGCATTAGGATATAATCACATAAGAGCTTGTAGTCCAAATCAAACTATTAATTCATTTTCTAATATAAGCTCATCACCAAAGGTGTCACTGGTATGGACAGTTTTTTGTCAAATAAGGTCATTAGAGGTGGACTTTTGATGGACCTCCACCTAAAAATTACGAGATTTTATTAACTGAGCAATTAATTTCTTACCAAGAGAAAAAAACAACAACATGTATTTAATAATAATTGAAGGCAGCGGTTCTATCCTCTTAACCAAATACAACTCTCTGTTGCCCGCTTGTGCATTACAGACACAACACATACAGTACAGTCCAACACAATACATTTTTAATGAGCTCCTTGGTGGTTAACCACACTGACCATACTTGTTTGATTGAGGTTGAGGTTTCACACTGCAGTTCCTCTTGTTGTTGTTCTGAAAGATGATCTGAATTCACTCTGATTTCAGTTCATGTTGGGAGTAAACAGTAAAATGAACGACGGCTGAAGTACAATTAGCTGTGTCATCCTGGTACCGCTCATGCCACCGCTCTGTCAGAGTGTCTTATCAGGACACTTCTGAATAGAATGGAGCCATTATTATCATCAAACAGCTGACTAGACTCTTTAGTCAAACCCGGTTACTTTTTCTCTTGTTGATTTCAATCATGCATTCGGAATAACAAGCTGAGATCTGTTCGTCCTGAACGCCTCCTCTCCTTCGTATCAGTCCAAGCAAGAAAGAGACGCCTGTCTGTCAGCGTCCGTCCTATCCCTGCATGCCCTCATGTGTGGGTGTGGGGAAGTAAGGATGCTTGGTGGGGACAAAACTATGGCGTTCAGTGGATATTAGCGAAGGTGTTGAAGAAAAGAAGAAGCATTGCATTTTACGGTACAGAGAGGGTCCCTGTCATGACAGGCTGCTTCAGAATCACAGGGAAATAACGTCCGTGCTCTCAGCTGCACAAATCGTCGTGTCTACTGTGATTATGGTGGACGTTCTGGGTGGTTGTAGATTTTTATGCATCCCAGCTGTGTGCCATGGGGGACAGTTTAAGTCTAGACCAAAATACCCAGTAATGTGGGATAACTTTGTACAGACATTCATGGTGCCTTGGAGCTGCAATCACAGATATAAACTCTTGTTTTTTCTTCCTGTTTGATCTGTTAGATACATTTTTATGTCTTAATGATGTTTTTCAATCCCCTCTAGCTAAAGAAGAGCATAAAGCCACCTGAGATCCCCTCAAAACACGTTAGAAACTGGGTTCCCAAAGTTCTGGAGCAGAGGAGGCAGGGTCTGGAGCTCTACCTACAGGTACTCTGACAGATCGCACTTTAATCCACCTGATGGGACTGATTTTCCACCATGCACACAAACTCAGTACAGATGTAAAAGGACTAAAGACACTCAAAAGTTTCCACAAGAGAAAAAAGTCACGGAGGTCACTTGCGTTGTGTGCAGCTGCGTCTTGTGCACGTTGTAATTTGCTTTTGTTTTGTCTGTTTTTTCTTTTTTTTTCCAGACTATAATTATGGAAAATGGGGTTCTTCCAAAGATATTCCTGGATTTCCTTAACATTCGCCATTTCCCCTCGGTGCCAAAAACGGAAAGCTGCGGGTGAGTCGGAAACCACACTGTTTCCATAAGATAGAATCAAATAGAAATGTGTTTTTCTGCAGGAAATGCAGGACCTGTTAACCCCAGACCGCTGGCTTAATCTAGATTTTTCCTCTTTCAGGTCTTTCGACACTGAATCAGAGGAATCTAGGTGAGACATTCCTGTAATTTTTCAGCAGCTATTTGAATCTGTTACATACGAACAGCACTTCATCACCATTTGTTCTGCATGTTAGTGGGATCAACTACACTTCTCCATCCTGTTAATTCATTTATAGCGTACAGTCACCCACACGCGCTCTGACTTCTTCTTTTTTGAACTGTTTTCAGTAAACTTTCACATCAGCCAGTTCTGCTGTTTCTGAGAGACCCTTTCCTGTTGCCATCTGCACATGGTGAGTTCAGGTTACTTCATTTTAAAATCATAATATCTCTCCTCGTCCTCTATTCAGTCGTTTTAAAATGGTAAATCTACATCATGGTACATTACTCTGCAAACAGTAAGCTAAACCTCTTTTTTATATAACTTTCTTACTTTTTTAAAGTTTCTCTCTTGTTCACTTTCAGACACGTTTGCGAATGTTGTGATTGAGGGTGTGGTGCACGGAGTTTTCTACCCAGATCTTCAGCCAAGGTAGAGCTGCAGAGACGACTCTGAAGGCATCCCACTACAAACGGATGCTTCATATTTCTGCACCATTTTTAGGTGTTCATCAGCAAGGGCGTAACATGTTACAGTAAAACTCTGAACCCCGTTAGTGTAGTCAAAAATGGCATTCATGCGTCGTAAATCTAAAGGGATGAAAAACTTGAACTTAACCTTTAATGCTCTTCTTTTGAAAATAAATGTGAGACACTCGTTTAAAAAGGTAATGAGCCTTTTAAGTCCCGCAAAGATGATCATTTTTGTCATGTGTGCGTTATTTACTCTGGTTTGTACACAATTTTTTATTTTTTATTTTTTTTTAATTTAACAACAGAACAGAGTGACGACAACAACAGAAACAACAACAAAAAGATTAAAAATTAAAAATTTACAAAAATACTTTTGTGAGGGAGGGGAGGGGGAAAGAATTTATATAATATGTAATAGAGAATTTAAAAAGAAAGGAAAAAAAATCTTAATTGGATTACATTGGAATATCTATATAATAATAATAATAATAATAATAATAATGCACACATGATATGAACTCGTGGGACTTAAAAGGCTCTGAAAAGATATTTTAAATAAACGGTATCATCAGCACTGACATGTAACTTCAAACTAAAACACCAAGCTCAAACTTTGTAATATTTTAATGTTATTTACTACATTTAAAAAAATAGCAAAAATGAGTGAATATCTGGAGAGTGAAGTAAGTGGCGGATCAATGTAGAGAAGAGTTCTGACAGTCCTCTTAAGTCTCTGTTTGGCCAGTGGGATAGCAGCTGTTGAAAAACCAAAAAGGAAACGCTGATGACAGCTGGACTGAAGGATTGTTTGCAGAAAAACAAAGAGGGTGCTGGTTAGTAGAGCGTAGAGCTGGATTACGGCCCCTCCCTGTGTCCCACTGTGGTTGTCGAGTTTGCTCTAGGTTGCGGTGAGGGAGAGTTTCAAAGGTTTTCTTTCCGGAGGAGTCGACAGCTTTAATCCAAATGTAAAAATGATTGAGCTTTGGTCGTAGCTCCAAGCAGTGTTGTGATGTGGACCTACTTTGGTATTTAGATGTTTGTGAAGGAGTGCTCGCTGTGGTTGAGACAGCTCTGTGGGGCTACAGCGAGGTCAGGTGATCAGCATGAGGCAGTTTGAAACAAAAGCCAGGAGGAAAGAAACACAGCACAACTTAAAAGTGACGGTAGATATATTGGCGGAGGAGCGTAATGTAATCAATTTAAGAGGGCAGAGTAATTCAAAGTTTAGCATTAGCACTCTTTAGCGCTGCCTTTACACTATCAAACTCACAGTAGTTACTGAATTATATCACTTTAATGAAGGCAACTATTAACTTTTTTCTTTTGCTGGAACCTACGTTACCCAAAATGCAACAGTTTGGTGAGCTTACGGTGGCGGCTAATGTAACCTTTAGCTGCGAGGCTGATGAGGATGATGATGATGATGATGGTGAGCATGCAACTAATTTTGTTTCACTTCATACCAGCAGATCATTTCATTGACGTTGTCAGCCCAAACCAACCCTGACTCACTCCTGACATGACTTGAAAGCAGATGATTGAATTGAGCTACAAAAGGCTTTCGCACCAGTTATCTTTCTTTTTTTTTAGGACCTTAAACCTGACTTTGATGTTTGAAATCTTGAGTTCACATTAAGACAGGCTTAGGGATGAATTCAGAGCTCTTTTATGTGGCGGACAATGAAATAGATCAAAACGATCATAAAAAAAAAAAGAAAAAGCAGAAGTCCTGATTTGGAGGAAATGACTCTGTAAAGGCCAGCGTTTAACACTAACACCAGTAATGCTTTATTTAACCTTCATCTACATATTCTGCAGAGCGTCAGTGAATCATTCAGTCGAGGAATAGTCACTCAGCACCAAAAGGGATTTTGTTGAGAGATGAGAGATGGTGATTCTAAGGACTTCAAACCAGTAAAACTGTGCAATATCCATTTAAAGAAAGCAGACTGTCGTTAAATTGTTCTTTGTGAATGAACTCTGCTACAGTGCTAACTCATCCCCTGTTGGAGGACTTGTTGCTTTTGTGAAACATCATGTTACATATCAGTTATTTATATATAACACTTACAGATGACCGGCCCTCCACTACAGCTACAGCACAGAGACTGTCTGCTACATATTTATACTGAACTAAATGTATCCTGATGAATTAACCTCAACTAAGCAGATCATGATTCTGTATTTTAACAGTAAATCATTTCATCGAGATCCATCATGTAGATTTTTATGTATTATTTGTATGTATTGTTAAATATTGCACTGTTTAAATGTGTCTCTATGTGCCATAGTGTGAATCTACAGTGAACACTGAAACTGTAGCACTTTAAGAGGAGCGACATGTAAAATACTGACACCAATAAAATTCATTATTTCCACACATCTGAGAGCTCAAGTTTATTTTTAATTAAAAAAAAAAATGGAATGAATTGAAAGACGATCTCTTTGTTATAAAAGGAATAAAAAAAATGCATCGATTTATACAAGCGAAAGTTTGCTTCGTCTGGCTTTCTCACATTAGAGGGTTTGCATGAAAGATCAGAGAAAAACTCCACACATCCTACTGTGTATTTATAAAATCCGAGCACAGGGGATAAATAGCAGCTGCAGGTTATTTGCCAACCTGATCGAGTACATGTCACTCTAATTTCTGAATTCAGTAACAGGCTTGTTTGTTGTTTTCATTCAAGACAAAATGGAATATTCAAGTCCCGCGTAAGTGTTATCAAATTGTACCTGCACATCAAAAGCAGAGCTAATCTGTCACACAGCATTTTTAAATTGAAGATCAATGTCTTCATATTTGTTTTAGGTCAAACCACCCGGCCTGTAATTGCACTGTAAAATGTTTCCAGGTGAAATTAAGCAAGAAACGTCATCTTGCTCAGCAAAGCAGTGCACTTCTGTGAACATACAGTATCGATGTGGTGCTGCTGAAGCTAACAGAAACATGTCCTCTGCATAAATTCAGATTCATGAACAAAAGCTTAAAAAAATACTGGCTTCCAAAATTGCTCTGAAGCATAGAAAATTAAAAAAGTCCTTTGATAACCGCAGGGTCGTCCCAGTAACAGTCCAGTAGTAACGACACACACGTGAGTATGTAATCCAGCACCTGCAGGTGATTCAAAAGAAGTATGTCTGCTTCCAGCGGCGTCTTTAAAGTTCCCCATGACCAACTTCATCTTTCAGCCGTTCGTCCTGGCTGCCATCTGCCTGAGGCGCTTTCATGTTGGCGAACTCAACCTCTCTGGTCAGCTGTTCAAGAGGAGGGAGACCCACCGCCAGGTTTCTCATAGCGATGGCTGTCATCAGGAATCTGGTATCAGATTGATGACATAATGAATGTAAATCCACACATACATGTGTTTTATGAATACACACACCTCAACTTGGTATGCCGGAGAAATACTCACCCTCTGCGTATTGTGTAGTACTTTTTCACTGCAAAGCGCTCCAGACGCTCCAAAACACCGGCCTCCCTGCGCTTCTTCACCTCCTTCATGCGGCGCTGCCTCTTCAGGAACAGCTGCACGATCGGGTCGGTGGCGTTGACCTCAGCTCCTTCATCGTTTTCAGCATCGATGAGAGGCTGCAGCTCAGGAGGGAGGGGCTCAGTCTCTGTAGAACGAGGTTCATTTAGATTATAAGAAACACAAAATAATCTCTGAAGAGAGCTGATTCGCACGAGGATCTTTGTAAATAATGGAAAGTAGTTCCTAGTAAGGACTTTGGCGGTAAAGCCACCTTTACCTTCACTACTACACGTCTTTATTGTGTATTAAACGTTTCCCGTCATGGTGGTCATGTTTTACCTGACCCGTTACGAACACGCTCCTGGATCTCAAACAGTTTGGTGAAGTTCTCCTGAAGTGCAGCTTCAGTTGTGTTGACGTAGATGTACATGTAGCAAGACGCCTCTTCAGACACAGTGTAAACCTTATGGTAAGCTCCCGCCGGAACCTGCGTAGATGAACATATGTACAGTGTAGTGAATACCTGTGTGTATGTGTGTTCTGGTTAATGGGTAAAATACTGAAGGTGATCATAGAGTGATGCTGTACCTTTATCTGCTCACCAGGCAGCAGGGTGTAGTTCTTCTTCTCCTCGACCACCTCAACGTTCACTTTACCCTGCAGTAAATGGATGCTGGTGTTGCCCAGATCTTCGCTGACAAAGTTCTCTAAATGAAGACCTAAAAAGAGGCCGCGGGTGGATTAAAGGTAAATAAAAGAGCGAACTACAAACACTGTGTTTCCATCGAGAGGCATGAAGAGATTTCTCACCTGGGAAATCAGCGATAAAGACGATCTCTGTCTGATTGTCCAAGCTGCCTTCAATCTCCTGAAACTTTGTCCTCCAGGGCGAGAGGTCAACCAGCAGAGGCATCAGCCATGGGTTTGGTCGGAAAGGAGACCAATCAGCCTTCACAATGTCCACACGGGGGTCAAATATCCTAAGAAGAAATCATTTTAAAGCATATTATCTTACTGTGGCGGCACAGTGCTGTAGTGGTTAGCACTGTTAGCACTCGAATCCGGGTCAGGGCATTTCTGTGTGGAGTTTGCATGTTCTCCCTGTGTCTGCGTGGGTTTACTCCGGGTACTCCGGTTTCCTCCCACATCCCAAAAACATGCCTAAGTGGGGTTAGGTTAATTGGCCACTTTCAAATTGCCTGTAGGTGTGAATGTGAGCGTGGATGGTTGTTCGTCTCTATATGTCAGCCCTGCTATGAACTAAGCGGTAGAAAATAGATGTATGGATGGATGGATAATCTTACTGTGAGGTTATAGTAGCACACCCGAAAAAGCAAAAACATTCCCACCAACATTTCCCCTTCATACCGTTGCTGGAAGCGCTCGTTGATCGACACCCAGATGTCAAAGTAGATTTCGGGTTCAGTGATGTTATAGCGAGGCAGGAGTTGACTGAGGCACGTGGCGTACTGCTTCAGCATGTCTCCGTGGTCTTTCCAGCGACGGCTCTGTGTGAACACCTTCAGCACACAAACACTCTAATTATTGTTTAATACTCGTGCATGTGTATTTGCTGTTAACTGAGCAGTATAAACAGCGTAAATGTCACGCTCACGTGCTCTTCCTCTGACAGTGTTTTTCTCAAAACTCACCCCTGGATTTAGATATCCGATTTCTCCAGTTTTCCCGTCTTTGTAGGTGATCTTTACATGCTGATGGCTGCGAGAGTGAACCATCATGTCCCACGAGTAGCCGTACAAACCATTGGTCCAGTTATTATAACCCTGCGTTAAATTTTGGAGTATTATAATAAATCCACTCTATTAAAAGTTAAGCTGCAAAACATTTCAAATCCTCTCTGGAGTTTTAATGAAATACGAATTAAACCAAGATCTTGAATTCAAAACGTGCAAAAGTCAAAGTACAGAGAGGTCACACAGCGGGCTACATGATGGGAAGTCACGTCCTTGAAGCTTCCTCTCTTTGATCACCGGTTTGAGCTTTGTTTGCTGTGGGACATTGACTGTTGACTCTGATTGAGCAAGTTTCAGTCTGATGACTCAGAGAGGATTTGTAAGGCATTTGCTGACATCAAAGTACAGTCTTACTTAATGCAGTTTCCCGGTGTTGAAAAACTAGTAGTAAGTCACACAGTGTGGACGTACCTGTGTGATGAAATGGGAGTAGGGCATGAAGAATTGCTCCATGATGTAAACAATAGTAAAAATGGCCGCCAGCTTGTGCTTCAGTCTCAGTTTGGAGGCTTTGGCGACAGGTGGGCTCTCGCGCTGTTCGGTGTTTGAGCTCTGGGCCTCATTGTAAACACAGGAAGCGCTCGGCTGAATGTCAGGTGAGGTGAGTGGCAGGACTGTCCTGAGGAACTCTGGGAAGCGGGCGAAGAATCTCCTCGGCCAGTCAGTGTAGCAGAAGAGGGGACTAGTGGCAAGCATTGTGTATGAAAACATCCCTGTGGAGGGAAAGCCGTCAAAATACGTTGAAGGTGAAATAATTTAGCAATAATAGAGGCATTCGACAGGTGGGGTCATTTATAAGGTACTTTGACCATTTTTTAAAAAGTAGTTTTTTAATGACCCCCGGTGGACAATTAAGGAACTACAAGAGCGCATTCTTAGCATCAGATTAGAATCTAACAAATATCATATATGCCAGACTTCTTCAAACACTGGAAACAAGCTGGTAAAGGCCTTTCAGGAGGTACTTGCCCTGATGATATTGATTCTGGTTAACTTAGTATCTCACCGATGCTGAAGAGCTGAGAGTTCATGCAGTGGAAATAGGAGACAAAGAAGCAGGCGTAAGGTCGCGTGGCGTCAAAAAACAGCAAGTATCCTGCTGTCAGATCCAAGAAGAGACCTCCTCCGTGCACCACCAGAAGACTCACTAACTCCACAGGAAGAATCACTCTGAAAAATAATGTCATTTTCAGTCATGTAAATGAGTGGGTGAGCAGTGATACAAACAATAAAACTTCTTTAATCATGACGCCTACTTAAAAGGATCAAACAGCCAATGGTGTGCCAAGTACGACATCGAGTATCCCTCTACCCAATCAGCATCCAGCTTTTTGATTCCAGCGATGAAGTATACAATAAATATCTGCAAAGCAAAAAAAAAAAGGATTAGCATCATTAGATGACCTGAAAAGTTGAAAGATACACAGTATTAGAAGATAAAAGACAGGTGCACAAACCTGTGTCCTTAACAAGGTGTAATTCCACAAAGGCACGTGAGCATTTCTGATTGAAGGCCTCCGTAATCCATCAATTGACCTGCAAATTAGAGACAAAAAAACATGTCTTCCTCTGTTTCATGCAAACACATGTAGAAGTGTAACATAAACATGAGCTCACCAGTATCTGTTTCCATCCATGAGTAGGAGCTGAAATCCAATGAGGCCGTAAAGGTACGAGTGATTGTTCCAGGCAGTTTTGTCCAGAAAGAAAATGTACCAGTATGTGGACATGAACATAAGGCAGGAGAAGCGGTAGAAACAGCCAAGCATGATGCCAACAGCACCTTGAATGTGAAACAAACACATGAAAGTGTGTTACATACTCCATATATGGATTTTTATTTTGGTTGGAATCGCTTGATAAAATCGGATGTTTTATTGAGAACAAGGAAATAATCAAAATGATGCCTCTGTAATATCACTTGAGAGGTGAAAACACAGTCGCATGAATACCCCCAAAAACATATCAAATATACTGTAATATAAAATAAAAACTTTGACATGAATTTAAGAATAATTACATGCTTCATAACATTTAAATTTTCAACAATTTTATGTTTGTGTGTTTAACCTCCTTCCATAAACTCTGACTTAAAATGGAAGTCGTAGGTTTGTGCGTCAGATATCTTTTTTAAGATAAGCACAAGAATACCCTGTACAAAATGAACAGTATTAATGTATGGACAGTATTGTTATGGATGTAGTTTTTTACATTGGGAGGGTAAAATAGATAAGCAATTTACTCTCTGGTGTGAAAAAGGAGCAATTGTTTTAGGAGAAACAAATGCTCCAGTAAAAAAAAAAGATTTAAAAAAAAGCATTGATATGTACTGATGATTTTTCCATCATCAGTGTTTATCTTCTGTGGTTGTATTCTGTGTCATGTTTGTAGGCTAAATTTGTGTGAGTTGTTCAAATCTTTATGAGACTTTGAGGAAAATCTGCGAGAGTTAGTCGGCTCGAGGGTAAGACAAGGGGAAATTACAGGTCTGGTATTTGTGCTTTGATGTTTGCCACAGACAGACCCCCCTCTTTAAGACTGTATCCTGTAAAAGGACTGCATCTGCTTGGAGTGAAAAAGGCGGGCTCCTTCTGATGTGTCAGCCTTTAAAACACAAAATATCTTACCGAGGAACATGACCACATACACCAGATACATCCAATCCAGTGGTAGTGGCTGCAGGAAATTAAAGAGGGGAAAGCGGCACACGGGGGCTCCATCCAGGTACTTGTAGTCCAGGTGACTGAGGCCGCGCTCCTGTGTGACGTCGATGGCCATCAGCAAACCTGCATGTTAGAGAAATCAAGTTGAGAGGGTGCACATGAATGAGTTTTTTAAAGAGCTTATGTGTGCAAACTTTGGTTATCAGACTGACTGAACTTACCAAACAGGCAGCGGAAGATCCCCAGGGATGCTGGGTCAGTGGGACGGTTCAGGAGGGTCACTAGACTTTGCCAGGAAGTTAGGTCCTCCTTTCTGAACCCAAAGATCTTTTCAAACCCACTTTTATCCTGTGGTCCTTCATTTTTAGGAGCTGTAGTCTTTTTTGGAGTCTTTTCTTTGTTGTCTCCTCCATCACTGCCCACCATAGCTCCTGCAGGTTTAACATGAGCAAAAATATGACAGAATTTTGGATTATTTTAAGAATAAACGATATATATTTGTAGTAAATAGGACGATTTAGGCCCATGTAAAATAAAGTTCAAATGTAAAGCCCGACCACAGTCATTGTTTAGATAAGAGCTTATATTTAAGTTGAATGCTGTCTTCTCTACTTATTACCCTGACCAAACACACACACCGCTGCAGTGACTGACGCTGCAGACAACAACAAGCTCACCTGCAGTCGCGTCTCTCGCTTCCATGATGAATTCAGATCAGACTAAAACAGTTTTTTTTTTCTCAGAGGACAGAGGGACAGTAAAGTCCTCTCTCTGCTCTCCCTGCCCCAGGTGGAGGTGTCCCGCTCGGTCACGTAGTTGAAGCAGACACAGTTACGTGTCAAAGTCCCATACACACGGGCTGAACAGGGCAGGGGAGAGGGAGGGAGTGTGGGAGGGTGTTTAGGGTGGGATTGGAATGTTGTGAAAGAGGTACTTGACGTTCATTGGCTAATTCTGTGAAAGAACACGCCCCCCACAGGAAGTCTCATACGTCACATCCTGTCTCAAATTTTGCCGATTATTATGTTACATATGCTACACTTAAAGGCATTCTCATGTTAAAATGTTTTTTACAAAACAGCTTTTTAAAAGTTATTTGCAAAACAAATAATAAAAAAATATTTTTGTATCAGTTGAATAGTTTTAATAGATAAAAATAAACATAAATGTGAAGACGTGACTGTTCAGGGAGAGAGAAGGTGAGGGAGGGCTGGGGTGGAGAGTCGGGGGTAGTAGGGATACGTCTCAACTTACCCCACTCCTATGGTCAACTTACCCCATACACGGGGTAAGTTGACCATAGGAGACCACTATGATCACCTTGATGTAGTGCTCCCAAAAATGAAAAATGGCTAGTCTTACCCCACTCTCCCCCACAAACTGACTGCTATATATTTGTACTTGCTGTATTTTGATACAAGGTTTATTTCCAAATCTATTTATGTCCATTACACATTATTGTGTTATAATTTAAAGAAAAGAAAAACCTATATTTATACCTTTAGTTTTGTTTTGTTTTGTTTTTTTGTCAAAAAGCACAAACATTGTAAATAAACACATATCTTTATAGATTTTAAAAAAAGCAAAACTACACTTTACTCATGAAACATTAACTAAGAGTCTGCAAGACAAACAGAAAACAAGAAAAGGTGGCACACTTTGAAACCCAAGATGACAAACAAACCAACAAGAACAATATTTGAAAAAGCACATGGTGGATACTGATTTTTAGTATTCAAACTGTGTAATCTTTTAATCAACCACACAAAGGCTAAAAAAGATTTTAAAAAATTGATCTATGTATTTTTTTAAAGTTTAATGTAACTTTAGGAAGTAATTTATCGTCGAAGCAACACTGACAAGCATTAAAAACACGTGGTGAGGCAGAATTTCACAAAAGCATCAGAGGTTGGACCTCAAACTGTTGATTTGTCAGCGCCCTTTGGACTCAAACCAGACAGACTGGTCAGTGGGGTTCAGCAGAGCCCAGTGTTTCAGCCTGTTTGTCAAGTTTAAATTCCTGTTATGATGAGTGAAAATAAATAGTATCTTTTTGTTGAAGGAATTTATAATAAATAGATAAGTAAATAAATATTATCCATTTTAAAGTGTCGTTTTAAGAAGTGAGTAGTTTCCGTCTTCCACTAGGTGGCGCCGTCGAGAATAAAGCAGCAAAATGACACGCAGAAAACGCTACATACCACCGAGAGAAGAAGAATAACAAAGCAGCCGCAGATTTTCAGGGCAGACACAGACCTTCTCCAGTCTGTGGCTTTACTTCTGCTTAAATCTAAAAAAATGTAACTGGAACAGAGGCCATTTTGGGGGTCTGGTGGCTTGTAAGGGGGTAGCAGCTTGTCTCCCACAGCGTCGTTCATGTTTTCAGAGTGTTGTTGTTTGTGAATTGAGCAGCTAAGCTAGCTGTGAGGGTATAGCTCCTGTTTTTACCTGTCAGACTGTCTGACCTGAAGATTATCTGTTTACCGTCACTGCTGACCTCGAACCTCACTCTCAACCTGCCCGGTGCTGATATTCAGGTGAGCAGCTCAGGCGTCGTTTTTGATATTTTCGTTGTAACATCTGTTTTTCATGTGCTGATGCAGGAGGTCCTCACATCAGACTCAGTGTTTGTAATGATACTCAGGGTTTACACTCAGAGATACACACATGGATAACCTAATACAACCCTAATAAAACAACAGCTTTACCCGAAATCTCTCACTGTGAAGCTATGAGCTGTAGTTTTGGGTCGTATTAGTTTGCCCTAATGTGTACCTGATGTTGTTGCAGGTGAATATATACTGTCTGTGGACTGTGTTTCTGTTCTGACTATCAATATCAAAATACCTCATGACAATTTTAAAGGAGATTTTAAAATGCCTTAGTATTGTGTTAAAGGGATATTCCGACGTAAAATGAATTAAGGGTCAAACACACTGTAACACCGAGTTTGACACCCCCTGAGAGATGAATGTTGCTGCGGGGTGACGCAGCTCAAGGAAGGACATTTATGATCATTACTTTATCATTCCCTTGAAGTAGTAATCATCATATTGATCATTTTGCACTGCAGACCTGGTAGTTCTTCTGCCTTAGCGTCTCGGTCTGATTGCATTTCCATGAAGTAATTATCATAAATGTTTTTCCTTGAGCTGCGTCACCCCGCAGCAGTCCGTAATGGACTGGCCTGAGGTTTTGCTACAAACAAGCAGCTGCTGGAAGAGAGTGGGTGAGTTGTGTTAAGTCTCTTTGCTAAAGAAATCAGGCAAAGTTAAAAAGATGTTTGATGGCTAGTGCTATGTATTGTTGATGAAGTTAGGAGCTGTTCTGAGCATTATTTGTGGCTACAGAGTGGCATTTTGGTTGAGGTTTGTTGATGGCTCCTCAGACCGCTGTGTATTGCTATCGTGCGGTCGTTACAAAAGTTGGTATAACTAGAGAAGCAAGCAGTCTGCAACATTCATCTCTCGAGGGGGTGTTTAACTCGGGGTTGCGTGTGTTTGACCCTAACTTAATTTTACGCTGGAATATCTCTTTAAGTTGAACTTGCATAAGTCTCTCATTGAAAGAAACAGCATTGGATTGTCGTGATTAAAATGAGGCTTTTAAAGACAGTAATCAAATGAATAAGAAGCCAAGAATTATACTGCAACAAGTTTGATAATGTGTCAGTGCTTTTGGTCATTTATTATAGTCCAAAATATTAATGGCTGCTGGTTTTACCTCCGCTGAAGTGTAGGTATTTAGGTTTTTTTTGTAAATTAAAAAACATTGGAGTCTCGATTGTTATCTAGCCCAAAAAAATCATCTGAAGACATCACGTTCTGTTTGTGTCGTTTTAATAGGCTTCATTTTTTGTACTTCACAGCATTTTTCAGACAAAGCAGTTGATCTTCATATTAATTAACCCATGAAGTGAAGTGATCGAACACTACAACACAAGCTTGTCTCAGTGGTTTTTATGCTCCATTAACAAATTTGAGGATAAATCACAGCCCTGTTTATTGCAGCTTTCCTAGTTCCTTTAAAAAAGTCACTTGAGGCAGAGAATATGTCCTGTATATTTGTGTGACATGCCGCTGCTGTTCCAAAGAAGTACCCAAAATGTATCGAAATTTTCAGAGCTTTAATAACTCAGAAAACACTTCTACAACTGCCAATGATCGACACGCACACATCAGATAGAATATGTGTTCACTTTGCATTGTGTATCATTGCAAAACAAAGAACATAAAGTGCATCAACAAAATTTACGGCTACCTAGGCTCACCTCTCCACCCCAGTACAGGTAAGACCGCCCCTTATATGAGCTACTGGCTTTCAAACACAGTGCCTACGCGGCCCAAACCCGGCGAAACCAATGGCAACCAGACAAAAGTAACTGAACACAGGATAACCGATAAGCAAAGCAACATTATGGCTCCTACACTGTTTTCTTTTTCTCTTTCACAGGCTTTGAGATGGGAAGTTTGGGCAGCAGGTTCCAGTCCCCTTCTCAGGGTCCAGAGGAGGCTGCGGAGGGTGTAAGCACAAGCCGCAAGCACGGCTGTGAGTGTAAGAAGAGGAAACGGAACGCTCAGTGTGACTGTGAAAGTGAACAAGAGGACGATGATGCCATACTCGATACACCTCGCAGGCAAGTCCTCAAAGAAAGAATCGATGTCAATTTTAAATACCTGTAACTTATGATGTTTAAGACCTGTGTTTTTGTTTCTTCTGTTCTCTTTTTTCTTTGCTGAGCAGGAAGAAATTAAAAAGCACATCACGCTACATTTATCAGACGTTGTTCTTGAACGGGGAAAACAGCGACATTCGCATCTGTGCACTGGGACAAGAGTGGAACCTCCACAAAGTGTATCTGTGCCAGGTATTAGATGAACACAAAAGGACCGCACTTTCTATCTTGTTGTTACCCTTGCATGTTATTTACTCTTTTTTTTTTTTTTTCATTTTGTAGTCAGGGTATTTCTCCAGCATGTTCAGCGGCTCTTGGAAGGAGTCCAATATGATGGAAATCAATTTGGAGATCCCTGACCAGAATATCGACACTGAAGGTGAGAAAACCTCAATCACAAATATCATCAGTGATTAAATGTTTGTGTTTATATTAACAGAACTTTACTGTCTTGTCTGCTTGTAGCTCTCCAAGTTGTGTTTGGATCCCTGTACAGAGATGATGTTCTCATCAAGCCCAGCAGAGTCGTCAGTATTCTTGCTGCTGCTTGTATGCTACAGCTGGTCAGTACACCGAATCAAATCTTAAATGTCAAAGTGATTATCTGGACTTTTATATTTTCAGTCACATGAAAGAAAACCTAATCTGGTCTTGTGGTTTGTTGTCTTCTGCAGGATGGTTTGATCCAGCAATGTGGAGAGACAATGAAGGAAAACATCAGTGCAAAGACCGTGTGTGGCTACTATGCCTGTGCCAGTATCTACGGCTTGGATTCAGTCATGAAAAAGTGAGATTTGAATCCATTTCAGTAGGTTCATATCACAGCAGTTCAGTTGTGTGTTTTATATCTGTCCTTAATGTTGTTCATCGCGTTATTTCTTTGTTTCTGCAGGTGCCTTGAGTGGCTTCTGAACAACCTAATGACCCACCAAAATGTTGACTTGATGAAAGAACTTGGGTACTTCTTATTATTCATGTTTTTTGAACTTCAAACTTGTTTTTTTTTTGATACAGACTTTATTCTAGCCTCTCTGGAAACAAAGGCACCAAATTCAATTTTACGTTTCAGAAATGATCTACAACCATTCTCACATTTGTGTCTGTACTGCGTTCATAGGGCAGAAGTGATGGAGCAGCTCATCCAGTCCTCTGACCTGTTTGTCATGCAGGTGGAGATGGATGTCTACACTGCTCTGAAAAAGGTAGACAAGGAAACCTACTGTTTCTAACCCTCTAATACACACACGTAGCACAAGACTTGTTTTTTTTAACACTCTTTTACTACGTTCTGTCTCTGTAGTGGATGTTCCTGCAGCTCAATCCAGGATGGGATGGCCCGATCAAGCAGCTTCTGGCTGACGCTGACGCCTGGCTCTGCAAACGCAGGACGGGTACAAAAAAGCCAAATCTTCAGAAACTGTCATCTTCGTGTGCTGTATTTTGTTCTTAGAAGTCACAAACAAATATCTGACCCTGTTTTTCTCTGTAGACCTGTGCGAGAAAGAGCCTTTTCTGAACACAGAGGAAGGGGCAGCATTTCGTTCAGTGTTCAAATATGTCCGTCTGCAGTATATCATCAACGACCTGGCATCTGCGCGCATCCTGGAGAGAGACAATATTCTGCCCCCTGGTATGATGTGGTGCTGTCTCAAATGATTTGTTCAGGAATGTGGATTTCTTAAGACTTGGAAAAACTACATCTTAATCTTCTTCTCATGTGAAAGTAGTTAAGTGAATAATTCAATTTCATTTAAGTTTCAAAAGACTTTAATTGAATATTTTACCAGTTATGGGAGAAAAACAAGCCAAGTTATTGAAACCAATGGTCTGTTTTCATGCCTAACTCAATAACTTCATTTTATTCCACAAACTCGCTAATATTTCACATGAATGTTGGACAAGATGACAAGTTGATTCATTCAAGCTTTATTGATTCTTGAAGGGACATTGGGGTTTTCCTCATATCCAGTGTTGTTGAGATTACAGGTAACATTAAAAGAAGCAGTGTTGTTTTCGTCAACGTCATCGTCAAAGAAAACAACACTGCAGAATATATGTTTAACGTTTGACTTACGAAATGCTCAGGAATTTTGCAACTCTGTTCGTCGTCCACCACTAACGTTTTCTCGTCAACGTAAACGCACATTCGTCTCGTCACATTTTAGTCTTTTAAGAATTATGTTTAGCTTGTCAACGTCACGTCTTTGTGGTGGAAAAAAATATTATCTTTTATATTTTTGTCAATGAAAACAACACTGAAAAGAAGAAAAATAAAAAAGCACATACAGCCAACCAAAAGAAACATTTAACTCAATATAAACTGTCACTTTTTAAAACCACAATCCCACTCTAACAAGTGAAAAGAAGGAGGCAGCCTAACAATAAAGGCCTTGAAACTCTGTAAATACACCTACAATTGTGTTCAAGCGGGAACTCCCAGTTATGATAAGTTATAAGGCAGTGTCTTAACGTTAACCTCTCTGATAGAGACCTTTTCATTGTGTTCATGCTCTGTCAATATTTTCCATTCTTTCAAACTCCAGATTGGTTGACGTCGGTGTATAAAAACCAGTGGTTTGCCATGCTCCGCACAGAATTTGATAACGACAACGGGTGAGAATCTGAGCCTGAAAATTTGTCAGCAGTTTTATTTTAAATGTCCTTTACAATACTTGCAGCATAATCACCAAGGTAATTGTAATACTGACAAAAGCGTTTTTTTCTTTCTGTAGTCCTCAGGAAGCTAACAAAGAGGAGTTTGAGCTGAGCAGCATGAGGTGTGGGAGAAAACTGACAAAAGATGGAGATGTGAGTAGGACAGTCCTGCTGCTTTATGCACTTAAGCATCCATACGTTGTTTTTAATCAAAGCTTTTTTATTTAATATACATGTGTGTTTCAATCTTCAGTACTGCTGGAGGTGGACAGGCTTTAACTTTGGATTTGATCTGCTGGTGACCTACACAAACCGTTTTATAGTCTTCAAAAGAAACACCCTGAGTCAGCCATGTGGGGGCGCTGTGAGCCTACAGCCTCGGAGGCATCTGGCATACAGGTATACAGGGCAGTGGGTCTTTGTTTAGATAGGACAGAACTATCGCTCCAAAATAACAGTTAGAATGTGAACAACACAGAAAAAGCATGATGTGTAACTGAATATATGGTGATTGAGGGCTAAACACACAATGAACCAGGGCCGGAAATATAATAGCAGCAGCAGTTTGATCATGTACTACTGCTTATCAGTTAAAACAGTAGGCAGTGTTTAAAAAATAAAGGCATTAAAAAAATAAAAGACAAAAATAAAAGATTAAATTGTAGATTGAGAGATGCATTTACTTTCCTCTTACTGAGCCTGGCCTTATGTTTCACCTCCAGTTTCCTCATGTTGAGCTTGGCTGGCCATCTGCTGCTAATAGCCTCATACAGTATCATACAGGAATACTTATTTTATCTCTCAGCAAGTAAACAACTAAACTTTTTCCCTTAAGTGTTGATAAAAGATTTGTTCTTTTGCATGAAAGGCTGTTTTGAAGCTTTAATTTTAAATGTGTGTTCACTTTTTCACTTATTTCTTTCATATAGGTTACGTCTCGCCTCCTTTGACAGCCGTGGGAAGCTGGTGTGCAGCCGCTCAACAGGCTACCAGCTTCTCACCCTTGAGAAAGATCAGGTCACTAAGCACCATAAGACCTTTCATGTCATATTTTTGCCATTTCTTACCCACACATACACCGCCCACATCTGCTGCTTCACTTGTGTGAAATCAAGGATTTTGTTCAATCAAACCAGCACTGCTGTTACTAGGTATGATCTCCTTTTTCTAGAATCGCTTAGTAATCCTCCTGTCTCTCTTTGATCACCCAGGAGTATGTGGTGATGAACTTGGACAGCCGGCTATTATCATTCCCTCTCTACGTGTGCTGTAACTTCCTGTACACGTCGCCTCAGTCGGACCAACGCCCAGATTCCTCAGAACAAGAAACCAGTGCTCGCAGTGTGTCCTGATGTCCGGCAGCTGTTTCCCGCAGCTATTCTTCTGGTAAAGCTGAAGCACTGATACAAAGAGAGCTCATGTGTACAATCCACTGCCACATTCAACATCACTGTGATGTCGCTCATTTCATCCGCATGTAAGTGTAATCCAGTGAGGTGTCAGGGGAAATTGTTTCGTGTCGGTGTACAGTGTTTATGTACAGTGTTTTCAGTAACACACATGATTGCGGCTAAGAGGGATCAGGCCAATTTTACCTCCAGAGAAGCTTAACACCTTGGACCTCTGCCAGGAACTGTCAGCAGTGAGATGTAGGACCACTTCTTAAGATGAAAAAGTCTCAAGAGATGATGGAATTCAGAACTTTAATTAATGGCTTTGTGATTTAAAGAACAACATTTTCATTCAGACTTGGCCGTAACCACTTGGGACGTGTATGACTATGTATTGTCACCTTGGTATGTGGGAACATCATATGGGAACAACAGGAGAATGGACACAGATCTCCAGTGATGGCAGCTGTCAGAAACTCCACCAGCATGGTGCCATTTGAAGTAGCTAGACTTCTCTAGTCGACAAATGTACCTGCATATGTTCCAACTTTTCTGGACAGCTCACACATTGAACACCAGGAATACCACACCCCACCATCAGGGATTTTTAAACACATATCCCACACAGTCTAATTCAAATAGAAAAAAGTGCTGTGCTGTTTTCTCCACGACTTTAAGTTGTGCGACTCTAAGCTGAATGAGATTTGACATCACACCTGCTGCATCAAGTTCCACACTCACTAGAGAAAAAGAAAACTGACAAATGTGATAAAAGCAGGATGTCTTTTTTACCGCTCTTAGATCCCAGCAGGTTCACATTACACCAGAACAACACCCCCTCCTCCCAGTGTCGAGTATCCGTTAGACTCTGTATATAACATAAAGTAAATTCAATATATAAACCTTAAAGTATGATTAAAATGTTGCTTTATGTGATACAATAGGTCACAACCTCAAAATAAACTTGCATCCAGAGGTCATGATCAACAGTCAACCTGAAAAACCTTTATCTATGAGACATAAAGCCTGAGTCTGTTTTGTGTGACACAGTTTGAAAGCCAGACATCGTGTCATCAACACCAGCCATTTTTAGTACATTTGCAGTTATCATTTTGTCATCTTCACTTTTCTACTGTTGTTCAGGTTACTTTTGGAAATTTGTTACCTCATGTTTAAAAACCAGGACAGGCTGGTATGACTCTCCTGTATAGCTGCAATTGTTACTATCATTAAGTTGTTCTTTTTTTTTTTTTGGCATTTATTTATTTTTTACTTCATTTGTACTTGTATCAATTCACTTTTTGAAAAATAAAACATGTACATCGTATTCAACAGCCAATAAAAGCGCCCCTTCATGTGGGCTGTGGTGCTATCACATCTCTTTTCTCCGACATTAAAACTGTTTTTCATGGTCCTGAATCAGGTGATTTTTGGTGCCTCACCTCTTTATCTCTGTTGTGAAGCCTGTTTAAGCCATTTTACATTAGATGAACTTACTGAGGCATGTTTTGGTGGAGATGTTTTTGAGGTTAATTTTATCTTTGTTCACCCAAACTGATTTGAGCAGATTAACACTGATTGAAAACTAACTAGAAGCTCATGCAGGAATCTTCTGCTTATGTCCTTGTTGTCATCCCCAAGTGACCTTTGCTGATTTTGCCCTTCAGTGTTTCTTGGCAAAATCTCATCCTGCCCTTTTAAGCGCCATTCGCATCACTTATTGGAGATTTTTCAATCATTAAAACATCAGCAGAAGCATCACTTGCTTTTACTGTTTTGTATTGACACAAATGAAGAGAAAGTGTTTTTTATTGTAAGAAAGTATCACAGTCTTGAAGCAGTTGCATTCACAGTACTTTAATCCAGACATACAAATGTATCTCAACAGAAGAGGTCACAGGATTTAGCACAACAATAAACAGAAAAACAGATGAGGGCTCATGCTGGAGCATTACAGATGTGAATCATGTCGAAGGGTGTTGTCTATATTATGAAATTTGTTAACTAGTTATGCATATGTGAGGAAAAAAAAGACTTCTCGGGTTTCTTCAAAGCACTTTGAGTTCCGCTTTTTGGATTTATATTTGACACCAGATGAATTGCTGGAATTCTTTTTTTTTCATACAGATTTAACAAACCTTGAGCTCCTGCTCTCCACTGAGATAACTGTAATTACGCCAAGTACAAAAACATCTCACAGTTAGCACTTCAATCTTGACAACAGCAATATCCAAAAGCTTCTGATAAACTTAAAGGCTCTCTTTTGCACCACATAATCTGTTTTGAACCTCAATCCTTCACCCTTCTTGGTGTCTCAGTCTACTTTCAAGCCGGTACCTGGTCATCCCAGCCGAGCTTATCAAACCTGCACTGCTCTGTATGCGTTTTAAAAGCTCAGGCTGAGCCGCAGCAACCCTATCAGGCTCCTCACTGAGGTATAGAGTCCAAGCTCTCTTTGAGTCTGCGGGTAATGCTGGGGATCAGGTTAATGTGGTCGTCCACACAGCTGCCCACACATCGATCCATCAGCGATCGAACAGCCGGCTCCTTGGCTCCTGAGTCAAAGAGATCCTTTGCCTTATCATTGCAGTGCATTGTGCATCTGGTCAGACGATCCTGAGGAGACAAAAAGATCATCTTTAGTGCCTGTGTTAAAGGGATATTCCGGCGTAAAATTAAGTTAGGGTCAAACACGGCATAACACAGAGTTAGACACCCCCTCGAGAGAGGAATGTTGCCGACCGCTTGCTTCTCTGCTTACACCAACTTTAGTATTGACCACAGATAGCAATACAGAGAGCCACACGCTCTTTCAGTACACACAGGGTCCCAGCCACAGCACTAGCCACCAAACATTTTTTAAGCTTTGCCTGATTTCCTTAGCAAAGAGACTAAACACAACTCACCTACTCTCTTCCAGCAGCCACTTGTTTGTAGCGAGACCCCAGGCCAGTCCATTACAGACTGCTGCGGGGTTACGCAGCTCAAGGAAGAACATTTACGATCATTTCTTTATCATTTCCTTGAAGTAATAATCATCATACTAATCATTTTGCACTGCAGACGCTGTAGTTCTTCTGCCTTAGCGTCTCTATCTGATTGAATTTCCGTGAAAAAAATGATCGTAAATGTTCCTCCTTGAGCTGTGTCCCCCGCTGTAGTCGATGGACTCGCCCGGAGGTCTCCTTACAAACAAGCGGCTGCTGGAAGAGAGTAGGTGAGTTGTGTTTAATACTGTTGATGAATTTAGGTGCTGTTCTGGGTATTATTTGAGGCTATATAGTGGCTTTTTGGTTGAGCGCATGGCTCTCTGTATTGCTATCATGCAGTCCTTACTAAAGTTGGTATAACTAGAAAAGCAAGCGGTTGGCAACATTCATCTCTCGATGGGGTGTCTAACTCAGTGTTACGGTTTGTTTGACCCTAACTTACTTTAACGCCAGAATTAACCTTTAAAAGGCTTCAAATAAATAAGGATTATTGTCACTTATTGATCACTGTATATTTGCTTCCCTTTGCATTCTCCAGAGTTCAGCAATATCGCCTCTCATATGACTATCACTTTTTACCTTTACTCTCAGTAGATTTGTCAGACTGTTTTTTACTTCTTCTCAGCTAAAGGGCTATTATTAATGTAACTGTGGTTGTATTTTGGTTGAAAAGAACATCAGTTCTAATAATGATCCTGGAGCAGCAGTTCCTCATGTTCTTCAAACCCAACATCTTCATTAAGTTTCACACACTCAAAGAAGACTGCAGAGTCTCTCCTCACCTGAAACTTCTCCAGCTCCGAGGTGACCAGTCCCTGAGCTCTGGCCAGAGGAGTGTGACACCTGTCGATGCACTGATGCACCTGGGACATGGAGTCTGAGGAGCGCTCGCAGCACTCTGCGCTGCAGCTGAACATCCGACCCTGCACCAGAGCAGACCAGAGGTGGGTTCATGAGGCTGCACACACCAGACTACAAGAAGAAAAAGACTGGCACGTGTGTGGAAAAAGTCCTACCTGCATTTTCCGGATGTGGTCCCTCTCCAGACTTTGGACCATTTGTTCCACCTCATTCTGCATGCGAGCCTGATGAGCCTCAGCCATTTCTGTTTGATCTTCTCCTTCAGTAAACGCTTCACTAATATTAAACACGAGTTAACGTCCAAACCAGACCGGACTGGGATGTGGCCAATTTGTTTATTTAGCTAATTGGTAGTAACTAAGGTCACCTCCATTCAAGCATGGTTCAGGATGGGAAGATGAGCCCCTCACTTCCGCTGTACTTCCGGAACCGGTTTCTGAAAAGAATCTCTTTCCGTTTTCTGTGGTCAGACTTTCAAAATAAACTTCCACTTTGGCTCCGAGTGGCTGATGGGACAGATAACGCGAGGCTCATTCTGAATATTATAATGTACAGTCCCAGATTCACTGTCACTAAAATGATGGTCAAATGAACTTAAAATACACGTTTGGGAGAAATTATAAAACCCAGCAGACATATTTTACTCAGTTAAACAACTTAATTCATTCAGCCGTTTTCCACGAGCAGGGGTGGAGCCAATGGGTGACCAGAGGAGGCTAGCCCCCCTTCACCTCTTAATCTGATTGGAAACCCTATAATCCTTAAAGGGATATTACAGTGTAAAATTAAATCTGGGTCAAACACACCGTAACACCTAGATAGACACCCCATCAAGAGATGAATGTTGCAGACCGCTTGCATATCTCATTATATCAACTCTTTATGTAAAGACCGCAGATAGCAATACAGAGAGCCACGCGCTCAACCAAAAAGCCACTCTATAGCCACAAATAATGCTCAGAACAGCACCTAACTTCATCAACAGTACATATAGGATCCCAGCCATAGCACTAGCCACCAAACATATTTTCAACTTTGCCTGATTTCTTGTTTCACATGATTCACCCACTCTCTTCCAACAACTGCTTGTTTGTAAGGAGACCTCCAGGCGAGTCCATCGACTACAGCGGGTGACGCAGCTCAAGGAAGAACATTTATGATCATTTCCTCATGGAAATGCAATCAGACCGAGACGCTAAGGCAGATGAACGACCGCGTCTGCAGTGCAAATTAATTAATGTGGTGATTATTACTTCAAGGAAATAATAAAGTAATGATCATAAAAGTTCTTCCTTGAGCTGTGTCCTCCCGTTGTAGTCGATGGACTGGCCAGAGGTCTCGCTACAAACAAGCGGCTGCTGGAAGAGAGTTGGTGAGTTGTGTTTAGTCTCTTTGCTAAAGAAATCAGGCAAAGCTAAAAACATGTTTGATGGCTAGTGCTGTGGCTAGGACCCTTTAAGTACTGTTGATGAAGTTAGGTGCTGTTCTGAGCATTATTTGTGGCTGTAGAGTGGCTTTATGGTTGAGCGCGTGGCTCTCTGTATTGCTATCATGCGGTCGTTATTGAAGTTGGTATAACTAGAGAAGCAAGCGGTTAAAACACTCTTAACATAACTCTGAATGTGAGCATATGTGTTCATAATGGGATTAATTTACCTGATCCATCCTGAGCAGCCTCTGAATGCAAATATGTTGGTATGGTGTGTTTGAACTTATTTTTCCGCCGTAATATTCCTTTAACTATGCCTGACCATATGGCCTCATCAAAAAGCAGATAAAAATGATTATTTAGACAGTTTTTATCAAATTTCAGATTTCTTTGCATTCAAACAGCAAATTTTTTCGCCTTTTGTTTGTACAAAACTTTTACCTATTAACATTAGAGATAACTTCTTTTAAGAGTTTAGTACAGGGTTTTTAAAGTTGCCCTTTTGTTTTGCTTCATTTAAAGTTAAGATTTAAAACACCAGCATAATAAACACATAAGAATAGAAAGTGTTAACTGTCAGACAAAAAGGAAACTTGCACCAGGAAATCCTGCTTTAACTTTTCTGGAGACAAGCTACATTTAACTGCCCATTAAAAAAAAAAAAAAAAATAGGACTTTTATTGTGAAAGTCAAAGGTAAGCGTGCCCGGAAGTTTCTCAATAACAAGAGCCGTTCTAGATACTCCTTCGTAAACAAGCCGTCAAACCTGTTAAATTTGTTACATTCTCCCACAGTATTAAGTGAGTTTTGTGAACAGTTTCATTTAGCTGTTTATTAACAAAAGAAGCGGCGTAAACTTAACCGGAAGTGTAACTGTGAGGTAAACACTGTGGGGATATTTTCGGACCTCCGGTGCAGACTTTTGAGAAAGTGAGTCACGTTTTACTCTTCAGGTCTTTTCTGAACGGTTTCTCCTCACAAAGTTTTGAACTACACCTCTGACATGTCTGTATTTGTTTCTGAGTTATTACAAGCAGCGCCTCTGTCTCCATTTTGTCATTCTTTGTCCTCAGAAGTCCTGGCTCTGACCTTTGAGCGACACATAGTGACCTGGCACAGAAAGGTGAACTCGCCTGAGTCCGGGGTTTTCCTCTTTCTGTTCAGATGGTTTTTGGAGCATAGTAGTCCTGGACACCTACAATGAATCCACAGACTCTGTCACTAAGGGCTCTGCTCTTTCTCGGGCTGTGGCACACTGGGAGAAGAAGTTTAGCTTCAACCTCAGAGCTGAAAGATCCTCCTAAAAAGATAGGTAAGCAAATAAATCAACTAGTATCCATCAGCTGATCACCACCCTGCAGGACTTATCGATCTGGTGGACACAGATTGTAGAAGCCAATAGGTATCATACAGTATGTAGCATCAGAGATGTGCTTATTGTTAAATTGTAGTAATAGTATTCTCAGAAGAGGTCTTTGTTGGGCTGTGTAAGAGTTGAAAACTGCTTCCCTCTGTGCTTTTAACTCATGTGTACTGCTCAAAATTTACACCCTTTCGTCCTGTTCGTGGACGTTTATAGCCACTAACTTTAGCTGCTTTAAAACCATATCGGATAAATATTTTTTCAAAAATGTTTGCTCAAATCTCTTCATTCACCTTAGTCCTTATTGAAACTATTATTTATTTTTTTTTAATTGTTATGGATTTTAACTCTTAAAATTTAACTCAGAGGTGATGTCACTGATTTGGTGTGAAAGAAAATACAAAATGACTGATTTTCAATAAAAAAATAATCAGAGGCTGGAGATTTTTTACATGCTATCACACCCTTGGATATGTCAAATATTAGTAACAACATTGGCTTTGATGCATTTCTATTTTTGAGCTGCATCAGATTTTGAAGTTTTTTTTTTTAAAAAGATTTTAAAGGTGTATGTCTTTTTTGGAGAGAGGTTCTTTTTTAGTATGAAATTGAAGGTTGTATTGTAATTTTGTAAACTGAATTTGCATTCACTCAGTGATGTGCAATAAATGTTTATGTGATTGCATGTGGAAATAAATAACAGCAAAATAGAAGTGAATATATGCTATTTATTTTAGGAATCTGAAACTTATAAAACTGTCATTTTAACATCAGAACTGGTATAATAAGCCTTGGCATTCCCACATTACTCATCTGCAGTGACACAAAAAGAGACTCCAATATTTCGCCTCCCTTGAGAATGGGCCAGCATTATCTTCCCCAACTACAACATGAATATAATCAGACATCACTTCAGCCATAAATTGTACATGTATACACTTGATAATGTTATCATGAGGCGTCTAGGATGTAATGAGGAAGTTTTACAGGAAGATATTAGATTTCAGATTTATTGAGGGGATTGCCCCTTGAGATGCACCCTCTCGTTTTCGAGGGGGTCCCAGAAAGCATAAACAGAGTACATTAACACATACTGCATAGATATACAGATACTTACATGTATACGTACATTGCAATCTAATACCCTCAGTTCTTAACTGCTGATCCCATGTTGCTCCTCTAAAGGTGATCTTTGAAGTCCACTTATCTTTGTTTAAGCTCAAAATAAAAAAAACTCTCATGTGGTTGGATCAAACTCACATATAACTTCTAAGATGATTATGATAACCCTAATTCTAACCCCACTCATAGTGTTTTTGTCATTGTCCCTTTATAGCTGTGGTAGGAGCTGGTATTGGTGGCACAGCTGCAGCTTTTTACCTGAGACAGGAGTTTGGACCTGGGGTGAAGATAGATGTGTTTGAGCCTGAGGTTGTTGGTGGGCGGCTGGCGACAGTGAAGATGGGAGATTATGAATATGAGACAGGTGGCTCAGTGATCCACCCTCTGAACCTGCACATGAAGCACTTCATAGAAAAACTAGGTAAAGAAGACAGTATTTGTTGAAGCCAGTGTTGTTTTGCGGCCTGGAGTATTTGAACTGTGAGCTTGTGTTTCCTGATTGTCTCAGGTATTCCTCCAAGGAAAGATGTTCCTTCAAAAATGGCCATCTTTGATGGAAAGGAGCTCACATTTGAAGAGAGTGACTGGTTTATAATAAACTTCTTGCGCCTCCTCTGGCGATACGGGTTCAGCTTCCTCCGAATGCAGATGTGGGTGGAGAGTATTTTGGACAAATTCATGAGGTGAGGAGGAGAACAAGTTGTCCTAACATCTAAATCTTGTTCTTGGCTTTAGATCCATCTGCTTCATTCTTTTAATGTTGTTTTATTTTGGTTGGGTTATCCTTTCATTTGCAGGATCTACCAGTACCAGCAGTATGGTTACTCATTCACCACCGTGGAGAGGCTCCTGCATGCCATGGGTGGTGATGGTTTCCTCACCATTATGAACCAGACCCTGGAGGAGACGATGATAGGCGAAGGGTTTTCACAGGTTTTTCTCAACGAAATTGTGGCACCCATCACTCGTGTCAACTACGGCCAGAGCGTTCGCATCAATGGCTTTGTGGGTAAGTTTTACAGTGTAAGAGTTTGGGTCAGTTTGTTATACATCGAGTTGTATGAGGTTTTATGCAACAATAAGAGGGTTTATACATTCAGTGTTTTTGTTGTCTTGCAGGGGCGGTGTCGTTAGCTGGAGCAGAGTCAGGTCTGTGGGCAGTGGATGGAGGCAATAAGAGAGTGTGCTCAGGACTGCTGTACCACAGTAAAAGTGAGCTCATCCCTGCCAAAGTGACGTCTGTGTCTGTTAAGGTTCGACCGTCTAAAACAGGTACAATCACGCTCTGTCACAAAGATTTCTTATACACTCGTTCCAACTTTTTAAATCTAAAACATGTCTTATCTTTTGTCATTTTCAGGCCCCACTACCAGCTATTATGAGGTGAATTATGCTGATGAATCCGGCTCAGCTCACGCTCTGTATGACATTGTCGTGATAGCGACACCACTCCACCAGGGTAAATCTGACATCACCTTCTCAGGCTTCTCCCCTCCAATCCCATCGCACTACCCTGGGCGGTACCATCAGACCGTCACTACTCTGGTCCACGGCATGCTGAATATGTCCTACCTTGGGACCTCTGAGCATGCCTCAGAGTTTACAGTGTCCGACATTCTCACTACTGACACCAAAGGCTCTATGATCAACAGTCTGAGCTCTATAGATCCTGTTCACATCCCAGCTGATTACAAACGCCCCCCTGCCAGCAAGACCAAAGTGTGGAAGGTGTTCTCCCCTCAGCCGCTGTCCCAGGAGCAGCTGAAGGAAATGTTCCTCTCCTGGGACTCTGTGTCTGAGACTCCTTGGCTGGCTTATCCTTCTTACCGCCCGCCACACAGGAGGACTCCTCCTTTCATCCTACACAACCGGCTGTACTACCTCAACGCCTTGGAGTGGGCGGCCAGTGCCATGGAGATGAGCGCCATCTCGGCCAGGAATGTCGCTCTCCTGGCACACCACCGCTGGCACAGTCAGACTGGCAGGATTGACCAGGAAGACCTGCATACCAGGCTGAGAGGAGAACTCTGAACAAGAGGAGTTAGAGCAATAAAAGCAACACACACAGGTACTCATGGGTACGCCTGCTGCACTGTAAAAACACTCTTGTCAGGCAAACTCTCCTTCAGGATTCCAAGGATGCACTAGTCTCCTTAAGCACAATCCCTCTGGGTCTTTTAATTAATTTCTAAGGACCTCAGACAAGCTGTTTACAAGTCCGCTTTAAACGTGTGTATTAGACCACTGAGTTTGGAGGTAAATTAACTCTCCTCTGCCTCCTCAAATCTCAGCATTTAACTGAAGACAGGGCATTATTTCAACCATCAGTGGTTACTCCAAACGAAACTTGGACAAAAATCAAAAAATGGCAAATTTTTTTAACAAGTCTGTACTGATAGGTGGAATACAACTGTATTACAGGAAGTAATTTTATTCATAAATTAATTTGTCTGTTATTTTCAGATTTTAACATTTTTAAGTCAGTGAAATCCTGAAAATGAAAAATGAATTCACTGACTCAGTTTTGACTCCTCCAAATCAATCCAACAGCCCCCCATGAGAGACCCTTGTTTCATATCATAAATGATAAAGAAAAGAAGCAGTTCCTTAAACACACTAGAACGTCTGTGACATTTCTGTATAAATATAACCTAAAACCCTTTATCGGTTATCAAACACTTACATCCGTTAAATAAATATTAGAAAATTTGTTGCACTAATCTCTAAAGCCAAATGATGTCCTCACTGTGAGCCATGCTGCACTACAGGGTAAACACACACTCCTCTGTGTTCCTTTGTCTTCGTCTACATTGTTAGCCTTAGGCCAAATTCTCGCTTTGTTTTGCTGCAAAACTCGAAACTGAGAAATACAATGTGTTATAAATGGAGAAATATATCTAATTCGACTTCATTTAAGCCACATCTACCTGGTGAGTCCAGATTAATATATCATTCAAAGAGTTTGTGACCAGAAAGATATTTTCACTCATTACAAGCAATTTAGATATTTATTTTTGCTCATAACTTGATATAAGATGTTGAACTTTTCAGGTAAATGTGGCTAATATGTCATCAAACTAGGTTTTTTTTGTCTATAAATAACACAAAAACCTTTAGTAAGGAGTTTAAAAGAGTGATAACTGTGTAAAGATGTCCTTTAAATTGATGAATTTCTATGTTTTCGGATGGTTTCCTCTGCCTCTTCCCTCTCAGCAGTCTACTGCATATGTTTGAGTTCAGGCAGCATGTTTTCTTTCTTCTGATTTCATGTTGTAGTTGTCACTGTATTATTAATGAAACTACAAGTAGATGATCTAATCGCACTGATGAGTTATGAGATGTTAATGTTTTTTTTCTTGAAACTATGACTGTGCCTTAAAACTGAATATTTGGCCTTTATCTGTACTTTGTGAGAAGTGTCCCTGTAGTTTAGAAATCATCTGTTGTCCTTCAGGTCTTCTTTTTTGGGGGCCACCAGGACCAAACTGAGAACAACATGATGCAGCTCTGTGTGTCACATTGTTTGTAACCTCTGGGAAAGTGGATTTTTATCTGTGTTTTCTCCGATGTCTTGTTGCTCCCTTGAAACAAGTTGTTGTCCGCTCAGTTTTCCTGAAACACTTATAGAGGCGTATTTTTCTAGAGCTTAGTTTCTTGTGGAGCTGTCCACTAGTGAGTACATGTGAAAACACACTGAACAATAACAGCAGCATCAGAATAGCAGATTAATCAAAAAAGAGGTTTCAATGTTCCTTTTATAGAATAAAACTACAATCCTGTGAAGAATTAGTCTGGCTTCTTCTGCAAAAATAAAACATGTCTTTTAATAACAAATCTAACTTCTGATTTCTTGTTTTACTTGACTTCAAACTTCACTGATAAACGCCCAAACCATCATTTGGCCTTTGTGGGAATTTAAACTGTCCGGTTATTATCGTGTTGTTGTTGTTGTTGCTTTCTCTCCAAATCTGAGTAATGTCAGATCTGATAGTTGCAGATACTTTATTTTAAATGCCGGATTAAAGCTCCTGTAAGGAAATATGTCTCTGTTGATATTAGCGCCCCGCTGTGGACAATGTGATATATTGGATCTCTGTTATCTTAACTTGTGCATGTGTAAGCTGTGTTTTCAGACAAAAATCTCATCTTGCTTTCTTTTAACAGTTCAATATTTCACTCACCTTCAGTATTTTCTTTGAATAGGTAAAAACTGAGTTTTTAATTCACCTTTCTGGCCTGACACCAAACCCTCTGCAGTGATTACAGACATTGAAAACTACATTATAGAAATTGCCAGTCTTTTTGATATTGGCCTTGTTTGCTTTTGTAGCTCATAGAGGCATCATTGTAGATTTTAGTCTGTTTTACAACCGGCCAACAACTCCTCACATAAGCTTGAAAAAACGACATTCTTCAAATAATCATAAAAAACTGATCAGACTCTGAAAAGCTTCATCTGTCTATGCTTTCTCCATATCTGTGTGATTAATTGATGTGTTGTCTTTGTGACCCATCCTCTGTAAGCCAAACATGTGCGGTAAAATCACAGGAACAGGAAATGGACATTGTTTGTTTTCAGCTTTGGATTCAAGGACTCCTATTTTTTTGTAAATCAGGCACAGAAGTGTCCTAAATAAAGGCCCGTGTGACTGCAGAGCCCACAATGGGTGCCATTGATGGCCTGAATAAGGATAGATCTGTGTGCCGATGTGACACCCAGCTGTCCTCTCAGGTAGGGAGGGACAATGGTACCAGAGCCGCCTGTCCATGAAGAGCATGTGATGTGACGGAGGATATAAAAGGCTGTAAATCAACAACAACACAACACACAGTTTCGAGGGACACCCAATATTCACCAAACCAGACCAGCCGCCAAGATGAGATTTCTGGTGCCGCTGTTCGTTTTCCTGGCTGTGCCAGCATTTCATTCTGGTAAGAAGCAAAAACTTGAATGTTTGCAAACAGGTGGTAAAAGTTTGGCATTTTTAGTTTTAGACTGCGCCTGTGTTGGAAAAATCTGCAAACTGCAGCCTGAATTGATGTACGTCTGCTAACTTACAGCTCTCTCAGCGTCTATTGAATCAGCAGAGAAAGAGGAGGCAGTAGCAAAGCATGGTGAGAGAAAAACAGTATTAATAATCTTCAGAAAACTGTGACAACCACGCAATAATAATTAGACACACACACGCCTGAAAGAGGGAATAATTTCACTCATATTTGTCATTTATTTTGATGCAGATGGGCTCACTAAACTGCAGGAAATAGGTAAGCTACGATGAACTGCTCTGATGCATTATATATTTCATGTATCTTATCCTCTGTTGGCTTTGATCCATCTGGCTGCAACAGTTTTAGCCTTTAGACCTGTTTCATAATGCTCTCTTTTTTTTCCTAAACCACCCACCTAACACTCTGAGATGCTTCATGTTTTATGTTGAATCTGTATTTATTCATTTTTGATGGTAATTTTAACTCAAGTCTCCTTGTTGGGCTCGATTGTAATGATTTGTCATGTCCTCAGACCAGTTGGAGTTTGAGGCCGCTCAGAAGAATGAGGCCGCTCAGCTGAACGGTAGGTTTAACCAGAGCCACAAACAAATTCATCTTTTGCTCTCTTTTTGTGAAAACCCAGAAGTCCAAATAAAGTTTTGATCTTTTCCTTTCAAGTCACAGAGGAGCAGAAGGAGGTCGCCCGCTACGGTAAGAAGAATCTTATGACCTTTCACCTCTTTCAAAGTCAATAATGTCAGATCCAGGTGCAGTTTATATACCAAAATTTCTTGTCTTTGCATACAGAGGCTGCTCAGGATGGATCAGGTAAGTTAGTCCCATTATGAACACATACGCTCACATTCAGAGTTATGTTATATTAAGAGTGTTTAAAGGGATATTCCGGCGTAAAATTAATTTAGGGTCAAACACACTGTAACACCGAGTTAGACACCCCCTCGAGAGATAAATGTTGCCAACCGCTTGCTTCTCTAGTTACACCAACTTTAGTAACGACCGCAGGATAGCAATACACAACGATCTGAGGAGCCATAAACAAACCTCAACCAAAAAGCCACTCTATAGCCACAAATAAAGCTCAGAACAGCACCTAACTAGCCATAGCACTAGCCACCAAACATCTTTTTAACGTTGCCTAATTTCTTTAGCAAAGAGACTAAACACAACTCACCTACTTTCTTCCAGCAGCCGCTTGTTTGTAGCGAGACCTCGGGCCAGTTCATTACGGACTGCTGCTCAGTCAATGACGAACATTTATGATCATTTATCATTTTCTTGAAGTAATATAAATCATATATTTATCATATTAATAATTTTACACTGCAGACGTGGTAGTTCTTCTGCCTTAGTGTCTCGGTCTGATTGCATTTCCATGAAATAATTACCATAAATGTTCTTCCTTGAGCTGCGAAACTCCGCTGCAGTCCGTAATGGACTGGCCTGAGGTCTGCGACAAACTAGCGGCTGCTGGAAGAGAGTAGGGGAGTTGTGTTTAGTCTCTTTGCTAAAGAAATCAGGCAAAGTTAAAAAGATTTTTGGTGGCTAGTGCTATGGCTGGGACCCTGTATGTACTGTTAATGAAGTTAGGTGCTGTTCTGAGCATTATTTGTGGCTATAGAGCGGCGTTTGGTTGAGGTTTGTTTATGGCTCCTCAGACCGTTGTGTATTGCTATTTCGCGGTCGTTACTAAAGTTGGTAAAACTAGAGAAGCAAGCAGTCAGCGACATTCATCTCTCGTGGTGTTGTCGAACTTAAGTGTTAAGGTGTGTTTGATCCTAAATTAATTTCACGCCGGAATATCCCTTTAACTGAATCACCTTACTGTTCTCTACAGTGGAGGAGCGCGTGGAAGCTGAAAACGACAACACAGGTGTGTCAAAAAAATCCCACCGCTCCTACCAGGCGATGTGACCTCTCTGTAACTGATATTCAACATTACATAACTGTGAAATCCTCCCCCAACAGGAGGGGGTGGGAACTCTGATTCTGCTGCTGCACGTGGTGGTAAGAGAAGCTTTTCTGTTCCTGTAGTGACCTGAGGGTGGCGACAAAAGACAGAGTGGAAAAGTTTGAAAAGAAAGGGATGTTTAAGTACACTGATGTGTAAAATTTGACAGTCTTGTGACCAGTTTTCTCCCTCTAATCCACAGAATCATCAGAGTCCTCTGAGGAAGCAGAGGGTGAGTTTGTGACTGTTTAATCTAGAGGGATTATTTCAGCAAATTAAACTGTAATCTCAGTTTGGTTTTTAGATGCTGACAATGTCTGTCTGTGATTTTTGACAGGGAGACAAAGACGAGGTAAGTGCTGTAAATCTACACTAAAGCACAAAATAAATAATCCAAACTTAAAATGAAGACAGATGATCACGATTCCCCCCCTGAACCAGTTATCCTCACATTCAATAACTTTTCACAAGTTCTGTTTTTCTTTTCTTTTTCAATCATTCCTCAAGAATATAAATGTTGTAACAGTTCATCCAGGCCAGGTTTAAAAAAAACTTTACTGTGCTCACTCTTTTGCCTATTTTGTCTGTATTTCTTATCTTCTCAGAGCACCTTAAGACAGTGTCAGAGACTGTGTCAGAGACAGTGTCAGAGACTGTGAGCACCTCTGGTAAGATAAAAATAATAAACCAATAAAAACTGACTTTCCTCTTGAATATCACACTCTCAAGTATTCACTGTAATCCCTCCCTGTTCTCATTTCTTCTCCACAGATGAAGGAAGTCATGATTCAACCAAGGAGCAAGGTAGGAAAGAGTTTTAGGGAGCTGCACTAAAGTAAAAATCTGATGAATTTTTACTGAAGTCAAAGTAAAACTATTAATCTAAAGGAGAAAGTACTTGATTTAAAATTACTCTGAGTTTCTGTGGGGGGATTTGAAGTGCTTATGAAATAGAACAAAGTAAAGAATAACTCCCCTCTATGAGCTACAAAAGCAAACAAATGTTGAAGTATAACAAACAAATCAATAGTTCTGTTTTTCTTGCAGTTATTGAACATTTTTTGTTACACTTCAGGATAAGACCTGAAGTAATCCCCTAAAAAATACTTCAGTAAGGAAAGAAGTACTTTAAAATCCAGCCTACTCACATAAGTACAACTCAATTACAGTAGCCTGGGTTAATGTTATTAGTGACCACCCCTGCCACAGAGCGAGGTAAAAACTTCTCAAATACTGCTCCCCACAAATCCACACGTTAAATTTACATCTATCTGTTTGTTTAACCATATCTGGATATCCGAGTTCACAGGCAGTCGTTAACATTTTTTGAGGCAGACTCAAAGTACCTGCTGAGGCACGATGTGGTGAACTGTTTTGAGCACACTGAGTGAAAGTCAAATTGTAGGTTATGCAATGTAGTGCAAGAACACAGAGCCAGCCAGGGCCAGTCAGAGCTAGATTTAAACCGAGAGAAAACCGTTTATAGGTCAGGATCGGCAAACAGTAAAATAAGTATAATTACAATTTACAACTTGCAGCTTGTTAAAGACTCAAGAGCATTTTTTTTTCTCTCTCTGTTTTATAACATAAAATTCCAAACAGCAGTTTTGCTCAAGACATTTTTGAGTCGCCACAGATCTGGAAAAACCTGTTTACTGCTTGACCTCAAAAATAAGATGCTGGAATTGTTTATCGGAGCACAGTCTTCCTCATATGTGAGTAAATCTGGGACAAAAATCCAGGCCACTCTGAGGCGTCTGTCCCACAGGTGCTTATTGTGCTTGATTTATACTGTATCATCTGCTCTTGGTTATTTTAGGAGCCAAGGATGCGCTGTCCCTGCCCTAAAAGATGCAGAAAAGTTCAGTTTTTAAATTGATCAAATTTCTTAAGTTAAAGGTTGCTGGGGCAGAAAAAAGTAGTCTCTCTGATTCTGATTTTATGTGCTGAGAGGGAAAGTCTCATGTGGTACAGGAACAAGAGAAATTTATGGTGAGGCAGTAATTCTTAATCCTTCTGGGGGGAGAGTATTCTATTATTTTGCTGCACAGCAGTATCGTGCTGCTGCGCTCTGCAGTAGTCATTCATCACTACCTGCGCATGAGGGGTGAGTCATATCAGAAAGCATGAAGAGAGCTGTGATTCAGATAGTGGCTTCAGTTTGTCTGGAAAAATACTGGATTGTTGTTAACAATGTAAAGCTAGTGTAAAGGAATCCTGTTTGTCTCTGCATCACAGATGCACTGGAGTGAGGAACGCAGCAGCACGTGGATCCAAGCGCTCCCTCATCACCCGGTGCCTGAGCTGCACCGAGCTTACTACCAATAAAGGGAACTATTCTACTCATCTGCAAAGCCTGTGTGCCTTTTCTGACTCATGTTATGTACCATGACAGAGCTTCATGATGTGATGAATAGTATTTGGGTTATTTAAAAAGATGCTTTCCTTCCAAATAAGTAACAGAAACAAGAACACATGTATTTTCCCATTTTTATTTTTCATTTGTTGTTTTTTTTTTTATCCACAAGAGTGAATCAGTATGTTGATGTGCATTAAAAAACAAAACAAAAACTCCTTTCTTTGGTACCTAAGGGAAAATAAAGCAATTAAGGCAACTACAGCATCTACAGCTCTGAAATGCATTTAGTACTGCAGCCAAATGACCACACATCAGTGGCATGCAATGTTTACATCCACCCTCATTCGAACAAGGCTAGATCAGCTCAAACCATCAGTTAGGTAACTTCCAGATTAAAGGTTTCTGTTCCTCCCAATTTACAACCGTATTCGACTTCTCAGGGCCAAGTGAGAGAAGAAAACTAAAGCAACCCAAACATCTAGACAGGTGCAAGTTTCACAGAAAAACCAAACTGGAAAGTAGCTGATGAAAGGTTAGCCAGCAAAAATGGGGCAGAAGCAGACCTAAAGCATTTAAAGGGCCGAGTATGACGCAATCAAGTTTTGACAGGAGACTTAAGGTCTTGTTTGACATTCTGCTGTTACATTTATCAAATTCAAGTAATTCTGTGCAGATATCTCTGCATTAACCAAAATCTGCAAGACTATGGAGACTCAAAAAATCTGGGTCACTGATTTCAGAGTAGAGTTTTTGTCAGAAACGGACTGACTTCTCATGCCAATGATAGTGTTTCAGTTATCAATTTGCAGGTAGACATTCAGGGAGAACAGCTGGTCAGGAAAAACACCCCAAACCTGCCAATACTCACAGTGTTAAGTCCTTTTTTGTTCCATAACACCAGGGAGAGAAAATGTATATCCCAGTTAAAAGGATAAAAAAGGAAGCCAGATGAAAACTATTAATTCAACAAATACTTAGAATTCAGGGGCAGGGGAAATACACACAAACACACCATAACCTTGTTTTTTTTTTTGTTTTTTTACCTAAAAATACTCCTTTTGCAACTACCTTACTTTCAGCATGTGCTATGACTGAAGAGTTATATCTTGCAAAAGGGCTAATACTGCATTATAGTTGTTCATTTCCTTACTAACATGTAAAATAAAAATTAAAACAGCATGGTTTTATATACATAATTGCAAAGTAAAAAAATGGAAGAATGATAGTAGAAAAAAAATCAGTTGATGTTTTTTTTTGATTAACTCTTTACAGAATGGTGATATGACAAAGTAAGTCAGAACAAAGAAATGCACTGGAAGGAAAGTGGCCCAACTGGAACTGACAGCAAATTCTGGGTCGAAAATGGTGCAGCCAAGAACCACAGGCCCATATCACAACTCATTTCAAACATCTTTTTTTTTGCCTTTTTCTTCCAAAGTTGTCGGCTTGAGGTAAGCGATATATTTTGGCCATCCAACTTTAACTCCTCGTCTCCCGGTGCGCTCTGGAGCGATTTCTTCTTCCTCCCCCCTGCGTGGGGTTGCAGCTGAATGTTATACCTGGATGCCGTAGATGAAGATGGCCATGATGGCTGCACTGATCAGTCCAGAGATAGGCACAGTCACGAACCAAGCCATGAAGATGTTTCTGAACAGACGCCAGTCAACGGCCTTTTTTGAGCGCAGCCATCCCACTGCGACCACGGAGCCCACCTGAAAACACAGCAGTGAGTAAAGTCTAAAAATGAACCGTTTTATAATGGAGAAAGTTGCACAACATCTCAGCTGTCTCCAGGACCAAATCCTGTTTACTTAAACTTCCTTCACACTGAATAGTCTCTTCCCCCGTGTCTAGGCTATTTCCCCGACCACAGTGTTTAACCAGCGTACCTTGCAGTGGGTGGTGGAAACAGGCAGGCCAATGTTTGAGGCAACCACGACAGTCAGGGCTGAGGCCAGCTCAATGCTGAAACCACTGAAGAGCAATAAAAAAAAATACACTCATGACTCTCAGGTGGATATGTTTGTGCATGCTTACTAAATCTGAAGAGTAGTAATGTCTGAGGAACATGTTATTTAATCGAGAAACAGGTTTAGCACAGTCTGGGGAGTCATACCTTGAGGGTGTTATAGGGGTGAGGTCCCTGCCCATAGTCTGGATTACTCGGCGTCCCCACACCCAGAGCCCAGCACAGATGCCAACACCCCCATACAGCAGAAGCCAAATGGGTGTGGGTGCGTTTGAAGTCACACTGCTGGTGTCATAAATGAGCCACAGAGCTACCAACGGTCCGATGGCGTTACTGCGAAGGAAATAAAAGGGATTATTTTAAGATTCCAATTTGAAGTTGTATTAAGGAAAGGTTAAAAAACAAACAACACCGACTAAAAGCAACCCTTTAAAAACAATCTGCATACCTGACGTCGTTCCCTCCGTGGGCGAAGGATCCGAAGCAGGCAGTGAGAATTTGGAGGAACTGGAAGAGTGTTGAGACCTCGGGTTTGTCTGCCTCCAGTCCATCGTCATCCAGAGAGCTTCGGCTGCTACCTGCGTCATCTTTCCCCATTTCTAGCGCCACATCCCCCTCTCCCAAACCTTCAGGGGTCGTGTGCTCTGCCACGGCATTGCAGTAGCTGGTGTAACTGTCCATTCGCACACGCTTCTTGTCCTGACCCCCGGGGCCCTTGTCGCCATCCTCGCTGGCGCGGAAGTCTGTGTCTTTGTGCTTGAAGTCTCCGTGCATGCCGATGATGGCCATGGTGTAGGAGGTGTAGCTGTTGTTGCGCCGGATGGGTCGGTCGCCGCCCTCGCCCATGCAGTCGCCAACCTTAGCCAGGTGGAGCTTGTGCAGTAGGTCTTTGTAGAGGCCCGAGTCTTTGTGGACCGTGTGGTACTGGCTGTAACCGTTGCTCGGGATCTGTTGTGCAGGTCTGTTGTTGAACTGGACCTGGTTGTTGAACTGGACCTGATTGGCAACATTTGTGGAGCCATAGCCTTGCTGGTTGTTGCCTTGGTTATTTGATTGGCTTTGTTTGGGGGCTGTGAAGGGGGATATCAAGGGAAGTTTCAGGTTTCCATCTCACAGCTTTAGTGACATGAACGAACTCAAGATTGTTTGCGGCAAACTTACCTCCATTTGCATTGCTGTTGTCCGTGTCGTCAGAATCTCCAATGTCAAACGCCACCCTGCGTTCTTTATTATTGTCGACGTCTTCTGAGTCTCCAATGTCAAACGCCACTCTGCGTTCCTCGGGGGCGGCCTGCGACTGCACTGAGGGGTTTTGATTGACAGCTGGGTCGGTAAATGTCTCCTTGGCAGTCTGTTTCAGGATTGGACAGTGGGCCTCTTTCAGCTCCGTCTTCTCCATCAGGGGGCTCTCAGAGGGGCTGGCAGCCTTGATATCTCCTGTTAAGAGGACGAGTTGCAGTGAGATATTGCTTGGGTCACGTCCAAACATACATTGAGTACAGCTGAGAAATACTAGAACAGCACATGTGCTTCCTTTCAATCTACACTGCGGGGTGTCCTAAGAATTGCATAACCAGATTCTCAAAAAACCTTTGTCTCAGACACGCAACTTAAGCTGCGTTCAAAAGTGCGCCGCTGTGTTCACAGGATCAGATAAATGGATTATTACCTTGCAAGGACATATTTACACTACCACTGGCAGCTTAACTTATGAAACACGATAAGACTCAGCACATCCCTTAGACTCACATGACATTTGTTTGTGTTTTCAAGTGAATGAGATACCTAAAGCCAATATTTTCTATTTGACAGTCCAAGGTGTTGTCTGACTGGTTAGCCACGTTGACTGCTTCAGCTCCAGCTTTGACCAGTTTTGTTAAGGCAGTCTGCTACACCCTTCCCTCTGCACACAGTCTGTAAATGCCATGCTGACACCTTAAGTCAACCTGGGCTTATTTTAGTCAAGGAGTTAAAGGCCAATTAGAGGCTCACTATGACCCAATTAGGCTGCTTGTCCACTTGCTCTTTGCTAATATACACAGATCATGCTGGGTCAGATATACTTAATGATTGAAGAAATACCAACACATGTGATCAATATTCTAAGATCACTTTCTTCCAAAATAAGTTTAGCTATAAACTGAGACAAGCAGGTTTTTTTAAAATTTATTTCAAACTGGATTGAAGGCCCATGCTCTAGATAGTGTCAGCTGCGACTAATGTGTCATCTACACAGGTGCATGAAAGAAGGCAGGACTTCTCATGGGCCTGTTGTGAAGAACCACTTTATCCAAAGGCATTGTGTCATTAACGGCTATGAGCATTCATAAGATTGCTTTCCCTTTAATGCCAAAACCACACTTATGCGTGTACGCGGATGACTCTCAGGTTTTAACTTTAATCCAGGATTACGTAACAAAACCGCTGACAATGTTTTGGAAGGCTTTTTATTAGAGTGACTCCATTATGACTTAACATCCCTTTAAGCTCCATTTGCTGGATTAATGAGAGCCTTCAGTGTGAATGGGTCACTTTAGGCTACATGGTGTGGATGTTTAAACCCTCTTGCCTGACCAGTATCTTCAGGGAGGAGACCATCATTTTTATGGTCATAAGACACCGACTCCCAAACTGAATCACCTGATCATGAGAGACCTTAAACACAAAAAGATGACTTACCTTCAATCTTCTTCTTGAGGCGAGGACAGACAATGAACCAGACCACAATGGCGGTCAGAAGGGAGAAACCCATCGAGATGAGTAGGGTGCCCCACCAAGGCATCTTGTCAAATCCGAGCACTGAAGGACCGCCAGGTGCAATGGACAGAAACACATGCGCACAAAACCATAAAAAAAGGGGGAAAAGCAGTTTTTTAAAACAAGGGAGCAGCTGCTAGATTTCTAACATTTTTTAAAATAAATGAGCAGCTGTATTAAATTCATGAATGTAAACAAGACAATTTACAAATCGTATTCTTACAGAAAACAAATGGCAAGTAGCTACAGAAAAATCAATCAAATTAATGATTGACTAATCTTTGTCCTTTGGCTCTACAATTCATGTCACAAGCTTGGCTGCATTGCCTCACTGCGTCACATACTAGTTAAATATGGAAAGCATGTGTACCCCTCAATGTCAACAGTTACATAACACCTGAAAGGTGAAAGAGTAAAAATGTCACTGCGACCCCAACATGCCCTGCACACACCGCACATGGACAATGTGTTCCTTAAAAGGCGACATTGCTGAAGGAGAAAAGGGAAAGAAAGGAGGAGTCGTTCCTTGGGGCTGTTTGCTGTAGCAATAACGACACTCTCTTGCCAAGACTGCAGTAACGCTGGTGTAGCAGAGGTAGATATAATGCAGCACATGCTGGCAGAAAACAACTATTTACATTTCCCTAGGGAAGCAGTCATCTTTGTCAAAGAGAGAGGATGCAAGTCAGCGGTGTGTTAAGGAGAAAACAAAAACAAGAGCTTCTGGAAATTCCAACACTGCTGCAGGAGAAGCGACCTTGGCCCTGCATAATTCCAAACAAATAACTCTTCACGAGTTTAAGACTGTTTGAAAAGTTTAAGATAAGAAGAGGAAATGAGGGCCAAGGCTACCCGATAAGTGTCTCAGTCATTGTGTTCATTCAAGGGCAGAGTCCACAGTGCACTCTCTCCACTGAGTCACACTGCAGCGTGAGACTGCAGAGCACCTAACTGATGTTTATTCAGTTACGCAATGGAAGCTGACTCCCTTCAGGACTGAAGAGGCATAAGAGGAGAAAAGGCAAGGCAGCTCGGTAACAGCTGAGTCTTTCACTGGAGTACAGTGGCTAACATGTAGGGAGACATCCAGAGACAGGTGTGACTCAGTGAGGCATCGGTGTGCAATAACAGTCCAGGGGATTCAACAAAGGGACAAAAACCAACCCTGCAAATGACTAAGGGGCCTGGCTTCCTAAAAAGTATAAAAGAGAGGGTTTAAAAACTAGCCCAGGTCTAGCAGTCTGGTAAACACTCCCACACAAAGGGGTGAGTTTATACCACAGCCACGAAGTGGGATGAATGGGACTGCACAGGAAATTGAATCTAACCACGGCTGCGTTCCACACTCCTCCCAAAAACCTCTGTAACCCATGGCCTATGTTACACAATGACATGGTCTGGTGTGTTTTTTCTCCACTTCCATATAGGCCACTCACCACTAACTTCTACTACAAAGACACTTAAAAGTCCTTTATAAGTCTCTCTGCACACATTGCACTGTCTTTCGTCAACAATCCAGTGAAGCACTTAGCTAGAGTATTAGGATTAAGGTGGAGCTTTATTAAGCATCTGCACTGAGGCGACGTCCGAGCCTAACATCCACTCTACACAATAAGTGTTAAACCATTATAAAGGGAGCCTGAAAGGACATCTGAGTTTTTATTTCAGGACAATGACTTTGGCTAAACAAGTCAGGTATAGTTACATGTAGGGCTCAATTTTGTATTTCTTATTGTTAAGTGTCCCCTGAGCAACAAACACCAGAGGGTGTTTGGTTTTCAGTTTACAAGACAGGAAATTTATATCCAGTGTAATGTGTTGAAGCTAGTCTGTTGTGTCTGGTGTGTACTCTAACTGTCACACTCAGTGCTTGGAAACAAGAAAGATTTTTTAGACTTTTATATCAGTCTCTATCAAAGCAATATGGACACAAGCTGATTGTGGTTTTAAACTGAAAAGGGGAGCCTCTAATTCACAAAAGTTGTTGTTTTATGCATGTTTTTTTTACTCCTCTTTAAGTCCAGTACATATCTGTTTCTAGGCACACTGACATTCAACAAAGGCTGACGCGGAGTGACAGCAGTAGTTGATTTATAACGTGTCAAGAAGTCACACCGAGCCTTATCTGTAAAGGACTGACAGCTGACCCTCAGATTCTTCGGCCAAAATTGCTTGCACTCACTGACTTGAGGTCTCTGGCACTGGTGTATATATTGAGTATAGGAATGTGCTGTGGGATGCCTGGTGTCCAATCTCACCACTATGATAGGATCAGGGGAACGCTTTGTCCTATCACAGGAGACCAAACATACTGTGCTCGGTTGGCGGCAGACAGTACTGCTGCAGTAGAGTGCATATATCAGCAATATAAACCATTGTTATCCTGTGAGCCAGTGAAGTGCACTATCCACAAGTCTAGGCCTCAAAGAACTATGAAACATCTGATAGTTAAAGGGATAGTTCTGCTTTTTTTTTTAAGTAGGGTTGTATGAATGATTATTAGCCACTGGGGATCTCAGTCCTATTATTGAGAAACTGTCAGGTGTACTTAAACTTTAAAATTATTTGCTCTTTACTTTGCCATCAGAAAACCGGTTTGTTTATGGACTACTCTGGGACGTACATACTTGTACCTCTGCCTGCAGTGCACTGATCAGATATTTGTGTCAAATTAAGATGCAAAGTTGTTAACATTCACAACATTTGAATTATTTGTACACCACAGACCTGATTAGCTGATCAGTGCACTGCAGGTAGAGAAACATGTATCTAAGAATCGTGAAAAGCAAATAAGCTTTACTGGGAACTTGGTATGGGTTTGTTAGAGTTTGCTAAATCACACAGTAGAGCTGGCCCTGTATGTAGAGGTGAATAGCCTAGTTTTTGAACCTGCTGTCTAGCCAGTATCAGGACAAAGGGGTCTGACAGACTGGCAACCCCCTTGTGGGAAATGCACTGGCCATTGACAAGTCTCCTATTCAACCCCAGTTTATAAAACTCGATTTCCCCAATCAAAAGGCAGATTAGATAATTTCCTGCTAAACTGGTTTTAAGATATAACTAAGAGATAGATACTGTACCAGCTCTGATTTAAGCTTTCTCACATAATGGGAGAGTGATCATGCAGGAGTCAATGACTATCATTCTGTAAGCTCCACTTCTGTTTTGAGACTTGTACAATAGCCCAAGTGTGTTTGTGTGATATTTGTCCTTTTCTACAATGTAAGAAAAATTGGGATTAATAGGGATTAAAACTACATGTCAAGAACATAGTGAGTTTGGTAAGGAGTTGAAAATGCAATCTCGCACCTTTTTTTTCTTAAATGTGAGGTACCAAAGTACAGGTCCTCATGTACAGTGCATTGTGGTTTTGGAGACTTGACACAACTGTACAGAATGTGCCTGACTAAGCAGGCTTATGGGCTATGCTGGATCTGCAAGTGATCTCCTCTGAGTGTGCTGCTGATGTGCATGCACACATCAGTGCACCATATCTGGTCATACTCTGGCCTGTAGCAGCCATTTAATGGCCCAGGCCAGCTAACATCTTGAACTGTTAGGCCCTGCAGAGAGAAGAAAACAAAGGAGCAAAGGTTGCTCATTTAATAAAGAGATTCTGGAATAAAAAACAAAAAAGTATTTCAGAGCACTACTTTGAAAATTTCTGAGTGTCAACACAACTACGGACAGCCTCTTTACTTCTCTTTTCTTCCTTCAGTTCGAAGGACAGACAGTGACGTCAAGAGTTAGTGAAATCTTATTTCCATCTCCCTGTTGTGCTCCGCTCTAAAACTTCATTCCAGCTATGACCCACATTCAACCACAGGCAAGAAAGCCCCAAAAAACATGTTAAAATAAACACAGCTTCTGTGAAAATGGTAAACACAGTCTGGTTCAGTCTGGAATACATGTGGGCATCTGGCTGTCTGAGGGAGCAGTTTATTTTAAACTGTGGCTGTGGGCAGGCATGCAAAGCAAAATGACTCAAACAACGATACTCACTCGGAGCTCCAGTGTACATGATAGAGAAAATGTTGATTAGCATGGTTATGGCATAGAAGACAGGCAAGGCCTTCAAGCCATTAGGCACAGGGTCTTTCTGTAGGGAAAAGAAAACAGTAAAGAGTCAAAAACTCAGGTCACACCTTTTGAGGAATGACTGGCCCCATTTCATTGTCTGACTGAAGCTGATTACATAACAAGTTTAACATCACTCTGACTCAAATAAGGAAGTGCTTCCGAGAACAGCTGGGCCACTTTGCATTTCCTCTATTTCATTCTGACTGTTAACAAATTTGGGGTGTGACAAATGACCAAAAATATCACTACTCAAGACTAAAATCTTACTCAAAAACACATTACAGTTTGATTGCAATCCCCTTACCTTCTGTAAGATGAACCTTCGGACTATATAGAAAACAATTCCTGACATTATTCCAGACAAAAGGGGACTCAGGAACCAGGAACCAACTGAAAAAGAAAGAAATATGGCCAGGGCAAATTAGTGGCTGTAGACATTATATTTGAAATAAAATTCTCCCTGATAAAATGGACATTTGGTTTTTGGCAACATTGCTTGCAGTCTCTTGGACTAGAAGTGTAAGTCATTTGCACTTTTTTGGTCAATTCTGTCAACAGGTTATTTTCCTACAAGTGCAATGTTCCAGTTTCTATCAGCCTGGACTCTATTTATAGAACATAAACCTGAATGCACCATGACATAAATGAGAAACAATGTGTGAAGGGAGAAGTTCCACTGTTTATTCTTGTAAAGCTGTGACTAAAAAAGGTCCTCATGCTTTCCTGACACTCCTGTGAGCTTATCAAATGCCTCCCTCGCCTCTCTGGATAGAATCATCAACTTAATTTCCAAAATCACACACACAGAAATAACTAATACTCATCAAATTTAATCAGAGTTCTGTTGGAGTTTTCACTCCAAAATTAATATCCAAATTTTGGTTGTTTTATATTAAAACCTGACCCTACAAGCAAGAAAGGCTAGAGTAATGTGATTACAGCACACTACCTGACACACTCTGCAAGTCCATTGAGAAACTAAGATCCAATTCAACCATTCACAGATGACATCACAAGGTCAGCTTGTTAATGTGACTTACCTATACGGAGGAGTTCAAGCCACCTGACTCCCTGCTGGCCTTTGGCAACCAGTGAGTAGCCAATCGTAGCACCGACAATGCAATGTGTTCCAGAGATGGGAAGCTTAAGGAAGGAGGCGACCAGCTGCCACACAGCAGAGCCTAATGACAGTGGATAAATAGATTTCATTCAAATAAACTCGCAGCACTTACATACGTAATTTCAGACTTGGGAAATTTGAAAAGAAGTACACTCAGCAGGCTTGGGACTTATCAGTTAATAACTTAGGGGAGGAGGAAAATAAGATATTAGGCAGCGTTTGCAATCTGAGCATATTTTCAATCAAATGATCAAAACCAAAACAAAATGAACATAGCTCAACAAGTTGGTCCTATTTCCTAGGTGGCAGTCTGAAATCTAAAAACTGAATAGTGCCAAGCTTTATTCACCAGGTTCAATGACCGCGGGTGTAATTGCATCCAAGATAAGCTGCCAGTACTCACCAAACATGGCACTGATGGATCCAGCCATCAACACCGGCTCAGAGCCATTGTACATGCCCACATCGATGATACCCTTGCGGATGGTCTCGCTCACTTTGGCCCCAAGAAGCACAGACCCCAGGGTCTCAAACACTGTGGCTAGAATGCATGCCTGTCGCAATGTGACCACCCCTGAGCCCACAGCTGTGCCAAATGAGTTAGCAACATCATTTGCTCCCACAGAAAAGGCTAAGACAAAGGCGATGATGAAGCCGATAATCAGCAGCCACAGGTAGTCTGTCAGAGGTGTATGCGTAGCTACTGTAGTGGCCAGTATTATTGCAGTTGCGGTTGCAGCTGTTGAAACCATGATTGTAGTCTAATGGGAAAGTGTTTCACAATTTTAACGGGAAAAAATGCCTGACAGAAAACCTATCAATATAATAATATATCTTTACAGCAGTTAGTGAAATTAAGAGGTAAACGGTAAAATAAATAAATAACTTTTCCCCACCTGTATATACAGGATTTATAGGATTGAGCAGTGCAAATTTTTTATACCTTTACCCCGGCAAAGACCAGAAAAAATAAGGTAAACAGAGGTAAAGTGTGGGCTTATTGCTATCCTGTAATTATACTAGATCTGTTGATTTTGCTTTGGTGCTGGGCTATCAAGCAGAGTGAAATAACAGCCATGGTGCAAATGTAACTGCAGATGAGCAGGGGTACATCCTGAAAAGACACAAAAAACATAGAGAGAATATAAGTAATAATAATAATAAAAATAATCTATTTTCATGGCAACGCTTAAAAAAGATACTGATAACAATAAGGTTAACTACGGAAGTGCGTCACTTTTAACTGAGGGAAATACGCTTTTTATTTTTTTTTTAGAACAGATAAAACGCTAAAGAGACGTGGAGAGAAGACCTTGTAATCACGCTCGTGCCGGAAGAAGGACCTCTAGTAACCGCCTTGCCAAAGGGAAGCCATTTTTGTTTGTGTCGCAGGAAGGGACCGAAGGTTACTTTATACCAATAGTTCCTCATATTATCAGAAAACTTGGCAATTGATAAGCTTTTGTCGTTTTAGTTCGTCCTTTTCAGACCGTAAATAAAGTTGAAAGATAAAAACAGTGTCTTATCTAGAGGAGGGAAGGGGTTCGTGTCCTGCATGCGCACGTGTCGTCATCCATTCATTTAATACGGCAGTGAGCACGAGCCCCGTCTGATAATACCGCTTTAAAAGGAAGTACAACAGAAAGCAGCGATAAAGACTTTAACTTGTCGCTAGAGTCAACATTAATGACAACATTAATATGCATAATAACCTCGTTTTCTGTTATCTGACGTGGGTTAGCGTAAGAGGGGGGCGCAACCGGATGTTACTTAATATAGGGAACAAGAGACCGGGTGGACAGTCGCCGTCGTATGTGTGTGTGTGTGTGGAGAGCCAAACCTATTTTAATGACCTACCGAGTGTGTATTGGACAGATGGTCAATAGTGCCTGCGTTAGCTTACAGTAACGTAAAGAGTCGTATCATTGCGTGGGTAACCTTGAATCGGGTCAAGCATAACAGAAACTTCACGGCAACTTATCAGAGATCATGATCAGCCCTGACACTATGTTGATTAACTGTTTTATTCACGACGCTGTCAAGTTTTGCCCCTAACTGTGATAGCTTTTACTCTCATTGTTGTCGCATGTGATAAAACAACGGCTCATCATCACTCCGGCTAACAAACAGCACTTCCGTACCCTTATGTTGACATTAAATGTTATTATTCCTAGTGTTAAAGATATCGAGGTAAACACACTGCTTGTTAGTATGGTTAGAAGTCTTAGTTTTACTACTTACCACACGCTGAGGTATTCAGTCCTGGGAAGAATGGAGATGCTAGCCAGTAAGCTAATTATCTTGGCGGGCGCACGCACACAAACGTTACGATAGCGCGCGCGGGATAATAAAAAAATACGCCGATTTTGAAATGTAACACCACAAAAAGCTTCCCGTGGTACAATAAAGTGACTATGTCGAAAAAACTACCCGATTTAATGAGAAATAACCGCGTCTTCTCTTATCCAGAACCGTGTCAGTTTGAATGAGAGCTGCTACGCCGTTGCTTCTGCTGCCGCATGTGTGGAACTTGCTCGTGCCGGCTGAACGGAACAGAGGTTTCTTTTTTATTGGATACACCCTTCACGAAGCCCCGCCCACCTGTCAGCAACACTACTCTGTGTTTTTTTGAAGTGATCATGCGCTCAACGTATGGACGGAGTGCTCCTCCGACCGCCCCTCTTCATGGTGAGGTCTTCTTTTAAAGTATTTTTTTTTTTTTCCACTCACAAAGTGTCTGCGGTTTCCCTCTTTAAGCCAACACAACAAGGTTCAAACTCGACTCCTCCCTTTACTTAAAAAAGAGAAAAATCTTATAGCATAATCGATCAGAACATCTTGTTCGCACAGCCTACTTTATATTCTATATGAGTACATTCAGTCCACTATATTACAAACACTGGGAGGCTGCGCATGTTAAAGCTACAGCCTGTATGGATTTATTAGATCAACTTAATATGAAGTTCAGGCAATAAAATGAAATTTACATTTACCAAAGAATACAGCAGACTTTTGACTTTTTTAAGTTTTTGAAGCACAATCAAACTAAGTTCTGTTTTTCATCGTTCCTGTCATTGCACATTGGTTCAAACATCTATTATTGATCTCATTGATTACCTTTAACTGGCATCAGCCTTGACTCTTAATATTAATTCTAGCAGAATCTAACATATCCATTAAACCTGTTTTGGACAAGATAGCTTTTTTTATTTGGCGGTCTCTCTTGATAACTCATCTGTTTTGATATAAAGGAAATTAGTCTGTTTCTCTGCTGACCAAAAGCTTGGTTGATTAGTCTCTGAGCTAGGGCTGAGAGATATGGCCTCAAATCAAAATAATATATTGAGCAGTTCACCTCGATAACGATAAATGGACGATAACTACTCCAAAAGCTGTTCACCCCCTCCCACATTAACTGCGTCTACTTTAGTCGCCGCTACAACTTTTGAACTGTCCTCCATCTCCTCACCTGTCTTTCTTGGCTGTGTCTGAAAGGGATCCCTAACCCCTATATAGGTGACTAGACGGGGGTTAGCGTCATTTTGAGGGGTGCCCGAAACCTGAGTGACCAATTCCAGTGCCCCATATAGACGACTCAAAAATTTCCCATAGAGCACTGCAAAATGTAGTGACCATCCGATGGTCACTCTCCGGTGGTGGGCATCCTGTCATGCATTGCGTCATGCCATGTAGGGTCCGAAACCTCCGGTGATTGAGCTCACTACATAGTCAGCTATATAGTGAAACCCAATATAGGGATAAGGAATTGAGTGATTCATTTCGGACACAGCTCCTTTTTGTTACGGACTGGATGGGGTGGAGTCACATCTCTGACATAGGACAGCATCTTAAAGCGGGCATGAGACCATAGCCTACCCACACACATCCAAAACCAACTTTTATTTATTTACTTTTTTAACGCTGAATATACCGATATAGGCAAAATGACGTTAGTTATTGTTGTAAATTTCAGTAAATTTTTGGTTTAATCGATCAGCCCTACTCTGAGCTCCCATAAATAATACACCAGGATGTTAAACTGCTTGTCTATACTTAACTTTAACCTAATTCATGCTCAAACGTCCTGCGCTCTAACATTTAGAGATCGAGGTATAATTTGCCATAACAAAACCAATGTAAGAGCTTTTATAATGTACAATGACAAAACAGAAATCATGTGAAAAGTAGTTTTATGATGATTAGTCAAAACTTTTAACTTTTGTAAAAATTAGTTTTTTGGATGTCATGACCACAGACTGTATATGTTCTATATACAGTACTGAACTGTACATAGAGTGTATATAGTACTGTATATGTACTATATACAGTCTATATACAGTCTATGGTCATGACACACCAGAAGTGCCCAAACTTGGATTACGCAAGTTCTTTTTCATTTTTGGTAATTTTTATTGTCGTTATACTTTTTTAAATGACTGCTTTGACCAATTCCACCTGAATCGTCTGGTAACCACCAATACAACATCCAGGCATTAGACAAACAGGGTATAAACTACAATTATGTCTGTGACCATTGATTTTCTAAGCAGGGGGAGAAATATTTCACGTCAAAGCAGACCAGGAAAACATCCGGTGGTGGTGTGAACAGCATTAGTGTCGACTTGTCATTCATTCAGGTGCAACAGACCAGAAATGATAACAACAGTCACATAGGAAAAGAAGTCTGGCTGCTGTTGTGTTTTGTTCAAGGGGCATGAAATGATCTATGAATGGAGCGCCCGACATGTTCGGTCCAAAACATGTTTTGAAGTTACATAACAGCAACATGGTAAACAGTGAGAAATCACTCAACCACACTGCGTATTTATTTAGCCGACTTGGGATCATGCTGTAATAATGTCAGCACACATAATTACTATTTCATTATGAGCTCACCCCTCCATTGTCTCTTCCTATTTCTTACGTCACTTCTTTAAGGGTCATGGAAAATTCCCCTTTTCCCAAAATCTGTTGGGCAACATGGAGGTTCGGACTTCATAGGCGTATTATTTCGAACCTTTAACATAACAAAACACTAAATGGCAGACTCACGACAAAGAAGGAGAAGAGAAGTAATTCCACTCGCAGACATTTGAACATCTTTGCTGCATGTGCGAAATCTAAGAACTCGAAATAACGATTCTTGCTGTGGCACCTGGAGGCATCACTTCAAAGAAGGAGTGGAGGGAGTGGCAGCTCCAACTGTTTCAAAACCGTTCAATGGAAAAGTTTTATTCTGGCAATCCACAGAATAGGAGCAATATAACCCAAGTCCTTTTTTAAGGTGACACAGACCCTAGCTGCCCACACCTCGTTAACTTTGCTTACAAAGAGAGAGCCAAACACGGCACTTGGATCAGGGGCTGGTAACGACTCAATAAAGGATAAAGGAAAAAAGTCAAAATTCACGATACTGACCCTTAGAAAGGACACCTCATAGCCTATCAATAAAGCCGACTCCCTGGAATTTTATAACTCCCTCCTAAACAGATTCAAACAAGGCTTATAAAAGTTGAACCATGCAGGAGGACAAAATGTGTTTACAAGATACTGTACGAAAACATATTGTCTCATGGTCTCATGACACAGGAGCAGCCCAGCTTCCATGATCAACACACACATGACTTCTCATGAAAATCCATGTTAAGTGATTCATTTACCTCAAGTAACTCCCACCTCATCATAGCAATGACACGGATCCAAAAACAGTGTTGATTACTGTGAATGATTACATTTCTTTATTGACCTATCTATGAGCTGTTTACCTTCAGACAGAAACTCAATGGTAGTAAGACAAAGGGACTTAATTCCACGTGGACAATAAAACTTGTATGATGCTTTATGGTGTTCAGTACATTTACTGTCAAAGTTCATTACTGATTTCTCAGTAATCCCCCCCCACACACACACACTTACACACACACAATCCCCGTCAATACAGCTACAATGTAAAAAAAAAAAATTGAAGTCTTGGTACAATGTCCATAAGTAGAACAGCGACATCTGGCGGACGAAATAGTTATAATTGCTTTTTTTCTTCATAACCTGTACATAAATGTAATTTTAGGTTTTACTTATTTAAGAATGGCAATATGTTACACAAACAGTTTTAAAATCCCCAGTAAAATTTCTCATTTAATCCCAAATAATTAAGAATGATACCGTTTCCACAGGAACTTTTTGTCTAGGCAGGGACAAACTACAACTTTTTTTGTAGACGGGACACATATTAAAATACATTATTTTGCTATGCAGTTTCAAAAAATTTTTGGTGGTAGTGAATACTTGCTTGCAGTTTTTCTCAATCGTTTTGGTGCATTACTCACATCACTATTAACGTTTGCACTACAGTTAGTGCATTTCTCAGAACAATTAGTACAAACTGCAAAATCTAGTGTATAACCTGCAAAAGCATGTCACTTGCTCAAAATGAATAGTTGATTCTTCAAAAGCAAGTCTTCATGTCAATGAAACTGTGTTTGTCATCAAAATAATTAGTCCTGACACCATTGTTTATGAACACAACAGTCAGATAACTTTGTCATGTTTTCATTATGACAGTTTATTACTCTTTTTGTGTTTTCCAATGCAAAAAAGTCAGATCTTGGTGGCAGTATACACTACCTGTACAGCCATTTGAAAACTACAGTGAAGTTACACATTACTGTATTTAGTGAGGTAACTGTGTACAAGACACATGTATGTTTCACATATTTACTACATATGCTCTTTGCAACTCTACAGCATTATGCAAAAGAAAAAAAAAAAAAAATCACAGTCACTTATTTAGAACAAAAACATAAGATTCACAGTGGTTCTTCCTACAATTGGTTGCACCTGTCAACCAGCCTCTGCCATAGTGAGGCCATGATTGACAACATGATCCACAAGTATAGCTGTAATTTTTAATGTTAATTTCTAATTCTTAATCTAATTGCTTTAACTGAGCTTTTTTTTTTATCTGTCACTTTCCGCGTGCTCTGACTTTATGTCAAAGCACTTTGTAAACTTCTGTTTTTAAAAGTGGTTTACAGATAAAGTTATTATGATTATTATTATTGTTGTTGTTGTTGTTATTATTATTATTTATTTCTTCAAGGATTTGCCTGTGCACCTCTTCTTCCTCTGCCCCTGTTTTGTCCCCTTCCCCTTCCTCCCCACATTCTCACCCCTCCTCCACAACGCTGACCTTCAATCATTGTGTCACAGAAGTGTAGAAATGGTACACACTATGTCCTGCTGGGTTTACACATGCTTGCCAAGTGAGGGTTCAGGGATTCAGCTCTGAGTGACTGTGGACAAGTTTCTTGTCATTGGTTACAACTAATGCTTCACATACCTCCTTATAAGTGAAAGGTGAGGTTCACCTGAGAGCAATGATTCAATTTAGGAGACATTTTCAGGCAAAACAAATGATAATGGAATGTATGAAATCAACTAGTTCAACAATTTTGTATGTAATGACTCAAGCAATGAAATGAGGACTATTAGTTTTATAGGGAATGACTATTCAGCATTCATAAGTAAAGTTCATTTTGACTGACATGACAGAAGCAAATGATAATGTTATAAAACAGAAGTAACTGATACATGTCCAAGAGCATTTGCAATTTGTTCAGAGAATGAGAAACTGCTAAGATGGTGTGCACAAATGACTCAATGTTGTTGAGGTTGAACTAATAGTTGTGAGAACATTCAATCTGATCTGAGAAATGCACCAAAGCGACTGAGAAAAACCGTAATATCGTAAACTTCAAGTATGGCTTCGAGTTGTAACGCTTGGGGGAGGGGGCTCAATGGCTTCCTGTATGTTTTACTTATTTGAGTAAGACACTGATCCCAGACAAGGTAAGTAACATACATCCAAGTTTATTACCATAGACATTACACACGTAGACGCCTCAAAGCCTGACGCTGCCTACTGGAGCTCACGTATCAGCGCGGCCGCCGTCTTGGATGGGTCCCTTATGCGCCTCCAGAGCATTAAGATAGGTACGAATGCTCAACTAAATTAATAAAAACTCTACGAATCTCTGCCCGATTTTCACGCTCTTTGGTTTGCTACAAACGACAGGGATGTAGCCATAACACAGGACAATAATTAAACATAAAAAAATAAAACAAGTTATTTTTCAATTCTATTTGTGAAATTTAACACTACGTGGTCTGGTTTCAATGCTGCGTCGGGTTTTTCAACTATAAAGTGCAAAAAAAAAAACATAGTTGTTATTTTTCCATTAAACCCGTTTAGGTCTATAGCGAACCTGGAGTGGGGAGACCCATCCAATATGGCGTTGACGTTGGATTACGCTCCAGCACGTAATATGGCGTCTACGTATATAATGTATATGGTTTATTACAAGCAGCGAGGGAACAGAACTGACCCCAGAACAGCTGCCGAGAACCGAGAAGGTCTGTTAAGGACGTGAAGCTTGACTACCGCACATGCTAGTGTTAAAACAGCTCAATTCAAGACAGACTTTCATTGTAACCAATCAGATCCGTCCTGGAGCATTGACTGACCAATCAGTTATGCTTTCAAACCCAATGAGGCGGGATTTCCGAGTGGGTGTGCTAGAGTTAGAAGGGAAGAGTAGGTCAAACGCGCTGCAGGGAGTTTGAAAAACGTGTGTTCGTCTTCGGGAGAGTCTCTGATAAACCAGATTTTGTTGGAATTACAGCAGACGAAAATTATCCGCAGACAGCTCGTCAGTTCGGGCTTTGACGAAGTAACAGGCGCAGTGTTGTTGGGCAGGAGTTTGTCCGTGAGATGACGTTAGCTAACAGTCAATGCTAACGGTGATTGTCTCGTGCTCCTTTATAGTTACGTCGTTGTAACAAACGGTGTAAATAAAACCATAGCTTTAAAGTAAGGCATGGTGCATCCACGCAGACCTCTAACTTTGCTCGCTAGCTCGTGAACTTCGTGGGCCAGTGTTGAGTCTTCTTCGGGGACTTGTCGCGGTCACAGCTGTCATGTTTCACTCTGTCCCCAGACGTCCGATTTGTGAGATCAGTGTCACTACAATGAGGCTTCAAGGTGGCCGACCATTCAGGCGAACTTTCGAAGAGGGAAAGGGAAGGCTCGAGAAGGTCCCGTTGCTGGGCAGAAGTATGGGCCTGCTCCTGTCGTGGATCCAGAGGGCAGGTGTGGGTGCCAGTGAGGCCGCAGGATCCGGCCCTAAGAGGAAGGGCTTGCTCTCCATATTCGCGGACCACTGCGGCTTCGTGACGGGACAGAGGCTCCGGCGTGCCTGCCAGATCGGAGAGCTCTACTCCAACCTGTACTCCGAGCGAACCAGGTGGAGTCTGGTCGGAAACATATGGCGCAGGTTTCAGAGTAAGCACGCGTCCAACGGGAGGCTGCTCGCGGCCCTGGCAGGTGTCTTCATGTGGGAGAACGAGAAGATCAAAGATGAGGAAATCCACAGGTTTGACATGTGAACTTATGGATCAAATCATGCTTAGACTGTGTAACTGCAGGTGAAAACAAGTGCATCCATGTAGAACACAATGAGGATCACAGAAGGGCTTTAGCATGGAAAATAATAATAATAACTTTATTTTGATAGCTCTTTTAATAACAGAAATTTACAGAGAATCAGAATGTCTTTATTGTCCCGTAAAGGGAAATTAGTTTTGCAGCAGGGCTCACAAAAGACAAGTACGCAATGACAAAATAAATGTAAAAAACATAGAACAATTGTAAAAACATAACACAATATCAGAAACACATACACAAAACCACCTAAAATTCAGTCCAGAGCTCATTCCAAAAATGGAGAAAAACTACTACCAAATAAGTAAAAGTGCAATGTGTGCAATAATAGTGCAAGACAACATGAGCAGCCTGAGGGTCAACTGCTATTCGATAAATAAATTGCACATAAAAGAGACCTGAAATCTTTTAGCCCTCCTCATAGGGGCCCTAAAACAACGGCGTGAAGGTAAAAGCTCAAACTCGCATCTAAGTGGATGATTGGGACAACCCAGAATGGCATTAGCCTTCCTCAAGACCTGTCTGTTGTGCTTTCACAAATAGTCGTAAAGCACTGAACACCACCAAATGGAAGTAAAAACAACTAAAAACCAAACGCTCAGTTAAAAACAAGGCCTCCGAATTGAAGGCCGATTTCATTTGTCATAAGAAACGCAGACAATACAAGAACCATACAACTTAAAATGAGACCATGAGGACCAAAATAATGGAGAAAGCTCTATCTGAGCCCCCTTTACCCTTTTGTCATCATATTAATGAGATCACAACTTAGTGAAACATGTAGATTTTAGATCAACCGTCTCATCTCCCTTATCAGTCCTTCAATAAATCATGATCTTGGACTATGTTAGTGAGCCCTTTAGATAATTGTGTTATTCCTCTTATGTAATTAGAGTGACCTTTAGAAAGTGCTGGTGACTCTGCACCTGAAACTTTGACTCTTAATCATCCATCTGTATATTTCATTTTAATACTTTATTTCATTCAGTTAATATTTAAAACATTCAGTACAAACAAGGAAAAATCTCAAACGTGAATGAAAAGGAGCAGAAAGAAGAAAACTCTTACAGAGTCTGCCCTTCTTTCATAATATATTAATCAACTAAACAAGAGCTGCAGGCCAGCATGCCTTACAGTTCACTGTTTCGTATGTTCAAAAACAACCCACAAAACGAACAGAAAAGACCACATTAATTCACATTTTTTCACAAAACAAACATACCAAGACTTAGATGAACATATTTCCCCGTATTTACTCAACATACTGGCTTTGACACTTTTTTGAAGATAAAATTTGATTTAGCTTCCTTAGTTTCTTTAATCAGATTGTTCCACAAACGTATTCCTCTCACTGTAACACAGCGCTCTTTCAGTTTAGCTCTGAATTTTGGCTTTTTAAATATTTCAAATCCTTTTAAATTATAACAACTTTCTCTTTTTTCCAAATCGGCTCTGGATGTTGACTGGTAACATTTTCCTGTGAGCTTTATACATAATCTGCAACATACTGAAATCTACTAACTCACTGAATTTCAACAGCTGCAATTTAACAAATAATGGGTTTGATGGATCTCTCTATTGACCTCTACTAATAATTCGTATTGCTCTTTTTTGTAAAATTGTGCAATTAACATTTTGTGTTTTTGTTTTTGTGATCTCAATGTCAACAATAACCTGTCCTGTTATTTGTGTCTCTTCTAAAGGTGTGGACTTGAGCTGCAGGCCCTGGAGGCTGCAAAAAACTTAAACACAGCTTCAGGGAAAGCAGCAGGACAACAAGAACCTGGCTGGGAAGTTGTGATGGAGAGGAAGGACTTCAAAGTGTGGAAACGGCCGATTCCCAACAGTCATCTTTATGAATACAGAGGTCAGGCAACTCTTCACCTCATGCCAGTTACTTGTGTTACAGTGTCTCTTAACTGCAGATAGAAGACATTCAGCTTTTGAGTGTAACGTTTCTTTGTTGGTGGTTATTTTGATTTGTCTAAAAAGTCAGCAGCATTATTCTTCTTCTGTTTGAATTTCAGTGTTGGGCTCCTACAACGATGTCACCCCAAGACAGTTTTTTAATGTGCAGGTACACATTTTTCAAATCCTCTTATTTGCTGCAAAAATGTTTATCCTAGTGACATTTTAAAGTTCAATGAGAAAACATAACCATAAAAAATGTTATAACTTAAATACTGTTGATTACAATCATGAAACGGATTAAACTGATAGTTTAAGTAATTTGGTTGAAGGTTGAATAACAAAGTAGAAGAGCTTTTATTATGGATCAGTCCCACAAAGTTTTTTAAGGCCGTTTGTCTTGCAGCTACTCTTTCGCAACCCAACACGTTTGTACTGCATGTGCGCAGCACAAAAGCACCACAAATACTTACTCCCTGTGCTATATTAAGCACCTTACCCTTGACTTATACTCTCTCCTTTCCCCCAGTTGGACACAGAGTACAGGAAAAAGTGGGATTCTCTGGTTATCAAGCTTGAAGTGGTGGACAGAGATGTCAATACAGGCTCTGAGGTCGTTTACTGGGCTACACACTTCCCTGTGAGTTTCTTGCTTTGTTATTATGCCTGAAGGGTGGGGGTATTTGTTTTAAACAATGTCTGTACATAGGTCAATTCTACTTTTTTCTTTTGTTGCTCAAGCATTCTCAAGTGCAATTAAAGCAAATGCCGGCTAAGTTGTTGTGTATTAATAGATTTTATAAAGAGACTGTCAACTGTTTAATCTTGTTTAATCTCTTCACAGTATCCCATGTACTCCAGGGACTATGTGTATGTGCGTCGCTATGATGTCGATGTGGACAACAACCTGATGGTCCTGGTATCCAGGTAGACCTCTAAAGAAATACCTATGTGGTGGATTATTGTCAACTGTAATGGTTTTATTAGTGAACAGTGTCAATCCAACGAAAAAAGAAAAAGGGAAGCGGTTGAAACTGCTGATTTATTTTCAGTCATGAAACTAAAGTAAATCCTGTGACTCAAGTGTCATTTTCCAATTCGGTGGCATTTGGATGTACCAGTACAACTTATCTCTTATGCTGTTTAATGCAGCAACAATTGCTCCACATAGCAATCCTACAAAAATCACATAATTTTATTTTTAATAAGAGAACTGGTATTAGCCCTTCTCATCTAATACTGAATATTTAAAAAAAACAAAAATCGTTGGATTATGTTTTTCTATCTATCTATCTATCTATCTGTCTATCTATGTCTGTTTGTAAGTGACTTGATTCATAACTTTTCTCATATTTTCATTGTTTAGAGCTGTTCATCACCCCAGAGTCCCAGAGAGTCAAGAGTTTGTGAGAGTCCATTCATACCAGTCAAAGATGGTCATCCGCCCTCATAAGTCCTTTGATGAGGTTTGTGATCAGTGTTTTGCTTCACAAATGAATTTACCCTGTACCCACGGTCCTGTGTTTTCAGCATCTAAGTCATCACCTGGACTATTTTCTTTCGTAGAATGGATTTGATTATCTGCTGACCTACAGTGACAACCCTCAAACTGTCTTCCCCCGATACTGTGTGAGCTGGATGGTGTCAAGCGGTGAGCTCTATTTCACTGGTTAGGACATCCAATAACAATAAAATTAGAAATGAATGTCTTTAAGAGCATATTTCATCAGCTATGTACTACTTTTTATTCAACAAAGAGCCATAAAAATGTATTTAATTTTCAATAACATTAGGCAACTGATCTCAACACCTTGGGCGGCTGTAAGTGTTACTGATTTGTGCCTCTTGTTTGATGTGCATCTCTGTACCTTGTGATTGTTCCCTTTCTCTCATGTATTTGCTGTGTATTCTACCTCTTGAGTGACTTGGTTCTCCCATTGCTCCTTGCAGGTATGCCTGATTTTCTGGAAAAGCTGCACACTGCTGCCTTGAGGGCCAAGAACCTAGAAGTGGGGATCCATGACTACGCAGGAGTCATTAAATCCAGCGACACCAACCGCCAGGCTAGCCAGGATCGACTGAGTGGAGAAACCCCACACACAGGCAGTTCTGGACAGATCTACGCTTGAGATTTCTGTGTCACACTCGAAGGGTTGTGTTGGTGTGTTTTCACTTGCAAATGAACCCGAATTAAACCCTCCAACCTGATTGTTTCGGGTACTGTGAATTGCAAAGGGAATCTGCAACACAGGTGAAAGACTGTGTCCATCCAAAGACATGGTTATTAATTTTTTTTCCATAGATAACATGTCACAAGAATTTTGAACTGTGTCTGTAACAGCGTAACGGCCATGGGGAGAAAATGTTGCCACTGAAATTTTCACCCAGACTGCTGGCATTAGCATTGATTTGCTGAGCCAAACACTGCCTCACGGCCTTTTTGCCTCCTATGGTTATGGTGTATGTTGTACGGTAATTGGTTAAGATGGAGCCAAAATTCCTCATTGTTTCCATGGTTTTGCCAAAGCACTGTTTTCTGTTGTTTTAATGCTCAATATCTGTTCTTCCATTGCTCAGCAAAGCTTGGCTTTTGAACCTGTTCACAGCCACATCACTGAATTGGTGTTTGTGGTGGGATTCCAGCAAGATGTGATGCTAATTGTTTCACTGTACGGGACATTAAAATGGTTACTGCAACTGTCTACAAGCCAAGGTTGAGACTAAGACAGAAGAACTACAGACAAGATCTCTGCACTGAAGAAGGACTGAGGCCAAACTGAGGCTTTCTAACCAGTTTCTCCATTTCATAGACTCAAACAAACTGCTTTCCCGTTTGCTTGCAGCCTGAAGGACTGATCTTGACTTATCTGGACCAGGTGGATTAAAAAAAAAAAAAAAAAAAACTCAAACATTATGATGCCATTATTGGAAATTTTGTTCAAAGGATTGAAATTGAAACTTAGGGCTTCTCTCTGTGTTTTGAGCATGCCGTTGTGTCGCTGTTAACGCAGTTGAAGTTGAAGTATCGCCGTCAGTCTTGCCATGTTTGTTGGAAACTGCTGAAGTTGACTAAACAGCCTTCTGATGATAAACCAGTCCTTCAGCATTAGGGCATAGTGTCTTATAACAACAACGGAAATCCTCAGATTGAATGGTACTAATGCGCTTCACTACAGCTGTTCCAGAAAGAAAATATGTCTTTGATAAGAAGCCAATGCCCCCTTAAAGAAAAACAGCACTTGTGCCACACCCTGATCCATTAACATTTCATAACAGCAAAAAAATGAACAGCCCCATTCTCATCTTGGTGCTCACAACCAGTGTAGCAAACATCACTCAAGTGTACACTATTGGAGGAGTGGGTGTTTGTGTTACTGTAGATCTTGTACATTTGTGAAACCATCGCCTGAGAACTGGAAACCCCTGTTTGTATGAGCACACAAGCTTCTCCATTATGGTGATTCCCCTGTTTTTGTTAATGACGTGGGTTCTACTGAAATTCCATGCTTCGTCCTCCCAAATAAATCACTCACGTTGCTTTTGCAATGAACAGTTTTCAGGGGGTGTTCTGAATGTACAAACAGCGCCATGTGCTGCGGAATAAAGTACACTGTTTACAGCCTGACAATCTGGCACAACCATCTTGAAAATCTGTGTTTAAAAGAAACATCTCACGTACTAAAATTTGATGTTGTCATAGGTGGTACATGGGTGAAGGAGCAGCTGCGTCTCTATGAGATACATTTTTGTCAGGATTTCTTGTGTGTTTGAGTATTAATATATATAAAGATAAATATCCACACTATCTGTAATCTGTTGTGTATTTGACAAAGAGAACGCCCATATGAGATCTACAAGGTGTGTTGAAAGTGTGAAGAAGGAAATAAATGTTTGTTTTTTTTAATCTTGTGAGACTGTGAAACTAAAATATAACTCGCACATTATGCAATGTTTGCTGATGTTGAATTTGGGAATGCATCATGTCAATGCTCTGCCATACGTGTGCCATCTGCACTCATCTGAAAGAGTCACCGCATTTTTTTGTCCCCTCTGCAGGCAGTATAACATTTGTCGTGATTAGCTACCACACGTAATTTTGTTTTTCTAGCAGAGGAATTACTGTGTAAACATGAGCTGGTGCACTTGTGATTAATTTAAATGAAAGTGTGACTAATCAGATCAAATAAAACAGCTTTGTGTGTGGAATTGTGTGTGCATTCGTTGGTTGTAGAGTATCGGTGGTTTTGACCTTGTCTTCGCAGAGGGAAGGGTGATTAGCATTGTGTCTGTGCGATTCAGCCGCCATCACCCACTGCTGTCTAGAGTAATGGGATAACCTGTAAACCTGTCTGGGTGTAAGGTCAGTGACAGACTGTACCGAGGCTTTAGAGTCTACAGACAGGACTGCCCACTCAATGGTCATCTTGGACTAATGCTTCTTTGTCACTTCAAAGCTGGACCGCCGTATTTGCTACCGTGTTCACTTCAATCTAGTTGACCTAAAAACGATAAAAAAATTAGAAGAAATATGTGTGATGTTGGTTGTCAAAGTGAACTCGGATAACAGCACATAAAAATCAACCAGGTGTTTTTTAAAGTTTTATTACATAATTTTTTGATTTTGCAACCTAGTTTGAGGCAGTTCAGCAAGTAATCACAGCGTTTAATATTTTTGATGTGTGCAATTGCAAAGCACACAAAAAAAACCCAACATGAACACTTTGTTCTCATGACCTTGCAAGGATCTGTTAATATAGATCTGTAAATGTGCGCTGGGATATGAGGCTATGCTGCGTTCCACTGAAATAACATTTGAATTATTTTTGTCCATATACAGGATTATTTTGCTGCCCCACTCTGCACCTTGTACCCACTTTAACGCGGCATGTACGTTTTCTTGTTGGGTGCTGCAGTGCATATTGTCCCACAAACATTATGACATGCAACGGCAGAAAAAGAGCAGACTTAAAAAAAAAACATTCAATTGTGGCAACATTTATTTGAGTTGCTGTCCGGCTGTCCTGCTGTTAAGGTTTATTAGGATGTTCAAATAGAGTCATAAACTTTTTGAAAGCAACTGGTGAATCACTTTTATAAAAATTTTATTTGTATACAAGACCACAACTGAGATTTAGGAATTACATCATCCACCATGAGAATGCAAACTAAACAAAAAAATAAAAGAACAAAAAAAACCTGGGCCAACATTATTAATATTTATTATTTAACAGTGTCAGTCACTGCTGCCTAAATCAAAATCCCCCAAATAAAAGAGGGTGCATTTTTAGAAATGAAGGTACATTTTTCAGGGAACATTCTGCGCAGAAAAAAAAAAAAAAGTCTTCAAGGTTGAGCACGTTTACTCGGTACAAAGCAAGTCTTGTGGTTTACTCCATTACTGCAGAGGTCACTCTACAGTCTCACATTTAAAGGTCATATTATGTTTTATCAGTGAATGTCTGCAATATGTAAAATGTTGATGACAGCTGAATTTATCACAATCAGAGTTATATATATATATAAAAAAAGAAGAGTCTGGTTTAACCATTGACAGTTTATTGGTGTAATTCAATAGTTGTACTTGACTTAGGGGAAAACAGAAAGCGAAAAACGGTTCAAAGACAAAACCCATTTATTTTGACCGTCATTTATTTTAAGAACATAAACTCGCCGTCTAAAAGCCTAAGGCGTGTGTGTCTCAGTGTGTGATTTACAGGTCATGACGTGTCCGCAGTCTTAACAGGCTGCACATCGTTTTAATGTATGACCTCTACTCGCAGGAATTATTAGTCGAGGTTAAAAGCCACTGAGCACTTACAGTAATTGATTGTTTCCACAAATCTGCCATATGGATTCCAAACACATTAAACAATATGACTATTTTGTGTTTATGAGTGATATAAAAACTGACCTGTAATCTCTCTTTTTATCCATTTTCGACATCTACTCAACACTTAAAAACTAAACACACAGGATGTTTCGATGGTATTTATTAGTCACAATCTTGAAAATTATTGCACATCATGACATAAAACAACGTGAATTGAAAAAAATATATATTAGAGACAGGAATTCCTGAACGGTGACCTCAAAGTTAGTGATACACTTCGACACATCTTAACAAAATTTTCTCCCAAAAGCAGAAGTTTATACACCAAATTTCAAGAAGGTAGAAACACACACTTCCATACTGACTTGACAACAGGAGTATATTAGTTTTTTTGATTGCATGAGAGGTAGACAACGCTCACAAGCCTCCAAGGTGCTTGGCACAACCATGGACAGAAGACGCACTGCATGGTTAGATCAAGCACAATGGAGTCCTGGGCAATGAGGAAAAAACCTGATACAGATCACAGGGAGTCCGGTTTATTGAGTGTCCAAGTGTCCTTGGTTTAGATTCAAATGGAGGCACAGGAGTTAAATCAGTGAAACACACCAAATACATGTATTTTTGCTCAATCAATGTGGTCAGTATTTTAAAGTATCACAGTATCTGAAATACAAATAAGGAACCTCTTGATTTTCAACGCTCATTCTGCAGTCCAAGAGTCAAAAAGTCCCAAATTGTGAGAAGGGAATCCGCACTCATTTGTGAAATAAGTTGTTGGTAGGGTTACATCATAATTAGAAACAATTGTCACGGTTGAAAACATCTGCAGAACTGAAAATTAAAAAAAATAAAAAAACAATTAGTCATAGGTCACACTCACTGCGGAAAAAAGGGCTACACCCTTCCTGCGCACAAACTGCGTCAAACCCCACCCTCCTGTCCTTGGCACCCAAATTTTGCAGACACGACTGTCAAAAGTCCAGAAATTCTGTCAGAATTTTATGAAAAAACATTCAAATATCAAACATTTTCCAACACAGGCCAAACAATGTTGGTTTAATCAAATTAGTTCTCCATCAGTCCATTGGGTGTTCTTCAACTGATCAATGGAAACAGAGTTTCACCAATGATCTAGTTACGACTGCAGCATCTTATGAGGTCCAGTTTCTGAGTAATTGACAAAATTATAAGCCTTGATTACCAGAAATACCGATGTACTCAAGAATACCACTCATTACTGAATTGCTGTTGTCCATTTGAGGACATATACCGTCTACTAAAACCAAAGACACAACCGTTCCTGACCTTTCAGTCCTAACTACGTTAACGGTCCCTGAGTGCAATGTCAGAGCCATGATACCATCAAGCTAAGAGAGCTGTTCCTCCAAAGGCTTTGACAATCTTGTTACCTTCTCTTGTGTCTCTTTCTGCTCCCTTGGGACATCTCTCTAAAATGAGACAGCTTGGTGCAATAATCAACTTAGAGCTCCAACAACTGAACCACTTTGTGTGATGAAATTACAGCGTAATGCAAACAAATGCATCAAAAAGAAACCCTGGGTCTGTTGGGACCAAATAGTACGAAAGCGGGAGTCCTACCGGCGAAAATGGCGTGCAGTGGGGGTGACACAGACTTCTGTTTTTCGGAGCAATGAGGATTTTATGAAAGGATGCAGAGTGGTCGATGGGATGGTGTCATGACTTGTATGAACGGATGATTGTGATACATAATCATGAGTTCTTGACTTACCTTGTCTTTTCCAAGACTTGACGTGAATCACGCCAATCAGGATCTTTCAGGAGTTCAGTTTTGCATCTTGAAATCTTTTTTGAACTGAACTTGAGAAAGTTAAAATGTCCTCACTTTGAGAATGAACAATTTGCATCAAATACTCTTTAGACTAGGGTCACAATGATCAACCCTACAAACTGCCAAAATGACTTAACAAATACAAGACTTAGCCAGAACTTACTCTGTCTTTTACCATCATTGGAAAGTCTACTAATGTGGTCTTTCCAACAAACCCACCTTTTCTTTCCATCCGTTGGCCCTAAAGTCGGTGTTGGGTGAAGCCAGCTGAGGGGCGATGGAAGCGACTGAACGGGTGCTCTGAGCTCTGTCTTGGGGTCTTCCAGCTTGCTCTACTGGAGGCAGACTGTCCTGACTGCGTCCTCAGCACCCTTCAAGTCCCCATCTCCTGCCCCTCCTTCAAGCTAGGAGGGGTTGCTGATGTTCTCTTGGGATAGGTGCACTGGCAAGGAGGACTTGGTCAGGCTGGGATTGGACGTGGGTTTTGGAGTTTGAGTAAGGGGAGGGGGGGTCTGCCGGTTCCGCATTTCATAAATATTAATACAGAGTCCTCCCTCTCCAAATGGGTAGATTCTTTAATTTTGTTAGAGGGGGAAGTGCTTTATTCACTTAATGGCTTTTATTAGTGCCCGGTCTTCAACTCTTTCATTAGCTAAAGTGCTGCTATAATTTACAGGGTAAAGTGGGGGGAGGGGACGAGCAGGAGGTGGTGTCTGAGGGGGGTTGATTCTGCTGCTGTGGGACAGGGAGGCTGTACCTTCAACCACTGCAGCTTTTCCTAAAAAGTGGCTCTTCTCACAGAATCAACTTTGGTCTATTGCATCAGATACCGCCGATAGCATCTTCATTGACCATTGTGTCGTTGTAGTAAATGTTGTCTCTCCTGCAGGTTGGTGTTTCAATAATCTATCAACTGAAACCTTGATACTACCTAAATCCTTGGTTAACATATAAGAGGCATTTTTCCTCAGAATCAGACACTCTATGAGAAGTAATTACTAAACATTCTTGATAGGACTTGACTCATAAAGGAGAGAAAATTGAATATTTAGGGGTTTTGCAAAGGTTTTTTTTTTTTGTTAACCACAGAGAATTAATCAGAAAGCAAAACTGCTGCTGTGTATCACGTCTTTTCCATATTTACTGCAGTAAAATACAGCTTTGCAGAAATGTTAATGTGGCTATTTTGAGAAATTGATGATTTTTGGATTTATTCTTTGCATCTTATGATAATGTATTTCATGTATACCATGATTTGTCAGTTCCACTAAACAAAGCTTAAATCACTAAATCAATACCGCATCTTTGCAACATATCTACATGCTCGATAAGCCTGTGCAGTTGGGAAAATGTAGGTGATTTATGTGCATTTTTCATTATGTTCGGTAACAAGAAACATAGAGTCAATGCTCTACAGATTCCCAGTCTTCCATAGTCTCTAGTCTATAGTATTGCTGCATATACTGGCGCCATCTGTGACATTCACTCCTTAGCATCAGGTGCTCAGACACAAAATGGCTGCAATTCTTCATTCCAGCCGCAGCATATCGATATAGGATTATGCCAACTTCCAGGAGTGCTCCTGGCTCTGATGAAATGCTCTTTTCTTTTTGCTCTGTGGAGTCTTGTTAGTTGTGAACAGCTGGCGTATGATGTCCCCAGACCGCATCTGAGTGAATGAACTGATTAACCTGAGTGGCCGTCCCTACCAGAGAGAAGTGGGTGGGCCACCAGCCTGAATAACTGCCTTCATCATCAATGTCACATAAATCACTTAGCTGGACAGGCCTTTCAAACCAGACTTTTTTTCCTTCTCTGAGCCAGACTGCAGCGCGGGGCCAATAACGTGGTCGCTTAGAGATGGTTGGTTTCTGAGGGGGACCATGTTACTCTGGCGGACCAGAGGGAACGCTGATGCAATATCTGGGACCATATGTAGGTTATTTAATACCAGGATTTCAATATCCTAGTAATACCTTATACACAAACATATACTTAATATCTTACATAGTAATGCGTGTGTGTGTGTGTGTGTGTGTGTGTGTAATAAATTGGTTACGATTGCAAAAGAATGAGCACAGCAACAATTCTCAAGTGTTTTATTGTACAGATATTTTCCAGAGTTTAATGCAAGCCTTAACCAGTATTCAATATGAACTATTCATGGTGTTAAGTACTCAAGGTTCTTTTTAATGTGACACTTACATTTATCTCAAGTTGTTTTTAAATTAGAGCAAAAACTGGAACCGACATGACACGGATGCTCCAATGACTGTTCTGGGATTTACTGAGTGACTGTCCAGATGACTTTTTGATACACGGGCCATGCAGTGCACCGAGACTTTTACTTCTTCACAAGCTGGATTACGTCTTCATCCTCCAACACGTGGTCCTTTCCCACCTTCTGAGGGTTGTGTTTCACGGATGATCCCCACACGAGTGCACTGAAAAAAGGACGAGTTAACATTATGAAATCACTGTACATGACTGTTTCCTTTAAGGTAGTGAATAACACGCATGTGACATTTTACACAAGTGCAAACAAGACACCACATGGAGTCACCAAAACCCATATTTCACTGCAAAAACATTCAGTATAGATGTTTTTTTACTGCTTTGCTGCAACATCAATGGTCTTATTCTCTTAAGTAAACTACAGGGTGCAATGACAGCCTTTAACAAAGGCTTTCTAATCTCTGGTGTCACCGTTTGAACCATTAATTCCCCAGAGTACGGCTAATGCTCAGCTGCACTAATATACCCACTGATTGATGACCCCAGCTCTCCAATTTGGAAATGATGGTGCGACACATCATCTCAGATCCAAATCCAGACTCTTAGATTAAAGCTCATCTAGTGTACATCACCATAAAGAGGTTAAAGACTGTGATTAAAGCTCCTTGTGTTGTTTTAAAACCGTCCGATTACCACTTATCAGTCTGTTACTGGATAACTTCATTGATGCCTTTGAGCGAGAAAACTCTCAAAAACTATAAAGCACTCGCAGTTAATAACTAATTAACTATTCTTTCCTTCGATGTGTGTGTGTGACTGGCTTTTCATTTCAACAGTGTAAGTAGAAAAGCTGTATTCTGTTTCAGAGACAGAAATGTATAATTCTGAAATACTGATGCCATCTAGTTAGATGAAAACATACAAGACAAAGAAAAGGGGTGGAAAAAAAAGAGCACTAATATGAGGAAAAATAACTGAGACTCCAACAAGATCAAACAGAACGATCTGTAAAGAGACTTTTTAAAGACAAATCCGAGTTAATACTCACTACTTAAATTCTTTGATGAGGTTTTTGTGGATCTTTAAGCAGAAATCCTCAACCGAAGTATGTTCATCAGGGAGCACAACAGGAGATGTGTAATCAGGGAGCTGGCCTTTGGGTTTGGTATAGCTGTGAATAAAATCGACACATGATTTGCAGGCTGACCCGATAAAAGTCAAAATCTCTCATTTACTCGTGGCTCTAATCGGTTGAGAGAGTCTTACATGCGAACAAGCTTTAGGTAGTCCCACATCCTCTCCAGCAGGTCATCGAAGTTCCAGCGATGGTGGGCAGAGATGGGCACACAGTGCGGCACCTTGTAGATGATGTCCAGCTCCTCGATGGAGATCTGATCGATTTTGTTGAGCACATAAATGCACGGGATGTAGACCCTGTTGTGACAAGAGAGGGTGAGCGGCTGTTTATCCCGAGACAGCTTCATCATCAGCATCCCTGTGTTGACCTTTTATTTTACAGCTGCTTTACAGAAGGGAAACGTAACAAGTGATTACCATCAGCGTCAAGCTACTTTGTAACCACAGATTTCCTCTTTCAAAGCGCATGTACGCAGTTTCCTGTCGTTCTTCTTTCGCACATCGAGTTGATCTGGCAGCATTTACAGTAGAGACGTTTTATTTAGATATTCAAGTGAAAAAAGTTTTTCCTGAACATAGTTTTCAATATTACAGTTTGTTTTTGATGCCACTTTATTTTTCAATTTTTCTTGTTTTTTGTTGCTTAAAAGGTTTAACATCACTACTTAGAGTTATGTTGATGAATGCTGCCCTCAGTGTAGAAGTGGAGAGAGAAAACTTAAGAAGCACAAACGTTGGAGCCACTAAACTTTACTTAACTAAGAGTGTCTGCTTCAGACTGACAACAGAAGCTAATATGCTGTAAACGAAGCAGATCTGCAAATATTTTTTATCTTTTAGGCACTTTTACCTTAATTAGATCAGACAGCTAGTCTACTTTTTTAATTCATTTTGTTTTTTTCCAGGAGGGCGTTAGCCACAGATGCATGCAAAAGTGCCTCCCAGGGCAACGGGGTGTGTAACGTTGTCCATAGAAACAAAAACATGACCAGACAGCTATTCACAAAGAAAAGAAACACATCTCTCCCCCTCTAATGAAAACTGTAAGTGCAGACTCAAACAGTTAATGTGAAAATACATCATTCAATTCATTTCAAACAGCTGCAAGGGAGGATTCAACACAACTCCAAAAAAAAAGAGGCTGCCATTTCGATTGTTTAAATAAAGGCTTAAGCAGAGCTCCTGTGTCGTCATCTTATCGAACCTTGTCTATTTTCATATGAAGGACCATGATTGATCCGGTACATGTGAGAGCAGAGGGATATCATCGAGGAAGGCTGTGGTGGAGCCGAGCTAAAGCACAGCTGGAGAGAGACAGGAAACACAGGGAGCAGAGAGTGGGGGAGGACATGCAGCACAGAGTCAAACCAGAGACCGCTGTGATGAGGATGGTGGCTAAAACCCTCGAGCCACGGTACATTCAACATTTTACCGGACAATCCCTGCCTATTGGCTCTGGCTCTTAAAACTTAAGAAGTCAGCGTCTGCTGTGGGGGGATTTTGGCCTCACTTTTGTACATCTGCAGGAAGTGAAGATGCGGTTTCCATACAGTTGATGGTTGTGATCATGTTGAGAAGGCATTTGTTGAAAAAAAGGAGCTGTTAGTGATCTTTAAAAATGTTAAATATATTTCACAATCATTTCTTTCTGTCACAGTAGCTGCATTTCCTTTTTTTCCTCTTTTTTTCATGTTTTTTTTTAATAGCTCCATTTCCTAATCAGAAATATTAGCTTGCCTGATGCTGTTTTATTGTCACAGTCTCCTCCCTGGAAGGCACAGAGAGCATTAATGCAAGAAAGACCCTGTGAATGCTTTATTACCCTACAGTTTCAAGGAGGGACTGCGGTTGCTATGACTGCTGCTGTGCAATCAAATACTCAAGACTGTTCTGGGAATAGAGGTCCACTTTACAAGAACACATCAAGTTCATCCCTCTACGCATATCCAAAATTTTTACGCACTCGCTGAGATGTTATATCTTATTACTCTGTGAGATGTCCTTCCCAAAAGGTTTAAACGCACGACAATGCTCAACTCCACCTCATACATGGAACATAAGCATCAGCAAATAGGCAGGCTGTCTGCAAATCCACATTTGGTTGGAACCCTGTATGACACATTAGCGGTATTTTCATTTTTTTTTTTTTTTTGTAGCAGGGCATCAGGCCACACCCACTCAGACGGAGTAAGGAAGACCCATTCTGGCACTTCAGCAGCTTACCGATTTCCCTCCACCACATCGATGAGGTCATCAGCTGTGGAGTCGCTGCGCAGAGTGATATCAGCATTGTGGATCTTGTATTCTGCTAAGATACTCTTCACAGTATCAGCATCCAGCTCAGTTTGTGCACACTGAAGAGAGAGAAATACAGAGAAAGAGCGAGAGAGAGAGAGAAAAGGGTGTAAGTAACGAATGATATCAACCAATAGAGATACACCTTATACATATTCAACAGTAACCCATGATGTATGTAGTTATCATCATGCTATATATGGCATACTTAAAGTGAAGTATGATTATCCCAATTAGCCAGATAACACAGATTAAATGGCAATTGTGGTATTTTTACCAGCAGGAGATTAATGATGATATTCTGCAGAGGGATAAGAGAATATGTCTTAGTGTCTGAGTTGAGGTTTTTTTCCATACATCTCCACCAGAGGGCAGAATTACCATTTAAGTGCTTTTTACAAGAAGTGAGGCAGAATTAGGTAGAGACATTTTCTGCATTTCATTCAGCAGATTAGTTTAAACATTTACATAACAGGGATTAATGGATCCTTTCACATGTTTGTTTGAACTAACCGAAAGAAAAAATGTCCAATCATCTCAATTAATCGACGATCAAGTTTTCTTTGTTAAACCCTGAGGTGATTATGGAAGATATTTAACAGCATCAGTTTACAGCTGATGAAACACGACCATATACAGCAGCATATTTGGCTAAGTTTCCCTCAGTGTGTGACGTACTGTAGCTGTGAAGTTGATGCCCCCTTTGTCCTTCTTCTTAAAGCCGATGTTGGGTGGTTGCTTGTTAAGTCGGATGCCAAAGCCCTCCAGCTCGTGCTCTATCAGCTTCTTGTGGCCAAGAGGCTTCAACACATCGAGCACTATCAGGATTAGGTTGCAAGTTCGAGCCACTAAAACAGGAGGTGGAGATGGGGGAGGGAAAGGGAGAGAAATTGGTGAAAGAAATACGAAAAAGTAAATCATGTAGGATGATAAAGTTGTATTTTTTCATGCAACCACTTCCATGAGTTTAAAATTGTCTCTATTGCTTGTGTTTGTCAAAGTGCACTTGGTTTGCTGAAGTATTTGCTGTGAGCTCACAGTACATTTAAGATCTGTTGAAGCAGCTGCATCTCTCTTCTCGTAAGGCAGACACAAACTGCCCTCAACTACCCCCCTTAAATGAAGTTTTACTGCTGCCATCAGAGGCACATATAAGCTCATAGTAATTGAAATAAAGAAAAGTTTCTTATTAAATGCAGTTAAAGGAGAACCTTTGTCTTTACACTAATGTTAATAAGGAGAGATTTGGTTTAACTGCTGCATCTTTTGCTCCATCATCTTTTTGGTTCAGTCTCTAATCAAGTGTTTTACCTGCGATGACCTGTCTGCCTCTTCCCTTGCCATCCTTAGCCCCCTCAATGATTCCTGGGAGATCCAGAAGCTAATAAGGTAAAAAGCAATAAATTAAGATGAGAAACTCACAGAAAAACTTTTTTACACTTTTGCAGGTCCTGGGCATATCAGAACGACTTTTACCTGGATTTTGGCACCTTTGTAGCGAATGACTCCAGGGACCGTGGTGAGGGTGGTAAACTCGTAGGCTGCGACCTCCGAGTACACACCTGCAAGATTACTTAGCAGTGTGGATTTTCCAACTGAAGGAAAACCGACAAAGCCGATTCGGGCATCACCAGTTTTTGCAACATCAAAACCTAAAAGCCAAAAAGCAAATCAGACACTTGAATCAGCACATTGTCCACTACAAGTTTTGTATCTGAGAATATCTATAACAGCATATTGTGACAGGAATATTTGGAGACTGGAATTGTACCCTCTCCTGTTGCACCACCACTGCCTCCCTTTGGTGTGATGAGTTCCCTTCTCAGTTTTGCAAGACGGGCTTTGAGCAGACCCAAGTGGTGAGCTGTGGCCTTGTTCCTCTGCGTCCTGGCCATCTAGAAAGAACAGAAACAACACAGGCGCAAGATGTTAGAAGATGTTATACTTGTTTTATAATCATGTAGTGTTTTTAAGTGGGTAAAACTGACCCAATGGATTAATATTAGCTTATCTACAGTTTATTTTTCTTTTCTTTTGCCCACTGCTTGCTGGGTTACACTTAAGCCTATCCACAACTATAAATGAACACAAGTTTGGTATAACATCTAGAGCCATTGTATGTCCTTTATAGATTCTACTGCTTTTTTAAAAGGTCACCATTCAGTACTAACACCATTTCTATTAAATTGTTACTCTTTAAAATGACAACTACTGATTACAACAACAGGATGATTTAAATGGCAAATCTAAGTGTTTGGGGGAATTGTTTTTTAGAATGACAGGAAAGATATCTGTAGGAGCCAAAATATCTTTGAAAGTATGATTATTGTAGGTACTTCACTTCCGGGGATCGTCACTAAGGGGTGTGGTTTCGGGATGTTTGGCGGGTTATTTAAGTTGCACCACTGTAGTCAGACAATGGGTCATGGCAAGCATTTTTTCTGTTGACCGTTTTTCACTGTTTCACTCATCTTGTTTTAACCTAATTTCAGCATATCACTTTTTCATTTAAAGGCAAAGGTTTTGGACCTGGATCAGCTTGTTTTCTTTTCTTTTTTGGAACAATAAACCATTTTAACGCTCAAACCGGACTGATAATTGAACGAGTCACAGATGCAAGCGAACCTAAACCCCAGCAGCCTTTTTGATGAAGGAAAGCAGTTGCTACAATATCATTAAAGAGCTGGCAATAACATGAAAAAGCAAAGTGTTAGAACAAGATCTCTGACTAGACATTTCATTATGAATACCTGGGCCAGCTTATTCAGTTCAGTTGTTTTGTTTTGTTTAGTTTAGTTTAGTTGTTAGGGTAATTTTGACATGATTGGAGGGTGATTACCATACCAAGTATTGTTTTTTCAAATTAATTGCTAATATGAAGTCAAGTCTATGATACTGGAAAAATAAAATCAACTCAAAGTTAGTACAACAAATATATATAGGGTTTGCAGGATGTGCTACATGAAAATATATAGCGTAAAAAAGACAAACGTAAAGGAAAGACAAATGCTAAATTAGCTAAACAGTTGAAAAAAAAGAAAAAAAAATCGCAACATATTGTATCGCAGTAGTCAATGTATTGCAAAATGTTAGAAATCGCAATAATATTGTATCATGGCCGAAGTATCGTAATAATATCGTATTGTGGAGCCACAAGTGATTCCCACCCCTACTATATTCAGTATTACAGACATTTTGGGTGGTTAAAGTGTACTGGAGTGTGTTATATTCAAAACTGTTTTGTTTATATTTTTTCCACTTAATGAACAAACATGAGGGGAGCTAAATATCCATATTTCAATAGCTCTTAGAAGAGGAAATTTGATGGCAGAGTTGTTGTATTGGGTTGCAAAGGATTGCCTTATATTATGGCTGGTAGGTGAATATTTAAAGTATTGAAATTGAGATTCGTGAGATTCCTTTTGCATCATCTGCTCTTTAAGTTCTCTGATACAGCTTTGAGTAACTGAACGCTTCTCTTACAGATTAAAAATGTGTTTAACACAGACTCACACTAAACAGATTTCCTATGAACTGACCATGATAAATGAGTACAAAACATACGGGCGCGTTTGTTACCTTTTCTGTGACCATGAGGATTGACTATGTCGACTATATGAGCTTTGGATGCAGACTTTTGCAGGACTTAACACTCCTCCAGGCATGTATGTGATTACTACATTACTGACAGCTCACCAAACCACATCTAGACTCAGCTCTTTTTCTATGCTAACTGGCACCGACTCTGACAGAAGCCTCGTCTTAATTCATATAATACATCCATATGTGGAATAGGAAATGGGCACGGATATGTTTTTACAGACAACCTTTTCAATATGTAGTTTTACTTGTCTAGATATAACGTTCCAGCGAGGCCCAGCTGTTTGAGCTAAGCTAAAAACTGCTAGTTAGCATTTAGCAAAACGTGATTCTGATTCAACGGGGTTAGCCAGCTCTGTAATCAGAACTTACCTCATTTTCGATCTCCGCTATTTTCGCGAGTATACTCATTGTGACTCCTGTTCGCAGGCAATGCTAATGGATGAAGTTGCGTTTACTTTACATAGAAGTTGGCAAACTTGGATGCTATTTAGTGAGCACACCGGTCCACACCACGCAACTGCCGCTGTTCACTTCCTCTCGGGAAATCTCGCGAGAGTGTGGTTCGTAGAGGCGCACTGCCCGACACGTTGACTGACAGGAGAAAAGTGTTGATGAATTCAAGAAATAAATGATTTGCTCGTGGATGCACTTACCCTTTGGCTCAACTTACCCCACTCTCCCCCCGAGAGGTTGTGGTGGAACTGATAGTTATATTTTATCGCTCTGTACTTAGAGGTTATTATAAAAGCCAAATTCTGCTCACCTCTTTGCCTCTCAGCTCCTATCTTCTAAGATGACAAAGACTATCCTCCAAGTGGCCAGTCTTTTGGATAGGTTACTTGTAACGTATTCTTTACACCTTGACGCTCAATTTAGAGCTTTGTTTAATATGTAGAGGAGACAAGGGATAGTTCTGACACACTCCGTGTCAACAACATAGACTGTACTTACAGATGCAACTAAAAATAGTTTATTTTCCTCATAATTTAATTCAAAAGGTTAAACTTCCATTCATCTTTTATCTCAAGTTTAAGTATAGATTGAGTTTTAAGATACCATAGTGATTTTATACTTATCAGGAAGCTCAAACCCAACACAACCCTAGCCTGTCCACACTCCACAACATTTTGTCCTGTATCTTGCTAGTGGAGTTTGAGGCTTTGGTGTGTGCGTGAACACTCATGAAAAATGCTAATACCACTTGTAGTTATTGCTGCTGGTGGTGAGGAGGGACTTTTAACACTTGTCACAGCATACATATGTGGAAATTTTATATTTTTTCCTCCCTCGGTTTGTAGTGGTACCTGTTCTCAGTATAGCTTCTCCATTGTGAATTAAGGTCCCTATTTTAAACAGGGAAAATTTTGATAATTAAAAATCCTCAAGTATTAGAACGTTTTTAAGTATCAGAAAGGTTTGAATAAGTTTTGCTTTGTTCAAATAATTGAGGAATGCATTATTATGCATTATATATTATTACACAACTGAGAGAGGCATTGAACAATATTTCCAAAGACTCACAGGAGAAACGTGAAACTAGAAGCGAGGCCTCTGCACTCTGTGGCAAGCTGGACACCCTAGAGATAGCTTTCATGGCACACTTTTGGGATACAATACTGCCACGGTTCTGAGCCACGAGCCTGCAGTTGCAGAAACATGACATTGACATACACACGGCTACACAGCTTCTCCTTGCAAACTCCTGGCCCCGGGGCCCAGACCCCCCATAATCCGGCCCTGATTATAAGAAACAGGATTTCAGGCTGTGTTGTTTGTATTGTTAAGTGTTGAAATAGTGTGCTTCTTTAAGAAGACAGTAAATGCCCAGCATGCTACTCAACAGGGTGGAAAGCACATTGTTTATGTTGTGATACCACTGGTCAGCCAGAAGAGGGCAGTAAAAACCCAATCTACTCAAAAGATGCTTCTGAAATACACTCAGAATTCAGGCAACACAAGAATGAAAATCCAGCTCCATTTACAACTAAAGATTGTGGATAGTTTTGGTTGTTTTTTCACCTGTTTGTACATTATTTCTTGACCTGCTTTGTTGTACCTATTTTCAAAATAGAAGTATTGCACCTGAGCATCTCTGTCCATACAGGAAGAACTTGATGCCAGAGAGGAAACACTATCATAACACATAGAAAAACAATAGTATGGCTGCTTCTTCAAATTGCGAAATTGTACTTGTCCAGTGGGGTAATTGATTTGAGAAGACTAATGATGAAACCCACAGCCATCATATGGAGATCAATGATTTACACATGTAAAGGCTTATGAGATTCAAGAGGCGAATTGTTTATTGACAACATTTGCTGAGACTGCACTAATAATGTCTGGACTCTGGAGACTTGTCTTTTCTCCCTTTTTAAGGTCTCTGTAAGGTTTTGGTTTCAAGTCCTGCCTAGTGGACCAACTGAGATTTTTAATTCAAGAATAAAACAAACAAACAAACAAACAAAAAAAACAAACTGTTGTCTCTGAGTCAAATCGCAAGACATCAGCTGGCCAGAAATAAAAGTATTGGCCTTTTCAAGATAAGACCCCGGTCACAATGTCAAATGAAAGAAGAGGAGATGACTTCAGGGCAGAAACAATAACGTCAAAATGAACAAAAACAGACAATAGGAAGCCACTTTTGTTTCTGTGTTGCCACCTTCAGTGAAAAGTGTTAGTAATCAATAAGGAGTGGAGTTCCACAGCACATATGAGCTCTGCGAGGTGTTTGAGGAGACGACGACAAGGTGTCAGAATCCTCTACTCACCTGACAAATAAAGGTGTTGTGCTGCATACTATCCATCCATATTTATTTGATTATTTCATTGTTTATTTTATGACCTATTTGAGCTCCAGTTTTTGCTTTTACTGCACTCAGGAGTCTGATGTCTCAAACTTTCTGGTTTTCCTTCAGAGAGTAAAGAGCCAATGCTTTCCGAAACTTTCAGTAAATCTTCTGATGTTCGTGATGAAGTGACTAAATTTAACTAACTGAGTCACTTCAGTGTACACGGGCTATTTACCCCTCTGCTGATTAGGTGAGATTCACAGCTTTAATAACACCACAGGAGGACTGATCTGTAATGACACCCAACATTAACTATGCTTATTCATATTTGGACGGTCACTGCTGTATTTCTTAGCTTTGTTGAATGACTCTTGTCTTACTTTAGAAAAAAGTAATGGTGCTCTTCAGAATGACAGTTATTGACTGCTTAATTACCTGTTCTCATCTGCTCTCAATAATTACTATTTTTTTAAACTAGTGATTCACAGTTTAAGATTTTATCTGCTGATACTGATGCTGGAATGCTTGTAAATATGATGAACCTCTTAGAAAACTCAGACAAAAACAGTACATCTTTTTTCTTAACAAGCTCTCAGTCTGTACAACACTTAAAGGTTCGGCTTCTTTTGATCCTTTGTAATTCCTATGACTAGAAAAAAAAGATAAATATACCAAAAAAAGAGGGATGACAAACGGACTTGCAGCCCCTTCTCATTGATGGGACGTGTGCGGAAAGAGTCTGTGACTTCTGCTTCCTTGGGGTCCACATAGAGGAGAAACTGACCTGGAACAATAACACCACACAGGTGGTTAAAAAAAAAAAGCTCAGCAGAGGCTCCACTTCCTGAGAATCCTCAGAAAGAAGAACATGTGCCAGAGACAGCTCCTGTCTTTTTACCGTTCCACCATGGAGCGCATCGTCACGTACTGCCTCTGTACGTGGTTTTCCAGCTGCACAATGAGGAACAGGAAAGATCTCCAGAGGGTCACTAGGATGGCTAAGAAGGTCATCAGGTGCTCTCTGCCCATACTGGAGGACCTTCACAGCTCTTACCGCCTCAGGAGAGACATCAACATCATTTAGGACTCATTCCACCCGGGCCACCCCCTGTTTGAGCCACTGCAAAACAGCTTTTTTCCCAAACACTGTCCATTCCATCAACGCCTCAATGAAAGCCAGATGATATGTTGCCTTTTATGGGTGTAGTTTTAATTATTTTCACTCTGCACTGGTTTTACTTTTTTACTATCTAATGTTTTATTGTCCCTTTTTTATGAACTGACTGAAAAGGCAATTTTCAATTTCATTTTTAATAAGAGAACTGGTATTAGCCCAAGACTCTGTATTACAGTGACTTCAGCCTTCTCATTTAATACTGAATATTTGGAAAAAACAATCGTTGGATTATGTTTTTCTATGTGCATAAAAATATAGAAAAGGAACCTTTTCCAGGCGGAAATCTATCTATCTATCTATCTTACCAATGAATGTGTATTATTATCATTTTTGATGTAAAATCAATGAAGTACAACAGTAACCAGATGAGGAGTCAACCGATTATCAGTCATAGCAGATTATTGGAGCCGATAATGAAAATGAATGAATTAACAAGTACACTAATATGGCCCTGCTGCCGCTTGTCCTTCCCGCAGGGTTTGTTAGGATTTCCCTCAGCTCTTTGGTGCACCTCATGTCCTGCTCACAGCTCTGTCTCAGAGGTTATTGTTGACTGAACTGTATGAAATTACTGTACTGTAATAGTAACTGGTTCACCTTTTAAAACTTAAATAGGATGTTGAACGTTTCAGATTTCTGTTAAAACTTTGCTAAAGGCATAAAATATTCCAAATTGGTAAACCCCTAAACCAGACTCTTCACTTTTACGTTACTCCTCATGTCCAACTTTTTATCTGTGTAACACGAGGCAAAGTTTAGCTTGCGTAGTAACACTATTGAGTTCTGAAAGAAAAGAAAACGGTTCATGACAGGACTCAGCGACAGGTGCAGAGGTACAGACTCTATAACAGCCTCCAGTCAGTGAGTGAGTGAAGAAACCTGAGGTTTGATGTCAGAGTGTTTGTTCTCACCTGTCTGTAAGACAAAAAGAAAAATGTATTCACAGGGACAGGCTTGTAAAATTATTTTCTCCCCCCAGAATAAGAGCAGCTATATCAACCAAGCTATTAAAAACAATGGGATCAGGAAACTGCTGTATGAAGCGTCAAAGATCACCAAAGGGTCAACAGTTAGGGGATATTTTACTTTTTTTAAATTCTGGATATTTTTAACTCAAAATCATACATATGAGGTCATGTTGTAGGCGTGAGAAGAAAAGCCAGGGGGAAACTGAGCTCGTCTTCGTCTAGATGAAATTTTCACAGCTACCAGTTCAGTAGTCTTTGAGATAATTCAGTCTGGAAAAAAAGGAAGTTATAGATTCATGACTGAGATTTAAACGCCACTTCAAAGTCAGAACTATATATGTATCCATGTGTAACCTGTGAGAAATAAAACAGATGAAAGATAAGATACTGCAGGGAAATGAAAGCATCACAATATCCGAACACAAGCAGACTTTTAACCAGAGCTTCAAATCTATTGCTGATAAATTGAACATAAATGCAGTACAGAGCACTGAAAGAAGTAGTCAGAAATATTTGTACACTTTAAAAAAAAAAAAAGCTGTAGAAGAGATGAAAATGGGCTGTAAGTTAAGTGTCTGGTCACTGTTGTGAAATTAAGGTTTGCACTTACAGGATTGCAGAAAAGGATGCTCAGATAAAAGCTAATTTTAAATTTCAAGGTGTTCAAAACTCATTTTTTTAAATGTATATTTTAATATGATAATTTCTCCAAGCTGGAATTTTACATTTTTCGACTAGATTAATAAAGTCACTGAAACCCTGTCCTGTCAGGTTGTTTTTCGTCTTGAAAATATTTCCCCTGTTTCCATGTTGGATATGATGTCAGTTTGTGTTAAGAGTTACATGCTCGGTTTCAAACTGAACTGTCTCTCAGCTGCTGTGAAGTAAACTGTTTCATCAGCTTAACAAATGGAAACTGATTTTCTCCGTGACAGTGGCAGCTAGTGGAAGAAAAGTTGCGAGCGCATCAGTCAGCTAACGTCCCCCAGGTGTTGTCTTTGGGGGCTGAGGGCTGGATAAAGTGTTACTCTGACGGAGGAGGGACGGTTGTGTTAGAGAGCCAACGTCAAACTAAAAATGACTCATGGAGTAAGCTGCTAAAACTAAAACCTACAGTGCGGCAATCACATGCAAAAATGGAGAGAATCATGGTTATTGGTCATTCAAGGCCAATCCAAACCAATTAAGAACAGTTAACGAGCACAGTAACCAACCAGTAACCAGTAACCAATCAAATTTAGAATTTGATTTATCATAAACTCAAAATAGGGCTGCACGATTAATCGATTTTTAATCGTAATCGGATTATTTGATTATGACGATGTTAAAAAAAATAAAATTAAAATTCTCAAATCGATTTTCCTCTCTGTCATTTCTCGTGCCTCCAGAACACTGTAGGCTCCCCCTTCCTGCAGGAGTCCTCCCCAGTTCCCCCACACACCAGTGTAAACAAACATGGCATTTGCAAAAGAAGGCGATAATTTCGTGGCGAAATAAAACAAGAGCAAGTCAGTTGCGTGGAATTGGCACGGCTCCGCAGTTTTGGATACAGAGCAAACCACTCCCCGCTGCAAAGTCTGTCTGAAGGCGGTATCAACCCGTCCACATGGAAACAAATTCAGGAATAAACGCAAAAGTTTTTTGTCATATGGAAACGGTGTTTCAGGTGACTGTAAACGGTACTTTTTGAAAACAGGTCAGAGAGTGCATTAACCTGTACATGACAACCAATTCATCTCCATGTGGACGCCTATCTGCATCTCTGGAAACGATCATGTGACACACAGCGTAACTCTTTTATGGCGCCTGCCATAAAGTACGCATATAAACAACCTTTATATGCATACTCAATACTCTTCTTCTGTCTTTTGTGCATTTCCTGTGCAGGGTTACAGCGCCACTTACTGTCTTGGCATATGCACTACATCTTTTTCAGTGGTTTCGTTTTGAGAGATGCTAAAAAAACTTTTTTAAAGTGAAGTTGTCAACAAATAAAAAATCGAAATCGAAAATTGAGTTTTCAGAGAAAAAAATCTGGATTTTATTTTTGGCCAAAATCATGCAGCCCTAACTCCAACAGAAAACTTTATTTAGTGCCTCTAGTAAATGTGAAATGCTACTAAAAGTGTCAACATCATATAAAAGGGTTTCTGGTTAACTAGTCGCACTAACACCACACATCTCGCCAGATAGTGTTGTAGACAGGACACTCAGTGAGACATGGTGATGAGGGAAACACATAACAGCATTGCAACCAAATCAGTGTACTTCTTGATTAGTCAGGTAGGCTTTCACCATTGATTTGCATGTTGTTAATGATGCTAAGCTAAAGCATTTTGAAGTCAGATCTTGGTATGTTTGTAATGTCCTTTTGAGGGGTTTCATTTCAGATAAGTTATAATATAACCTATGTTTTCTTATTCATTACAGCTTCTGTGGCTAACTGTGTGCATCTTTAATACTCATCTTTTCACTTTGTAGCTTTCTTATTAAATTTTTACAAATACTATTGATGTGATTAAAAGTTACTGACTGAGATGTTGTCCAAAAGAAGACCAGAACCCCCTGAAGAAACAGTTAGTGGGATACTGTATCCATATACAGTATATTAGGAAAAAATTTCGATGACTGTTGCATGTCAACTCAAGCAGAAAAGAGTAAAGGAAACAAAAATGGAAACCTGCGGTGTCCCCTGAGCAAAACAAGCTACATCTATTTCAGTTCTGTATCCCCCTGTGCCGGGTCTCAGTACCAAGGGAGACATGTCTGCTGTAAGTTTCCAATATGAGGACATGTCAGGGCTGCAGGAGCACAGGCTTACAGTCACACTAAATTATATCAACACTTTAAACCACTCGTGAAGTAACACAGGGTCACATTTTCTGCATCGTTTTCCTGGCTAAATCAGACAAGTAAAGGGGTCTGAATGGTTCGAATACAGAGTTCACTAAAATGTGTCTTCAGTGTTGCTAGAAGCATGTTTAAAGATTATTCTTGATCTTTTTAAAATTTCTTCAATAGATCCTTATCCATCCTCCACTGATAGCGTATTGCAGCATCCTGGAGCCACTTCAGTGATGCAGACACATGTTTGAAGGTCCATGGAGGCCGCAGGGTTACACTGGTACATGTTTTTCACTTAACGGCCTTGATTAACACCTGGAAAGAAAGTCAGTTACCATGGGCGTCTCACCTGTGGAATTAATTATCCCTGCTAAGAAAGAGGATGGCACGCCTCGCTCCCCCTCATTTCCTAATAAACAAGCTGTGCCACTGCGTCTCACCACATTTGAGCAGGACTCTAACCAGGTAAGAACACCACTCATACACTAACTACGCTCTCTGGAGTGAACAAATAAGATCTTGACACTTTTTCCTCACAGAAAGCCACAGAGATCTTCCAGCAGAATGCCGAGCCAGCTCGAGGGTGCGATGGATGCACTGATAGCAGTTTTCTACAACTACTCCGGAAACGACGGAGACAAATACAAACTCAACAAGGGGGAGCTGAAGGAACTGTTGAACAGCGAGCTCACTGACTTCCTCACGGTAAGTTCATGCCTTGCTTATGTTACCTCCTTTATTTTAGCGTTATTAACCATTTCAAAGTTGAATTTTGGGACCAAGACGCTCTTGTTGAGTGTTTTGAATCGAACCTTTACCACCTCTTATTTGAGACTAAATTGAGTTGGGAGAATTTTCCAAAATGAGGCCAACTTTACTTAAGACAAATTGGGGCTCATAGAGCAGTATTCTCTAGAATAAAACAGCCTCAAAATTTGGGTAGAAACTGTTTGATTTTGGCCTGAACTCATCCAGTGTAAATAGCATTTCTGCACGAAGTGTTTTCAGTGTTTAGTTTTCATTCCCTTACAGTTAAAACGCCAAAATCAAGTATGTAAAGTAAGAATAAAAGGCAAATTTATTTCAGCAACAAGGCAAGTCAGAGTCCTTCATTCATGACATCAAACGAAGACAAAGAGCAGAAGAAACACATTAAAAAAAAAACATATAAAAGTCATTAAAACAAGTCTTTAAGAATTACAGTAAATGTATTATGATAGATTTAGTAATAACTAGAAACTAAAAAGTGCTTTGATATACAGACAGAAGAACAAGAACCCACTAACAAAAAGCCCCTAAAATTGAACCCAAACGTCGACAGTGACGACATTAGAATTATACCAAATAATCATAAGAACACAACACTTATTTTGGCATAATAGAATTAAATTTTCTGACAATTTCAAAAGTAAATTAATCAAAGTCAGCTGTGGACAGATGTGCTTTAGACCTGGATTTTCAAATAGGTGGGGATTTGAGCAGACCTGACATTTTCTGGGAGTTTGTTCAGAGATATAGAGCATAAAAATTGAACTCTGCTTCTCCATGTTTGGTTCTTACTCTGGGGACAGAAAGCAGGATACTCCCAGATACTTTTAGCAGTCTTGTGTGGATGGTTGGCTCTGTATGGAAAGATCTCTAAACCATTCAGTGCTTTAAAGACCAGCAGCAGTATTTCAAAATCTGTTGTCAGACCTTCAAACTGGACTGATGTGATCCACTATCTTGCAGCAGCGTTCTGAGTCAGCTTCAGTTGTTGCTTACCTAAATGTTAAAGTTTGAAGAGCATCTTTGTGGAAGAATCGATGGTGAAAGTTTATGAGAAGTGGCTCTGTGTCACCGTGAACCAAGGTTTCTGTATCTGGATTCAGTTAAAGTAACTAAACCAGCAACCTTTCAGAAAGTAAGCTCCTTAAAACATTTTATTTTATGAAGCAGCTTCGAAAATCCTAGGAACACAATGTGCAAACTAAACAGTAATATAACAACACAGGAAACCACCCCTGGAAAAACCAACTTAAAGTGACATATTCACATAAATCACCATTTATAGACTATTTACAAACCCATTTCTCCATCAATTATTTATCTTTTATGGAAGTAAATCTGTTAATTTGACTTATTATGGATCATTAATCCTTTTTCTAAAGCCAGGTGAGCCTAAAAGGTGATTTAGACAATCATGTTTCCAAATGATTTGATAAAGAGCATTGTGACCTTGTAGGAGGAAATTGCGTCCTCTTTGATCCAGTTTTTAAAGTGTATCTGCTGCTGGACCTCTCTTTCATCACAGCTCTGTGTGAAATAAAGAATGGGGAGGACGAGGAGATGGATAAGGTCATTTCAGATAAGCCTGGGACCCTGGGTCTGTGTGATAGCGGTGTGGACGAGACCACGATTCAAAATGATTGAGACCATCCCGTCAAGAAAAATACATCGGAGGCCACAGGGTCAAATCTCTGCTGCTTTTAGGTGTATATTTTTTTAATATCATACTCTTGTCCTTCCTCATGCGGATGGGAGGCCTCAGGTGCTCACGCAGCAGCATCGTCAGTGGCCCATATCCCTCCAAATATAGACACCCCTGTGATGTCATTAAGTCCCCTTGGGCCAGAGTCTCCTCTGAGAATAGATGCAGCCCAAGTGAGCAAACATTCACCTTCAGTTTCCTCCGACTGGAGACCTGGACGCCTTAAACTGAGGTTCAATAGATTAAACTGTCATTTATGTGCTTTTCTTTTTTAGGCTGTGAACAAATAGTGAAGGGAAAGACATCATTAGGACAACCCGATCATGCGTCTTTCAATCTATGGAAAGGAGACAGCACAACACACATTGAACTTTCTGATAGGATTGGTAAACGACACGGAGGGTATTTTCAATAGGACTCTTAGTTTATTGAAAGAGCTCAAAACTTTTCATTAGTGGTCAATGGCTGACAAGGCAACACCAGGAAAAAAAGGACAAGAGCCAGAGACAGAAACAGTGAAAAGTGTTTAAACACACATAAAGCTGAGTGAAGGGACATCAATCAAATTGAAGAAAACACACGAAGCAAACAACTCAGTAAAGGTACTGGCAGAATGTGGTATGATTTATGACAGCAGCCGCTTGTTTGTGAGGGGAGCCCTGACAAGTCGATCACCGAGTGCGGCAGATCATCTCCATGAAGTAACAATCATCATAAGAATCATTTTGCGCTGCAGACGCGGTAGTTCTTCTGCCGTAGCGTCTAAGTCTGATTGCATTTCCATGAAGTAATAATCATAAATGATCCGCTGCACTCAGTGATCGACTCGTCAGGGCTCGCCAAACAAGTGGCTGCTGGAGGAGAGTGGGTGAGTTGTGTTTAGTCTCTTTGCCAAAGAAACTAGTCAAAGTTAAAAAGATGTTTGGTGGCTAGTGCTGTGGCTGGGACCCTATATGTACTGTTGATGAAGTTAGGTGCTGTTCTGAGCATTATTTGTGACTACAGAGTGGCGTCTGGGCTGAGATTTGCCTGTGGATCCATAGACCGCTGTATATTGCTATCCTGCACTCGTTATTAAAGTTGGTATAATTAACCCTTTAATGCCATTTGTATCATATTTGATACATACTTTTATATACTTCTATCAAATCAGAAGGATCTACAAATTACTAAAAAACACCTAAATACAGTCCGATTAATGATAAAGATGTCCTGTTGTAGTTTATTAGTTTCCAAAACATCTAATGCATCAAACAAGATAAATAAATATATTTGTTAAATTTTAAGGACATTTAGATTTTTTGGTTTTTAGTAGTAAGTTAATTAAACATTTCAGCTCCAAAAAAATTTGAATTTACTGGCCATAGTTTGTGGTGACAGGCATTAAAGGGCGAGAGAAGCAAGCAGTCGGCAACATTCATCTCTCGAGGGGGTGTCTAACTCAGTGTTATGGTGTGCTTGACCTTAACTTAAATTTACAACGGAATATCCCTTTTAAAGTGTGTGTTCATAAAATGATATTTTTTTTAGCTGGACACGCAGAAGGAAAATGTGTTTTTCACATGTCCAACCTCAATCATTAACAGAAGGGATGTCAGATCTCTCTCTCTGATCACCTGCAGAGTGGGTGACAGGCACTGCAGGTTATTGGACTCAAGCAGAGCTAATAGAGGTCAGTCAGTTCCCTGATTGCAGATGCTGATCTTAGATGAGTATGAATTAAAAAAAATATATATAAAAATGGTTTGTGAATATAACTGGGTGGCTTAAAACAAACTCAGGTGGCCCATTCATTTGGTCCATGCACACAAGCCTAAAGACGATATTTCACATGAAATTCATAAACTTTTCACTGTAACTAGTACTCCTTATCCTAATCACATTTATTTAGCTGCAGTTAAATAAATAAGCTGTTTTACTCATTCACTTTTTATATGTTTATGTCTATATATGTGTGTCTATATATATTTTATTACATATATTATAATATTAATATTAACAACAACAACAACAATAACAACAATAATAATAATAATAATAATAATAATAATAAATGTAATTATTATATATTCTCTATTACAAAACATTTCTCTTTTCATGTGCTTATGGCTGAGCTCTTTTTAGTATTTTTAAACTCTATCCATTGCTCCTGCTTTTAACTGTTTTTTAATGTTTTTTTTTTTTTTTTTAATTGTTTTGTTTTTATGTAAAGCACATTGAGTTGCATTTGTATGAAATGGGTTATATAAATAAGGATGCCTTGCCTTGCCTATTATTACTAACTTTTTAATTTATTTTATTGACATATATTTTACTTGACAACTCAGATATTTATGGTTCTTTATCTAATAAGTCTATTTATTTATTGTAATTATTTATGTATTTATTTTTATCTATTCATACATTAATTTATTCACTTATATATTTTCTGTTATTCACTTTTTCTCTTCCTTTATCATCTTTTTATTTGTCTTTACTTGTGTTTGTCTTTTTTTTACTTTTAACCATACAAGTCCATCTGCTGGGGCTGGGTGCCGGAGGGATGGGGGTGGGGGGGTGGTATCTTTTCTGGAGGTATGTTGAATTTTTCTGTTATCTGTAATTAGAACACTATCGTTTTTTCTAAAACCTAAAATTTCAAGAAACAGACTGTTAAAAATAAATAAATAAATAAACTGCAGCTAGTTTGCTCAGATACATATTTCTAGAACTTATAAAACCTGTTAGATTTGTAGCTGTTGGACCTCTGCAGTGATATTTTCCTTGCCTTGCAGTATCGACTGGTGTTTTATTTTGACCTTTGCTAAAATTGTAGCCTTTAATGAATACCACAACATAAAGATCACTGCTTCCTCTGAGCTTTGGCAGCTTTAGGAACAGAAAGCAGAGTCGTGTTTTTCAGTCCTGGAGGAAATGAGCAGAGCGCTTAATGTGGTGTGTGATCAGCTGCAGCTCATGCCTCATTTAGCACAAACATCACTCTGCTCTCCTCTGGACGCCGGTGGCAGCTTTCGCCTTGAGTCAGAATGAAGCGTCAATATCAATCAAACGACCGAGGGAACCTCATCATCATACTTGGACACTTGGAGCTATTTTTAATTGCTCAAACAGGGATCTGAAGAGTCAATACTATAGATCGACAAGTCCACGTTTCAAAGCATGTTTGTTGAGTTAATCGTCTTTTTTTCTGTTTCCTTTGGTTTTCAGTCTCAGAAGGATCCAATGCTGGTGGAGAAAATCATGAATGACCTGGACTCGAACAAAGACAACGAGGTGGATTTCAATGAGTTTGTCGTGTTGGTGGCTGCCCTCACTGTCGCCTGCAACGACTTCTTCCAAGAGCAGAAAAAGAAAACCAAGTAGATGTCTAAACCGACTGTAAACTAACCCAACTGTTTCAAAACACGACAAATTCTCATTACACTTAAAGCAATAAATGTCCCACCTGTTAAATTTTTGGGGTTTTTTTTTTCATTTGTAGGAAAGTAGAAAGTATAGAAGCTAAAGATCGTCCTAACCCTGACTCTAAGTAAATCTGGTTAATAGTTAGACCAATTTTGTGCTGTGTAACTCATTGTTTTATGATTGTACACTTTAAGAGGAAGCATTTTTCTCTTGTCAGTTTTCATTTTAGTCTCTGATTGAAATGGGGGAGCTGTTTTCCATGTTGATTCAAAGCTACAACAATGGAAAACTGTGAAAGATCACAGAAAATGAGCCATTTGCTTATTTTTATGTCAAGAAAAACTTACCAAGTTAAAAGACTGTTTATAATTTAGGGTGTCTCAGCCCTAAACACAAATCTGTTTTGAAAATGTTGGAATTTCAGCGTTCCACTCCGGCTAAGGTTTGAAAAACGTGATGTGATGTAAAAAGTAAATGAAGTAACTGGAAATAAACATTCAATTTTCTGGAAAACTATACTGAATGACCTTCAATTGCTTTAATAATCAGTTGTATTTCTGTTTTAAAATATGACGAGGATTGCAAGTGTTGGGAAACTTTTCATGTCTGAATAGCATTTCTTAATTCCTACAACTTTGAAAGTCAAAAAAAAATTTTTTTAAGCTCTTCTTTTGTTTTTTTTTCCTGTTTTTGTAGTAAAAAGTTTGTTTCCCCGGCAAACCAGTCGAGCTGCTATCTCATCAAGCTAGCTCTTGGTGTCGCTATTTTATGTCTACAAGGTAAAAAAAATTAAAAAAAAAACGAAGAGAAAAAAGATTTATATCCAAAATACCTGGTTAAATAAGGGTTAAATTAAAAAAGAAGAGTGAATCAATCCTGTCTTCATTGAAGGCCAGTGTTTTGAATGATTTTGAACCATAGACTGTATATAGAATGGACGCCGTCTGCCTCCTCGCTGAGTGAAGCCACTCCAAGAACAGCACCCTCTGGTGACAGGCTGCAGTATAGGCCATAAATCCCTCCTCCGCCAGCAATCCCTATGAAGCTGCGGACAAACTTTGGAAATTAATTACACAGAATATACATTTTTCTCCCCTCTGCTTGTGATGTTGACATGTAGTTACTGTAAGAATGGTTTGTGCTCAAGTCCTTTTTTTTCTGTGCAGCTCCGTTTTTAAAAGTTATTAGGGGGTTCATGTTTTCTATGACTGACACATGACATAGCCTATTGGCAACGAAGATTGTGTAGCTCAGGGGGATACCCTGTTTGAGCCGAGAGTCATCACAGTGACTCTCCCGCCAAATGCGTACAACGCTACTGCCCTATGTTGGTTTCAGAAAGTGGAGAAAAAAAACTGAGAAATTCTTGGAAAATACCGAGAGCTTTGTGGCTTCAAATCTGTATACTGGCGGAAGGCGAAACCAGTTTGTCCACAGTATATACAGTCTATGGTTTCATACAGTATATACACATGTAATACCAGGAATGTGTATAAACTTAACAGACTTTAATTTTGAGAGGATCAAAAAAGGCGTCTTTTCTCCTCTTGCTTTTCTTGTAAAATTTGCCAAACATGCCTGAGAATTAAAAGCCATCAGATCCAAACCAAGAACTGTGAAAAGGGTTGGTTGATTATTTTCTTTGTAAAATCCAAAGATGTGTATGAAATGTTGTGGTGTGAAGCATTAAGAAGCTGGAAATATGAATTCTCTCTGGAGTTGTGTTCAAGTACAGCTCAAGTGTACTCGGTTGCACTCTCATGCGAGTGGTTTCTCGCTTAGCATCAATTTACTGGAAGTCTTAGGTGGTGAAAGGGCTGTGCTTTCTGGATGTGACAAGTCTGGATGACGCGCGGCGATCCCAACACACAGAGACCACCTGGGTCCAGCAGCATCAGCCAGTAACACGGACACGTCTTCCCCTCAGGCAGACATACTGATCCTCTCACCTTGGAGAGGACAAGAGTGAAGACTTGAGCTTCATCTTCCGAGGATTTCCTCTCACTGCCCCACTTCCCGAAACACTCAGCAGACGCTTAATTTGGGATGACATTCTCAGATGTGACGTGGAGGAAAATTACTGAAGCAAAATTCGATGGCAAGTGTGATGCTTTTCTGCACACAGATGGTGCTCGCACAAACCCTCGTGGGTACAATGCAATTTTAGCTTGATTGGCTGTAATCGTGCTGGATAATCACTGTCTCCCTCGGGACGATGCCAAGCAGCTATTATGCGTTTGGTTCAGTTTTCAAAAGGTTGCAATCAATCAGAAATATAATGTGATCATTTCAGGGTGTGGATACTCACTCCACACGAGTAAATGCATGTTTGAATTGAGCGATTGTTGATTCATTTCCTGTTAAAAAAAGGGACTTTGTCTGCATGTTGTGAGGTTTGAGTCATCCGTTAATAGTTTCCTGTTTTTATGCTGTTATGAAGTCAGTAGAGGTCCTGTCGAATAAAGAGCTACCTTTAGACCAAAATGAATACAACTGAAAAACAATGGTAACTCTTTTTTGTGATAGTACAAAAAAATCACTGTTTAGTACATTGTACAGTTTTGAAGACAGGGTTCCTGCAATTTTTTTGCTGTAGTAAAGGAGGCCAAGGGGGATCGACTCATCAGGGCTCCCCCACAAAGAAGCGGCTGCTGGAAGAGAGTAGGTGAGTTGTGTTTAGTCTCTTTGCCAAAGAAATCAGGCAAAGCTAAAAAGATGTTTGGTGGCTAGTGCTGTGGCTGGGACCCTATATGTACTGTTGATGAAGTTAGATGCTGTTCTGAGCATTATTTGTGGCTATAGAGTGGCGTTTTGGTTGAGGTTTGTTTATGGCTCCTCAGACCACTGTGTATTGCTATCTGCAGTTGTTACTAAAATTGGTCTAACTAGAGAAACAAGCGGTCGGCAATATTCATCTCTGAAGGGGGTGTCTAACTCGGTGTTACGGTGTGTTTGAACCTAAATTAATTTTATGCCGGAAAATCCCTTTAATAGAGAGTCTAAGGAACATGTGAGCACCTTTTACCCTGTTGTATCAAGTAGCAACAGGTGCTCACTGTCCATCAAATATACACCACTTGCTATGAGGACATGCTGTAATTCTCTTTGTGAAGCAGTGAGTTGGCATTTATATATCTACATTAATTAATTTCAATTAACTTTAGCTGTTGACTCTAATGAAAGAAAGCTATTTGCTTGCTTGCCACATAAAATGTCAGTGTTTCATAAACAGTACTAAAGCCAGACCTCTCTACTCCACATCCAAGAATGATTCTGCAGAAGTACACGCCTTAGTCCAGAGGACAGCAGGGACGGACTGATTATCAGCCTTGGTCGACTATCAAGCTGAGATTTAGTATTTCGTTGATTATCTGTATCAGCTAATTGTTTTCAAGTTGGATAATTAAATTTGCTAATTATTGTTATATCCTTATTATTTCATCTCTTTTATGTGGATGTTTTTATGTGACAATACAACAATTATGCTGATTGTGATGTTTAATAACTGTCTGACTAGAAAAAAAATTATCAGCACTAATTAAACAAACACACACACACACACACACACACACACACACACATCGTCTCTAAATAAAGCCAACTTAATCCCCTCACAGCTGTGTAACCTTTCTTCACTGTCCACAAGGTCCACATCACTTTACATTTTCACTCAATTCTCGACTCATCACCATCATCATCTGAGACTTTAATTAATCCAAGAGATTGCTGAAACCATTTCACACACAAACACACACATACAGGTCACTCCTAATGAGGAGTTACGACACAGACAGTGACGCACAGAGTGACGAAACAAGGAAACGGACAGCATGTGGGAGAAAAGAGCTGGAGGCATTTTCCAAATACATTCATCACAGTATGCAGTTACATTTTAGGGGGGATGACCCTCAGAGTGAAGAGAAGCTGTCCCGAAATAAGAAACAAACATAAAAACACAAATTGAGTTTTCACTCTCGCTTCCACAAATCCTGACTTTGTCCCTCCTGACACCAATATGACGCCATTTTGGTGCAACGGGCACCAGCATGTCATGGTAGGGATGAAATTTTGACACTGAAAAAATCCCTAAAGGTGAACAAACCCGTGGAGCAGCAACACTGACGTCACTCTGCTTCTGCTGACCAAAACTTACATTAAACTCACAGGTAAAACGTCAAAGATTCCTCAGGTCAGTACCTTGAACAGCAGAAGACTCTTGGTTGATTTAAAGCAGAGACTCATGATTTTTAAAGTGCAGTGACTCTTGTGCTTGTGTTTTTTCCCTTCTTGAAAAGTTAATTTTGACAAGAACGTATTTAATTCTAGTCTTAGCAAAACAACCTACAAGTGCGACACATTCATGGAAACTTCTGCAACAGAGATGAGGAGAACTTCCATTGTAGAAAGAATGCCACGAGTGTGTTCAGCTGTTATATTTGCCAAAGGCGGCTACTTTGATGAGTCAAAAGTTCAGAATCCATTTTAAATCCATCCATTCTAAATTTATTCTATGATTTCTTTCTTAACTTCAGTTGTTTATTTGTTCTGTGCATTAAAGGTGGGGTAGGCAGGATTCTGTTAAAGAAGCATCTTTTTTTGTGGTGTATGTACAAAAAGGTTTTTAATATCAGTCAATAGCTATTAGTTATTGATTACATTTGGGAATATTACGATATCGCTGTGTTGTGTTATGCCTGTGTAGTCAACATTTTAACATTTTTGAGCGCTCTGCTCTTTCTGACTGTAAACAAAGCCGTTCTGCACCTCCACAGCCTGATTGATTGTGACGCTGCTCCCTTGTGTTGCAAGGCATGCTTGACAAATAATGTTCAGGAGTCCAAAAAAAGTTAGCGTGCTACAGTATCGGACAGTAGAAACTAACCAGAGAGTACAGAAAATTGTCTGAATCCTCCTTTGGCCACGACTGCCAACACAAGCAAGAAAATGAGGTAAATACCGGAGACTCTGGCAGAATAACGGACGCTTAAACGGAGGAAGACCAGACAAGAGCTAAAAAGCCAGGTCAACAATGATGGAGGATGCTTTGGAATCTTATGAACTCTGTAACCTTTCTGTTGGACAGGCAAACCGCTTTAACTAAGTAAGCCAAGTATCTCTAACAGAAGTGTTTCTTGTCAAACGGGACCTGCTGCCTGTTGTAGCGCCGATAAACTGTTTACCTCAGGTCCTGGAGTATGTCACTTTATCATAGCTGTAGAAGTCCTGCAAAAATTGTGTTTGCTGGTAGTCTGTTGGCATCTACAGTAGCACCAATACTTTTTACTTTCATGTTGACTGGGCCCCATTTGTAATTATCTGAAGTATTTATCTGCATTATACCTGAATTTAATTGAAATGATACGAGCGAGCAGGAGCGTCTGTTTGTGGGCGGGGCTTGCTGGAGCAGAGAGGGAGGGGAGAGGAGGAGCTGAGGGGGAAACTGGTTGGGAGGGGTAGAGTTCACATTCAAGATTTCTCCCAAAAACTGGCACTTCCTCAGATCCTGCCTACCCCACCTTTAATTTCAGAGAACATTGAGACATTAAACTACATCATTTTCAAAAAAAATTCTTGAAAAGTTGGGCAGCTCTAAAACTTTTTACCAGCAGTGTAGGTAAATGCTGACTGACTGCTTCACAAAGAGAATTACAGCATGTGACAGTGAGCAGCTGTTGCTACTCGATGCAACAGGGTATATGGTGCTCACATGCTGCTTTGACTCCCTGTTAATGTAGGATCTTGAATATGTGTTTTTTTTGTTTTGTTTTTTTTCAGATAAACACAAACAATCAAACGTAAATGAGGATTTCACAGGTAATGGAAAAAAGGACAATCAGATCTCAGGGTTTCCTCAAAGCTCGTGAGAACAGCTGTGTGATCATGAGAGGACATTTAAGAGAGCTTTCACGCCCGTGTGAAACATCATTATAAGTGAGAGCACCTTTAGTGGAGCTGAGCAACAGATGGATGATAGTCCTGATTTCAAGCACAGCATGTGAGGATCCAGATTTTCCACAGCAGCTTTTTTTATTCTGGAAAACGGAGTAGTCACCGCTGCGGGGAGGTGAGGATGACACAGAGGTGAAAACTGTCATCCTGAAGTCCAATCAGCCTCCCACACACGAGGAAAGAGAGGTTCTGGCAGGCTTTGCTTTAGGGTGTCCCCTTTGATTGTCTCTATGTATTTTCATGTCTTTCTAACTCAAATTTCAACACAAGGTGAAAATCTTGACTCTATGATGGTCTGATCCAGACTCTGGAGCTACAGCCTCGACCATGACTCAGTAAAACCAAGACCTCTGAAATGATTCAGCAGATCATTGCAATAATTTATCCCATAAAAGTCACAGAAAACATCCCGCGGTATCACAGTGCAAGGTTTTAGAGTCACAACACTAAAAATACTGAGTGTCTGTATTCCCTCTGAGTCCCTGCTGAGTGACTGACAAAGTATTGATAATTTTGCTTCTCTGAAAGGCCAGATTTAAATGTCAAGCTTGATTTTATGCAATCCGTTTAGTAGCAGAGGAGTTCAATCCAAGTGCCATCATCACAATCAATCAGTGTGAGTCTGATCAGGACACGTTTTCTCTGAACTTTTCAACTTTGTCACGATATAAAAGAGCACGCGCTGATTAAAAACAGACCGACTGAAAGCTGACATGTCCTACTGTATAAATACACACATGAAGTCTATAGAACATCATCTAAAGAGCAGTTTTTCTGCTCGTTCAGTTCATGAGGAAAATGGTCATTAGGTTTTTTTAGATATGCGTGAGCTCTGGGCGAATTTATCAATGTTGTCTTTGAGGGTAAGTTGTATAAAACCTTTGTCTATCACTTGATCCCACCAGATGGTAGATTCACACAAATTAAGCGACTAGATGATGATTTTGCTTGCACTTATTGTGAGCACCCCGTTAGGGAGTTCTTGTTTTCTATGATTGACACTTGATACAGCCTATGGGCACAACAAGATTGCATAGCTCACACGAGGGATACGCTGTTTGAGCCGAGCGTCATCACAGAGACTACGTACAATGCTGCTGCGCAAGAGGTGGTTCGCGGAAGTGGATAAAATCCCGGAAATACTGAGACCAATAATAATGACGGAAGGCGGAGCCAAGTTGTCCATCGTACATACAGTCTATGCAAACAACAAAGCTGAACCCACAATTTCAATCTAAATCTCTCTGTGATATTCATACTGGAGTTAGAGCGAGGCCACCAGCAGGACTTATTACTATTACATGTCCATGTGTGAACACCAGAACACAGAGAGAGAGAGAGAGAGAGAGAGAGAGAGAGAGAGTTTTCTGCGATAAAGACACGGGTCATCATCATCACACGGTCGTCCATCACCAGCTGCAGTTCCAGGTGTCTGTCATTGATAATACACCTGCAGGCCTTTAATCACTGATCGCCTCATTGGTTTGTTCCATTCAGGCCGTAATTTCAGAGATATCTCCTGCTGTTCCCGTGGAGTGACACTGAAGCACTCACAGTGTGACGTTATACCATGTGAGAAAAGACTGTGAAATGGCATAGGAAATTTATAGTGATATAAGAAGAACTTTATTTATATATTTATCCTCAAAGGGAAATGCAATATAATGTTATGGTATAATAGTTAAAGTTTGTACCTTCTTCACTTGGTAGCTGGAAACAAACGAAGGAAATCTCAGGCTGGTGGAAACACTCTCTGTCTTTGCTTTTGGTGTTTTAATGTGACATCGTCAATCACTGATCAAAACAGTCATGATCTACAAAAGATTAGAGTAGGAATTAAATAATAAACTTCTCTGATTTGAGGCTGTCAAATTGCAGATGACCCTCAAATTCCATTTTTGATATTCTGTGTCTTCAGTTCACATTTGTCCAGATCTGGTGTTCACATCCTAAGACACCCGTCATAGTCTTAGTAGCATGACATCAAGGTGTCGCCCTCAAACCTGACTTTATAGAACAGGACACAGAGGAGATGTGGGTGGAGTATCTGTAGTGTGGATCAGTTAGGCTGCACGATGAATCAGTTTTAAATCGTAATCGGATTATTTGATTATGACGATGTAAAAAAATTAAGATAATCAAAATCGATTTTCCTCTCTATTATTTCCGCGTAGGCTCCCCCTTCCTTCTACATGGTGTTTGCAAAAGACAGCAATAATTTCATGGCTAGATTGGACAAGAGCAAGCCAGTCCTGTGGAATTGGTACGGCTTCACTGTTTCGGACATAGAGCAAACCACTGCCTGTTGCAAAGTCTGTCTGAACTCGTCCTCCCGGAAACAAAATCAGGAGTAAACGCATCATCCACATGGAAACGGCGTTTCAGGTGACTGTAAACGGTACTACATCATTTTTAGTGTTTTTTATTTTTAGAGATGATGGAAAACCTTTTGTTAAAGTGACGTTTGGTGAAGTCGTCACTGAATAAAAAAATTGAGGTTGAAAATTTGAGTTTCCGGAGAAAAATTGAGATTTTTATTTTTGGCCCAAATCGTGCAGCCCTAGGATCAGCAGTTTTTTAATTGTTGTCTTGGTGTAAAGATCCAGAAGGACCCTCTGTTGAACCTGTTCGCACTTCCTTGTGCTTTGAAGTATTCTAATGCCCCATGAGATAACGAGGAGCATGAGTAATTAACTTCTGGATAAATGCTAACTCTATCTTTGTAGAGAAAATCATTGCATTCCTGCTGTGCGAATGTAGCCGTCGGGTCTCAGGGTAAAAAGAAGAGCAAAATCAGGCGTAAGTGCGTTGTCATGCAGTATAATTTTATTACAAAAAGGTAGTATACAAATTCAACTGCATAATGGCAATGAACACGTGTGTTTGTACAGTTTGTAGTGAACGCCAAACAGATAGCCTTCTTTGTCGTCTGTGGAAATAACTCAGTACATCGTATCATCCAGCAAATTAAACAGCAGGTTGAACATTCATTTTAGCACCATTCCTCTGCAAGACTGTGGACCACAGACCCATAAATAAATAAATTAAAAAAAAAACATTAGCATAAACAATGACAGCAGCTCCACCAAACACAAAGGACACTTCATTGAGCTTTATTAGGCAACAAACAATGAGTCAAAGTGATGAAAGAAATAAACATTCAGACCAATAAATGAAAGTTTTAGAGTCTGTAACATCATAATTTCACTGTGACTGTACATAGATGATCTTTTCTGTCTTTGGATTGAGACATTTCTGTCTATCCTGATGGACTGACCAGGTGATCTTGTGTTTTCAGCAAAATAACTCTGTAATTAAATAATACGTTTGTCACTTTATGGTCTTGTTTGGATCAGTTATTGAAACAGAAATCTTCCACATTGTTGAGTTTGATGGTCTGCAGCTCCTGGCTGTCCAGCAGCCTGTAGCTGAAAGACACTCGGCTGACAAACCTCCCGCTGGATACCATCCTCACCACAGTGTTATCACAGCCGATCTTCATGTGGGCTGCAGGGGACAGGGGAGGAAACATTGGAACGTTGTAGGTGAATAACAGATGAATAAGAGGAGATAGGAGGAGAGTCAGTACTCACTGGGTCCAGTGAAGGAGATGCAGAGGTCTGTGATGGGCAGCAGCTTTGACGTGTCAATGCCATTTCCTCCCAGCAGCTGCACAAAGTCTCCTGATTCTGCACATCCAGGCATGGACCTCTGCAGAAATCAACAGATTTATAACATTAGTCAGAAAGTCAGGCGCATAAACCTTTAGGCATAACTCTTTAAGGACTTCAAATGACAATATTTGCTTAAAGTAAAAATTTAAGGCGCTAAACATTTAGATCAAGGGTAGACCGATTATCAGTTCTGGCTGATTATTGGAGCTGATATTTGTGATAGTGGTATGTTCCTGATAAAACTGATGAACTAAAAAGTGTGCTGCTGTGGCTCTGCTGGGTGTCCGTTTTCTTACAGCACTATCTCACCTAAGGTCCTGCCCACAACATCACCTGATTGGCAGTATTACTTTAATTCTATGTCACTGTAAGGGGTTTGAATGTTTTAGCTTTGGTTCAAATTCATAATATTCAATTCTTTATAATTCTTAATTTTAACAGTAAGTTTTTGTTTTTCCTGTCAATGCATATCCATACCAAATATCAGTATTTATCTCACAAACTACTAAAATTCAGTATCGATCCAACACCTGCCTCAGTTAGAAACAAAGAGCCAAAGCTTTTCATAAAAGTTAATCTCCAGATGTGTTTGAAACTGCTTTCTTTCTGGACACTTTCCCCATGGCGTCAGATATACCACTCTTTAATTTGAAAATGAGGTGGATTTGTTCGGTTGCAACAGTGCACAGAGCTTTGGCCTTTTTATACAGAAGTCTAACAGCCTTTTGGTAAACAGTCAAAATGTCAGCTTCCAGCTCCCACCACAAGGAGGTCTGTTGAATCCATATTGTGGCTGTTTAAACAAGAACAAACTATGAATCAATCTGATTGGTTGTTGGTCTGCCCAGTCGCTTCCACATGTGGCCTTAAAAAAGTAAAATAAACACAGACACATTCACTAAGATGAACTAGTCCATCAAAGTCCTCATTTACAACATAGGATTTTGGGGTGGCCAATCAGTCTACAAAGGGGGCCACCTCTGGATACACCCCTGCATGTAAACTGAAAGTACTCCTGCTAATCTAGTCCAGATCTAAATCTCAATAAGGTTTTCCTGGTTAAATTTAGGTAAATTGTGAAATGACGGGTGTTAAAATCAAGTTGCAGCGGGCCTCTACCTTTCTGTCAGGACTTTCTTTTCACCAAGATAGAATTTCTTTAATACATGAAATTAATAATAATAATACATTTTATTTAAAAGCGCCTTTCTGAACACTTAAGGACACTGTACAAGGCATAAAAACACAGTTAGAAACATGGTTAAAATAAATAAAAACAACATACAAGTGTGAAAGTGGACAGTTAAAGTGAATATGCAATTTGGAATAGGTGTGTTTTGAGTTTGGAGTACACTTGTTTCATTTCAGTCCAAAACCTCAGTATTTGTCACTTGTCTTAAGTCTAATTTTCACCTAATCTCACTGCCTTTACATGTTTCAACCAGTGAAATATTCTACCATCTGTCTAGCCTGAACTTACCCGTTTAAGTCTAACATCTTAACAAGTGCGACCTCCTGCCCTCTGAGTCCTCACAAGGTCAAAAACCTGAGGCACATTCAGGATCAAAACTCAAAGTAGCTTCATGTCCATCAGAAGGTAGATCCAGCCGCCACACTGTGTTCATGACCTCTGATGTTGCTCTCATCTAAATCTTTCCTGTAATTTATCTCCAAATGTATCTCCGTTCAGGCAGCAGAAACCAGCTGTTCACGAATGTCATCTGCCTTCCAACTGATGTTAAATTTGTAAGTTAACAGCTGTTTTTTAAACACCCTGCAGGAACAGATCACCTTTCAATATATGTCACCTATCTGACCATCTAATAAACAACAACCATCATCTTTCCTCCTGTTTTCATCTCTGCTGATTCTGATCGTTTTGAAGTTACACTGAGACACAACAAGAAAGTGAAAAAATGCACAAATTTAGAAATTCAGATAGTCATATTTACTTAAAGCTGGTGTGATGAGACAAAGAATAGTGAGGTAAAATATGACGGTGAAAAGAGGAGGAAGATGTCTGTGTGTTTTCTCACCTTTGGAAAGTTGTGTGTGTGTCCCAGGCTGAACTCGGAGATGTCGATCTCCACTGGGTATATGATGGAGAAACTGCAGTTCCTGTGCTGCTGTGGGATCACCATTGTGTAACTGCCCTCTGGTGACTGGGAGATGACATTACAGGCTGCAAGAAGGAGAAGAAACAGTGAGAGGAGCGTGAAGCAGGTAAAAACACACAAAAGAGCAAAAGAGCAGTAATTATCAAATACTGCATTTGGACACAGCATGATAGCCAACTGTTGCTGGACCAACCAAACCCCCTACCAGGCTGCTGGACTCCCCCATAAACAGATCTCTGAATGGCACTCACGGAAAGGGTTGATGTGTTTCCTCACAGTCAGGGTGAAGCTGCTGCCCGCGTTGTGAATGCGAAAGAAAACCATGGCCACGTTCTGAGATGATCGCACGCTTCTCCTCAACGATCCTGAGTCGCAGTAATCCACATAACGCTCGAACACGGGCAGAGGATGATCCTGAGAGCTTGGGAACTTCTCTCCCTTCATCACCCAGCCGTCAAACACCTGCATCAGATGGGAAACGAGAAGCAGAGAGGAGGACCTTAGGTTTGTGGGAAACAGTCTTAAGATGCATGAAAACATGAGAGGGGCTTTAAAGGAAAGGTCACTCCTAGTAAGTAGGTTATAACCTTCAACTGCTCTACGTCAAAGGAGCTTTCTGTCTAATCTGGAAGTCATTAGAGCTCGGTCAAACAGGTGAACTGACCCCAGATTGGTGTCATACAACCAAACTACAGTCACTTCTTCAAAAACAAGCAGAAAATTTCACATTTTGCTCCAACTTTCAATCCCAGTGATGACCAAACATTTCACACATCTGAAACTGTTTCTGTGCAAGATTTTACAGGCAGTTTACATTTTAGCTCCACTTCCAGGAACTGTGCACGGGAAGTCACATTAACACGTTAATTTGTCAGTTCACCGTGATGAAGTCTCCTCCGCTGCAGTCGATGTCGACATTGTCATAATCCACACTGATCACTTCGTTGGGCTCTGCCATGAAGAAAGCAGCACAGCTGAGCTGAGGACGCTCGGCTGTGAAGGTGAACTGTCCCTCCACTGCAACCATGTCCAGACAACCTGAGGGGACAATCACGCAACATGTTGAATAAATCTGCATTTTGAGTGGACAGAAGAGCATGCACAATTTATATTCTGATGGTGTTGTGCAATCAAATTTGCAATCAACATTTTTGCCCCCTTTTTTTGAATAATTGCTGCACATTTTCCCTCCTTTTTTGCAACTATTCACATGTTTAAGCAAGACCAAAGTGAAGCCAGAAGACTGATCACTGCATCACAATGAATTTATCGTTCACATCCCTGTCTCATGTTACATTTAATCCCTTCACAATCACGGAATAACAATAAGTATATGCGCAAAAAAGGCATGCGTTGAACCTAATGAAGCATGTTTATTTTGCGCACATTTAGCCAGACTAATACACAATTATGCGCGCAAAGTAAGCTGCACAATATAAACTTTTCATGACTTACGTAAAGGTCGGCGGTACAGTAATTCTTCAGGTGTCTCTCTTTTGAGTTCCGGGTTGAAAAACGAATAAAGTTCATCTTTGGAGATCTCGTTGTTCTGCAGGAAAGGAAAACGGTTCATCAGGTAAAGACATCCAGGAGCAACAACTTTATACAAATACGTTTTGTTTTTTTTTTGTTTTTTTTTTGGTCTTACCTCTATGTATCTGGAGTCTCCTTTGAGAACAGACAAACACAGCACCAGAAAGAAGAGCTGCTCCCGGAATGTGCGCTCCATCATTACGCGCATCTCTGTCAGTAGGACGCACCTGAGCGAAGGAGAAGTCTGAGCAGCTCTGCGACCACCGAGGCTTTTTATAGGTACAAGTCCTGGAACAAATAACGGACACGGGTCCTGTCACCCACCGTGGACTCATACCCCCGCACTCCCCCACCCTCCCTCCCTCTCAAAGCCAATTACGCGTTTGTGACGAGAGCAAATGATGGACAGGCTGAAGAGAGAAGGCGCAGAAACGACAGAAATCAGATGTCACATAGGCTCAGATTTAGTCAGAGATGCTGGTTATTTAACTGTTTGTCCACGAGGAAAACTTGTGATATGAAAATGCAATAAAATAATCTGTGTGCAGGTAAAAACGACAGCCTGGTTAAATACAGAGGTGTGGCTAAAAAGTCCCATAAACTACAAAATATATAATGAAGTTTAGGCAGAATTTAATCTTAAACATACCCCAGATAAGAGTTCATATCAACCATCTAAGGAAGATCACGTGATGTGATTCAAGCGTCCTTAAAAGCTAGCCTGGCTAATATTTTGCTAATAAAGCTGGAAGTTTTCAACCTACTGCGTGAGAGTATTAAAGCTACTGCCATCTATTGGTTAGAAAACAGATTTTTCTAGTGTTTCAACGTTGTTAATAATCATTTAAAGGGATATTCCGGTGTAAAATTAATTTAGGGCCAAAACGGTCTACTTCTCCATGTACAAACCTCAACCAAAACGCCACTCTATAGCCACAAATAATGCTCAGAACAGCACCTAACTTCATCAACAGTACATATAGGGTCCTAGCCACAGTACTAGCCACCAAACATCTTGTCAGCTTTGCCTAATTTCTTTATCAAAGAGAGTAAACACAACTTACCCACTCTCTTCCAGCAGCCACTTGTTTGTAGCGGGACCTCAGGTAAGTCCACTACAGACTACAGCGGGGTGACGCAGCTTAAGGAAGAACATTTATGATCATTACTTCATGGAAATGCAATCAGACCGAGACGCTAAGGTAAAAGAACTACTGCGTCTGTAGTGCAAAATGATTAATATAGTGATTGTTACTTCAAGGAAATGATAAAGAAATGATCATAAATCTTCTTCCTTGAGCTGTGTCACCCCACTGTAGTTCGCAATGGACTGGCCTGAGGTTTTGCTACAAACAAGCGGCTGCTGGAAGAGAGTAGGTGAGTTGTGTTTAGTCTCTTTGATAAAGAAATTAGGCAAAGTGAAAAAGATGTTTGATGGCTAGTATTGTGGCTGGGACCCTATATGTACTGTTGATGAAGTTAGGTGCTGTTCTGAGCATTATTTGTGGCTATAGAGTGGCGTTTTGTTTGAGGTTTGTTCATGGCTCCTCAGACCGCTGTGTATTGCTATCGTGCGGTCGTTACTAAAGTTGGTATAACTAGAGAAGCAAGTGGTCAGCAACAATCATCTCTCGAGGGGGTGTCTTACTCGCGTCATGGTGTGTTTGACCCTAAATTTATCCCTTTAAGACTGAAAAAAGCATACAGGCTGTAAAGATCATGGCTGTGAAACACCTTAGCTGACTTTTAGCTAGGGGTCCAACTGAAACTAACAACCAGTTAGAGTGAGTTGAAGGTCTTTTTGGTTATAAACTGCCACCCCCTTTAAAAGGTACAATTCACAGAAAAGGAAATGTATAGAAATATCTGGAAGTCAGATTCTAGATAAAAACCCTCCCATGCTCACCCCTCACATGAAGCAACAGTGGCCTTCAGGGACAAAAAGCTCCAGTGATGCCTGATAATTATGACCCTCCATTCATCAAGTTTTTACAACCACAAACATCCATTTATACAAACCACTTTGCACATCATCACTCCCTTTTACGTCCTTGAGATGGAGCATTTGGCGCATCCACTCACTAAATCGTTTGTCCGTTCTGTGCCATGGTAGGAACAGGATGCAGCAGGTCAAACTTTAAGCCTTTTCTTATTTGTTCAACATGTGATAAAGTGTAAAAAAGAGTGAGTTAGATCTCAGACTCCCTTTAAGCACAGAGAAAACTGGGTCAAGGATAGACACTGACTTGTTGTTTATTAGGAGCAGAATAGAACAGCCATATGTGCGTAACTATACGGTCAAAGGATCTTAATTATGTTGGTTGGTCTTGAAAATTGAAAATGTATAATGGAAAATGTAAATGTGATTGATTTTATCTACGTCATAAAGATTTCCTGTTTACTAAAGGAGTCCTCCAACAGTCGGGGTTTTAATTCATTCACTGCTGCTGCTAATGGATTGGACACAGCAAATTTAGCAGAGGTCAAGGTGGAATAGAGTTCCATTAACTTCATATGAGCCAAACTTACCTCCCATATGCAGTGAAAGGTAAGAGCATTTACTGTGCCGTATAAGAGGCTGCTTTTTTAAGATTAGATTTGCGTTCACAGTTTTGTCTTTATAGGACGATTATTGAATGTGAGTCTGTAGCTGTTTGACTGTCCGATAGTAAAACTGTTCACGCCATAACAACAGGTCCCCTGTGGAACAACCTGCTGTGACTTACACTGCCTCCCCTTCACATTCAATAAGCTGCTTTAACGCCTTCCTTTGGTGACACAGCTCAAACAGACCCCGGGGCCTTCAGCGCTGGAGTCCAGCTCATTTTACAGGAGGTGAGAAAACTCTAATACCAGACATGTTTTTTTAAGGATGTTCCACTGATTTTTGTACAGAAGAGGTAACAACAACTGCCTTGTGAAATATTTGTATTATAATAACAAAGCCCAGTTTATGCAGGTTGGTATAGCATTGTACTTTCAGTCTGTAGTATAGTTAGTTGTGCTAAATGTAAAGGTAAACACTGAAATACCTCTTGTTATGCTGAAGAAGAGATATTTCCAGATATCTAGTCAGTATGTTTAACTCTAAAACAGGAAAATAAAGACTTCACTGTTGTGCAGGTTGTAATTAAATTCACTCTACATTAAGAGTCAAGGACACTGTGAACACGTCCACCTGTCTGAGCGCTGTCCCTGTGGTCTGCAGGTGCCTCGGGCTGCTGGAGAGGTCACTCAGTTCAGATGCAGAAATTGGATGACGGTGTTATTCTCACTAGTGGTGGGGAGTCGTACAAGACAACATGTTCGTGTGTCACAGTAAGCTTTCTATCAACTCAGATTTCAAAAATAGAAAAATGCATTAAGTGCGCTTTATTTTTGGCTCTAAATACCTGCATGCAGACATCTCATTTTAAATGCCCCTTAAGTGATGTTCGTATTTGACTTCTGGTCATATTTGCAGAGATGGATGTCGCTCTTCACTTCAGCCCTGAGAGGTTTATTTTATCCCATCTTCACTAAGCTCCGAGTTTCTCTGAAAGTTATGTGAGGAGTCTCTGATATAATAAAATCCACTTCAGCAAATGAGTAGTTAAAAATACGCAGGGGGAAGTGTTCGCATCATCACGAGCTGCAGCACCACTTATGGTCAGCTGGACTCTGAATTTGGAAGCTGCAGATGATGGTACAAATTTATCCTTTTTATCCCCTCAGTGAATTTTATTCAGGGAAATTTATCTGAAAATAGCAGACACACTTTTTATAATTCAAGCCAGAGATGACGCTGATGTGGGAGTGCTAAAAACTGCAGTTCCTAGAGTGTCCACTTGAGGCAGGCTGCAGACGCACTGAAACCATGGATGCACTGATTCAGTGTCAGAGCAAAAACCAAACACAGTTTAAAAGCCTGGTCCAAAAATTTAATGATATTGGGGTTTTGGGATCGGCAAATCAAAAGCGCGGCTGACGTTATTGACAGGTTAGCTTTTTGTGAAGTGGCTTAAGACCCACTTTTTAGGTTTATTCAAGTTAACCTAAAGTTAGGCTATATATAAGTGTAAAGGCTCATTTATGCTCGCCATACGTATAAAAATGTAAGCATCTGTTTCAAATGATGGTACCATCACTGCCCTCGTACTTTTGTTTCTGACAACAACAAACAAAAAGAAACATGGTGACTGTGGAGGAGCTAGTGATAATGTATATTCTTTTTGTTGCATAGGAGACAGAAACGGAGGCAGCTTTGGAGGAGGTGGTCGGGCCAATAAATTTTTCACAGTTGGAGGTCGGAGAATTCTTTTCTCTAGTCGTACCGATGAGAGAAATTGTTGACGATTGTCCTTTTCAGTACTTCAGGATGTCCACCGGGGCATTGGACAACTTGCTTCTCTGGGTGGCCCCCCACATCCAGCACCACAAGTCACACAGCACACAGCAGCAACACTGCCCCCCCTGGTTTCCAGTGGTACTGCTCCGTCTGGCCCGAATCTGGAAACGTCAAGGATACGTACAGAAATACAGACGAAAAGAACACGAAGCACAGACATAGAGCTCCGTCCGTATCCAGATCCATATGTAACATTGAGCATAAATGAGCCTTAAGATGTAAGGCCTTTGCACTTATTTGATTGTCTCAGCCACATATTTTGTTATTCTTCATGTTTTATTGTTTTCATGTGACTTGTCATGTATGAAATAAAGCCTGAAGTTTAAGATAAGTTATTTTTCTGACATCTGAACAGAAATCCAATAACCTTTTTCTCATCTCACAGCTGCAGATGGAGTCAGAGATTGCTCTTGCCTCGGCACGTCTAACACGTCAGCGGGTGGAAGTGACGCCATTCAGAGCTTTGCGCTAAACTCAGAGCGATATGATCGAAACCCCGAACCTGTGCGCTCCCCTCACACCCCTGCACCCTCCTGCACAAGTCTGAGCATCAAAGTGTATCAACAAGACTCCATCTCTGAGATAAGAAATGCAATTTTCCTCTTATTGAAACACCTGAGGAATTGAAATTCTACATTTAAGTTTTTATTAACATTCAATTTCAGCTGAGTGTGAGGGCTGTTTATCAGTGTCAGCAGGAGAGTCTGACAAATCACAGCAGCTCAGTCAACAGAGCGGGACAGGCAGAATTTATACCAACATATGTTTGTGGTGGTTTCGTCTCCAGATGTCTTTTGGTTTTGATTTTGAATAAACACTAAACAGATTTTTCTAAGTTATAAAACAAAAATTTTCTCCCTGTGATAACATTTGCTTGCAGTTTTGGCATTTAACATCTAATATGAAAGTCTTTTTTTATAAAGTTTGAGAAAATTACACGACCGAGAGCAACTTTCGCTGGTGAGATAACTCAATTCCGTTCAAAATATGAGATCCCGCAGCATCTACTTTTCACTTATGTCTACAATCGAGGAGTAAAGGTACAGGTTTTGTTACAGAACCATAGTATGGTGCACATGAATGCTGAACAAAAGGTACATGAAATTTAGTTCCCCCTGTGTCTGACGCTTCAAAATACTTCACAAATGTGAGCTGTCACAGAATTTTTGCATCACTTTTCATACCTGCTCGTACCATAGACTGTATATTGAATGGACGCCGTCTGCCTCCTCGCTGGGTGAAGCCACCACGAGAACAGCACCCTCTGGTGACGGGCTGCAGTACAAGTCATAAATCCCGCCTCCTCCAGCAATCCCTATGGAGCTGTGGACAAACTTTAGAATTTTATTTCACAGAATATAAATTTTTCTCCCCCCCTGGTTGTGATGTTGACATGTAGTTACTGTAAAACTGGTTTGTGCTCAAGTCCTCTTTTTTCTGTACAGCTCCATTTTTTAAAGTTATTAGGAGGTTCCTGTTTTATATGGTTGACACTTGATACAGCCTATAGGCGTACAAAGACTACGTAGCTCACCCAGGGGATACACTGTTTGAGCCAAGCGTCATCACAGCGACTCTCAGCGACTCTCCAGGTGAATACGTACAATTCTGCCTCAAATTTGTTTAACGACGGAAGGCAGAGCCAAGTTGTCCATAGTATACACAGTCTATAGCTCATAACAATAATTACTTCTGTAAGCAATTATCATGGCGGTTATATCATGCATCCCTGTTTAAAAGATGTTTGACTGAAGTCACGTTCAACAGAAGTGCCGGTGAAATGTCAGGAGGCTCCAGGCCTGACCTTTGATTGAAGGAGGTAAAGGTGAGATGATAAGTCCACAGGTGAGTCAGCTCAATTAAATAACTGATGAATCAATATTTCTGAGTGATTTGCTCTTTTTTCATTCACGTCAGCATGAAGCTATAGATGCCATTTCTGCCAATTGGTCAGGGAACATCTCAACATTTATTAGAGAGGTTTGGTGGAAATTTGCCACATGTACTTGTAGTCCTTAGAGGATAAATCTATTGACTTTAATTAAATTGCAACTCTTACAAAGAAGCAAATTTCACCCTTATTAGAATCTGCAAAAATCTGCCAGATAATAATTTTATAAAAATATTTTCACAAGTGTTTTATTGTTTTATTGTTTTGCTGACAATAAAAACCTCAATCACACAAATAATCAAGTGCAAAAGTTAACATGTGATATTTGACAGACTGTTTGTAAATCCATGCACACTCAGACAGGTGTGAAAGCCTCCTTCATGCATCAGAGTCAAGCCAAAGCCGACTGAGTGTGTGTGTGTGTGTGTGTGTGTGTGTGTGTGTGTGTGTGTGTGTGTGTGTGTGTGTGTGTGTGTGTGTGTGTGTGTGTGTGTGTGTGTGTGTGTGTGTGCGTGAGGCAGATTCAGTTCAGCCGTGCCTAATTCAGATTTATGAAAACAAAGGCCTGCTTATGTCATAACAGGGTGAGCTGTACAATCCTGCAAGGTGAGCAGAAGAGACGGAAATCCAGCTGAACGTTAAACCGGAGGAGACGCAGTCAGCAACTTTAGATTCATGTGTTCATGTGCTCATCTATTTTACACTTTAATAGCACTTAAAAACACATTTAACACTATGAATGTATTATTTTTACAGAAATGAACTCATAATATCAGAAAAAGTTTTGCTTTGTCGACCCTTTTCTGTTTGTTGTTCTGCTCTGGTTTCGGTCTTAAAGACAGTTTTCAGTATTTCCATCAGTTTGTTGTAATTTCTTAGACAGTCCTTCAAATCACCACAATTTAGTTTAAACCTGTACTCATTTTATCTTCTGTCCTTCTCACGCCCTCTGCTGGACACTTGAGGAAAATGCAGATAAATCACATAGTCCTCTTTCAAACTGATCCCTTTCCAGGATTTTAGAAAACAAACTGATTAGAGCTTTAACTCCAAAGTTAAGAAATCCTGATTCTGAATTAGACTGACAGAAAACAGTCTGCCTCGATAGTCAAATTCATAACACTTTTTCATTTTGTTATCCCTCCTCCTGTGTTAGGGTCTGCAACAGCCGGTTTTTGATTTTAAATGCTCAATAGAACCATGTAAATTTGCTTTTTTTGCATCAAGACTTTTTGACTTTGTCAGAAACCTCTATTTCAACAAAATAAAAACAAAATAATTATAAAATGCTCTTATTAAAATTATGGAACTTGTTGTGTTAGGGTCGCTCTTGACCCGGTTAGATTAATATCTAATAATTAGAGCAAAAATTAAAATCATAAGTGCACTGTCAGGCACTACACTGACAGTCAGATCCTCTTCCATTCATGTGAGATTTAGAAAATTCTCATTTTGCCATATTTTTACCTGCACAAAATAACAACGACAGACATCTCCAGACATGTGAGATCAATTCAGTATGGATGTCTGTATGAGGGGTATACTGACAAAGAAAGGTCCAGAGGCCCACAACAAAAACTAAAAAAAGCAATATTTTCATGGATAATGACGCCTAACAAGGGAACCTAGAGATGAGAACCAAATTGGATGATAGAGAATGCGGGTGCGTGGTGAAGGCTAACACAGAAGGAAGGTTAAAAAAAACAAGAAATAAAAAGATGTAATGATTATGATTGCAAACGCTTTATAAAGTCCTCCCATACTTGTCATTCTGACCTTCCTGATGAGTGATTTAATGAGGATTTACTAAACAAACAACTGAAGTACAGACCAGCCAAGTGGACCCTGAGTTTAAAGTGTTTTGTCAACAGGTGTATAAGAGCCATCATAGAGGCAGGACAATATTTATATAAAGATATTTATGTAGATATTAGGAATGACCCCAAACAACTGGTTTCCTACCTGTTGAATCCTGACAAACCTCATAGTCTAAGGAGATAAATCACGTAGAAAACCGTCAAAGTTGAGCTGGTTACACATCGCTCTGTTGTAGTTATATCTCAGTCTAACCAAGTCTGAGGCAGTCCCACATTTAGAGGTTGCAGTCCTTGATTCTTAGCCATGACCCCTTTGCTTCATGTCTTCCCTCTTACTCTACTCCCCACATTTCATGTCTCTCTTCAGCAGTCCAATCTCATAAAGACAAAACAGCCCTTAAATATGACTTTAAAAAAATACAGCAGAACTACACTTGACAGTGGAATTGATAATTTACTGTGCATATTTGATGAAATTGTAAAAACAGGTCTGTTTCTGTAGCTGCTTAGCTGACACCTACTTCCTTAACATTTAAAATAAAATAAAAAATCATCAGGCTTTTTTCGCTTGTGTTTGTCTATTTCATATACCTCAAAAAATGTCCATAGCAGCATGTGATGTTTCAGGAACAAGTCCTCTCCACAGTACTGATGACAACCTTCCCCAGGACTTCTTCGTTAACATCAGAGGTTTTACATCGTCAGGGTGCGTTTGTTCTGATCTGCTGTGACGGATTGATTCAGTCAACATCCACATTTCTATGAACTCTCCCTCCAGGAAAGTTCATTATCCAGGTCAGAGTGTTTTTGTTTGGCTGTGAAACATCCACAGTAATGCTTCTGCGGGTGAAAATCTCTGTTGATGCCAAAAAAAAGTGCAGATAAAACAAAGAGAGGAACAGAGGGATATTTATAGCAAACAACCTCATTACGACGCTCAGTTCTGTGAATTTCTGCATATTCTTCGAGCGGTCTCACAGATTTTTGAACCTCGTCCAGGCTTTTTCTCGGTGATCTGAGACTAATTGATGCTCTCAGTGACCCACCAGGTGGTTGCTCTGCGGCTGCTGCAGACTGACCATGAATCTAAAGAATGAAATCAGCTGTTCGTCCTCACAGCCAGCTGATTATTCCATCTGCCCCCATAGCCCTGCACCCTGAACAGCTCTGGACAGATATTTGATTTGCATCTTATATAACATGCAAATAATGTTCCTAAAAAGTCAAAACAGGCTTTCTGGACATATTTATGTGACAGTGGTAAATATGAGTACTTATTTTTGAAAATCTACTACAGCTCTGTTGTGCAGTTTTCAATTCAAATGTCTTTCAGCTAACAGCCCATATGGTATGCAAAGGACAAAATCCGGGGAGTCTGTGGAGAAAGACTGATCTTCTTTATGGGATAGGAAAACCTCTGAAAACAGAAACACAAAGCCCTTATTACTGGAGAGCTGCCGGCCTCACAAAGCCGGTAGATTTTAAAATAAGTGTGTCCCACTGTTTTGTTTAATCAAGGGATTTTTCTGGCTTTATTTGTAGTACTGAAGATGTAGCGGGTTGTTGTGGTGTTATTCAGAGTACAGTGGCCCTGAGTGTCAACTGCACTAACAATCCATACCTACAAAAGAAAAAAAAATCGAAACACAAAAAGAAACATGTCATGAAAAGGAATAAAAAAACATTTCATGAAATAGTTTTGAGTTTTTCCAAAAAAGAAACAAAAAAAAAAAAAAAAAAGATTTTATGAAATATTTCAACTTTACGTTATCTGTTGTTGGTTGTTATTAATTTTGGTGATACAAAAAATATTTTCATGATTTATTCTTTTTGGTGTTACATACATTTTTGTAGAATTTTATAAAATATACATGTGTTTGATTAAATGTTTTGGGCTGTAGAGAAATGATCATTTGTTTCATTTTGCACCTGCCCTTCAGGGCCACCATAGCAGTGTATTGAAAGGTTAGCCAGTGGATTTTGCAATTAGTCGGTATGTCCCACTGTTTTGTTTGGTTAAGTAATTTTTTGCTTTATTTTTAGTATTAAATATGTAGAAGGTAGTTGTGGTGTTATTCAGAGTACAGTGGCCCTGAGTGTCAACTGCAATAACAATCTATAACTACAAAAGTATGAAAGCCTTCAAATATAAAACAGAAACATTTCCCAAAATGCAGGTATTATTTAATAAAATACAAAAAACATTTGCACAAAGTACAAAATATGCATATATATATATATTTGAGTTTTTTGGGGGGAAAGGCGTTTCGTGAAATATTTCAACTTTATGTTAACTGTTGTTGGTTGTTATTAATTTTTGTGTTCCATAAAATATTTTTGTGATTTATTCTTTTTTGTGTTACATACATTTTTTTTTTTTTAATGAAATTGATTAAATGTTTTGGAATCTATGGAAATTATAATTTGTGTTATTAAATATATTTTTGCAGCTGTCCTTCAGGGCCACCAAAGCAGCGTATTGAAAGGTGTTCCTTATATTTTGTCCACTTCATTAGCAAACAAATAAGGGGGGGGCATTACATTAGGACAACATCTCCAGCTTCAAATGTTATTTAATTGCTAATTTGCAACTTTCTAACTGTGTCAGAAATGGAAACTTAAAATATAGAGGCTTTTAAAAAGTCGATTTTGGTAGTGCTGTTGCATTAGCAGGTGTTCCTAATGTTATGGCCGGTCCGTTCATATCCCTTGCCCCTGTTATTCATGAGTCTTTCGGGGTTGATGATGAGGACACTAGGGCCGCACGGACACCGAGTCTGTGTGGAAGTTCAGGGACCGACTCAAAGCTAAGTTTAGCGGTCAGCACCTGTGGGGCTCCCGTAACTCTGCACACAGTTATCAGACAGGCTGTGCTGGTTTATTACAAAGACTATGTGTTTTCAGTATAAACAGAAGAGGATTACTGCATATTCACCGTTATTTTAACTTCCCTTTTAAGGAGACATGAGTGGACTGACAGCAGGGACAAGTGCTTTACCCTCAAACGGACCTCGAAAGGTAAGAAATGAACTTTATCCTCTTCTGTGTCGTTTCTTGCTTAACTTTTACTGACTTTTCATTATTTATACACGAGATAACCAGTTAAAGTCAAACAAACCAACACATTTTCATGTCCCTTGCCACTTATTAACTAGTTAATGTGCCAGTAAGTAAATAAAAGACGAGGTAACGACGTAGATAAAATTTAAAATGCATTATTAGCCTCCCTCTGTTTTACAAACCCTTTGTTGTCCTCTTTTAACAATTTAAACCACTACTATTAAAAGTAAAAATTACATTTATTCACGTATTAATTAGATAAAAGTTTGTTTTATGGACTAAAATAGCAGAGTGCATCATGGGAAATACCTGTCCCAAAGAGGTTTATTAATGCAGCTGAGTTGTTGACAGATACTTTGTGAGAATTAATCCGTGATTTGCAGCCCTGACAGCTAAAATAAAGACATTTAAAGTGTATACAAATATTCTGGTTGAGTCTCTCAGCTGTGTAGGTGAACTCCTAAATACACCTGTCTGTAACCTGAACGGGCAGTTTTGAAGTAATGATGATTTAACATTGTTTAAAGTATTTTTATATGAGCTAGCTGCCACCAGGGGGCAGTCTGCAGTCTTTACCAGAGAGTAGTACAGGCCATGTTTAAGATCTGTTTTTAGTACTCCTGGTGTAATACTTATTTAAATAACATAAGATATAACTAAATAAAGCTGATAATTATTGTACGCAGATTAATGTCCCTTATGTATGTTGCACTAGTATATCATATTCGGCTGAGTTTTTTGAATGACAAACAAGAATAACTTTTTAATCAGTAAAATGATTTGGAAATGTAAAAGTTGTCTCTAAAATTTATATTAGAGTAGAAGGGTGAGAGGATATAGAGCATAAATCTTCAGGAGGCAAATATAAAACACCTTAGGGTAATATTTGAACACAGAATGAGAAGAAACATGCTTCGAATTTCTCCTGGAGAAGAAGCTCGTGTCTCTTGGACTGTTCAGTTTGATGTCTGGCCTCTTTCACTTACCTGTGCTCGTTTAGTCTGTGTATAGAGATCTGAAAAAAAGCCGATAAATCAGCTGAGACTCCGAAAGTCTTCAGTCCAGTGAGGTTAAAGTGATTCTAATCAGTCTCTTCACTGTCACTAACTGAGATATTTTGCCAAAAATTTAAGCAGATAGAAACACTATTTTTCCAAATTGACACAAACCATGCACAGCCATGCACTTTGTAATCAAAGCTCACCTGACAGTTTGTTTTAGCATTTGGAGGAAGCACAAAGGAGATGTAAACACATTACTGACCTATTATTTATTTAGTTTGTTTGCTACTCAGCTGAGATAGCTTTTTTACACATCCACCACATAAAAAAAACAACAACATTTCAGTACAGTTTGAATTCAGTATTCATGCTCTTTCCACTCCGCTTTTGGTCTCCTCCACCTTCAGAGGACAACATCGACTGTCAGTAGTCTCAAGGTTGCACTTGTCCTTGTTTCTTGTGCTCCTTCTCCTGCCACACTTTTCCCTTACAGTCAACTTTCCATTAATAAACTTAGATTGAGCGCTCTATGAACAGCCAGCCTTTTCAGGAATAACCCTCTGCGGTTTACACGCCATGTGGAGGGTGTCGATCATCTGGACAGCTGTCAGGTCAGCAGTCTTCCCCGTGGTTCCGGTTATGTGTGTTAAAATAGGCTGAGAATGTAAGTCGTATTGTCACAAGAATGAAGTTGCACCTGAGTTTGTTTGTCACGAGTATCGAGTCATAATGTTGCAAACATAGAATTATCTAAAAAAAATCTTCATGTAACAAGAATAAAGTTACAAAAGAACTAAGTTGTTACGTTACAAAAATTAAAATGTAATGATACATAAATGTCAGTATGTGACAAATATGACATTCTATGACATGATGGAGCAGTTTTGTTACAAGAATAAAGTTACAAAAAATAAGCTGAATTTTAACTAGAATAAAGTTTTGGTGTCTTACGAAAATAATTTGACAAAAACATGAAATAAAATTGTCACATTAGAGGAATTAAAAAGTAGTGTTACAAGAAATAAGTCTACGTGTTACGAGGAAAAAGTCGTGATTTTACAAGACGTTATAATGATTTTTTATAAAGAAGTAACATTATGAGATTCAGGTCATAAACTTGGCCACTATATTTAGAGAATAAAGTGGAAATTTTGCAATAATAACTTAAAGTTACCAGGATTTAAGTCGGTATGTTATGAGAATAAAATGATAATAACACATAAGACAAAGTTGTTTTGTTACAATAGATTATTTGTTATATAATTGGGAAAAAAATGTTGTGTCTCAAAAATAAATTTGTAATGTTACAAAACTTTAAGGTAAGTATGTTTCAAGATTGAAGTCATAATCTTATAGGAAAGAACTTTTTATGTTACTAGAATTAAGTTGAAATGTTATGGGAATAGGTCTGTATTTTAGCAGAATGAAGATATGTTACGAGATTAAATCCGCAAACAAAGTCGTTATTATGAAGACAATTGAGCTTTAATGTTACACAAATACAGTCGTAATTGTCCAAGAATGCAAGTTGACGTATTCAAAGGGTGCAAAAAAAAAAACGTTATTTCAAAATATTATACTTCCCCACTATTCTAATCTGTTGAGATGCACTCTTAAGATAGTGATAACTGGGTATCTTCTGGTTTAAGACTTTCGGTCAGAAAAGTCAGTCCAATTTAAGTCATAAGATATCCATTACAGGATTTGAATGCCTGAAATTGTCATCTTATAACTCCTACACTTCCAGGAAACAAAACAAAATATTTTGTGTGAGCATCGAAGAAAAAATTCAGGCTTTGTTGTTAAATTTCTCACATGTTTAGCCTTTAAATAACCAACCAATATAGGTCATTAAAATTTGCAAACCTTCTTTAAAAATCATTTTTAGTGGCTCACAGTCTAGATTGGGTTTAGACTTCGATCAGTTTATAATCCTCAAATACAATATTCCAAAATACATACAAATAAATGACTTTATGGCTAGAGGAATACAGATTTTAGCTGCTTATTTCTACCTAAAACATCCTCTGAAGTCATTACTCTGCTAAGTGGAGCTTTAAGTGACCCCTGGAGTCAGGACATGGCCTTTGGGGGATCAGAGGGTCATGATAGAGAGATGGTGGTGATATGATGAGGAAGGAGGAAGGAGGAGGAGGAGGAGGAGGCTGAGACGATGGGAGAGGGGAAGGGAGAGGGGGATGGACTGTAGCTACTGATCTGTATGCAGAAAGTGGAAAAGGAGAGGAGATTTCATAAATTCAGATCTTCTCCACGGGCCTTAAATGCAGCATATGTGACAGAGGATGAGGAGGATGAGGTGATGTGGACGGTTCAGGTGGTTCAGTCCGTTTATTCATTTGATTCATTGTCGTAGCGGGTGGTACAGGCCATCATAAAGATCTAGATCAGATCCTGAACACCTTTAGTCCCTGGATATGATCTGGAAATCTGAGGAGGACGCATGAATTAAACAAACACACACACACAGCTCTTGCTCCCTCCTTTACGCGCTCAGAGCGGGGTGTGTGTGGAGGAGAGAGAGCAGCCGATGACCGGAGAAAACATCCGCCTGTGCGGACGGCAGGAAGGTGGTACCCGACGTGTTTCTTATCCGGGATCTGCCTCCGGAGGTGATGGGCTGCGCTCCCAGCATCCACGTCTCTCAGAGCGGGGTGATCTACTGCCGAGACTCGGACGAATCCAACTCCCCCCATCAGACCACTACCATCTCTCAGGGCACCGCGGCCACGCTTCACGGGCTCTTCATCAAGAGCGATGCGGCCGAGACCATCCCCTCGGTCATCACCTACCAGAGCAGGCACACGCGCAACAACTCACACCGGGATCGGAAGGAGAACAGCGGGGGACACGTCCGCATCGAGGCCGAGACGCAGACCAGCCACACCAGCGTCAAGGTACACAAACCCAGAGTGGGGAGTGGATGTGTAAGCGGAGACAGGCTCGATGTGGTGGTGCAGACAGAGGCAGGTTGTGAGTGGAAATGACACGTGAGCAGGTTTGTTTGTTTGTTGGTTACCGGAGGAGGCCCGAGCCTTCCTGGTGAGGGACTGAGACACACTCCTCTCCTCTAATCCTCTGCAGCCAGCTGTGCATCAGTATCACAGAAAACAGTGTGTGGGCTACTGTCACTGTGCAAAGTCAAATGATCTAATCAGCTGCAACGATTAATCGATTATAAGACGATAAATCGCGTTCGTATTTGTGCAATATTCAAATTGTTTTAGGGGTAGTACCTGCTGCTTCTGGCATCTTGTTTCACATAAAAATAGCAATAAAAGTCTTTCTGCAGTTTGGGGGGCTCTGGGAAATGTGATGACCTTATTTGTTTTTCAAATCTTTTAATCTTCGATTTGTAGCAAATCATCATAAATATACAAAATTTGTATGCTGGCCCCCTCTGAAGCCTCTCTGCTCTTGCAGTTTTCAATTATCCCTGTATCATAAATGACTTACAGGCAATATAGCTCATAATTTAATATTAAAAAATGCATGTTTTCATTTATTGTTAATAAAAAACAGATGCAAATCCAGTGCTTCTTTGGCCAGTATACCACATCTTAAGAAGGTATACAAGGGCATCACTTAACTCAAACCCCATAGTCATTTGATAGTTATTTATACATCTGGAAGCACACCTGGAAGCTTTAAAGAGACAAAGAGTTTTTCATAAATTAAACAAATATTAAGTGGAGGTACTAACAAAGAAATCACTGTGCTATGTTGCTGAATTTAAGAGTAAAATGTTGATAAAATACAAGAAAGCACTTTGATAAATTTGTAAGTAAAACTTAATTGAAACAGGCAGAGACCTCGAGCAGAACCAGACACACTGGAAGATAGCCATCAACCTTAACAACAGTATCCGTTTATCAAATGTAGACTCTTTGTGTGGCGTCATGTTTTGTTCTGTTACATCACTTCACATAATGGTTTGTTTTGCTATACAACATCATGTTAGCATTGTTTGACATAAACCTGTCGCATTACATATTGACACATAAGTGTATATATCACATTATATTACTTAGCATTATTATCTCATGTCATATGACACAGTGTCACGTTACATTATGTCTCATTACTTTTCATGGCACACTAAGTTGTTATATGGCATTAAATAACAGAATATCACATTACAGGTTTGCTAAATTATGTTGCATTACATTACATTTAGGCATGTTATTTGTGCTACATCATGTCGCAATACATAATATATTATATAATGTTGCATTTCAAAATGTTACAGTATGTTACGCAATGTTATTTAAAGTTACACATTTTTACTTTAAATTCATTTATATTGGTTACATAATGTTAAATGTGTCATGTGTTACATTACAGTAGACTTTGTCATGTAACATAATTCAAGATAACATGTCACATTACATCATATCAAGTTTCCATTGAAACATCATGTAACATTACCACATGAAATGTAACAATATGTAATGTTACAATATTCCATGTTGTGTTACATTACATATTGCTACGTTATGCTCCATAAAGTAAGATAACGTTACATTATATGTTGTTGCATTTCAATATGTCACAATATGTCGCGTAATGTTATTTAATAGTACACATTTTTACATAACATTCATTCAGGTTGGTTACACTATGTTATATTTACATGTGGCATGTTGTGTTACATTATAGTGGACTTTGTCATGTAACAAGATAACATGTCACATCACATCATGTCAAGTTTCATTGATACATCATGTACCTTTACCATATGGAATGTAACAACATGTAACATTACAATATTCCATGTTGTGTTACATTACGTTATGCTATGTCACACTCTATAAAGTAGCGTAATGTTACATTGTTACACATGTTACAATGTTACATGTAATATTGCAAACATAATAAATAACCAGCATGATGTTAAGTTATGTAATAGAAGTAAAACAAGCAGATTAACAATCTTTTAAAATACACTGCTGGTTTTGTCTCACAGTCTTGCGCCTCACTCAGTGTCTTGCCTCCACATTCAAACTCTGTTAATGTGAGAGGAGATGGAGGCCATAAAATTGGCTCATACGAGGAACTTGAAGATTGACCTCTCACGCCCTGAAATCGAATTAGCTTTCATTTAACACCTCATCACATAAACATGGAACTTTTCCTCAATAAACTTGATTATCGAGTGTTTAAAGTGGAAAAAAAGCAGCAGAGCACAGAGCGCCTCCCTGCAGCTTTCATCGCATGTTTGGTAGGAGCAGAATTTCAGCTTTAGGACCATGAACTTGCTCAGTTGTGTACATGTGTCGCCATGAGGGAGCATGTGAACAGATACTTCTTCATATTTATGATCGAACCCCAGAGGATAGAGCTGTGTTTTGTTAAGAAGTCACACAGCAGATGATCCTCTCATCAGACCCTCCAAACACACATTGACCCTTTAAGTCCCGGAGGAGATCTGGATGTAGATTAAAGTCCAAGTAAAACACACACACACATCTGATGATTATAACCTCCTTTATTTGAACAGTGTGACTTTGTTACACTATACTTTTGGACTTTGGCTCTAAAAAACATTTACTATTTGTTTTAATTTAGCGTTATTGATAAACTCTGGCCTTATTCTGGAGCCTTTATGGAGGCTCTGCTGCTCCCATGCTCTTTACTTCTCACATTTCAGTCATTTCTGGCAGAAAAGTCCTTACTTTGGATCTGATATGGAAAATAATGATTAATGAAAAAAGAACAGGTAGCTCCTCATGAGCAGATGAACTCAGAGAAAGTGTTGCAGCAGCGTAATCACTCTGCAGTCTGAGCATGTAATACCTTTTAAGAGTTGTCATTAGTTTATTGGCCCAGATTGTGTGTGTGTTTTTTTTATGTGTGTGTGTGTTTGTCAGCTGTTCACCCTCTTTCTCTAATGATAGTGAGAGGATCAATGATACTATTCATTATTAAAACCATCTGCCTTTCCTTGCAGGATCCCCGTAATCTGCCATGATGGTGATCACGCTCCTATGTGTGTGTGTGTGTGTGTGTGTGTGTGTGTGTTTATGTCTAGCAGTCATCTGTTTACCCCTCTGGTCACAGTGCTGTGAGGAGGGTGAAGGGGCTGATGGTGGTGATTCTGTGCAGAGATTCCTGCAGGGCTTCTTTACACAGACACTGATTATGAGTCTACAGGAGAAATCATGATTCGGCAGTTTCTCAACACCCTCATAACCACTTTTCAACTCTTTTTAGGCCTGTCGCGATAATCAATAAATCGCCTTATCGCTCGATAAATAAAAACGAGGTCGATAACTTTGCCAGCCTCGATAATTAACGTGCGTTTGTTTTCCTCCTCTCTCGCTACCAAACACGCTGGATGAGAGAAGAGGTCTCACTCTGCGCATTGTTCTCGGCACCTGGGGGCGTTGGCTCTATAGCGGAATGAACGGAGTTAGTGAACCCTCCTGTCAGTCATTCAGTGTCTTTGTCACGAGGGGGCTGGCGCGCAAAGTCAGGCACACAGACACAGACTTTTGGATACAGTGCTGTATGGGGTGCCGTTTGTAAAGCAGCCCATTATAAAAACAACAGCAAGATTTGGTCACATTTAGCAAAACAACAGCAAGATTTAGTCACATTTAGCTTCAAACAGCATTTAAAAAAGTGATGTGAATTTTCGGCAGTCATTTTTTTGCGCATTTACAACAACATTTAAATACTAAAACTAAATGTTAAATGTTAAATCTAAATGTTAAATCTAAATGTTAAATCTAAATCTAAATGTTAAATCTAAATCTAAATGTTAAATATAAATCTAAATGTTAAATCTAAATCTAAATGTTAAATCTAAATCTAAATGGTAAATCTAAATCTAAATGTTAAATCTAAATGTTAAATCTAAATGTTAAATCTAAATGTTAAATCTAAATGTGTTGGGTGAAACTAAATATTTAGCTAATATGCAAATTCACGGTCGGAAACCGGAAGTGCCAAAATAAAAGCTCCAGAAGGTCATATTGATGATTCTTGTGTCGAAGAAAACGAATTAAAACCAATTTAAGGGGGGGACAAATACTTGGGGTGACGTTTCGTGTTAATAACTACCTACAATAGCGACAGCAACAACAAAAACTTTATTAGAAAGACTCGAGTTTTCAGTGTCGCTTCTCCGTATGGCGCGACACTGTACGAACACAGCGTCCGCCACAGCCACTGATGAAGCTGCAGAGGGAGGAAGAGTTCTGATGGCTGCTAATACAGCTCTCCCGATGTTCTCCGCGAGCGCAGAATCCCCGGACATTTTTTGTTCAATTCAGGCTTGAAGAAGCTTGACCTTACAGCGCGGGCCGGTTTCGGGGTGGTGGTGATGGGGGAAGGGGGGCGCGCACAAAGGATGGGCGGATTGTTGGTCGAAGTGGAAAATCCGCCCAAAAAAAAAAAAAAAAACACACGAGATTTGCTGACAACCTGCGCCAGACTCTTCTAAATGGCAGTGAATGAATTAAATTAAGCTAATAAATAAATAAATAAATAAATAAATGAATAAATGACCCAAAAGACAAAGTGGAAGACAAAAGACAGGGTTGCGAACCCCGGATTCCTGCGTCCCAATCGTCCGCGTTACCCGTATGGCCAATGCACTTAATGAAACGGCAAGGTGCCATGGAGTAGTATGGTGTGTGCGCCTGCATGTGTGTGTGCGTGTGTTCGTACAGTGTCCGCGCCATACGGAGAAGCGACACTGAAAACTCGAGTCTTTCTAATAAAGTTTTTGTTGTTGCTGTCGCTATTGTAGGTAGTTATTAACACGAAACGTCACCCCAAGTATTTGTCCCCCCCTTAAATTGGTTTTAATTCGTTTTCTTCGACACAAGAATCATCAATATGACCTTCTGGAGCTTTTATTTTGGCACTTCCGGTTTCCGACCGTGAATTTGCATATTAGCTAAATATTTAGTTTCGCCCAACACATTTAGATTTAACATTTAGATTTAACATTTAGATTTAACATTTAGATTTAGATTTAACATTTAGATTTAGATTTAACATTTAGATTTATATTTAACATTTAGATTTAGATTTAACATTTAGATTTAGATTTAACATTTAGATTTAGATTTAACATTTAGATTTAGATTTAACATTTAGATTTATATTTAACATTTAGATTTATATTTAACATTTAGATTTAACATTTAACATTTAGTTTTAGTATTTAAATGTTGTTGTAAATGCGCAAAAAAATGACTGCCGAAAATTCACATCACATTTTTAAATGCTGTTTGGAGCTAAATGTGACTAAATCTTGCTGTTGTTTTGCTAAATGTGACCAAATCTTGCTGTTGTTTTTATAATGGGCTGCTTTACAAACGGCACCCCATAGTGCTGCAAGTGAGCGTCGTGAGTGAAAAGCAAGCTAACAGAATGAACACGACAGCTTTGGTGTCTAAACCGAACGCAACAGCCCAAGTGTGGGAATATTTCGGCTTTAAACCAGTTTTGTTTTCGTCAACCACAAAACTCCACGTGTGTGTGTGTGTGTGTGTGTGTGCGCGCGTGCGTGTGTGTCTGTGTGTTGGAGGAGCACAGCAGGCTGATGAGAGCTGTCAGAGCGGACTGAAGCTGCTCCTATATGTTTAACGTTTAACTGACTGAGTTTTGCAACTCTGTTCGTCATTTTCGTCTCATCCCATCAACGTAAACGCACTTTCGTCTCGTCACATTTTAGTCATCCCCGACTTATGTTTAGCTCGTCAACGTTACGTCTTCGTCGTGGGAGAAAAGGGAAATATTTTAGTCAACGAAAACAACCAGTGTTGTTCTCGTGTGGAAATTAAAGTTTATCACTTTTGACAGGGTGTACTCGCATTATTATGCCATATAATATCATTATCTATAATTTAAAAAATGGTGTCAATAATATCGTTTATTGGCGATAATTTGTAGCACAATTATCGTCCAGCAAAATTTGTTATCGTGACAGGCCTAACTCTTTTTAACTCTAAATTAATGTTATCCCCCAAGAACATGTGAATTTATGTTTGAGGGACTTTTTCAGCACTAGATTAAGTAACAACACAGCCCTCCTCAAAGCCACCAAACCCCATTGACAAAAGTCTTAATTCATCCTCACAGAGCCCAGGAGCAGCTGGTCTCCTCCTGCTCTGATCTGTGACCAAGTCTGCATTGTTCTGTGAGTTTGGCATTATGAACAATAAGCTTGAATCCATCACGACAAAATAACTCAATCAAACTGGCTAGTAAATGAAGAAGTAGATTAACATTTCCAGAGGTAAAATTACTGTTTTTGGAAATGAAGTCTGGTGGAGAGCACTTTAACAGCTGCATCTGATTTCAAGTTAAGCATAGCATTTCAGATTATCGAGTATCATTCAGACCCCAGGGGTTTGTTTTTAAAAACCTTAATAAGACTCATTTGCAATGATTTCTGGGTAAATTAAGGCAGCTAAAACATGAGGACTGAAAAACTGCATCGAATCTTTCAGCTCCCTCGAATCATGTTCGCCCTCAGGGTTGAATTCAAAGATCGTAAAGACATATTTTGGGCCCAATGATGCAAACGACTATGAGAGGCATAAAATCTCACCACGGTACAAGCACAGGATGACTTTTACTAAAAAAAAAAAATGACGCTGTTTTAGATCTCAAACACTGCTCTCTCTGTAGCTCAGGGCTCTCTGGTAAAACACGTTTTCTTACTCAATTATCTGATCCCACGGGTCAACAGGTTTAATCCAATTAAAAGCAGAGACACAAGACAAGAGTGAGGGATGCAATGATTGAGATTTGAGGCTGATAATAAGTTGGTGTTTTTGAAACTCTTGAATTCGCTAATCTCAGAATACACTTCATATCGATGCATTGCCCCTACTACATCTTTGTGAGACAGGCTCATAAATCAGTGTTTTCTACAGTTTTGAGAGCACGATTGTGGTCATTTGACGGCCTATGTATGTTCATAGTTAATGGATGCATTTTTTTCCCCATTAGTGTGTTGTTTTATTCCATTTTGCAGCTTCAGTTATTCATAATTCTTGACAGAAGGACTATCACAATAAACCCGTATTGGAAAAAAAAGAGAAGTATTAATGAGTAGTGAGTTCATAATAGTGGTTATATGTGCTGGTTTAAAACAGAGAACGGTGAAGAACCAGCTGGAGCATCCCTCTGAAACAAGATTCAGCACTTTTAAAAAATGAAAGCAAACATGACAAACAATCGCTTTCTCCTAATTTGAACATCGTTAGAAATAAATGTCGTCGTGAAAGTTAAAGCTCCTGTGAGGAATTTTCAGTTTGGGTCAATTTTTATCTATCTTGTCCCACATTCTTAAACACTAACAAAAAAAATCTCATCCTGCTGTTTTTGTTAATCATGTCATTTATTGGGATTAATCTATGTGGGGATTTAGCTGCTTGGCTGACACCTACCCCTTCACGACAATTTCAGGCCTCAAAAATCCCAGCATGCAAATCATTAATCATGTTGCTGATGGTCTTGTTTCCTTTTAGGTGTCATAAAAAGGCTTGACAGTGAATTTCCGTCTGTTTTATAAATGCCAAAAAACTCCTTACTGGAGCTTTAATTAGTTGTGTTTAAGAAGTAGGTTGCTGCGCCACCTTTGTCCTCCTTTTTCTCAGTTTGAATATCTCGACACGTAATGACCAAGATAATCATAGGGTGAAATCTGAAATCTTGACAGCCCTTCCTGAGAAAGTTTTAGGATGGGAAAATTGAAAAATAAAGACCATAATTTGCTCTAACAAAACAGTGTAGAGGATTTGTAACTACAACTAAAACCAACTTTCTTTCTGTTTTTCTCAAAGTTAGGTTGTCTTCTCAGTGCAGCAGCTCTTTTGAACATGATCAGCAGCTTTCTTCAGCTCGGTTCAAACACAGTCTGGTTATCAGAGGGGGTGTGAGAGCAGGCATGCCATCCAGACTCTGCAGTGGAAAATAGTTTGAATGTTGGACCAGGACGCGTGTTTACTTCCACGGCAGCTCCTGTAGGTGTGTGTTTACATGAAAGTTACCTCAAAGGGGCATAGTCTGAATTTTTATTCTGCACAGTCATGTTTCCGTGCTCTTTTTTTGTGGTATTTTTAGACGGGGTTATGTAAGAAAGATCATTGACATTGACATTGAGGGACGAATGTTTGAGGACAAGCTAAGTGTGCATGCGTCCAATTTGTAAATTCAGCTGTCGAGTGCACTTTTTACTGGAGGGAAATGCAGCTGTATTTAAGATTGACTTGGATGCTGTGAGATTTCATGGGAGTCAGTGCCACTCAAATGATGAAAAGGACTCAAAATCAAATTATATAAATACATAAACACTGCAGCGTGGTCTAAACCTGCTCTTTTTCTTTGGAAAGCGTCTCGGGATAACGACTGTTGTGAATTGGCGCAATATAAATAAAATTTGATTGATTGAATGATACTGATGGTTTGCAAATTTTAAGCCTGTATTTGAAAGTTGTGCTGGGCTACAAACAAAACAGTCCAGAGGAGAGACTCCCAGCAAGTTAGCTTAATTTGCAACAGGTTAGTAACATGATTGGATATTTAGAAGGGTATTTCAGAGAGACTGAAACTATGTTTACACGTGCCCATCTTTTTTCATAAACGGACATTTCACCCTCTCAGTTTACAAAAAAAAGCGCTTGCACATCACTACGTTTTCAGAAAAGTTTTTGTTTACACTAACCCATGAATATAAGCCATCAAGAGCATGCCAAACGTGTAGGTTGCAGTGTAGCAAGAAACTCAAGCCCACGTTAGCCCATTAGAATCCCTCATAGCAACAACAACAACGTCACTTCCTTCTTTTGGAAAAGATGCAAATGCAAACAAATGTAAAGGGATTGCACCAGCATAAATTCGACTGCTATTCTGCATGCATCCATGATCACTGTAGATTGTAAACATAGACCGTAGATTGTAAACGATGTCGCATTTAAGCCATTTTCCCCAGCACAAACTGCCGCCTGCTCCCCAAATCTCTGTGTATCTTTCTCAGTTGACATACAAACGTGCGAACTGACTTTTCTGAAATTTTCACTCTGACCAGAGTTTTTAAAAAGCAATGTTTACAGGAGCAAATTCTCAGTTTGCGTCTAAGTGAAGGGTGCGAACGATGGTTAATGTCTCAGTTTTTAAAAAATAACTGGGTACATATAAACGGGGCCTTAGTCTGTTAGACGTAAAGCTGGGGAGAGATTCACCACTTTGTGAGAGACTGCGTGAACAAATGGTTCATTTATTCCAGCAAAAGTCCCTCAGTTAATGATGCAAAGAATTTTAGCGCAAAATAACATCATTAAGAGAGAGAGAATCTGTCATGAACCAGAGCACAGAGTGGAGGACACAATGGCACAACACCAATTCAGTTGTCAAACAGACAGGGTTTAATGAAGTTGAGGCAAAGGTTGGTACACGAAAAGGCAAGGTCTGAAAAGGCAGGCAAAGGTTGTACACAGCTTGGCAATAACTATGATAAATGCTTGAACGAGTCAAGAAGTGCAAGGAACTGGCGAGGAGACAGTGAGACACACAAGGTCAAATACAAGCGGTAATGAAGGTGATGGGAAACAGGTGGCAGGTGTGACAAGACGGGGGCAGGGCAGACCAGACAGGAACCAAGCTAGAAAACAGAAACAAGGGTTAGAGAACTACAAAATAAAACAGGAAATACATGACATGAAACAAAACATGAATGTACAAAAATAAAAAGGAAACTTAACCGACATGACAGAATCTGGAGAAATGTCTGCACAAAGAGACAAGACTGAGGATGGGAAATAACATTTTAATGACACTAATACCAGTCTGGATTCTGCTTATTGATCCAGTTCTTAATCAATTACCTAAACTGCTCCCATGGATTTTTCTGCATAGTCCTAGGATGTTTTTTGTGTCAACCATCACTGCTTTATTGAGAAAGAGAAGCCTGGTTTGTGATTGGGCCTTTGTAGGTCAGCTGATCATAGAAACAGCATCTGATTTACCAACAGGCTATAACAAAGATGGCAGCCTTCCACTGGCGTAGTCAGCTAGCAATGAAATCACACTATTTCACTAAAATTGCGATAAAATTGGCACAGAGATTCTTAAGTTTTAGGAAATTTGATCTGAAAACATGCTTCTAGAAAAATCTCAGGTTGATAATTGGAAACTAGTGAAGCTAGTGAATTTCGCAGTAAATTCGTAGGTTGAACTGTTTTATTATTAGAACTGCTTTTGTAAGAACTGGCAACATTGAGGGCCCGTTCAGCCTTCTGTCTACCATGATGACTTCTTCTTTGGTTTTCATTTGCAATTATCAACGATAAGGAAGCTCAAACTAGTTGAAGTTGGTTCTGGTCTGGATTCTTCTCATCTTTAGCTGAGGCTACAAACCAATACTGGACAGCTGCGATCTTTTGGCTCTCAGGCAGCACCACATTAAAAACAGACATGGCTCTGTAGTGGAAATCACTACATGGACTCAAAATCTTTGTCTGAGAACATTAGAATAATGTAAATGTCAAGTGTGATAGTTTGATGATTTACTGACTTCATTATTGTCTGAACACCATCAGGCTCTTCGTCCAACCTCACCAGGTAACCCTCCATGTTTGAAAGCTGAAATCTTCAATGCTTTCTTTCTCAAACCTCTGGAGCCACTTCAGCTGAGTCTATTGTTTGAATGAAACTCTTTGGAACTTTGGCTCTGAAAGGTGCTACATATAAACAAACCTTTAAGTGCTGCTGCCTCAGGCCCAGGTACATCATGCCATTGTATATACAACAGGCTGAGTGTTATGATATGGACTAAACAGATCTTTCACTTTACAGGCTGACTCTGCTTTTTAAAACACTCATTCAGAGTCACAGTTTATTCTTCCTGATGTGTTTAACAGAACAAAGTTTCATGTTTTCTTTTGAGGGTGTTTATAACCATCCCAGACTATAAAAGATGATGACTTACTTTATATCATGCCTGAGAGAAAAAGCTGTTTGAGCCAAGGTCTCATTGTTTGGAGCTCATGAGACAAAGAGGCTGATCTCATGGGAGGCTTTTACTTTGAAATTCAGACTGTATAGGAATCAAATATAAAGCATTTCTTTAGGCTGTAAAGGAGAAGGGAGCAGCTTCTTCCTGTTAGTCCTATCCAATTCTGGCTGTTACGATCTAGATATGAAGTTTGGATCGTTTGAAAGAGAATTATGCAAATGACACTGAAGGCTAAAACATACAGAATCCACGTTAAGTGCGTTCCTTCAGCATCACGTATCACGCAGAAAATAGGTTGGCATTGTAATCAATGCAGCACTGTACACAGGACATGTCGTAGCTCCGTCCCAGCTTCATCTCAGAGGCATATCGACTGCAGCTCTGTTTACTATCTCCACACACCAAGCGCGAAAAAAATCATTTGCGTGTATGGATTACATGTTAAGTCAATGCAAAGACACGATTAGATGCTCCTACTACTCTGGGGGCACGAATGACGCGAATTGGGCGTGAGCTGGAAATGTCTCAACTTGAGCGGATATTTGCTTTGCGATAACTAATCAGCATGAAGGTTGCCAGGTGGTGTATGAAAATGGACAATTGTTCACTGGTATCTAAAATGAAGGACAAACTGATCACGGCGGTGTGTGGGTGCCCTCAATTATACAATACCTTTTCTTTCAATTACCGAAACCAGAATAAAAAGGAGCTCACCTGGAGGCAAGTGAGTGAGGAGGTCGGATTATCTGATAAATTGTAAAAAATATTTGCTTGATTCTGCTGGTTGAATTGGCAGGGATTACCATTGAAATTACCATTAACATGCGAATGCAAGTAAATTCTTTCCATTGGCGCATCTAGATCCGCGCTAATTAAGCGAGTAGATGATTTAAATCACGCTTGGTTTGACCGCCCTATAAAGATACGCAGGGAGTCTACTTTTCTCTGCTCTAAGCTTTCAACACACATCAATCTACACAGAGAAGATTGTTCTAGACAGGATGTCAAGCACGAAAACCGTGCATATCATCTGGTAAATTTCAAAATAAAACACTATATGCAAACTCCCGACTGTGTAGATGAGAAATACTTCCTGGTTCTGGATTTATCAGTAACACAGAACAATCCGATGGTCAATCCCTGATTTATGTGGACGCCAACAGGACTTTTAACTGCTAACTCTGTCCGAAGGTAACAGCACAGCATAAAGGAACATAGTTTACTTTATTAAACAGGAATAAACCTGCAAAAACTGAAACTGTAAAATCATGTTGCTTTTTCACATATAGTAGAGGCTCAACAATCACTGAATTATATCCAAATTAGCAGGAAATAGACAGGACGCGACGCTTACGGAACGCGCTCAACACGGATCCTGTATGTTCTCAGCTTTACTCATGTTGAGATTGAGGCCGCCCCCTGTAGGTCAGCCTCACAAAAGGTCATCAGGACAAAAGCTTAATCTTTCAGCAGCAAAAGGATTAAGGGTTCCAGCTTTTATAGATTTTTAAAGACATTCTCAGACAAGGTCATGCCGTTATGGGTCAGTTTTTAAAGTGGCCCCTCTGGACTAAATCTGCCTCTTTAATCTATGTCCAAACCATGCTGAAACATCATCTGATAGATTTTCCTCCTCTCCAGATAAAAACGAGCTCTGTTCCCCTCATATTTCTCATCACTCTGACAGCAGGCCTTGGTGTTTTACGTGAGTCCCATCCTTGCAGCAAGGCCTTGTCTTATCAGCGGCACAGGTGGTCCGTTGTACGAGAAGCAGACCTGAGGTCAGCCACAGTCTGCACACTGACACATTTATCTTCCTCCAGACTTTCTCCACAGGATGAAGTCATGATAAACTCACTCTGGTCAAATGATCCTCTGACGTGAGTCTTGTGAGCCTTCAAATCTAATATTCACGCTACCAAACATGCGTATACCCCGTTTTTAGGCCAGCGGCAACTTTTTTATTCATTCATTTGACTTTTATTATGATAGGCTACAAGCTGATCAGGATGAAGTTTAGAGAAATTTACTCCACACTGAGTTTGCACACCATATTTCTTTTCCTACTCGCCTTCATGACTGATTCAGTCCTCTCCTGCCTCTCTTCTGTCTCTCGGTGGTCTGAATCCTCACAAATCAAGCAAACTTTCATTATTCCCATCCCTCTCCTCATCCATCCCTTTACTTCCTCCTGCTCAGAGAGGCTCCCTGTCTGTGTATCCTAAATCTCTTTTATATTTCCTCTTCCTGTGACTCCACGAGGATTCTGGCGCCTATCTTAAGAAGAGATGTCCTCCTCTGACGGTTTCTCCAAACATGTCCTCCATCTCTCCAGACGCTTGTTTGCAGCACAGATCACAAAGTTGTTCCTGGTTTTATATCTTCCTCTCTGGTCTGTCTCATAAATGTCTTTGCTGTCTTTCTGCTAAAACAGAATTCTTCATTTTCTCACAAAGTAAACCTCCTACACATTCTGGCATCTTTCCGAGTTCATTCCCCTCCGCAGAGACTCGGTCCCTGCAGTCTTTTACCCCTGACACCAAACGATCAGATCCTTTCTCTCCGTTTTCACTGACAAAGCTGATCTCTGGTCAAGCTTTTCTCGGGTAATCTTTTACGTAACTGACCTCATTTTTCGCTGCTTTACTTTGATCCCTGACAACAACAAAGATTTCCCTTAAATATGTCCAAAAACAGAGATGAGAGATCTACATGTTGACAAAAACTAAAATAAGTGATCATGTATAATGAGCTTGTCTTACCCATAGACTGTATATAGAATGGACGCCGTCTGCCTCCTCGCTGGGTGAAGCCACCGCAAGAACAGCCCCCTCTGGTGACGGGCTGCAGTATAGGTCATGAATCCCACCTCTTCCAGAAATCCTTATGGGACTGTGGACAAACTTAAGAAATTAATTACACAGAATGTAAATTTTTCTCCCCCCTTGTTGCGATGTTGACATGTAGTTACTGTAAAAATGGTTTGTGCTCAAGTCCTCTTTTTTTCTGTGCAGATCCATTTTTAAATATTATTAGGGGGTTCATGTTTTCTATGATTGACATGTGATACAGCCTATGGGCGTACAAAGATTGCGTAGCTCACCCGGAGGATAGCTGTTTGAACCGAGCGTCATCACAACGACTCTCCTGTGGGATGCGTACAACACTACAGCGCAAGTGGTGTTTCAGGAAGTGGAGAAAATCTCTTAAATACCGAGAGCAATTCGGCTTCAAATTCGAATAATGACGGAAGGTGGAACCGAGGTGTCCATAGTATATACCGTCTATGGTTGTAACATAAATATAGCCCATTATGGCCTGGTACATAAAGGAAAACACAAAATTATTAATACAGTATTAACTTAAAAGAGCTGTACCTCCTGCACAAATCTTATAAGTTAGATGCAGTCTGTCTTGTTTCCACAGATAGTTTACACTCACTGGCCACTTTATTAGGTACACCTGTCCAACTGCTCGTTAACACTTAATTTCTAATCAGCCAATCACATGGCGGCAACTTAGTGCATTTAGGCATGTAGACATGGTCAAGACAATCTCCTGCAGTTCAAACCGAGCATCAGTATGGGGAAGAAAGGTGATTTGAGTGACTTTGAACGTGGCATGGTTGTTGGTGCCAGAAGGGCTGGTCTGAGTATTTCAGAAACTGCTGATCTACTGGGATTTTCACGCACAACCATCTCTAGGGTTTACAGAGAATGGTCCGAAAAAGAAAAAATATCCAGTGAGCGGCAGTTCTGTGGGCGGAAATGCCTTGTTGATGCCAGAGGTCAGAGGAGAATGGCCAGACTGGTTCGAGCTGATAGAAAGGCAACAGTGACTCAAATAACCACCCGTTACAACCAAGGTAGGCAGAAGAGCATCTCTGAACGCACAGTACGTCGAACTTTGAGGCAGATGGGCTACAGCAGCAGAAGACCACACCGGGTGCCACTCCTTTCAGCTAAGAACAGGAAACTGAGGCTACAATTTGCACAAGCTCATCGAAATTGGACAATAGAAGATTGGAAAAACGTTGCCTGGTCTGATGAGTCTCGATTTCTGCTGCGACATTCGGATGGTAGGGTCAGAATTTGACGTCAACAACATGAAAGCATGGATCCATCCTGCCTTGTATCAACGGTTCAGGCTGGTGGTGGTGGTGTCATGGTGTGGGGAATATTTTCTTGGCACTCTTTGGGCCCCTTGGTACCAATTGAGCATCGTTGCAACGCCACAGCCTACCTGAGTATTGTTGCTGACCATGTCCATCCCTTTATGACCACAATGTACCCAACTTCTGATGGCTACTTTCAGCAGGATAATGCGCCATGTCATAAAGCTGGAATCATCTCAGACTGGTTTCTTGAACATGACAATGAGTTCACTGTACTCAAATGGCCTCCACAGTCACCAGATCTCAATCCAATAGAGCATCTTTGGGATGTGGTGGAACGGGAGATTTGCATCATGGATGTGCAGCCGACAAATCTGCGGCAACTGTGTGATGCCATCATGTCAATATGGACCAAGCTCTCTGAGGAATGCTTCCAGCACCTTGTTGAATCTATGCCACGAAGAATTGAGGCAGTTCTGAAGGCAAAAGGGGGTCCAACCCGTTACTAGCATGGTGTACCTAATAAAGTGGCCGGTTAGTGTATTTTAAACCAAATGGTATATTCGGCTAATTTAAATAAAACTTAATTTATTTTTTTTATTATTTTATGTTTTTTTGAACATGTGCGTGCAACACAAGAAAGTAAACTGAAAATAAACAAACAAAACCTATGAGAATTTTCAAAACAACAATAACAATAATCAAAGCAAAATATATATATATATATATATATATACTACTCACAATAATGTGAACCCAATATGTCGGAAAAGGAGTAGGATGAAGCATTATGCTTATTTAAATGCACCCCTTCTCTGCTACTCAATTAACAGTCTCTTTAACATATTTACATGATATTTACAAAAAATAGATATTTAAGTTAAACTGTTCAGAATATTAAACATAACATGACTTATAAAGAAGTTTTGGTCACATTTCAGTCATTGGAAAGGTGTCTTACAGAATTTTTGACAACTTTTCTGTCATGAAGCTAGAGTTAAACAACGGAAAAGGACCCAAAAATACAGACAAAAGGGGGGTTTATTAAAAAGAACTAAATGAAAAGCAACAAAAAGTTACTTTAAAATGTCCAACCAAAAAAATCCAACAAAAGGCACTGGGGGAAAAACCACAAGGAGACAACTGAAGGCACAAGCATATGCACACAGACATTTGAACCAAACAAGACAGAGGGAAAGACAGGTACTATATACCCACTGGGAAATGAGCAACAGGTGAGGCAGACGAGACACAGGTGAAACTCATGGATGATTAACGAGGGAGGGAAAACTAGGGAAGTAAAACCAGACCAGAAACACAAGGAATCAACTACTACAAAATAAAGCAGGAAACACTGAAAACTGATATAAAGAATAAAACACAGAGAAGAGGAGGGAAACAGAGTCACACACAAACTGAAAATTCACAAGACTGGATCACAGGAACAATAGAGAAAATACACAAAATGCACTCAAATAAAAGCAGGAGAAAACTAAATAAACAGAATATATCATGACATTTTCATCCACACTTTTTCATGTTTTACCATCTGAAATGAGATAATGTCATATTTAACCCACTGGAAAGAGATCAGGAGAACAATTTCCATGATGTATGACCTCCAAAGGGCTACTGGAAGGGCATCCAGGGAGCATATAGTTATTTTTATTAACTAAAAGGGCATTTAGAGGCTACTCTATGGGCTTTAAAGGGGCATTTTCTCATTTTTTATCCCCTCGAAGCGCATTCAGAGGCCACTTTACTATTCTTTATCCACTGGTAGGGCATCCTGAGGTCAACGATTATAAACTATGTTTGCCACAGATGTGTTTAGGTTGTCCTCGCTGCCTCTTTGGCTATTGTTTTTTTTTTTTGTGTGGCGTGGGTCGTGAACAAACCTGTTGTCGTAGCAGGTTTGTTTACCCTGAATTTTAATGTATGATATTTCTAAATAACAGTTTTTGATTTTTCATATCCACCGTCCAGTCTGACTAATGCTGCACGTTTTTAGTTATGTCCAAAATTAACCTGTTTCTTCATCAAGCGCTGCTACTCCCAGTGACGTTTGTGGCCTGTTAAGACTCTGTGTGGGTTGAAGTGTGTCCACCTTTAAGCCTAATTATCACTGACAAATAAGACTGATGTGTGTCTGAGTCTGAGTCATCGTCTTCTGTCCAGCTCACCCTGTTACTCACACAGCTGCTCCTCGGCGAGTTTGTGCGTCGCTGTGGTCCAGTAGAATTAGCCGAAATCCCCCACACCCCTCTCCCTTTATCCGTCCTGTTTGTCGTCGTGGATACCGGCCAGATATTTTCCGAGACCACTCCCATGACGGTTATGAGTGCATGAAAAACTCATTCTCATTGAAAAACCGTCCAATTAGACAAATGACTCACTGAGGCAGAATTTGGACACCAAGAGGCGGACGCTGAAAGGGTTAATTTTTCCAAATATGACACTGATGCTGCACAGCTGATCCAGTGTGTGGTGTAAGCATGTGTGTGTTCCAGCATCTGTTCAAAGGAGACACTCGTAGCTGACTCGCTTATTCATACCGGGGCTGACGCAGGGGGTCAATAAGCCTGAACACACACTCACACACACATATATAAACAGCTCAGATTGTGATGCTCCTGCAGAAGGATTATGAGAGTAAACCTGTGAGTTCAATCTGTGGCCGTCTGCTAATACCTGCTAAACATGTTTGCAGAGGACTGCTCCGCTCTCTGCTGCGAACACAGACAGTAGATAACCAAGTCGTCGGCGTGAAGAGAAACAAGCTGCAGATCTCTGTTGGTTTAGGAGGATTTTAATTCAGATTTATAAGAGGAGATACTCATCTTTAGAGTGCTCTTAAAACTGAGTAAAAGGGAAAGAGAAAGCAGATTGCAACAGAGACAGGTCTTGCATGAAAACAACCAACATGCCAATATGCTTCTGGACATTAATGGCAAAATGGTAAGAAGGATTTGAGCAGTTTTTTCTTTTGCTTTTTGTGTCATTTGAATGATAAAAACATGTTTGGTTTTTTTGTTTCTTGCAGGTTTCCTCTACAGAAGAATGTATCGGACCAATGAGACTGACTCAGGAGCCAATTCAGGTAAGACCAGAACCGACCCTGTAACATCTGGAGTTGTGTAGGTACTTTCCTAAAAGGAAAATCATGTTTTTCATGCTGTTTCTGATCATGAATAGATTATTTTTAGCTTAAGTTCTTATTGCACACTATTTGTGTGATTAATTGATCAAAACTTTCACAATTTAAACAATTTTAACCCAAAGTTGCATAGATTGGTGTGGTGTATCTTATTTAATGGACTATCTGCCTGTTTGGTGATGATTTTCTTTTATTGAAACCTCTAAAAGTAGAGAAAATTTTAATGCCCTGAGACAAAAGTTTGGGGTGATTCACACTTACTATTGTCTGCTCAGAAACTGTGACAATTGTTTACGAGCAGCAAACTGTCCTTAGTATGAAAGAGCCTGATATGGATTTGAATTGACCCAAAAAGAGACAATAATGTCAAAAAAAACTTTAAAATGTGAAAGAAAATCAATCAAATATGTTTGCTGTTTTTATGATATAAAGCACCTGTATTTGTCTTGCAAAGCCATCTTAACTCTGCACATAGAAACAAGCGTACAGCATAAACTAAAAAGTAACACTGTGCAGTTAAAATAACCTGCACAGTGTTAAAATGTATTTTATTCATGTTTACAATCAGAATTTTTCCAATCAATATCTGTCATGAGTCATTATCTCAAACTCTTATTCAGAAGTGTTGGCACTTTTTGTATTCTAGACACTATTTCATCACTTTTTATTGGCTTATTTTATCGTATTTTATCTAAAAAATTGCACCAGACAGAGTAAAAATGAAGGCATTAGCAGACCTTTTCCAGATCTTAGTTTAAAGGGATTTCACCCCCAGCTTGATTTGAAGTATAAAATAGCAGTTGTGGGTATGTTGTTCCTTTAGCAGCCTGGTACTTGAGCCTGTCCTGGTAACTCTTTTTTACACAGCTGAACCTCCTCTCTTACTTAAGCTCATTTTTATTGTTTTTACCTCCAAAGCTGTGAGATGAAGCTGTTTTCATGCGAAGCCTTAACCTCGGACACCTTGTTGTGTCTCTGAGGTTTCAGTCTGCTGGGATTTGGTCTTCCCAGTCAGGAACTTGTGAATATTGCAGGTTGAGGGTGAGTTGAGTCAGGGATTGAGTGTGCTCATCCTCCGGTGAGGGATTAGGCCGTGTGCTGCTTAGGTTTATCCTTATGTAACAAAGAAACAGAGAGTTCCTCGAGGTTATCATCCAAGCGAGGTGAAGGTAAACACAGTAGTCCTCTTTTACTGAAGGATACACAGCAGTCCTCTTTATAAGCTACAGGAAATAAACAAAGGAAATTTGACGAGTCATCATAATTTTACAGCTTCTTTCCATTATTTAATTAAAGCTCCAGTGAGTAACTTTCTGGTCATGTTGGTTCTGGCGCCACCTGTGAACAAAAGAAAGACTGTAGTTAAGCTTGTTTTGTCCTGCACATGTGTTGGCCATGTTTCCTGATATTATAGATAACGTAATTTTAGCTTTGAAGCAGTTGGATGCTAGCCCAAGCTGTTGTCATACATAATTAAAGCTGCAGTGAGTAACTTTCTGGTCATGTTGATGCTGGTGCCACCTGTAAACAAAAGACAGACTGTAGTTGAGCTTGTTTTGTCCTGCACATGTTAGTCATGTTTCCTGATAATGAAGCTAATGTAATATTACCTGTAAAGCGGTTGGATGCTAGCCTGAGCTGTCGTCATACAAAATTAAAGTTCCAGTGAGTAACTTTCTGGTTTTGTTTTGGCGCCTACTGTGGTTAGAGCTTGTTTTGTCCTGCACGTGTTAGTCATGTATCCTGATATTGTAGCTAACGTAATTTTTAGCAATTGGATGCTAGCTTCAGCTGTCATCATTCATAATTAAAGCTCCAGTGAGTAATTTTCTTGTTGTGTTGATTCTGGCACTACATGTAGTCAAGGAAACCTGGAGTAGAGCTTTTTTGGTCCTGCACATGTGTTAGTCATGTTTCCTTTGAGTTGCAGCTAATTTAATTTTAGCTTTGGAGCAGTTGGATGCTAGCCCGAACTGTCGTCATACATAATTAAAGCTCCAGCAAGTAACTGTGTCAGTCATGTTTTCTTAATACTGTAGCTAATGTGATTTTAGCTTTGAAGCAGTTTGATAGTAGCCAGAGCTGTCGTCATACATAATTAAAGCTCCAGTGAGTAATTTCTTGTTTTGTTGGTTCTGGTGCCACCTGTGGAGAAAAGGAAACCTGGGGTATTGATAGGTGTCAGTCATGTTATCTGATATTGTAGCTAACGTAATTTTAGCTTTGGAGCGGTTGGATGCTAGCCCGATCTGTCGTCATATGCTTGCTATTGAGAATTCAAATTTGAGAACGTCATTTCAGTTGCCCGTTGATCAGGAAGCGATGGTTTGAGAATGTCCGTTTTAGCCTTAAACACAGCAGTAAAGCACTTTAACCTGAGCGCGCCTTCAGAGTCGAGTGGCTGTGATTTTAACGAGGTGAATTTGATTTTAACGACGCTCGTTTGACTCACCTCCAAAGGTTTCTCAGTTCAGCTCAGTTCCTGCTCCAGCGCGGTGACGTTAGAGGCCTGGCATCCTGCTAATGTTCATGCAGAGTTACAGTATCCTTACTCAACATGCCAAATTACATCATTCCAGGAATCTGCAGGTGGACGGAGAAGGTTTTTATATTAAAAGTCTGTCTCAGAGCAGTAAAATCCTTAAAGCAGCCCAATAAAGATGTACCTCCAAAGTCCTGCTGGATCTGTTTCCACACCCGTGTCTCTCCTGTTCCTCTCCTTTTTCTCCTGGATCCAGTGAGTGAGGTAAACAATCAAGTTGGCCTCTTTTGTGAGGACGGGGTTGATGCTGTCACCGGAGGATGATGAAGCTGATTTTTAGGTGTTGATATTGATGACAAATTGACCTGGAAATCACATATTAATGGAATAAAAGTGAAAATAGCAAAAACAATTGTCGTGTTAAACAAAGTAAAGGATTACTTAGATAATAAAGCTTTGTAGCTCTTGTATAATTCAATTATTGTTCCATATCTGACCTACTGTGAAGTGTGGCGAAGTGCATGTAAAACTTCCATCCAGCCAATTTTCATTTTACAGAAAAGAGCAATACGAATTATTAGTAGAAGTCAATACAGAGACCCTTCAAACCCATTATTTGTTAAATTGTTCAAATTCAATGATACTATTAATTATACTGTTTGTTTTCGTATTTTAAGCTCAAAACAGAATATGTAATAATAATAATAATAATAATAACAATAATAATAATAATAATGCATCAGATTTTATATAATAGAGAAGAAAACGAAATAATAAATCTACTTTTCCTTTTTGGGTTATTAAATGGACAGATAATATATGGACCAGGTTGGCCTGCAGCTCTTGTTTATTTTTATTTTGTGTTTAGTTGATTAATAAATTATGAAAGAGGGGCAGACTCTGTAAGAGTTTTCTTCTTTCTGCTCCTTTTCATTTACATGTTTGAGATTTTCCTTGTTTGTATTGATTGTTTTAGATATTAACTGGATGAAATAAAGTATAAAAATGAAAATGATGATGCTGTGAGGATGAGGAAGGTGTCTGCCACCCTCTCATCCAGGAAATGCTAGATTGAGTTTGGTGGATTTGAAGATGGGTTAAGACAAGTCACATAGAAGCAGAAACATCAGAGTTTTTCACCCCAACTTCACCCGGATTGTTGCCTTCTAGACCCCCCAGCTTAATCCTCTAAATTATGCAGGTGACACCTCTCCTCCTCCTCCTCCTCCTCCTCTTCTTCTGCCTAAATCTAAGTCTAAATCCTTACTCCTTGAGATGTCTAAACCTGTGCACATGTGTGTATCATTAGCAGTGATTTACAGTGAAGTAACTGTGTGTTTTGGTCGGGTATCACGTCCCTGTGATGGACCGCAGTCGTCTGTTTTCTGCAGATGTAAACAGGTTTTTAAGAGCAGCAGCGCCACCTCGCAGGCTCGTCTCCGGCGGTATATTTGGCTAATAGGTCAGAGATATGTGCGACGGTGTGCAGCGTCCTCATCTGGGTGCTGTGTGTGTGGAATTTCACATGTTCGCATCATGGTTACACAAGCCCAGTGCTGGATCAAAGAGTGTGGAGCGTTCACACACTCTCACCAGTGCTCGCTTTTTTTCTACTGCTGCTGTCTATTTTCTGTCCAAACACTCAGAGAGGACCCACAGCTGAGGGTGGAGTGGGTCCCCACAGTCCTGTTTCTCTCTTTCTGACACCCCGTATGCTCTCTCTCTCTCAGTCACTCTATCCTTTGTTGTCCTCATGGGGAGTCAGGAGGTGAAGCTGCTGCGAGCAGAGCTGAGTGCTGTTGCTTCTGGCTACAGACCAGCTGCATTATGTGTGTGTGATCAACTCTGCTCTGTGTTTGTGTGTGTGTGTTGTGTTTCCCTTCAGCTGTGCCAGAGGTTAGCGGTGTGTTCACGGTCAGATCACAGTGTGGGATCAAAAACACGAGTCCGCTGCTGTGAAGTGCAGCTTTTATTAGCGGTTATCAAGTGGTACGCTGAAATCCAGCTTCAAACCTCTGACACGAGAGACAATGAGATGCTTGCACACACTTTCAATTACAGGCAGATCCCAGTGTTCAAATCCCCTGAGCTGCTCTTGTCATGTGACTGTGGGAGGAAATCCACACAGTACTCAGAGAGAAGAAACTCCTCAAAGAAAAGAGAAGGGCAGAGCTCCCCTCAGGGATTCGCCCTCTTTTCTATATTTAGAAATCTTGAAATGAATTTGGAGACGTTTCACTGATAAGTTGTGTAAGATTGGATTCTGTCTTCTTCCTCATGGTCCCTCAGTCCTCAGGGGATAAACTGTACATCTCCTGCAAGGAAGAAGACCTGTTAGCTCGGGTTCATTCAGAAACACTTGGCAGGAAACAATGTGCTGTTTTTAGAGTTGTATAGTTTGAGAGTGCGATATTTTACCTTGCAAAACATCTCCGCACATGCTCAGTTAGACATGTTTGTGCGTGTTCAGTCAGAAGTTTTCCTCAATTTCAACGTCAGTTTATAAAGTTTTCTAGAAAGACAACAAAAGCATCCTTCGTTTCTTTAAACGGCTGAGATCTGCAGAGGTCGTCAAAGTCTGCAGCCAGGTCCTTCTTCTCCTTGAGAACAGACGACTCAGAGGGCGTTTTTGTGCATGAGTTTATTTTCATGTACAAAACCCAATTCCATTGAAGTTGGGAAATTGTGATAAACGTGAATAAAAACAGAATACAATGATTTGCAAATCTTTTTGAACCTATATTCAATTGAATACACTACAGAGACAAGATATTTAATGTTCAAACTCATAAACTTTTTTTTTTTAAATATTAATTAACTCAGAATTTCATGGCTGCAACACATGCCAAAGTAGTTGGGACAGGGGCATGTTTACCTCTGTGTTACATCATCTTTCCTTTTAATAACACTCAATAAACGTTTGTGAACTGAGGAGACTAATTGTTGAAGCTTTGAAGGTGGAATTCTTTCCCATTCTTGCTTGATGTACAACTTCAGTTGTTCAACAGTCGAGGGTCTCCGTTGTCGTATTTTACGCTTCATAATGCGCCACACATTTTCAATGGGAAGCAGGTAGGGACAGGCCAGTCGAGTACCCGCACTCTTTTACTACGAAGCCACACTGTTGTAACACGTGCAGAATGTGGCTTGGCATTGTTTTGCTGAAATAAACAGGGGTCCATGAAAAAGACGTTGCTTGGATGGCAGCATATGTTGCTCCAAAACCTGTATGTACCTTTCAGCATTAATGTTGCCTTCACAGATGTGTAAGTTACCCATGCCTCAGGCACTAATGCACCCCCATACCATCACAGATGCTGGCTTTTGAACTTTGCGTCGACAACAGTCCGGATGGTTCTTTTCCTCTTTGGCTCGGAGGACACAACATCCACTATTTCCAAAAACAATTTGAAATGTGGACTCGTCAGACCACAGAACACTTTTCCACTTTGCATCAGTCCGACTTAGATGAGCTCGGGCCCAGAGAACTGGTGCCGGTTCTGGATATTGTTGATAAATGGCTTTCGCTTTGCATAGTAGAATTTTGACTTGCACTTACAGATGTAGCGACGAACTGTATTTACTGACAGTGGTTTTCTGAGGTGTTCCTGAGCCCATGTGGTGATATCCTTTACACATTGATGTCGGTTTTTGATACAGTGCCGCCTGAGGGATCGAAGGTCACGCTTACGTGCAGTGATATCTCCAGATTCTCTGAACCTTTTGATGATATTATGGACCGTAGATGTTGAAATCCCTAAATTCTTGCAATTGTACTTTGAGAAATGTTCTTAAACTGTTCGACTATTTGCTCACGCAGTTGTTCACAAAGTGGTGAATTTCGCCCCATCTTTGCTTGTGAATGACTGAGACTTTTTGGGGAAGCTGCTTTTATACCCAATCATGGCACCCACCTGATCCCAATTAGCCTGCTCACCTGTGGGATGTTCCAAATAGGTGTTTGATTAGCATTCCTCAAGTTTCTCACTATTTTTTGCAACCTTTCCCAACTTCTTTGTTACGTGTTGCTGCCATGAAACTCTAAGTGAATTTCTCATCAAGGCGTTCACTCCCTCTCATCTCCTTAGGTCCTGCTGATTTTCGCCAAAGAGGACAGTCAGAGTGACGCCTTCTGGTGGGCCTGCGACCGAGCCGGGTTCAGGTGTAACATCGCTCGGACGCCTGAGTCAGCGGTTGAGTGTTTTCTGGACAAACACCATGAGATCATCATCATCGATGCACGCCACTCACGCTACTTTGAGCCTGAAGCCGTGTGCAGGTGAGTTTACAGGAGAAACTCAGATTTCTGTTAACTTTGCAGAAACAGGAAACAGCGCGCTGAGCTGTCCAGTTCATATAATTTGCCTCGTGTGAATGAAATAACTCCTGCTGTTTTTTTTAACTCTCTTTTCTTTGTTTGCAGGTTGATTCGAGCTACAAAACCTTCTGAAAACTCGGTTATTCTCGCTGTTGTGCCACAAAAGTGAGTTTGAGTTCACCGTTTGTTTGATCTTCATCTTCTGATGTTTCACATTTTTGCTTCTGAGACTAAGAGAGAACTTTTTTTACTCCTCAGAGTTGCCGACCAGGAGGAGCCATCAGTCCTCCCACTCCTCTGTGCTGGATTCAGCCGAGTACGTCCAACAACCTGTGACTGTATTGCTTAAACTCACTGAATGTGTCACATTTTTCAGATGGATGCTGTTATTTTGGCTCCTCTGTGACTGCAGACACTAAAATAGACGCTCTGATTACCGGCAGTGTTTGATGGTGTGGTGTGAAAATGACGTAGGCAGTTACGAAACAAGTGTCTGCTGAGTAAATCCTGACTCATTTCTGTCTCCCTCTCTCTGTCTTTGTCAAACATTTAACCTGGATCGTCCTGCAGAGGTTCCTGGAGAACAGCAGTGTGACCACCTGCTACAATGAGCTCATACAGATCGAGCACGGAGAGGTGCGCTGCCAGTTCAAACTCAGGTACTGCAGAAACACGCATACTGACACCTACAGAGTACGAGCGAACATTTAGTGTTCGTAATAATGAGCTGCTGTTGGCGGATTCATCCACAGGGCCTGTAACTCTGTCTTCACTGCTCTGGAGCACTGTCAGGAGGCAGTGGAGATCACCAGCGAGGACCACATAATCCAGGTAAAGGCTAGAGTATGTTAACTGTACTTATAATCACAATCTGAAAGATAAAACCGTCAATATCTGCACACTCTCGTCCTCCACGGGCCTCCACTTCGCCATTTTTCAGAGTATCTTCCCTCATTGTGTTTTGCTAAACTAGCTTTGACTGTTGGAATCACTGCTCAACACTGCCCCCCACAGTTTCCAATGGTACTGCAACAGTAACTTTAACTGTGCAGAAATATGGATGCTAAAACCAAAGATACAGAAGCGTATTACAGTCACCAAAAAAAAATGCTCTGTTTTTCAGAGTAATTTTTTTCTGTTCCGTTCTTCAGAATTCTAAGTCTTCAGATTAATTTTTTTTTTCTGTTTTTCGGAATATTTTTTCCCCTGAATTTCAGACTAATTTTTCGGGGGGGGGTTTGTTTGTTTTTTGATTTTGTTTTTTCAGACTAATTTTTTTTCTTTTCTGTTTTTCAGACTTTTTTTCTGTTTTTTCAGAATATGTTTTTCAGACTAATCTTTCTGTTTTTTTTTTTTTGTTTGTTTTTTGTTTAGTTCACAGACTAATTGTTTTTCTTGTTCTCTGGGATCATGATCATTTAAAAACAGATGCTTTCACCCCCTTTTGCTCGATTGATTGGAAGCAAACATGGCCGACCTGTTTAGTTCAATCAAGTTTTACTTTCTTTTGGGTTTGAGACGCTGGGAGACTTTTTTTTGTAAGTGAATGCAATATGCTTCTGTACAAAGAGAACTCGCACAAAGTCATACACCATCTTGCAAGAAAATAAAGAAAAATGCGACAGTTCAAACCTTTTCTTTAAGGTTTTTGACAAACTTTAACTTCTGTGACACTTCCTGTGTGTGTAAATGTGTGTGTGTGAGCTGCATATACCAAGTCTGAACATCTGCAGTCAGATACCGGTCCTGAAGAAACTGACATTAGACCTGAACTTCTTGAACATCTCCCTGGTTTTGTCGCAGTACGTGAACCCGGCGTTCGAGCGAATGATGGGCTACCACAAGGGGGAGCTGATGGGGAAGGAGCTGACCGAACTCCCGAAGAGCGACAAGAACAGAGCGGACCTGCTGGACACCATCAACACCTGCATCAAGAAAGGAAAGGTAACCAGCACACCTTTATATCCATTTGTTAACCCAGTTTCTGATGCTGCATCATGTCCTGATAATTATCCTGTTTCTATCTGTGAAGGAATGGCAGGGGATCTACTACGCCAGGAAGAAGTCAGGGGACAGTATCCAGCAGCATGTGAAGATAACACCCGTCATCGGCCAAGGAGGGTGAGAAGACTTCCTCCAACTTCAAGGGTTAACTTTATTTTACAAGACCATCACAAATCACCAACGGACTCTCCTCTCTCTCCTCTTACAGGAAGATTCGACACTTTGTCGCCATAAAGAGACCTCATCTAGACAACAACAACCAGGTGAGTCAGAGATGATCTCGTGTGTCACACAGAAACCTCATCTCTGCTGAGGTTTTTGGGACTCACAACAAATCTAAATCTCATTTTCAGGAGTGCTGAATGATCTCTGAAAAAGTTGCTCCTGATAGTCACTGTATTTTTAGCAAAATATCGATATTTAACCTCTTTAAAAAGACGGTTATCATCAAGACTGGTGTGTTGGAGCAGCTTTAGTTCATAGTTTTTAGTTTTCAGCATTCCAACTCATTTTCTGCAAACGAAAAGTGATTTTTCTAGTTTGATCTTAAAAATAAGAATTGCTTCGTACGGTTAATCTGGATCTTACATGCAAAATAATGGAGTTTTAATCATGCATTGAGAAAATCTGGTTAGTTGTGATGTTCTGCAGAGATTCAGCGGTTAAAAATATTTAACAAAAAACATTCGACAGCCTTAAGCTTTACCCTCTTCATGCAGCTTTTGCATTAAAGATTACCCACGGAACAAAAAGCACCACATTCTTTCTGCACACTTCAACCCCAAAACTAACATCACTTGCAGATTTGCAGCACTTTAAACTCCATAACAGTTGAAATTGTGACTGCAAGAGCCAAACATCTGTGTTTGTCACCCAGACACTGACCGTATTAATCCAAATAGATTATCTCACATCCAGAAATTTGGGATGCATTGAGACGATATCTTACAGACACAGCAGCAGGATGCTTGGGAGGTAGTTAGGCTACAGATCTGCCTGCAGAACTGAAGGTTTGACTGGAGGACAGTGGTGGCAGAGACAAATGTGCAGTTGAAATTTATGAACTCTTCTGATTTGCAGTCTAAAGATATCAAACTTTTTGCTTCCATGCAGGACTTGCAAGTGTTTGATGAATAAGTCCTCCTTGTATGCATGCTTTTCAGCTGTTACAGGAGTTTCTTTTTCTGTTCTTTAGCCTGAACAAATATGAGTCCTCACTTGGCCTCATCAAGCCTGCAAGAGAAACGAGGGTTTGAATCCAACCTGGACTCAGGCAGACTCTCCTGGCTTCACTATTTTCAGAAATACTTCAAACGAGCTGCAGGCTAAAGAGTCAGATTGAACCTCCTGGCCTGCAGCCTCGCAGTTTTGCAGCTTTGTTGTTCAGCGGTGTGCACACTTCTCTCTGCAGCAGCAGGTGTGTCGCTGCTCTCAGCTGGGTTCTGGGCCAATAACGTCATACTACCCTAAGCTACGGCTAAACCTCAGGATCCCCCGCTAAGGCCTGCGAGGGCTAACAGCCAGGCGCCAGATCTATTTATACCCCAACAAAGCTTCACGGAGAGCAGCTTTAGCCGGCCGCTCTCTTTCATGGTGTGTGCACAGGGTGAGTCAGCCGCTGGCATCTGTCTGCTAAAGCCTCATTCCTGCTCGTTCAGAGCGGGAATCCTGAGACACGGAGGAGACTGATCCCATTCCCGAAAGTCAACCTCATAACCTGAAATGTGCAGTGTCAAACTAAACATGATCATCAGGGTGTCCTCCTCTCTTATACTGTTACATCGATGCACAGCAGGAACACAAGTTTAGTATTTGATGACATTTTTAACCGAATGATCGATATAAAGATATCCGAACAGAGACGCTCTTCTCAGTTTGGAAGCCTAAGGCCAAAAGAGGCTCGTTCAGGGTAGTACTGTACTCATACTGTCTCCTGAGCCTTTCAAACCAAACACCAGTCAACGTTTTCACTCACTTGGCTGCAGCTTTAAGTTTCCATTTCATTGTGTTAATAAGTGCGCAGTAAGCACCTCAGACCTACAGCAACTTTACGGTCACTTTTGTTTGTCTTTTCCTCCCAAATGAATCTGAAGTATTTTCCAGATTTAGTCTAGCTAATTTCAAATATGTTTTTTAAAGATGTTTGTTATTGTTTGCAGCCCAAGAAGCTTATGTAGCTGTAACCAGCTCAGGCTGGCAGCCATGTTTGTCATCAGAGTGTTTGGACTGTCTTAATCCTGTTTACTGAGCCCTGGATGCTCTGCAGAGCTGATAGAAGTGACTCAGAAATTAAAAAGAAAACAGTTTTTTTGTACTTAAGAAGCAGTGATTATGAGACATGTTTTGATGTTGCATAATAGAGTCTGCTGCAGTGTCAGCAGCATGTAAAGGTGCAGGGAAAATCTTCTGTAACTGGATTAGAGGCTCTTCAGATATGATATAACCTCTGTGACACTGGCAAGATGTACCGGGCGTTTGTTACCTGCATGAGCAGCATTACCATGAACTCGAGCAGCCGTTATGTAAGGTTCAGTGTTGTCGTATATGCTTTGTGCTGTGTATATGCAGCTCAAAGCATTACATCAGAGCTGCCTTTTATTAAGGGTTGTGATCAACCAAAGAAATTCTTGGACGACTAAAACCCTGAAATTTTCAACCAAAAATCGACTAATCAGGGGGGTAACCCCTCTGCAGCGGGGGACGGCAGGGTCAAAAAATACTGATATCATTCCACGAAGGCAATTGAACTCAAATATTATATTGCTAAACCACTGGATGTTGATTAATGTGGACGCTCTTCAACCTTCCTGTCTCCAGCCAGTCGCCGGTGGGTTGGGCAAATCCTAAATGGTGAAAACAAGAGGGATGTTCTGAAATTAACTATAGACTGTAAATTGACGCGGAACAAAATCAAGGCGACAGATCAGAATTGTGACTCAGCACGTATCGACCAATAAGTCAACCAGTCGACTAGGACTTTACAGCCCTACTTTTATTGTTGAATAGAGGAGCTTTTGTCCTGAATCTAAAGCTGCAGATTTATCCGCCAAAGCGGCTTCAGCTGGGAGGAGGCGTCATTTAATTAAATGTAAAAGCTGCAGTTCCTCAAGTGTCCAATAGAGGCTGGCTGCACGACTAAGAAACCCAGTTTGAGTCAATGTTTAAATACTCATAATTTTAAAGTATTGCCTATTTTATAGCAATGTGCCATCCTGTACATCAGCGATTTTTTGAGGAAGCTCAAACGTAACCGTCCATATTTGGGGTAATTTAATACAGTGCATTCGATACACAACAAAAGCTGCTCTGTAAGGGTCCTGTATGTCTGTTTAAACTGTTTAATTTAAAGAATAACAGAAGCCAACAAGATTTATTTCTTAATGCATTTATCAGTGAATTAAATTCCATGTTGAAAACAGCTTTTATCAAATCAATACACCGCAGAGAGCTTTGCAGAGCACGGACCGGTCAATTTGCGCTAATACCCATCAATGGAAAGTGGATTTTAATAAAATCAGAATAACTCGTCATCAAACCGACTGTATCAGTTGGTAAAATGGCTTGAACAGCAGTTTCCTGTTTAGTTTATTGCACAAAAACATCCGTTTTATAACCCCAATGAACTTTCTACCATTTAATATCTCTCACTCTTCTCCTTCCTCCAAGTACAGCTGTGAATTTCAGCTATTTAAGGCACAGCTGTCACCACTGATTCATTCAGCTGCTTTCACTTTATTTAGAGACAGGTTTGTCAATCACAGGCTGTCACTGCAGATACTCTTTCTATGTTTGAAAGAAAGTAAACCCACACAGGTTTGGAGGAGAAGAAATCAAACATAATCAATATCAGATTTCATAGAGTACTTTATATTATTCAAAATATGGACATAATCTCTGTGATGTTACCCATGTTACATGTGGGGGTGTCTTATTCTACTCCAATGATAATGGTTTGACTGTTTAGGTCCAAGAGACTTTAAAGGGATATTTCGGCGTCAATTTAAATTATGTTCAAACACATCGTAACACCAAGTTAGACACCCCTCCGAGAGATGAATGTTGCTGACCACTTGCTTCTCTAGTTATACCAAACAACTATACCATAACAACTGTACGATAGCAATACAGAGTGGTCTACATCTCCAATCACAAACCTCAACCAAAAAGCCACTCTATATTCACAAATAATGCTCAGAACAGCACCTAACTTCATCAACAGTACATAGGTCCCAGCCACAGCACTAGCCACCAAACATCTTTTTAGCTTTGCCTGATTTCTTTAGCAAAGAGACTAAACACAACTCACCCACTCTCTTCCAGCAGCTGCTTGTTTGTGGAGGGGCCCTGACAAGTCAATCACCAAGTGCAGTGGGAAATTTATGATTATTACTTCATGGAAATGATCCACTGCACTCAGTGATCGACTCATCAGGGCTCCCCCACAAACAAGCGGCTGCTGGAAGAGAGTGGGTGAGTTGAGTTTGGTCTCTTTGCTAAAGAACAACCAGACCTGTATGAAACTTGTTATTGAACCATTTGGCTCCTGTTTACCACATTTGGTGAGTCTATAAGTATTTAAACACCTTTGAAATACTACTTCCTGTTTGACAGGACCTAATGCAGATTCCTTGGCTTTTGCAGCAAACACTTGAGTTTCTACATGTTTTTTGCATTTCTTTATTGGCTCAATATTTCATCACCAAGGGGTTTTAATCCAGTTCTCAATTTAATAAGGATTTTCTCCGTGTGTCAGGTTCACAAGTTCAACAAGGAGGAGAGATGCAGTGGGGAACATTCACAGTCAGGTAAGCTGTTTCTCTGAAATCACTGTGTGCACTTTTCTCTTGATTAAGTGTTTTAAATCAAGCTGCAGAAACTAGTCTGACAGGTCTTTTAGGATTTAAAGGCTTTTGAGACAATAATGAGTAAAGTCTGATGACATCCCGGGCTTTCACAGTTCCTACTTCTGCTTGCATGCATAAATCTGCCGCTCCAGAAGTTGAAATCTAACATCTATTCCCTCTTCTTCTCCGTCCACAGAGTGCCATTCTCTACGTCACCGCGACAGGAGGAAAGACTCCATCGAATCTCGATCGCTCAGCTCTCGCAGTAGTGACGGTAAAATGCATTAACTTTTATTTCTGCCTCCGTTTTGAATAAATGAACCGCGGTAATTGTTATGAGATAAAAAAGATTCAGATAAAGCGAGAGGAGGAGAGTGATGAGATAACTGCAGCGAGACTAAAGTAAAGGCAGACGCACAAAGGAGGAGGAGAAGAAGAATGGGGAGATGATGGGGGCATGAGTCAGAGTCCTTGCTGTGGATGGTACTCAAACTGAGGAGAGACGGCGTGGGCTGGTGACATCACAGCCCGCCTTTTATCGACTAGCTTTGTCACAGCTGATACTATTTTCAGGGATCAGTGGAGCGACGTCTCCTCGTTAATCACCTTCCTGTGTTCTTCTCTCTCCATTTATTAACCTCCATCTGTGTTGGAAAGGAAGCTGCTGTAGAAGCTGCACTTCCTCAAGTGTCCACTGGGGGCTGGCTGTAAAAGCCAAGAAAACCCGTTAGAGTTTATAATAAATTCAAACTAATGTGTGACTTCACTGAGACGACCTTCAGGTTCATCTTAGATTACTCTTTTCTCCACGTTGAGACGTTTCTCCCATTTTTGAAAAACAGAAACAGTTGCTGTGTGAATTTCTTTGTTTTTTCCGTATTGAATCTGTATTTTGTGAATTGCAGCTCCAAGTTTACAGAACCGCAGATACTCCTCTGTCGCCAGGATCCACTCCATGACCATCGAGGCTCCCATTACTAAGGTACGTGACCAAAAACCAGCCCTACACTGGTAAATAAATCAGCAAAGACAGTGTTTCATCGCCTCTGTGGCCTCCGCCTGCTCAAGCACTCTGCATCAGCGATTAAAGGGAAAAAAAGTAGGTCTAGATTTGGCACAGTCCTTTAAATAGTTAGGATTATTTGCAATAAAATTAAGATCTTATGATTCTTAACTGTGCTGGGAATCTCTGGTTGTTGTTTAACACACATTTGCCGCTGTAAACACCTACAGGGGAATTTTTCTTCATAGAACTACTTCATAGAAAATGTTCAGATTTGTTCTGCTTATGGAGGTTTTTCTTGAAAAGCCCCATGACACCGCTGTCATGGTGTGAAGGTGCTTAGAGCCACAATAAAGCAGGTCAGACTGGAGGCTGGATCAGGGTCTGTCACAGTCCCCCTCTGTCCTCTCCTGCTGGTCCTGTGATGCTCTGTGTGTCTTAAAGCGTCTTTTTTTAGCCTGTTTCCCCCCCAGTAAAGTCCATTGCAGCGTCACATCCATGCTTCCTGACACATGCTGTGTGAAAGGAGCGCTCTGTTGCTGCGTGTGCTGCCCAGGGTCGTTTGTGTGTTTTGATTCAAGTCTGTTTAAGCAGAATATCGACTGTTATTCTTCCTCCTCCTCAGGTGATAAACATCATAAACGCAGCGCAAGAGAGCAGTCCGGTGACGGTGGCTGAAGCTCTGGATCGCGTGTTGGAGATCCTGAGAACAACTGAGCTCTACTCCCCTCAGCTGGCCTCCAAAGAGGACGACCCCCATACCAACGACCTGGTCGGGGGGCTCATGAATGTAAGAGGCTGAATGTTATTAAAGGGATATTCCAAGTTATGGTCAAATATACCTAACACCAAGTAAGACACCCCCTTGAGAGATGAATTTTGCAGACCGCTTGCTTCTCTAGTTATACCAACTTTAGTAAGGACCACAGGATAGCAATACACAGCGGTCTACTTCTCCGCACACAAACCTCAACCAAAACGCCACTCTATAGCCACAAATAATGCTCAGAACAGCACCTAACTTCATCAACAGTACATATAGGGTCCAGCCATCATCCTAGCCATCAAACATCTTTTTAGCTTTGCCTAATTTCTTTAACAAAGAGACTAAACACAACTCACCTACTCTCCTTCAGCGGCCACTTGTTTGTAAGGGAGCCCTGATGAGTCGATTAACGAGTGCAGCGGAGTTTCGCAGCTCAAGGAAGAAAATTTATGATTATTACTTCATGGAAATGCAATCAGAGTTCTTGTGTATCTTGTATGTGCACTGCAGACGCGGTAGTTCTTCTTCCTGAGCATCTCGGTCTGATTGTATTTCCATGAAGTAATAATCATAAATTTTCTGCTGCACTCTGTGATCGACTCGTCAGGGCTCCCCCCACAAACAAGCAGCTGCTGGAAGAGAGTAGGTGAGTTGTGTGGTGATAAATGATGTTACAAAAATCAAATTTATCACAGTGAAAATTCTTTAAAACTATTTTTACCACACACATCTGCCCTCAACCAATCACTCAGACAGAGAGTGGAGCAACCTGTTATTTCATCATCCGCAGAACAATAATAATAATAAAAACATAATAATAATAAAACTTTATTCAAATAGCAGCTTGAATTACAAAAGTTTGCACAGTGCTAAAAATACATAATCTTTAGAATAGCAGAGAAGAAATAAATCATTAAATCATTGCAAATAAAAGGAGAAAAGACACTTAGTAATAACTGCTGTTAAATCACATCATCTGATTTCAGCTGCATTAGTTTCAAAACTGTGTAATAAAAGCTGCTCTTTATAGCAGAGATTTTCTTTTTTTATCTTCGGTTTGTGATATTTTTATTTTCATAAAAAACCTCAAAGTGGACTGTAAAAATATCAAAATAAAAGCTTTTATTTTGATATCTTTACTGTCTACTTTAAGGTTTCTGTATGATTTAATTTGAAAGGACATTGTATGTTGTAAGTTACTGAGCTGAATAAAAAAAAGCAGATTGCAAGTGTTGAGTGGATGTTTTTATCAAATAGACAGTTATCATACAGAGCTCATATGTACAACATTATTCAGAGTCTCTGTTTGACCATTTCAGGATTCCTCCAGTGAAACCTTTTATTTGACCCACTTTCTCAGACACAGGTCTATCAGTCTGAACTGTCTGAATAACTTCTTCTCTTGCTCCCTCTGCAGTTCAGTTTTTTCTGCGTAATCATTCATTTTTATCCCTTTTTTCTTTCCTCTCTTTAGGATGGGCTCAGGAGACTCTCTGGAAATGAATATGTCTTTTGCAAAAGTAAGTTTCAAACAGAGTCATTGATAACAATCTCTGAGAGACAATGTGCAGGCTAAACTTGCAGATTGAGGAATAATTCGTCCTCAATGACGTGCAGAAAGTCTTTAAAAATCAAGATATTCCTTTAGCAGTGATTTATATAATGGGCTAATAGGTTTACTCTAAAGCAGCATGAGGGTTTGTTGAATTACTGTCGAAGAGTGACTTTATAAACACATAATATTAGAAACGAAGGTCATGATTTGATGAAACACCTTAAGATTTGATTTCTTTTGATCAAGTTGCTCTGTAAAATAAAGAAGTACCCTCGTCGTCTTCAGAGATATCTCGCTGCCTTTCGACGAATCTCATGAATAAATATTCAAATTAACATGGTTATCAAAAGAGTCACAGTGTTCTTGGAGATCTCTGTAGTGTTAATTTACTGTTATGAAATCTCCATTACAATGATTAAAGTCACAAGCACACTTAGCTGAGAGGAGATATGAATCCAGAGCCGGTTTGTCTTTTCAAACACACTGACAAACTGAGATGTTTAACCAGCGTGTTTGCACATGTGTACGCGACTTTATTAGGCATAAGCATTTATTATTATGTGTTATCACTCACAGTTATTCTTATCCTGATCCTTTTATGGTCTGTCTGTGTGTGTCTGTGTGTGTTTACTGCCAGATATGAGTCAGAGCCAGCTGGCCGTCCCGGTCACGCTCAATGACGTCCCTCCGTCCATCGCCGAGATGCTGAATGATGAAGAGTGCTGGGAGTTCAACATCCTGGAGCTGGAGGCAGCCACACACAAGAGGTACGAATCTGAGACCGGTGAATGAATATTTGTCTCGTTTTAAAGCACGGTCTGTGATTACGAATAAAGTTGTAGCTGAATTACTTTCCTGCTGAAAATTTCTCTTAAAGGCAGAGCGTGTCAAAACAGGAACATTCAGGGATATCTATCTTTTCTGTGATCCCTCACAGGCCGCTGACGTACCTCGGTCTGAAGATCTTCGCCAGTTTCGGTGTGTGTGACTTCCTGAACTGCTCAGAGGCCACGCTGCGCTCCTGGTTGCAGCTCATCGAGAGCAGCTACCACTCCTCCAACTCCTACCACAACTCCACGCACGCCGCAGACGTGCTGCACGCTACGGCGTACTTCCTACGCAAGGAGAGGGTCAAAGTAAGAAGGAAAACTTCATGTGTATTCTCAAAATAGAATCCAAGTCCAAGTCGTGTGCTGACCTCTGTGTCTCTATTGTGTCCTTCAGAGCAGTCTGGACCAGCTGGACGAGGTGGCGGCTCTGATAGCGGCCACAGTGCACGACGTGGATCACCCAGGCCGGACTAACTCCTTCCTGTGTAACGCCGGCAGCGAGCTGGCGATCCTCTACAATGACACGGCTGTGCTGGAGAGTCACCACGCCGCGCTCGCCTTCCAGCTCACCGTACGAGACAGCAAGAGCAACATCTTCAAGAACACAGACAGGTCTGTTTGTGGACAATGTTTGAGAAATTAACGAAAGATCTGATCTTTAACTCGCTCCTTAACTTCGTCTTCTGCTCTGCTGACAGGAACCAGTTCAGGACTCTTCGACAGGCCATCATCGACATGGTTCTGGCCACGGAGATGACCCGACACTTTGAGCACGTCAGCAAGTTTGTGAACAGCATCAACAAGCCGATGGCCGCCATAGAAGAGACCAGCACCACTGTAAGTGTGGGCGGGATCATTTAAAAAACATTAAACTTCTTTAGATGTATAAACATTGAAGCTACAAAAGCACATATGTCTGCTGAGGGCTTCCACAGTTAGGGCCTGTTTCCACTAACAGCAGTTTTGCACTAGCAGCACCAATCCATGCAGTGTTGCCAACCTAGCGACTTAGATTTAGCGACTTTTCAGACCCCCCTAGCAACTCATTTTTAAAAAAGCGCCTAGCAACAAATCTAGCAACTTTTTCTAGAGTTTAGAGACTCCAACATAAATGCAGGAATAGATGTTACTCTTCTCAACAGGTAGCCGGTGTGCATCAAAAACACAGACACTCAGACACCCCGCAGAAGACTCCTCCTCCCAGGGTTGGGGGGGTCAGTAGGGACAGTGGGTTTGACATAGAAGTTATGCAAATTAGGCAATGATGTCATCTAGCGACTTTCCTCACTGAGGAGTTGGCAACACTGATGTCGTGCTGTTGCTAGCTTAGGGTGACCATACGTCCTCTTTTACCCGGACATGTCCTCATTTTTGGGGCCTTGTCCGAGTGAGTTTATAAAATCCCTCAAATCTCTGTGGTTTTGTATGGAAGTTTCGAGTTTGTGTCATGTGGACTTACTGAGTCAGAAGCGTGTATAAAACACTCGACCCGACCTGAAAAACTCAAAATTTCCTATGCCCGACTCTGTGACTCCGCCCCTGTGTAGTCGCAACCTCTTTTTGGGGATTCAGAATATGGTCACCCTATGCTAGCTTATCCTACTGCACCTCTGTCTCCCTCTCTGCTCAGTCTAAGTTATGCGTGCTTTTTATCTCATTTTATTCATGATATATTATGCGTCGCTTTGGTGCAGCAAATGCATCCAGTGGACACGGGCCCTAAGTACATACTGTAAATCTCCCTGAAACTAAATAAATGCCTGTGCAAAAAGATCTACATACATATGTACTTTCCTTATCTACCTTGTGTTTCCATGGCAACAACTTTAAATTGATTTTTTTTTAATGTAAAAAGTCAATCTAAAAAGTCTAGTTTATCGTTTATTTCAGAGACTCAGGACTTTAAAAGCATGTGCAAAAAAAAAAAAAGACCACCTCAAACGTGTGTGTATGAGATAGTGTCCTCAGCCTGAACTTAACAGCGTGTGTGTCTGTGTGTGTCTGTGTGTTTGTTTCCTTTCCCACAGAGCGTGAACAGCGACTGCGAAGGTCAGGCCAACATCAGGAACTCTCCGGAGAACCGTCTGCTGATAAAGAGGATGCTGATCAAGTGTGCAGATGTGTCGAACCCCTGCAGGCCGCTCGAGCTGTGCATCGAGTGGGCCGGGCGGATCTCTGAGGAGTACTTTGCACAGGTGAGAGGAACGAACGGATCCACTTTAGACTCATGAGGCTGTATCTGATGATTCTGACATGTAGACGGATCTCAAACCTGATTCTTCCTGTGTGATGTTTCTGCAGACGGATGAGGAGAAGAGACAGGGGCTGCCCGTAGTGATGCCGGTGTTCGACAGAAACACCTGCAGCGTGCCCAAATCCCAGATCTCCTTCATCGACTACTTCATCACTGATATGTTCGACGCCTGGGATGGTGAGATCTTCCTCTGGTTTCTCCTCTTCCTCGTTTGTTTGACCTCTTCTTTCTCTGTACATTTGAACAAGGTGTCTGATTGTGTTAGGGAAAAGGTTGAAGGGCCTCCTCACAATCTTAAGCGTTTACTCTCAAACAACTTAAGCACTTAGAGTAATTGGATTAGAGGAACTTCCTCACCTCCCGCTCTGACCGTTGCCCCGCTGGATGTCAGATGTCTGCTCTCAGGGTTCACTCGTGATTCCTCCTTAAGTGGAGGCGGTTTGATTCTCCGTTTAGCGGCTTCAGTTACCTCCTCTTTAAGAATTTAATCAATGAGAATAAAATCGGACCTCGTGTTGTACCTGCTTTATTTAAAGAGTTTGCAACCACAGCTCAGTCTCCGCTGATGCACGAACATCTTGTCTCGTTTCGTGGCTGATCTCAGAACAGCACAAAGAAAGGAGCTTGGAGAAAGTGAAAACTCTTCCTTTTAAGATTCGGTCTCCCCGAGAGGGAAACTTGTTTACTGTCAACACGGCTCTGATGTCACGGAAACATCGTAAATGTCAGCAGGATGGAGAGAAAGAGCGAGAGCGTCAGGGGAGGAGGGTTTATATTACAAATACACAAACACACATGCAGCCGCTCTCAGTCCTAAGGGGTCAGCGTAGGGTCAACGACAGGATGTAAGCAACAACAGGTCATGAACACACACTGTTATGTGTCTTTGAGTGTTTGAAATAGCATTTCTGTGTCCCCTTAGCCTTCGCCAGCCTGCCTGGTCTCATGGAGCACCTATCAGAGAACTACAAATACTGGAAGAGCCTAGATGAGATGAAGTGTAAGAGTCTGCGCCCTCCGCCTCCTTCTTGACCAACTCCTCCTCCTCCTCTTCTTCTTCTTCATCCGTCACTCCGAGCAGGGAAAGACAGCGACTGCAGCCCTGCCAAAAACCACACCGAGCTCTGACGTCCTCCCAGGTAACTCACGGACATGTTCACTGCCGGACTCTGGAGAATCGAGGACTGACGAACAACCAGAGCTTTCTTATTTCAGAGGATGGGTCAAAGGTCCCGGTCCACTTCCTGGCACTTCTTTACAAACCTTCAGAGTGAACTGACAATCTAACGTTCAGTGTAACTCTACAAACTTGCACTTTAATCCTCTGGGCTCCCTCCTGCTACTTCTGCTTTCTTTAGAAACATCTTTTTTTTTTCTTCACATTCACACCATAAAAGAATCAGCTGACCAAACCATGGAGCAGTGACGGACAGGATCGCTCTTTCTGTGGGTGAACTCTTCAAGTTGCCAACTATCCTTGTACCCCTGTTAAGAAAGAACCAGATCCTGGTTGGGGTCTAGAGTGTTGGATTTTCAGGGACGTATGGAGGAGGGTTGTGTTTGTGATGGACTCATCCTCCTTTGTGCACTGTGAACGCAGAGTGAAGAGGAACTATTGCACTGAATCAGAGCTGGATGACAGGGAGACATGGTGCTTTTAAACCTGGGCCCCATTTTTTTTTTTTTTTATACTCTAGATTGCAAAAACTGTTTAGGAACTGCTTCAGCTGGACGTAGTGCAACAGAAATCTCAGGGTAAAATGGTCTTTGGGCTCAAAATGGAGCAGGGGTGACCCGTAAATTCAGACTAATTGATCAGAAAACAGTCAAAGTTCAGCACAGTTCTGATCACATAATGTTCAAAATTTAGTTTAAGTAGTAAACAAAAACGGTTGGTCTGCAGGGCCCAGGTTTAAAAAACACCAGAAGTTTCCTTTAACTCTAAAAGCATCAGAATTTAGCTTTGAGACACTAACTGTAGACTGTCCAAACTAAAGAGCAGAGTCTCTGAACACTACACTGACTGTTGTGTGGTGCGTTATGGTCTCAGTACTGTAGGGGTCAGGGGTCGCTCTCCTGATGGTAGCAGCTGTGTGGGACGCCACAGCAGGATGTAACGTTTTAAAGAGCGTCAGAACAACGGAGTGATCCAGCTGCTGCAAAACCAGCTCTGGCCTTTGAGTTGTTGCAGTCAATTTAATAGAAAAATACTCAAACATGATTTTAAAGTATTTGGAGTTGAGGTCTTGGTGCATTAAAAGTGAGGATTTCCGTGATGTGACTGCCCTCTAGTGGCCACATGGAGGTGTTGCAGCAGCATTACTCTCCACCTCTGAAATGGTGCATTATTTATGACAGCAGATCCAGTTTAAATGAAGCTGTTTTTAAAAACCAGTATTATTACCCATCTGATTAATGTGTGACCTTACATACAGAGCTGCAACTACGGTTTAACGCCAATTTTTTCACTATCACTAAATAAGGCAGGGTGATATTTTATTGCTATTAGAGGGCTTTCCCTAGATTTTCACAATAAAGGTCCAACAGTATTACAGAGCGATGTTTCTGCAGCGCTTTGGTCGTATTTAACTCCAATAAATCTGTATGTATAAGGTTTGATTTGTACAGAAGCGTACTGCATTCACTTACAAGAAAAAAAAGGAACTTTGTTTTAGTATTTTTTTTCTTTCCTCCTTCTCTTTTTTTTGACTTTTTCTCCTCTGTGTTTATAGTATTAATTCTTCCCCCTTTTTCTGTTTTTCCGACAAATTTTAATTCTGTTTTTCGGACTATTTTTTTCCTTCTGTTTATTATGCTACTATGTTTTTCCCCTTTTCTGTGTTTCGATCAATTTTATTTCTGTTTTTTGTACTTTTTGTTTTCTTCTTTCTGTTTTTGATACTTAGATATTTTTCCCCTCTTTCTGCTTTTTGAACAATTTTTTTCTGTTTTTTTTGTACTATTTTTGTCTTCTTTCTGTTTGACTGACTACATTTTTCCTTCTGTTTTTTTTGTAAAAATATTTTTCCCCTCTTTCTGTTTTTTGGACCAATTTTTATTCTGTTTTTATTCTATTTTTTTTTTCATCTTTATGTTTTTCTTGCTTTTTTTTCTGACTTAACAAATGCTTCACAATCCTGTGAGACTCTCATACAATCGGATAAATGTTAACCTCCACGGCTGCTCCAAATCAGCAGATTCTCCAGCTCCTAGATAACTTAGACCACAGAGGTCAATGAGAGTTAAGCATCTTATTAGTTAAACATAGGGTAGGCAAATCCTGAGGTGCCTGCACAAAGTAGACAAACTTATAATGATTCCAATTTATTGAATTTCCCTTCTGGGATTAATTAAGTTCTTCTTATTCTTATCTATCTGACTTAAAGAAAGGAGTATCTCCCAGTGTCTCAAACCCAAAAGAAAGTAAAACTTTATCAAACTAAACAAGTGGGCCATGTTTGCTTCCAATAAATCTAGCAGAGTGGGATGAAAGTGTCCGTTTTTAAATGATCATGATCCCAGAGAACAAGAAAAAACAATTAGTCTGAAAAAACATATAAATAATTATGAGAAAAATTAGAAAAACAGGGGAAAAATATTCTGAAAACCAGAAAAGAAAAAAATTAGTCTGAAAAACAGAGCATAAAAATACTCATCTATAAAACAGCTTTTTTTCTTTCTTTTTTTTTTGTTGTTGAATGCAATACGCTTCCGTAGACTTGGGCTCTTATTCCCCTGTATCAGCAGCTCCGCTAAGACTCCCATCTAAAGTACAGTGATATTTAAAGGAGGACATGTGCAGTATTTGTGTGTTTATTAGTGAACACACATATCCCTGAATGAACCAAAGGCACAGGTGCCTTAGTCTTTGGTCATTTTTCCCCTGATGGAGCAGAATTTTGGACTGATGTGGTTTCCTCTCTCCTCTAAAAGCCATACATGTCGTTAGAAGTATTAAATGTGGGTGTGTTGAGTTTTGGTTTGTAAGTTTGGAGTCAGTTTAAAGAGTGTGTCCAAACATTTCATTGTTAAAACTGAGATATTTGTCAGTAGAGCCCCCTGGTGTCAGCTGAGAAAAAACAGCCATGAGAGATCTGTGCATGCAGATCTGTGTGAGGAGGTTTTAGGCAAGTCAGTCTGCAACAGCCTGAACGATCTTTACCGAGAGAAACAAACTGCAAATGCGGAAACAATGCAAATTTTAAAAAAAGCATGCAACATTTGTCGATGCAGCTGTTTTGGCTTTTTGCAGCTTTTCCATTTGCGTTGCTGCATTTGTGACGGGCTTCAGCATGTGTTTTTGGTGAAGGATTTGCAGCGTGTTTCTCCTGGTGAAGATATTCAGACTGTTGCAGATCCTCCTGTTGGCCATCGTGGATCTGAAAACTGTGTCCGCAGATTAGCAGTCAGGGGGACTGAATATGTAAACTAAGAATGTCCTTGATGGTGCGTTTTGTTTTGGACTTTCACTCGCAGATAAATTTGACTCTCTCTGAGGATGCGGTTGCCATAGTGATGGCTGATTCCTCATTCTCTGCAGAAACAAACCACGTTTTGCATTTCTGATATGTCCTCTCTCTGCTGACTCTGCGGACGCTCTGAAGGTGTCAGACTTGAGCTCAGTTCCTTTCTAGTTTAGTTTGCTGTAAAGAGGCAGAGCCGCTCACATCCATGTTCAGTGTTTTCTTAATAAATGTATTAAATTTATCGATGACCAAGGTCTTAATCAAAGCCTTAAACCTCGTCATGTCTCAGTGTTTGTCTGCTGTGATAAAAACACACACACTGTAAGCTCCCTGCTGTCATTGTAAATATTCATCTGATGTACTGTTATCTTGATTTTACACGCTGTGCTTCTGAAACTTCCTTCTCAGCTGTTCTATGTCGCAGATTTTCAAAATAAGTTTTTTTTTTGTTTTGTTTTTTTTTACAGTTTTTCCACCTTTAAATTCTCCTTCCAATCATAAGAAGATATTTTTGCTAGATTTGTACCCACAGAGATGATTTAACATTTGCCTTCTGTGTGAGCAGCACTGACAGGAATGTGAAGATCAGATTAGGTCAGATTAAAGATGGCCACTCTGTGACGCCTCGCTCTCTCTGAGGAAGACCCGGACTGTAAAACAACTTGTTTTTGGTTTCTACTCTCTCTGTCTCTGTCTCTCTCTGATGGCCGTGACTGCAGCAGACGACGTGCCAACACTTTAAAACTCAAACTTTAGAGTGATTAATGTCACACAGATATAATCAAAGTGTTTGTTTTCTAGAGAGATAAAACTGAATGTTTCACTGCCTCCTGCATGGTAGTGAACAGAGCTCCTCCTCATCACTTCAGATGTTTGTATTTTTAGTTTGCTCCTCAGATTCTGACATTGATTTAATGTTCTGTCAAACACAAATGTACTGTTGCAGAAAATTAAAGATTCTTATAACAACAATAATAAAGAAGACTTTGTCATATTTAGGGGTCATAAAGATTTAAAGGAGTAGTTTGGTGTTTAAGAGGCTGATTTATGGGAGGATTTTTTCCTCTTGTTTGAAAAGTTGTTGAAATTTTCCTGTTTTTCTGTTTTATCTTAAGCTACAGGGGTGTTTATTCAGCATACTATGAGTTTCATTTAGATTGAAATCAGCAATTATCAGCAGGATATTGGTATCTGCAGATATATTATTGTCTTTGCCCAACAATTTTCCTGCATTTTTATCCACTACAGAGTCTTCGTGCTGGAGAAATTTGCAGTTGCCACCAAAATAAGGGCCTGTGTCCACTTACAGCTTTATGTGCGGGCAGGGCCTCGATAGTTAAACTTGAAAAAAGAGGGGTGCCACTTGCCTAATGATCAAACCCACTCACAGGATTATGCCTCCTGTGGGCGGCCCAGGTCTAATTCCAGTCTGCGGGTCACTCCCCACTCTCTTTCTTTCTGTATCCTACACTGTCCCCAGTGTCGTATCCTCTATGATACGCCCACAGAAGGAATCATTTTCATCGGTTTTGTTTGTTTTGAGGGCGGCACAGCTGTGTAGTGGTTAGCACTGTCGCAACACAGCAAGAAGGTCCTGGGTTCGTATCCGGGTCAGGGCGTCTCTGTGTTGAGTTTGCATGTTCTCCCTGGGTCTGGGTGGAGTTTACTCCGGCTACTCCAGTTTCCTCCCGCAACCCAAAAATACACAGAAGTGGGATTCGGTTAATTGGCCACTTCCAAATTGCCCGTAGGTGTGGATAGTTGTTCGTCTCTATATGTCAGCACAGCGATGAACTGATGACTTGTCCAGGGTGTCCCCTGTCTTTACCCGAAGATGCTGGGATAGGCTCCAGCCCCCCGCGACCCCCAACGGGAAAAAGCGGTAGAAAATGGATGGATTGATGGAGTTTTTTTTTTTTTTTTGCATTACTGGTGCAACAGAAAGAAAAGCTGTTAGTGGACACAGGCCCTTACACCAACTTCTTACAGTGATGAAAGTTTAGGGTGACCATATTCTGACTTCCCAAAAAGAGGACACAACTATGCAGGGGTGGAGTCACAGAGTTAATTTTGAGTTTTTCGGGTGGGATCAAGTGTCTTTGCGTCCTTCTAACTCAGTAAGTCCATGTGACACAAACTCGAAACTTGTGTATAAAACCGCAGACACTTGAAGGATTTTATAAACTTCCCATATGGTCATCCTATGAAAGTTAAAACTGGATTTCTCTGTTAGTGGACAGATTTAAGAGTAGTAGTAATCTACCTTTCGACAGGAAGGCCATTAATCAGTCTCACTTTTTACCTCTAAACACAAATTCACAGAAAGGGTCTCTCATGAGTCTGAATGGTCAGCAGCGAGTCTGCAGAAAAAGACAACTGCTGCTCAAGGATCACAACAAAGGTGCTGAAAATAAACGTCTAAATCTCCAAAAACAGATCTGTGAAACCGGCTTATACTCCAAAAATGAAGAGGCCAAAAATGGAGACATCAGAGGCCGACCAAATACCCTCTAATCCCGGAGAAGCCTCTAGAGTACGACCCGCCATCACAGGGAAAATGCCGCTCAAAGATTCTGGTTTCACGGTCAAATCTGGAATAAAATCCTGCAGACAGTCAGTTTTTTTTTAGATGAGGTATTTACTGAGGCTTTAAGTTAAACACTTGATTTCAGTCATAAGGCAAAATAACAACCATCACATTATCACAAAGTGCAGACAACGATCATGACAGTGAGTTCAAACCGTCTGTTACCAACATCAACACACAACCTCACATCTCCTCTTCTTCTTAAGGCAGTGACTCAAGGGGTCAAAAGGTCAGAAGTTAGGTCAGAGTCCTCCGTTCTCCTCCAGTTTCTGGAAAAGAGCCAGACTGCGCAGGTGGGACTGCCTCTCCCCGTTCTTCCACAGGATGAGCAGGTGGTCAGCCGAGCAGGTGACCAGGCCGTTCTCCTTGAAGCTCACAAACATCTGACACACACAAGAGAAAAGAAGTCAAAACCGGCGCTGTTTTTACCTCATATTTACATTATTTTGACCTTCAGGTCTCACCTGCACCGCCCCTGAGTGTCCGATCAGATCACCGGTCAGCTCCAGAGTCCTGATGTGAGGGACTTCTGCGGCTTTTTTAGAGGAAGGACCGGACTGTTTGTTGGACCGTCCGAAAGTCCACATCCCAAAGAAACCTGAATGAATGTTGATTGTTTAGATTAACATGTGGTAAATGTAATAATCTGAGCCCATGCAGTGACTCCATCTCAGAATCATGTCTGTTTTCAACGCAGCCTGAAGATCACGGCTGCCAACTCTTGTTTTTGGACCGTGTCCCTCTTACGTAAAGATTACTTCAGATTCAATAATATTTTGTTCTCAATGATGAAAACCGTTTGACTTCTTTCCCAAAAGAGAGGCTGCGTAATAGGAGGAGGTTCTGCACCAATCTAGCGCATGTGCAGTAAAATCTATGTGTCACCTGGAGAGGCCGGTTCAGCAGGTAAAGGCAGGTCCTGGATCTCCCACATCCTCACGCTGCCGTCTTCAGAGCAGGACATGAGCTCGCTGAAACAAACACAAAACCACAGCTGTGAAACCAAACAAAGTTTTCTGTACCTGTTCATTGTGTTATCATAGTCTCAATGTGGCACAGTGGCGCCACCAAGTGAGAGTATAAAATAGTGCAACCTCGGGACAATATTCAGTCTAAAACCTTGTGGTTAATTTGAAGTTTATCAGCAGTTTTTCCTTGTGTTTTGTTTTGAATTTTTATTTTCAGTCTTAGTTTTGATCCTATTTCAATTCTGACCTGTTTTTGAGTAAGTCTTTTTTGTGTGTCAGATATTTTTCAGGTTTTGTGGGATTCCCATCTGGAGTTTTTCAATTTTTACTCTGGTGATATCAGACAGAACAAGACAAGTGAGGAAACGTTCAACAACTACAAAATTAAAGATGACGTACAAACATAAAAACAGGTTAACACCCAAGAATTTCTCGTTCGTTTAACAATGTCAATCACATGTGTGAACTTGTACATGTGTGTATGTATATAGGAAAGTAAAATTAAAGAAACGAGGAGAAAAGGAAAAAAAGAATTTAAAAAGAAAGAAGATATTTGATAACATCATGAACTGTCTCTACGAGAGTGGCTGCAGACTTCTTTTTCATTTCTGCCGCTCCCCCTCAGAGTTTTAAAACAGGTACACATGAGAAAGTGTCTAATCTATTTACCTGTCAGACAACAACATGGTGTGTAACACATTCGAGTCATGAGCGACCTTCCTGTAGGCGACCACCGTCTTGGTCAGAATGCTGTAGACATAGAGACCGCTGCCCACGGCCGCCAGGATGAGCTACGAAACCACAAACATCAGAATTATCTGAAACAGCGAGAACAGCGCGGCGGGTCCATGGACTCTTCCTGTGTGAATCACCTTTCCGTTAGTGGTCAGGTGCTGGATGGACATCTCACTGGGTTTGGGGGCACCCATTCGTATTTCAGCCTGAGCGGGGGACTGTGACTCCTCCCACAGGATGTGCTCGTAGGCCAGGATGTTCCAATCAACCGCATCCCATAATATTAACTCGCCTGCATGAGAGCCGCTGGCGAAGAGACCATCTGAGAATGATAAAGAAAAGTCTAAAATGAAATTTAAGATCTTATAAACTGATTTCACAGATACTCAGTTCCTGACAGACTGACCATTGATGTTGATCAGAGCTCGGATCTGGTCCTGGTGGTCCGACAGGCAGCGGATCTCAGACATGGACAGAGAGGAATCGGTGGAGACAGTCAGCCTGTAGATCACTGCGAGAAAGTAAAACCAAATTTAATCTTTCCTCCTTTATAACAAACAAACTTAAAGGGATATTCCAGCTTAAAATGAAGTTAGGGTCAAACACACCGTAACACCGAGTTAGACACCCCCCCAAGAGATGAATGTTGCCGACCCCAGGATAGCAATACACAGCCGTCTGAGGAGCCAGAAACAAACCTCAACCAAAATACCACTCTATAGCTACAAATAATGCTCAGAACAGCACCTAACTTCATCAACAGTACATATAGGGTCACAGCCACCAAACATCTTTTTAACTTTGCCTAATTCAGCAAAGAGACTAAACACCACTCACCTACTCTCTTCCAGCAGCCGCTTGTTTGTAGCGAGACCTCAGGCCAGTCCATTACAGACTACAGAACTACCGCGGCTGCAGTGCAAAATTTTTAATATGGTGATTATTACTTACATGAAATGATAAAAAATGATCATAAATGTTCTTCCTTGAGCTGTGTCACCCCGCAGTAGTCCGTAATGGACTGGCCTGAGGTCTCGCTACAAACAAGCGGCTGCTGGAAGAGAGTAGGTGAATTGTGTTATGTCTCCTAACTAAAGAAATTAGGCAAAGCTAAAAAGTTGTTTGGTGGCTGGGACCCTATATGTACTGTTGATGAAGTTAGATGCTGTTCTGAGAATTATTTGTGGCTATAGAGTGGTATTTTGGTTGAGGTTTTTTTATGGCTCCTCAGACCGCTGTGTATTGCTATCGTGCGGTCGTTACTGAAGTTGGTATAACTAGAGAAGCAAGCGGTCAGCAACATTCATCTTTCGAGGGGGTGTCTAACTCCGTGTTACAGTGTGTTTGACCCTAAATTAATTTTATGCTGGAATATCCCTTTAATAATATTAATATTCTGGCTATGAAATCGGCCTCCTACTGATCTCTTTATCCATCGCAGCAGCGATGCAGTTCTTGGGCAGCTCAATCAAAGCGATTACTCCTGCGAAAAGACAGAGCAGAGAAGTCAAAGGTGAGTTCATGTTGGTGTAGCAACAGGGGAGAGGTTTTCTTCACCTGTGACTGATGTTTTCTTCTGTTTGTCCTCACCTGTGTCACTGTGGTTCTGTCTCTGACACTGCAGCTGGAAGTCTCGGCTCCACACACACAGCTCTCCTCCTCCAGAGACCCACACACACAGACGCTCCAGCACCAGCAGACACTAAGAGGACGCACAGATTTATGTGATCATTTTCACTCAGTCACACACACACCGAGAAAAATCAGCCAAGAAAAGGAATCAAACTTAATTAGCCTATAGATGCAGTAATTAACCTTAATCTATGATCAGGAGGAGGCAATTAGTGGTTTTATCTTAAATCATAACTGGCAGAACAATCTTTAGTGTCAAACGGTTTAATCAGTGCGTTACACATCCAGACAACACAAAGTTAATTACCCAGAGCTGAATGACAAGATGGAATATCCAAGAAAATATGAAGTGAAGGACCAAAGAGGACTGAACATTTTCTGTATTAGACACTTTCACTAAAAAATCAGATCTGAGCAGCAGTTTTTGTCTTATTTCTAATAAAAATGTCAGATTTCAAGATATGACACCTTAGAAATAGATTTTAATGACACAAAATAATCTGCCAAGGGGAAAAATATCTGTATTTTTGTCTCATTTCAAGAACTGTATGTCGGCAGATTTTATTTACTAATTGTTAGCAATTCATGTCTTAATTTTGGAAAAATGAATATCTAGAAAAGAAGCGCCTTTTCTGAAAATTTTTCAGGTGAATGTGGCTAAAATTGGACGCCAAGATTTGAATTTTGCAGAGAACTTTTCCTTTAGAGCAACTCAGGTGATGTTTTAGATTCAAGATCTTCATGCAAAAGTCTTATCAAGAGACTATGTTTCACCTTCACAGAGGACTGGAGGTCTGAAATGGTCTGGACCCTGTTCCCAGTATCAGGATCCCACAGCTGACACAGTCTGTTAAGGAAAATATAAAAACAGACGTTTCTGCAGAGGTGTGTTTTTGTCGTTTGGAGTTAAGGATACGCTTAGGCTCTTGTCTGAGGAGGCTGTGATGAGCAGCATGTGCGACAGGACCCCGTTATTACAGGTGAAGGTGGTGATGGCTGTTATCTGCTGGGAGTGTCCTCTCAGCTCCTGCAGCCGCTCTCCAGTCTAACAAACAAACAAAAGAAGGAATTAAAGCTGCTGTGTTTGTGCACGTTCTGAACACACTGAGATAATCAGCTTTCAGGGAGTTTTACCTCGATGTTCCACACCAAGATGAGGCCGTCATCTCCCGCTGAGGCACACCTGGGCAAGAGAAGATGAGCGGCGTGAGCGAGGAGAGTCATATGTGACAAAAATACTTCAGCGGAGACGTGCAAGTGGCTGCGAATTCACCGAGTTAATCTCTATCTGTGTGAGGAATGACTTCCCGTGGGTCCATCTCCACCTTAAAAAAACATCTGTTCTGCTGGTTTTACGCCTTCGCTTGCCCTCTGACCCCCGACCATCCACACTCCCTGCTCCCAAAATCAACAGACAGGATGAGCGGATAAAAAAGAGAGATAAAATGAGAAGAGAGGAACTGTCCAGGATACATTTTTTTGGACTTCAAAAGCAATCTGGAGAGAATTTTCTGGCCTTTGCCCCCGACTGTGGACCCGTGTGCGGAGAGGACGAGACCCAGAGGAGGGGGTTATTACTGGAGGAGACCAGGCGTGAAGCGACCCCCACCTCCTCACACACACACATGTGCTTAGTTCTGTTATAAATCCCAATCTGAGCACTTATGCAGACCCGCTGTAGCATGCCGGTGTGCAGCATGCTTCCACAAAGGAGAGCAGGTGCAAAAAGCTCTCAGTGTGTACGGACAGCAATAAAAGACTCAGGCTCTACTGTACTGAGCACACACAATCACACACTGGTGATGATTGGGCTCTTGTCATGCTCTGTAAGTTCGCAGTAGGTGAGGATCTCCTGTCAATCACAGAGGGGATAGAGGCCAGCCAAGGGTAGAGAGGAGAGGGGTTAGAAAGAGAGAGGGGGGAGTGTTGTGGTCTGCTTACCTGAAGTCATCAATCTGCACCAGAAATCGAACAATGTCAAAATGTCCTTTCAGCACCTGCAGCTCAGTGAACCAGTTTTTGGGCTGTTCCTCTCCGATGCACAACACGGGGCTTTTCTGCAGATGAGAGACGAGAGAGGGAAGGAGTGAGACAAGCAAGCCGAGCCGCAGAGGGAGACTTCAGTATTTAGGTGTTTCCAGTTTCTGCTACTTTACTCCTTTACTGTGAGTCTTTAAGTCAGGTTTAATTAGTCCGTAGAATTTTAGGAGCAGCATATGGCCTCTTTTAAGTCTCTGCTCTCTTGGAAAAACTTCTAACCTTTTTCCCAGTTTATGTTTCAAACAGCTGACCATTAATCTGCTGCTGAGCCGATAATAAAATCATTGTTGTTCGAGCTTTCTAAATAAGGCAGCAGGTCTCAAACTTTTCATTTGTTACCTCATATCAAAGAGGAGTTTAATCTAAATTAGCAATCTCAGATTGTATCAGGTTTCATCTATAAACGTCTTAGATTGTTTCATGTTAGAGCCACGGGTAGTTCAGTGCAAATTTAAGCAGGGCATGAAAAGAAACAAGGAAACACAAGAAACAACCGGCCCTTGGAGGAGAAACATCTGTTTTTATTTGGAAAAGATATCAGTGAAGTGATGATGATCGCACTAAAAGGCAAGGCAAGTTGATTTGTATGGCACCATTCATACACAAGGCAATTCACAGTGCTTTACAGATGCAAGGAAATACATAAGAATTAAAAAAAAGAGAAATTAAAACAATTTAAAATCAAAGACAAAATGATTTAAAATCAAAAAGACAAAATGATTTAAAATAAAAAATAATTTAAAATCAGTTGAAATTAACAGAACAGTAAAGTAGACGTAACAGAAAATGACGCTATAGGAAAGCCGCAGTAAACAGTAATGTTTTCAGCCCTGATTTAAATGAGCTGACAGTTTCTGCACTCCTAAGATGTTCAGGGAGTTTGTTCCACAGGTGAGGGCCATAGAAGCTGACTGCAGCTTCACCCTGCTTGGTTCTGACTCTGGGGACAATGAGTTGACCTGTCCCTGATGACCTGAGGGGTCTTGATGCTTCGTACCCACCTTGCAGTTCTGACATTCAAAAGGCCCCTAATCAGCCCAATTGATCAGCCAACAAGTTGACAAGTCCATCTCTACATCTGACATTTAGTTTCGACCTCAAGAAAGCGACTTAAACTAATCCAATACTTGGAATACACTGAATAAACATGTCTCCTTAGGGCTTCCATACAAGTCAGCACAAGATAGTTAAATGAATCTACTGAGCTGCAGCACAAAGGACAGTCTGAATAAGAACAGTATTTATCTCCAGCATACAAATATATAAGAGCTGTATCAAACTAAAGTAGTAAAGTAAAAGTAGTTAGCATCCAGCCATAATATTAGGAACACCTGGGTAATCCAACACAACCACTTTGCCATAAGTTCTACTTTTCAGTTTTAGTTGACAAGATCAAACAGGTGTTTACTGATGTCCATATTGTGAAAGGAGTTCCTAATATTTTGTCCACTTCCTCAACAAGCACAAGGGAAGTAAAATATAGGGAACTTTTTTACATAATGGACTAAACAATCCCCTTTACAACTTCAAGAATGAATTTGAAGAGCATTTACAACCTGTCTGATCGTGTCAACTAATGCTTGAAAGTGTTGTATGTTGTAGAGCTGTTGTACAGGGTTGCATTACATTGCTCAGATGTTCCTAATGTTATGGCACTCATTGCAAAGGCAGTATTTATGAAGTGATAACATCTATGCACCTGTTTTAGATACAGTATGGGGTTGTACGGTAAAAACACGAATAATATGGCAGTTATTGAAATTATGGTTAGAAATAATCCTAAATATTTGGATTAATGAGGTTTTGCAAACATTTACGTCTTACCTCCACTGAACCTTGAGCCTCTCGACCACCAAGAATCCACCGAAACATGACTTCCCTCTTTAACGATTTCAAATAGACGACTATAATAACACCTTTTTACATATTTCTCTGGATATAAGTCAGGAAAATACTTAGCATAAAGCTACATTAGCAAACCGTAAGCTAACGTTAGAGGCGCGTGCGTTTCATTCCGTTAACGTAAACAGATAAACACGAAACACTTTCCGGAATATCCCGAAATTAACCGAACTCAAAAGATTGTTCGAAGGTTTGTCTTTCAGAAGGATGAACAACATAACGCTGACATTTCTACCGTAAGAAATACACAAATATGGAAGTCAGCTACATGTTATAAAATGCGTATTTCAGTCAGATTGACCACAACAAACCATTCATGTGACTCAGACTACGGAAGCTTTGGCTGGACAAAATGATCCAGGCTGAGAAACGTGTAGATGCGAGTGCAGGAGGACTAAGCATGTGTTTTTATGGTGGTCGTGAGCAGTTTTAGGGAAACACGACCATCTTTACATTTTTATTATTGAATCTAATATCTAGTTTACGGTGGCCGAGAACCGCCACTGCTGCAAATAAAAAAGAATGCAAAAAAAGAGAAAAGAAACCACAATGGAAGTTACTGATGCAAAAGAAAAAGAAACTGAAGCCCACTGCAAATAGAGGCAGCGCAGATATTAAAAAAAAAAAAAGAAAAAAAGTTACTTACTGCAAAAACAAAAAAGGATGCAAATTAAAAGAATCCACAACAGAAGTAAGCTGCCGGGGACCAATAATGATGATGCACCGGTGTTTTACAATCTAGGCACAGAAGACAATGGTGAGAAGGCGAGCAAAGAAGTAAGTGGAAAGGTTATTGTTTAATTTCGCTTGGTGTGCTTTTCAATGTGTCATTTTGTTAGGCAATATAGCCCCTGAGTTGATATAAAGTTTAACTGGATGATGCCTGGGTAGAATTAGCTTCAGTTCAACTTCATATCGACTCAGGTGCTACATGGCCTAACCACATTGAAAAGTTTATGAAGCGAAACTTTTCTTTTTTATCTGCAGCAGTGGCGGTTCTCAGCCCCCGTAGAATTGATTTCTTGAAGACTCTAAGTTCAAAGCAGACAAAGAAAGCCCTAATTGTTTGAGAAGTTGCTGGTCTCTTTCACATTAAAAGCATATAACCTTAAAAAAACATATCTTTATAATAATCCATAAGAACAAACGTGAGGTTGTACAGACTCACAAAGCTGTTAATAAATTAAAACATTTAAATACTGAAAACTCGCCTAAATTGTAAGATGAACTCTAAGCTCTGCAAAAAAAAAAAAAAACACTTCTGAGGTAACCTGCAAAAATGGGGTAATATAAAGTAATATATACATATATTTGTAGGCTAAGTGTTTGTATAAAGCGATATAGTCTTGTGCATTAATGTGCCAAAGGAAATTATGTTTTGCATTGCAATGACAGGTCCAACATTTTTCTTTTTCACTGCATTACATTAATTTTTGTTTCTGTATTCGACTCAACTTGGTTGTTTTTTGCCTAAGTTGACTTTTTGACTTGTGAAGTGTGTGCACTGCTTGTGTTGTCTATTTCTTCAGTGCCTGCTGTTTTGGTCCTTTGCTGCTGTTAACACTGCAACACTGTTCCCCACTATGCTTGTTTTCCTTATGCAAAGTCTCAAAAATGTGGAACAAACAAAAATTTAATGTGTGACAGACTTAGCATCTAAGAAACAGCCTGCAGACCTTTTCTGAGGGGGGAATTTAATGTTGCAATACAGAGTCAGCTGTTCATCACTCTATCTAAATGGATGTCATACTCATTTCTGCAGCTAGATGGCAGTGTGTAACAAGCCCATGAGATCAGAGGGCGCCTCAAACCTTCATTAAACACAAGATAAAAGGGAGATTTGCAGACATTTCCCCTTTATTAATGTAACTAGAGGACCGTTCTTGTCTTATGATAAACACATTTGAATTCTCTAATGTCATTTCAATTCCTCTAACTTGTATTTGTCTTATTTCCTTGTATTTGTCACCTCTTTCCTTTGACTTCCATCCTTTTGTTTTTCCTCTAAACCTTCCTCCTCTGTTTCTTATTCTCCTCTCCTCCCTGTTAACACACAGACACACACTCCCACAGTCACACATCACCCTGCCTGTGTCTACTCCTGCTCCCCCGATTGAGACGACACGCAGTGTAGGGCCTGTGACCTTCATGGTGGCTCAGATCTGCGGCTGGCACTGATTTCTGATTTAGTGTCGATCCGCCGCGCTTGTCAGGGGCTGCGAGGTGCTTTCCATGCGGTAATAGAAAAGCTCAAGGGCAGCTGGAGAAAGGAGGAGGGTTAGAAAGAGGGATTGGTGGAGATGCTGTGAATGGGTTTTAGATTTGGGGATGGGTGATGCTCTGTTTGTTTAACTATGTGTCAGACAGCTGAATGCACGGGTCAAATATGTAGACAAAAGAGAGGCGATCTGGGTCAGTGGGTAAATATTTTAAAGATCTGAAGGAATGTAATTCAAACTCAAAAGCTGCAAGACTGCAGTTCTGCAGGCAGTTTGGGGGGCTAAGTATGCAGGGCCGGCTCTTGGCGTAGGCAGTATAGGCAGTCACAGAGGGCGCCAAAATGGTGAGAGCTGACCCTGTAAGTGTACACAGAGCTGCTTAAGCTAAGACTGATATTGATAAAGGGATATTCCGGTGTAAAATTAATTTAGGGTCAAACACACCATAACACCGAGTTAGACACTCCCTCAAGAGATGAATGTTGCCGATCGCTTGCTTCTCTAGTTATACCAACTTTAGTAACGACCGCATGATAGCAATACACAGCGGTCTGAGGAGCCATAAACAAACCTCAACTAAAACGCCACTCTATAGCCACAAATAATGCTCTGAACTCACCTACTCTCTTCCAGCAGCCGCTTGTTTGTAGCGAGACCTCAGGCCAGTCCATTACGGACTGCATCAGGGTGATGCAGCTCAAGGAAGAAGATTTATGATCATAAAGATACCGAGACACTAAGACAGAAGAACTACTACGTCTGCAGTTCAAAATGATTAATATGGTGATTATTACTTCAAGGAAATGATAAAGAAATGATCATAAATGTTCTTCCTTGAGCTGCGTCACCCGGCAGCAGTCTGTAATGGACTGGCCCGAGGTCTCACAACAAACAAGCGGCTGCTGGAAGAGAGTAGGTGAGTTGTGTTTAGTCTCTTTACTAAAGAAATTAGCCAAAGATAAAAAGATGTTTGGTGGCTAGGACCCTATATGTACCGTTGAATAAGTAAGGTGCTGTTCTGAGCATTATTTGTGGCTATAGAGTGGCTTTTTGGTTGAGATTTGTTTATGGCTCCCCAGACTGCTGTGTATTGCTATCGTGCGGTCGTTACTAAAGATGGTATTACTAGAGAAGCAAGCGGTTGGCAACATTCATCTCTCGAGGGGGGTGTCTAACTCTGTGTTATGGTGTGTCTGATTGACCAATAAAAAGGAGACTTCGTATTGGCCAATTAGAAGCAAGTCTCCAATTGGCCTTCTTATGGCTTAAAAGTACCATAAAATTCCTCAGTCCTGGATTTGAACCCATGACGGGTTAATCCAGAGGCAGTAGTCTTCACCGGTATACATGTGGTGGTGCTTTTAACTTTTCAGATCAAAAGGTTTCAAATAGCTTGACAAAGATGTGAAAACAATTTTTTTTTTCTCTTGACTCAAATGTAGTGCGATTGTCCTGGACTTGAACCCAGAACCCTTTCATGGAGAAGCAGCAGCCTTAGCTACGACACTACAGGTTAGCCTGACAGTACTTTCTCTTGTGGGAGGTTTTTCACTTTTATTTTCTCATCCGTAAAGTTTAAAAATATTCATGTGGCTTGCTTAAAGACATTAAAGAAGCTGTAACAAGGTTGGGATTGGTGAGAAGCAACTTCTACTCGAACCGTTGCAGGATAAAAATCTGAGAAAAGACAAAGAGAGTTTAGTGGAAAAAAAGGTGAGCACAGAAAAGTGAAGAATCATGGATTTTCTGGGAAAGAGTGGATTATTCCTGAGCACAGCAGCCTCGGTCTGGCGTAGACAAAGTGTCAAATTTGACCAATGGCAGGAATCAGCCGAGAGGTGAAGTCATGATGTGATGGCCGCCATAAACACTCCAGCGCTAAACACAGAGTCGGAGCAGAGAAACAACTCCTGCCTGCCTCCTCTGCAGAGTCTGATCTCATCCTGTTATCTCCTCCCTGTAAGGAAAACAAATGGTTATGATGATGGAAGAGGAATTAAGCTGTAATTTAACAATGGACCAACAGAGGTATTCAATAACAGGCTCCCTCTCCGGCTGCCCGGAGGAGTCTTGTAGAGGAGAGAGTCTCATTCTTGACCAACACATTTCACTGTCCCTCTTCATCAGGATTTCACTGTGTTCTGCTTTACCTACTGGACTCAGACCTCCACACACAGACCTGCAGGTCTCAGACTAAGAGACTGAAAATACATATTTAATTCTTGTTGATTTTTAAAAGTGGGCAGATGATATTTAGCTGTAATTTAATACAGGACAAAAAGAGCATTATGTTAATATAAAGAGGGGCTTTGAATGCATCACTGCTGACACTGCTACTCAATTCAGATATAGAAAATCACTTAGACGCACATTAATTTCAGTTTTATCAGCACATCTTAGCAAGAGTATATTGTGAACTTCAAATCAATTAAAGGGATATTCCGGCGCAAAATTAATTTAGAGTCAAACACACCATAACACCGAGTTAGACAACCCCTAAAGAGATGAATGTTGCCGACTGCTTGCTTCTCTAGTTATACCAACTTCAGTAACTACCGCACGATAGCAATATACAGTGGTCTGAGAAGCCATAAACAAACCTCAACCAAAACACCACTTTATAGCCACAAATAATGCTCAGAACAGCACCTAACTTCATCAACAGTACATATAGGGTCCCAGCCATAGTACTAGCCACCAAACATCTTTTTAACTTTGCCTAATTTCTTTAGCAAAGAGACTTAACACAACACACCTACTCTCTTTCAGCAGCCATTTGTTTGTAGCGAGACCTCGACTAGTCCATTATGGACTACAGCGGGGTGACGCAGCTCAAGGAAGTACATTTATGATCATTTCTTTATCATTTCCTTGAAGTAACAATCACCATATTAATCATTTGATTGCATTTTCTATTAAGATTACTGTTACTCAGTTCAGATATAGAGAATCACTTAGATGCATATTAATTTTTGTTTCACCAGCACAACTTAACAAGTGTTTTATTTTGTGAACGTCAAATCACTTAACTCTCTCAGCCAATCAGAACCGAGTATTTAAACATGTTGATTTAAAGTTCCAGTGTGGAGTTTTAAGAGGATTCTGAATTTATACCGCTCTCTGACTTATA